GGCAACGTTGTCACCAGTCACCATCTTGACCTGGACGCCTGCCGAGTGGCATTTGCGAATGGCTGACGGGACTTCGGGGCGAAGAGGGTCTTGGATACCCACAACTCCGACCCATGTCATACTATGGAAGAAATCCTCGAAGTTCGCCGAGGAATCTTCAAAATGTTTGGTTTCTGTCGGGGGCCAGGTTGCGAAGTCTTTGTAGACCATGCCAATCGTCCGAAGAGACTTGTGAGCATAATTGTCGATGATCTCCAGGATCTTCTTCTTCTGTGCCTCAGAAAGCTGCTCCACATCGGGTCTCTCTTTGGAGATATCAATGTTGACAATTTCTGTAGTGCAGACGCCGACCATCAACTCGGACGCTCCCTTGACTAGCAGTCGGTAGCCAACACCAGGAACACGGTAAACAACACCCATGCATTTCCTGGCGGAGTCGAAAGGAATCAATTGGGCGATCTCAGCGGAGCCACGCTCCGAGACAAGATCCATGCCCATATAATCCCGGGCTAACTGAAGCATCGCAACCTCAGTCTTACTACCGACAAAATCGATGGAGCCGTCTTTTTCCTGTTCAAAGGCAGTTGAGTTCAAAGCGATGCTCTTAATGATCAAATCCTTGATGGGAGCCGATAGTTTCTGGGAGACCGCCGAAGTAGTCATTGAACCCTTCACATCTTCATCTTCGGTTCTCTGGCTAAAGTCCTGATCCGAGCCCCAGGTTCCGGCCACAACAGTCATCTTGTTCTGTGTCAATGTGCCTGTTTTATCAGAGCAGATGACTGTGGCATTGCCCATTGTCTCGCATGCGCGAAGGACACGGACGAGGTTGTTCTCTTTGACCATTCGTGTGGTAGCAAAGGCCAAAGCCAGCGTTACTGCCAATGGAAGGCCCTCTAGCAAAGAAAATGGATGTCAGTAGAGTTCAGAAAATTCTGCTGCAAAACATCAGGGCTTACCTGGAATAGCGACAACAATAACCGTGACAGCAACAATAAGAATATCCACAAACTCTTTGCCTTTCATAGCACCGTTTTTTTCCGGGTGGTTAGGAAGATCGGCTACAAATCGGAAGAGCAGAACGAAGAACAAAATACCAGCAGCTCTGTCAATTATCATCAGTAAGCAGTACAACATAATGAAGTAGGATGGTCAACTCACGCTGTACCCAGGTATCCGATCCAATCCGCCAGCTTGCCCAGCTTGACCTGAAGCGGCGTTGGGTCATTAGGAGTCTGCAGCGACAGCAAGATCCGTCCATAGGTAGAATAGGGGCCAACACTGGTGACAACATAAGTTCCCACACCTTCAAGGACCTTGCTACCGGAGATCAGGAACGGGTCGAGTTTCTTGGTTGCCTTGCCGCCGACAATTTGCTGCCAGGCTTCATGGCCAGGGGTCTTTTTCATTTGATCCGACTCGCCGGTGGCGGAAGACTCGTCGCACTTCACGCCGTAGCCTGAAACTAGAATGCCATCTGCGGGGATGGAATCACCTGCTTCGAGATGAAGGATGTCGCCGACCATGATATCGTAGATTGAAACCATGTTAGTTTTGCCTGAGCGGGTGACTTTGACTTCGCGGTCATCGTTCTGTTGGGATGTCAGCCGTGCCCACTTTCTGGATTGGTAGAGGAATACTTGCCCGTTTATTGAGTTTGGCAAATTGTCTTTCTTTTTGCCAATCGTTGGCAGCTGTGACAACTGTGACAATCAAAATTGCCACGCAGATGGCAACTCCTTCTACCCAGTCGACGCCTGTGCCTCCCGACACGGTCTCGTATATCCCCAGGGATAGCGAGACCACGGCGGCGATAGTCAATAATATAATAATTTTGTCGTTATATGCAGCCCAAAACAATTTCAGGAACCCGGTCGATTTCCGAGCGGGTAGTTTGTTCCGACTGAAGACACGAATGCGGTCTTCGAAGGGTGAGCCATTACCAGATGATACCGGCGCGGGCGCCGAAGTGACAGGTTTTGATGGGGATTTTCCTGTAGATGTGTGTTGCGCCGTCGGTGCCACATCCTGGAACTCGACATTGCCCTCCAGACACCCTTCATCTATTGACAAACCAGCATTTAGATCCGTTCGCAGACCGCGCTCCAGACCCTGCAATCCACCAAGAGCATGGAATGCAGCCAAAGACTTCGGGTTCTGCATTTTGTTTAGTTGGCCCGGGGAAAACGCAAACCGATTATCCTCGACTTGGAAATCAGTTTCATTCCTCGGATCTGGTTTCAAAGCATCTGCCAGCGATACATCGTCGTACGCATCTTTGGAAGTATGATCCGGGTCTACCTCGGAGTTCGCCCGCGAGCGAACTACAGTATCTGCAGAAGAAGCGAATGAGTCCGCCCGCGGACGCAGTGTATCGCCATCGATCGACTGTGACAGTCGATGCGAGGCACTTTGAACCATCAGCCGGTCTGGGTCTGGTTGATTCCACGCCATATCTGATGAGACAGGAGAAGTCGGGCTGTGGTTTAGATCTGTAGGACCTGACCACGCGGAAGAGGCTGTAGATATAGATCGCTGCAAGAGAAAATAGAAATGGGATGATCAGCGAAAGAGTTCAGGCGTTTATAGAATGGCTTGGGTGACCAACCTCTCTGCCCGAAAAGTCTGTCACTATAACAGGACTCAATAGTGAGCCCTGATGGGAGGAGTCATTGTTTGAAGAAGACATATAGTTAGTGCGAATCGCACGGAGCTCTTCCGGAAGAATATGCGAATCAAATTTAAAAGCAGCTCATGAAGAGGTTCATGTAATATTCTCTGATATCAAGAATTGTCTCGTGTGCCGCCGGGGTTGCGAGTCCTTGTTATCTTTTCCCCTCTCAACGGGGCTGTGTACTTCCAAGGATGGATGCCCAGAGATGCCGAGGATTTAGTGAATTTTCTTCTGGCAATTTGCAACGAGCGTTTTTTGCGAGTAATGCCAAGTAGTATAAGAGGGGATATGTTATCTCCACCTGAGAAGATCGGAGCGATCAAAAAGTAAAATATAATATATACTCTTGATGAAGTGGTGCCAGGGTGTGCCACTTATTACCCCGTACGGTATCACAACACAGCCCCTTTTCCAAGACTGCAAGCGGCAATCTTTGTCGGTTAGAACAGGGGTTACGGAGCTCCGTGTATGATGTAGGAGTAGTATCATGTTAAAGAAGAAGGCGAAGTTCATAGGCATCCACACCCCAAAAGCTGAGGAATGTAAGCGCCGGGCTTCTTTTTCTGTTACTCTAGCCCAGTTTCTTCACACCCATGCTACATGCAATGCTAAATCCTGGGATCAGCGGCTGTCGAATAGCGTTACGCCAAGCGCAGGTGTCCAATGCGAGGGCGTTGCGATCAAATTGGGTTTTGTCATTGTGGATATGCCATTTGCTGCGCCTCGCGGATGACCCAATCATTTTGATATATTTCACCTCGATATATTGTGTTTGTATTGGAATTATTGTTTGACCATGAGCGCAAGTAAGGAGGCGAGATGAGTCTCTTTGCATAATGGGGCTTGATCGTGTCTGTTCTAGGTTGCTGGAGATGGGGTAAGTGTCCACTTGATGAGCGGCTAGACTGTGCGCGTCATGAGCACGCGGAACCACTGTCAGAACCTATCAAGGCACACGACAGAAATTATTTAATTTCGCAAGCCACTAATCCGCACACTACTCCGTGAGTAGTAACTTGAGATTGGGTGTGCCGGGTGTAAGGAGGCGTTGGAGAACAAGGAAGCGAGATCGCCTTTGTGGCGTATTGTGGCGGTGCGTTAAACTATGTGGCGGTGCGGCTCATACTATGGATGACTGGAGGCTCATGAGCTCAAGTATGACCCGGGAGGCAAGAAACATAACCAGCTTGGTCGGAGAAGGGCAGTGCAATAGGTAACAGTGGCATTGGGCAGACTCACCCCAAGAAAAGGCTACTCCAAGGCTCTTGAGTAGCTAGGCAGAAGCACTCGTACTCGCACACAACATCTAGGTAACCGATAGTGGCTGTTACAGAAACTACAGCCCAAATTTGGTCTCAGGACGCGTATGTGCCGATATACTTGAGAAGAGGCCAATGTTTAAGCCTCATTTGACACGAATCCTCAACAGTACCTGCGCCTGCCTCCAAATATCTGTGATCAAAGTTCGGCCTCCCCTTTGACATTTTGACGCCTGAAAGGCGTTTTATTTGGAATTGCGGCTCATTTTCCAAAGCATTCGATCAAACTCATCTCTTTCGACTCGTCAGACATATATAGAAAGGAATATCTGATCCAACCGCAGCAGTAGCTACTCTCGGACGGCAACACGATGGAGGTCTCACAGATCAGATGAAGCAGTCCTATAAGAGATGACATTGGTCTGCAATGATATTACTCTCACCGGCCTTGCCACGTGGTCAGCACGCATGGCCGGCCGTACAGTGGGATTCGTGCGCGAGGCAAGATGTGTTACACGGCTGATGAGCACCTGGGCGAGGTTCCCTGCATGTGTCCAGCGACATATAGTAATCAGTTTAAAACCTGAGTGATTTCTCTGCCAGAAGCCATCTATACGTATGGCAAATGGACAATGTTTCATGAGTGAAGCTTGATGACTTTAGATTACATTGATTATCCGAGCTGATACTCTTCAGGCCTCGACTCATACCAAGAGAACAAAATAATATATTCACAATGACGCAAACATCAAAGTTAAGTAGGAAGATAGTGAAGAGAAACTAATTTGAACAATAAGTAAGAGAAATAGGAGCAGAAGAGAGAAAATAGAAAAGAGGGGGGTATCAATAGTGAAAAAAGAGAATATAACGACAAAATGACAATCAAAGACAGGAAATGCGCTTTTACAGCAGCACAAAGAGGTAAAAAATCGAACAGAAAAAAAATAATAACAATAAAAAAAGGTACGATCGGGGACAAGCCCCGGAGTCCGATGTCACAGAGACTGCGCCCCCACCCATCACTTCATTTCCATCATTTCACATGTCCCATATCGCAACATTGACAATTACTGATCAATAACCTCAGTGAAGCGGCTGCTTCGACTCCCGTCGAAACTGTGCAAACTGCGGCCAAGCCCATCCGGCCGCGGCGGCGCGAAAGGCACCGCACTCTGTGGTTGCGCAACGGGGTGGGCCGGTGTGACAGTGATCGGAGTGGCAACGTTGACCGCGCTGGAGATAGGAAGGTGGACGGGGTTGGGCCGTGTCGGTGGGGTATGCTCCTCGACCTCGCGGGTGTAGTTTGAGTCCAGCGGCATACCGCCATATTGCGAGGTTGGGGGCGGAGCATAGAAGGAGGGTGATGCCATTGGTCCGGTTCCTGGTGAGGTGGCCGGGAAGCCTGGTACGGTGGGAGAATCGCCGTCTAGTCCGCCGCCATATCCGTCTCCACCGTGGGTGAAGACGGGAGGGAGCTTTCTGCCGGAAATCTTTTGGAACCCGCGTTCGCTGGGGGCAGAGTCGATGGTGCTTCCAGAGCGCGTTGTTGCCGTGGACTGGCGCCAACGCTTCATGAATGCGGGGGCGAGGTATGAGGCTGTGAAGAGGGGGTCGTTGCTTTCGCGTCGCTCGACAATTTCTCTAGACCTAGACCCAGCCCCTGCTCCAGCCCCGGCTGCTGCGTCACCTAACATAGGGGGACGTCCCATTTTCCCCATTAAGAATCCTCGGCGGCGGAGGTAGTAAAATAGAAGAAGAAGAATGAGAGCGAGACCGGCGATTGATCCTACTACACCGCCCACGATTTTAGGTGTGTCGGGATTACTTGTTGAATCCTGCGAGGCCTGCGTTTCACTTGTAGTTGGTGCGGTTCCAGTACTAGTCGCTGAGCCAGTTGACTCTGAGCCTCCATATACATTTGATGAAGAGGTTGTGTAGTCTGTGCTGGAGGTCGGGCTTGTCGGGGAGCTGGAACTGGAACTGGAGCCGGAGCTACCAGAATATGACCAGTAATTGTGCACCTGGGATGATGTTGTCATAACAGATGGCGCAGAGCTAGAAGGGGTGACGAGGCGAGTCGAACTCCATGCAGGCGAACTGATGACTGTGGCTGAGGCAGATCTTATTGCTGATGAAAGTTGACTTGTGGAGTTTGTGGTGGCCAAAGAAATTTGAGTAGAGTTCGTGGAGATGCTTGAAAATAGCGTCTCGGATAGTGGCGGTGGTGTCGGCTGGGTAGCAGAGGTAGGCGTCGGCGAGGTCAATAGCCCTAAATCTATAGAGGCACTTGCACTTGCAGTCACACTCGCAGTCGCAGTCGCAGTCAAGCTGTCCGAGCTCGGTAGAGTGTCGGTGGCGTATGTAGAATGCGATATCGTCATAGGAAAGCCAGTAGTAGTCGACTGAAAGGGAGTCTGTGAGCTAGCATCAACTATCTGCAATACAGTCTCAATACTAGTCGGGTCGGCGGAAGTCGTCTCTTCCCGCTTTTCAAGTATTGAATCAGATTCGTTCATGCCATGCTCAAGACACATGGAGTTTTTTGACGAGTCGCAATTTTCATCCGGAAGCATACCAGTGGCGGGGAGGACAGGGGTTTGAAATGAATCATCCTCAAGTAAATCAGAGCCTGCATGCTGTTCACCAAGCTCAGCTTGCAGGCGGCGCCTGGCGCTAATTAGATTGCCGATGCGCGAGTGACGGAAATGACCATGAGCCATGTTGACAGTTTTCCCATACACGTCCAGGTCAATTGCCAATCACATGCAATGTAATATCAAGACAAAGTAGCAAAACAAAGAATGATCCTCACAGAGGTTGAGCTTCGCAGTATTGCGAAGAATGGGGTTGATAAGGTCAAAGTAAACGAAAGAAAAACACGTTCTAGCGTGCGCACAGTTGGTATGGAAAGATTGATAGATCGTCGAACTCAGTAAAGAATGACCCGGTTGACAAGTATGAATGAATGGATGTTGGCAAAGGCGTAGCCAAACTTTGTGATCAACAAGAAGAGCGTAGCATGGATAGCAGCTCAAGAATATCGTGATATATGGTGCACAGTTACGTGGAGGGAATGGCAATCGTACAGACGACTAAGCGGAGTTAGTATGGATGAGTTCAATTGAGGAAGCCCCACGCCATGTAAGCAAACAGATCGAGGACCTCGAACGAATTGATACCAGCACATACCTGGAGTAAAAGAGTGACGAAAAGAGTAGAATGAAAAAAAAGAGAACCCAGTCTCAGATCCTAATCCATTGTGTTTGAGGATATCTGTTGGAACCACAAAGAGGAATATACAGTGCTTAATATGTGTCGAGAGAGTAAGCAGGTCGGACGGGACAGCTCTGAGGGCAGTATGGTCACACTGGCATAAATCTCAGTCAAGAGAGGATGAATGTACACAAAATGCAAAGCGAAAAAAGAGACCAGAAAGAGATCCAAAAAAAGACCAAAAAGCGAGACACACACGAAAGAGAAGAAGCGAAACGGGAAGATGGAAAAAGGACCCAGACCGGACCAAACAATCCCCTATCGAGGCCTAGTCTAGGCGACCCGTGTTAGTGACGAACTAGGCTCGGGGGCCGACAGATTCTTTTCTTTTTTTCCTTCCTGATTTCAGGGAAAGATATCTGGAATTGAATACTAATCTTGGTCTCTTTCATTAAAAAAAGAATAGGAAAACAAACCAGAAATAAAAAACAAAAGCCAGTTCTTCCTCAACGCAGGTACCGCCAGGTACCGCGGGATCAACGAATAGAAAGTGACAGGGCCCAGATGAGGTTCTGGCCAAGCTAACTAGTCTCTTTTGGGTTTAGTCTACCATGCAGGTTTAATTATCGTCGGCTTAGCGTCAAATGGCTATTTACATAGGCAAGGGACAATGGGTTACATGCAGTAAATGAAAACATATCTTTAGCATATATGTTTGTCTTGACTCTACGGAGTAGCAATTCCACATTTCCCTCAAAATAATAATGTGTCATCATGCACGACCACTCCACCTGATCCCAACATACGTTGTACTAACGGAGAATCATTTGCCGATCCCATTCTCCATAAACCTATTTTAAGCCTAAGTGTCAGACCACTGTCTCCATGGAAAAATAGGATGTATGCATTTGACTCCATATCTACGTGCTCAGCTCGTCTTATTTGACACCTGCAAAGGAAGACAAGAAAGAATAGGAGGGGGGTATTTAGTAACGGGTCTTTCCTCCTCACGGGCCCAAAACTCATATTTCGCTTAGAAAGTCTCGAGGTCGTCGGCCGCAACCTCCTCTCCTTCAGCGGGGATCTCGAAGCCGTCCTAGCGGGGAGCACAGAAGCGTCAGTTTGGGGAATCCTCAGCGAATAGGTCAAGGGAACGGACCTCGGTCGAGTATAGAATGCCCTGGATGTGCTTAACAAGCGTGTCTTCCTCCTTTTCAAGCTCGGGGTCGGCTTCAATGGCACTCTGGAGCAGCAGCTCGATATCGCGCAACTTGGCGAAGTAGAAATCGCGCTCCTTCTCCAGTCCTGCGATCGCTTCCTTCTGTGTCGAGATCTCCTGTTGCAGGGCAGCGGTGGCCGCTCCACTGGCCGCAGTGGCAACCCGGGGACGGACAGCGCCAGTGGTCGGGGTCACTCCACGGCGTGCGCTGCCAGCAGACGGGGCGCGCGAAGCGGGGGCTCCGCCGACGGAACCAGGGGCACCGGAGGCCTTGCGCCGGCCAACGGAGTCGTATTCACCACCGGGATAGTGCTGGTCCCAGTATTTCTTAACCCACTGGAGGAACTCAAGGTTGTCCTGCATGCGGCACTTTGTGAGGGACTGGACGGGGACGGGCTTGTTGACCTGGTGGCGGGCGAAGACATCTGGGTGATTTGAATATGTTAAAAAGGGGATCGTTGGCCGAATCTGGAATCCGCCTTCACATACTCTGAAGAACCTTGAAGTTCTGGAGGTAAGCATATTCAGTGTTCACATTGAACTTGACCCGGGACATGGGAACATCCACTGAACAAAGAGATCAACCAGTCAGTATATGTTCCACAACTCAGTCCGGGACCGTCTCTGTCTCTCGATTATTGCGCAAGTCGTGGTGATTACATACTGAAAATCGAATCGAAGACCTGGCAGAGGGCAGCACTATAGAGAGGCAAGATAAGAGGTCAGCCCATCTGATCTATACAAAAAAAGATCGCCCCCGGGCCCTTTGAAGTCGGAGAGAATATTGATCAACCATACCCAGTTCCACACTGCTCAATCTTGGTAAGGTTCAGCTGCAGCAGGTTGTTAAGCCATGCCAGCAGTTCCTGTCTGAAATCATAAATTGATCGGCGTCAGCAAGGCCATATTGGTCGCGAGATGGCGGGGAATAGGAGAAAAGCCGAACCTGGATTCACCCATGATGGTGGGGTAGAATAGTTATCAATGGAAACGCTAAAGCGGAAAATAAGACTGGGATGATCGCTAAGTGGGAAAAGAGCTTGATGAAGATATTACACCGCAAGCCCAGGACTTCTTGTCGGTCTCTGCTTGTGTGGTTGATGGGAAACAGCAGAGGGATTGTTTTGATGCTAAATCCCACGGATCACACTGGCGCTAGCCCACTTTTTCCGGCGAATCACAGATAGATTAGTTAATCAATCCTTTGATGCCTGAGGTGTCAAGTCGTACCTGAGGTATCACATCGTAGACTATGATATTACCTCGGTGCATGAAACTATTACATCGTCGAGTGAGGCACAACTCCATCACAACTGGTCAAATCTCATATATCATATCTCCCATCATGCTGTCGCCCAGAATATCAAGTTATCGCCGCGTATGCATCGCTGCTTACCCGGTTGACCGCCGCTTCTACCGCCTTCCCGCCGCCATATTTGACCAGCAGAAATGGTCGATCTATTGATCTTGTCGCTACCTTATCGCCTCAGGCGACGACCTAACTCAATTGAAGTTGAGGCTATTGTCGCGATACAAGATATACGATAATATATGCTAGGAATGTAATTTTGCAGTGTTGCGATGTGTATAGGTATAACAAAGAAGGAGAATTTATTCTGCCAATATTCTAAGTCCTGATCCAATTTGTACCCAAGACGATAAAGGGAAACCTCATATCTAACTCCCTAATCCAAGCAATGTATAATAATAATGACCAAACAACCCCACAAAGGGAAAGAAGCAGCGCTGAGAAGAAGAGCAAGCGGTATATAAACAAAATGCAAATAGATCACTCCTCTAATAGGTCGATCCCGTCTAATCCATATCCAAAGTCCATAATGACAGCCCTGGAGTCCTGGCTCGTCGCAACAATGCGTCTATAATCGGACTGCACGCTCAACATCCAGCTTGTGGTCCAGCCAGGGAAGTTGATGGACAGGTCACCTGAATCACGGTCGAACACTTTGACACTCATGTCATAGCTACCGCTAATGATGCGCTTATTTGCGCTATCGAGGTGCAGAGATCGGATGAGGCCTGAATGCCCGTGGAGCTCGTTAGCGAGCTCGCCCGTGTTAGCATCGAATTGATAGATTATGCGGTCGTTACCGCCAGTGAGGATGGTCCGGCCATCGTCACTAAATTCGACACATGCGAGGCCACGGTCCTTGCTGGTGAACTCCTTGACACATTGGCCGGAGACCACGTTCCACATCTTGGCAACACCGTCACCGCTGGCTGACACTATAAGGTCACCGCGTAGCTGCACAGCGTTCACTGGCCCTTGGTGACCGTTGAGCTGCCTCAAAAGCCCACCGGTGTTTCGGTCCCACACACAGATGGTGGTATCCTTGGAGCATGAGACGATGTACCGGTCATCAAAGCACACATCAAGCACACCGGCATGGTGGCCGGAAAGACGGTGAATCGGTCGGTAATCGTCCTTGATGTCATACACGATACAAGTAAAGTCCGAAGACCCTGTGACCATGATCTCCTCGTCAAACTGCAGGCACAGGATTGATGCGCTGTGGTATATCGATTCTTCCTCCAGTGGCGCCATAATTTCCATCGTTTCATCTAGCGTGGGCCACGGCGGGGTAATAGTCAGAAAGGGGGCTTTCCCCGTGGCCTGGGAAGTTGGATTATTCACTGGACCACGACGGAAAGTCCGGGCCGCGGGTGGCCCAATAATCTTCTGGCATGACCATGGGTAGTGTGCGTCCCACACACGAACCGTCCGATCACGGGAGCCAGTAATGATTTTGTTTCTACAGACTTGTTAGCAGTGCACGGCATCAACAGATCAATGTTAACTTACTCGTCGAATTGAGAGCAATAGACACTGTCCTCATGACCTTGAAGATAAATGGCTGCAGCCTTGCCATCCTTCCAGCGCTGATCGAGAGCGCGTCGAACAAGGAACTTCTTCTTCCAGTCCTGGTTCGGGATTGACTTCCCTAAGCCAGATGACAGCTTCACCTTGGAGGCTGTCTCGCTTGCTGGCCGTCGGCCATATGCATTGCGGAATACATGCCTCCAAACATGAGAAGAGGACGCACGGAACCAGGTGCGAGACACCAGCTCCACGTCCATGAGGGAATCAGGGTCCAAATATGACAAAATGTGCGATGTAATCTCAGCCGGAAGCAGAGCCACGGGATCTAAAAAAAGAGAAGTTAGCAAAGCACGCGCGCTGCCGATCAGGGGGTTTATCCTTACCGAGTCGCATCATAGCCAACAAATCGGTGTCTGACACATCCGATCGATCGCGCAAGTCAATACAAATACCGCTCTCCGAGTCAAGCGGGACCCTCAGATCTAGCATCTTGTTCTCCAGTTCCACCTTAGCCATCCGCGCAGCCTCCATCCGCTCATTCTGCTCTGCGGCTGCGGCGCGCGCGGCGGCACCTGAGAACAGGTGATTCGGCAGAACTGGAGGTGCCTGCCCACGGCCCGGGATGGGGGCAGGGATCGAGGCAGTGGGGGCATAGAAACTATGCAGGGCAGACACACTATTCAAAGAAGGGCGCCGATTGACGCTGTAGCCCTGGTGCCAATGTGGTTTCGTGGACCGAACATCCGAGCTACCGGAGGCCATGCGCTTATGGTTTGCATGGCTCGAAGTTTGGTGATAGTAACGGTCTTCATCGTCATCAACCAATTTGATGTCCTCGGTGAGAGGAATCGTTTGCTTAGAAGGCTTGTTGCGAATACTGACGGACAGGCGGCGGCCGAGAGCGACCAAACCATCCACAGGATGCTTCAAACTCGAAAAGCTTTTGGCTCCGCGGCGCCGCGGAGCCGCGTTCGGGAATGGGTCTATCTCTTCCACGACCGGTGCGCAGTCATCCTGGCATATTTCCACCAAGTATGGCTCCTCCCATGTGTCCAAAGCCAGCTCTTTTGACACCGGGGCGGCATGACTCACGGTCCGTCGGCGTGAACGAAACGACAACGAGGGGCGTCGCCTTGTGGATGTGGCGTTGGTCTCTCGTTGCGACATGACTGAAGTTGTTGGTGTGTTGAGTGCAAATTAAACAATAATTGGGTCAATCTAATCGCCGATATGTGACGGCGGATGTTGGGACAAAGAATGACGAGGCTTTTTGTGTCCGGTCTATTTATCGTTTGTCGACCGATGTGACGTTTGGTCTTAGGGGTTCGGTGAGATATGTCTAACAAAGTGTATAATTCAACGACCGTTCGCAAACTCCAAGGACCCAAGAGAATGAAAAAGATGGAGAAATAGATAGAGAGATTAATGAACGAACTATAGAGAGTGAACAACAAAAGAAAAAAAAAGACGAAGGCGCAAGGAGAAGTTAAAAACGGCGGAAGAATTCCAGAAAGCAGAACGAATGGGTCTGAGTTCGGGCGGTGAATTGGGGAGGAGTGATTGGTTCGACCATCAAGTTACTTGGTAGTCACTGTTACTGGCATCCCAATACCACTCTCCTATAAGAATTAAGTACCTGATACCTTTGGAGTACTCGCCCCTGCGTGGTTCAGACTTTTTAAGCCGGGGGCAAATCCTGGGGGGAAACACCCGTGGACGGAAAATGCGGAGTAACTGTGACTTGGATCGTCGCTATAAATCTACTGTGGATCTAAGTACCGACTACACTGTGATCTCCTCCGGTGGCGATTAGGGTTTCTGAAATTTTTTTATTGAAACAACAAATGATGACAGGCTTTTTTGACACCGATGCTAATATTAGTACATACAAAGTACTACAGCTCTAGAGTCCAACCTGAATTGGGCCGCTTTGTAACTATATTTCTTCTTTCAATGTTGCATCCGGAAAAAGCGAAAATTAATACTACTATAGTATTATTGGAAAAATAATTGATTTCAATCTCTTCGGAAAACTTCTTCGATATAGATAAACACCCCTAACCACCCAACCTTCTACCCCCTGGTTTTGTATGTTGACACCGACTATATACATAATTCTCAATACCGAAACATCTATCCCCTTCATCCAAAGATCTTCTCATATCCGGTCAGAGTGAACCGATAGTGAACATCACCCTTCTTCATGCGCAGCATGGCCTCCTTGAGTCCTTCCTCTCCAATGGCAATCTCCTCCACCCAACCCTTAAGACCCCGATCCGCAGCCAGCTGCAACATATTAAGCATCTCCCGACGGCTACCCAGGTGGCTGGCACCGATAAGAACACCGTTGGAGATCAGGTTCTGAGCCTTAATGACCTGACCTTCCTCCTCAGGAAGACCGACACTGATCCAGCGCCCATGAACATCCATCATGGACAAATAACGCGCAAGATCGAAACCCTCCGAAGAGTTAGCGCAGTTGATAATCAAATCAAACGAGCACAGGTGATCCTTCTCCCATCCCTCTTCAGCAGTAGCAATGTAACCATCAGCACCGAGCTTGAGAGCATCCGCCTCCTTAGCGCGAGAGCGGGAAATAGCCCACGTCTCCGCGCCCAGCGCCTTAGCAAACATGATTCCAAAGTGACCAATACCACCCAGTCCAACGATTCCAACCTTCTTGCCAGGACCAGCGCCATTCCGCACCAAGGGCGAGTACGCCGTCAGTCCGGCGCACAGCATCGGAGCCACCGCGTTGGTCTCCAGTGCGTCCGGGATCGGGAAAACCCAGTGCTCGTGTGTTCGCACGTGCGATGAGTATCCACCCTGGCTGATAATACCACTGTCGGCCCACTTCGAGCCGTAGGTGTCCATAGGCTCAACCTGGCAGTATGTCTCGTTGTCGTTGCGGCACTGCTTGCACTTGCCGCAGGAGTAGGACTGCGCGCCGACTCCAACGCGCTCGCCTTCCTTAATCAAAGTGACCTTAGGTCCGACACGGATTGCCCGACCGACGATCTCTAGAATGGCCATTAGCATGAGACAGTAGCGGTTTTCTTTTCTTTTTAGATACGTACCGTGACCCACGCACAGGGGGAACTTTTGATCACCCCATCCTCCTATATGAATACATTAGCCGGTGTTTGTGTTTGATATTTCAACGGGTTCACCATACCGCTGATAGTGTGTACATCACTGCCGCAGATTCCACAGGCCTCAATCTTAATGTCGACATCTATACTCAGTTAGAACCAGGAAGAAGCATAGTAGCACCGATAGCAAAACTCACCATAGTCGCCGAAGGGCTTCAGCTTGAACTATTCATCACAATAAAATCTAGGTAAGCAGATATCCTAACCAACGCACGGAAAAGATCACATACGTGGCGCTTGTGGAACTGGGTGAAGCTGTTAGGTCCATCGACCTGGAATCCCTCAGCTTCTTCGGGGTAAGGCATTGTGATAAGAATAAGGGATTAGTCTGAAGAAGTCTTTGTCAATGACTATTCTTTGGGATATGGCAGAGCAGTGTACACGAGGGAACCAAAAAGTAAGAAAAGGAAAGTAGAAACCAGCAGACAAGCGGGGTGCAGGGGGTGTATATCAACGCCATTAAATTTCAGACCCTACGAGCGGGGAGCGCAAAACATTCCCTATTCTTCCAACGCGGGATACAGTCTCCAAATCCATCGTGGCACTACGTATTGCTACAGTATACAGCTGCTTCCCTCCAGTCGGACATTGTCCCGTGGACCCGCTCCACCGGGAAAACTGACAATCGAGAGGAATCAGAGGAATCAGAGCGCAGGGATCGGGGTTCGATATCGCCCGAGAGGCGAATATGCTGAAAAGAATCAAGTATTCCGGGCAGCGTGGGGTGGTTGCTTTGCTGTGGGGTAGGATTTTGTTAGCATCCATGCTACGTAGCTGATAGCGCTAGGTCCCGCGGCGGTCTAGTGGACGGGTTCTCGTATCAACTCCGATTTACAGGTTTTTCCACCTATGAGCTTGCGAGGAGAAATTATATCCCGCTTTGGCCTTATCAACGATAAGAAGTGGGATGATGTAGGGCTTTGGCTTAGGGCTTGGGATTTACATGGATGTGGTCTGGGCATGCCAAAGAGGGGAACAGCAGCCACATTCGAGGACGACAGAAACAGACACCCATCACTTGAGCTCGATGTACTGCGAGATGAGATCAGTGATTGTTTGCTCCAAGTCCGTGAATTTCCACCCAAAGGCGACCACGGTATCAGAGGATTCGATGCCAAGTGGAATCGACGTCTGTTCGCCCAGAACAGTAACACGTTTCGGTTCGCTCTGAAGCTCCTCAACAAAATTCTTCCGGACAATCCCTGGGATATCCTCCCATGCCCCTGGGGTACTGGCAATGAAACTACGACAACCCCGGCTTCAACGATGTTTGCCTGCTGCAATGACTGGACATGGAGGCGGGCGACGTCACGAACATACACAATAGCACGGGTCATATGGGGAAAGGGGGATTTGTTGCCCTGAACAATCGTGTTGAGTACCAGTCGGTTGCCCTTTTTTAATAACACCTCATATTCCTCACCGGCCCATGCAGTCGGACCCAGTACCCAAGATAGATGGATGTTGACGATGCCGAACCCAGGATTTGTCTCTTTCGCCCAGGTCTCGGTCACTTCTAGAGATGCCACCTTGGAAGCTATATAGGCGATACTCGGATGGGCAAAGGGCGGCTTCATCAGCGGCACGCGACTGCTGGAAGTAAAGGGATGGTCCGGATCTTGAGGTTCGGACCCGCCAAAGGCCATAGGTGAGATTATCCCCGCAACTGAGCTGGTTATAACCACCCGCTCAATAGAGACGTTTGTGGCAGCGGCGGCTTCAAGAATCTCGAGCGTAAGGTGGACGCACATCATATTTACTACTACACATCGAATGTATTGTCAAGGGTAAGCAAGTAGATCTGCAAGTTTAGGAACTACCATGGAATTCTTCACCTGCTAATGCCTATATACTAGTTTGTAGGGGGGTGGGACACTCACAAAAGCCCTAGTTGTAGACAAAGGATTGCCCCACAAATCAAGTTCAAATACCCCTCAGAGGCATCATGGGGAGACTTAGCCATATAAATGAGCCATTCAAAGCTATACTGGGACAGCGGAGCTAAATGAAGGTTCCCTATATAGCCATAATTGTTGTGGTCTTAGGGCTGAGCGATAGTGGTGAGATGATGGCCAAGAGGCCATGCCCAACGAAGCAGTGAGTGCATCATGTCGTAGTACTTTTTCTTATCAATTTGACCCATGTAACCGTCCAAGGTTGACGATCTGATCTCGGTAAATTCTTGAAAATTCAAGACCGGGGTAAATTGAACTTGGAATCTACCATCAAAGTAGCCATATAGTACACGGGCACAGCATCTTTGGTCGAACACTATGATCATAATCTATAGAGCTCAAAGTTATTAGTAAAACATTGTTTTGCACAAGGGATGGAGCTGGGAGGGAACCGAACGTACTGGAAAAACTTCACTGAGCATATGAACATCCTCTGTCTCAATTCCGTTGGCGAGCGAATCTAATTGATGAAACATGCCTCTCAACCCCCAGCTAACTAAGGCTATGAGCTCAGCAGTCGAGGGGCGATCGTGACCACACAAGATCACATCTACCAGAGCCCATGTATGCGATTTGCGAGGGTGATCTAGGTCCATCGACCTGGCGATACTGATTCCGTGTGTTTTGTCTGGGAGATCAAGATCGTACAGTCTTTGGTACCTAGGTAAAGGTGATCAGCCTAAATAATACAAATTTCACATTCCCATAGGGAATAGCAATGTGTCACTTACCAGTAGACTGACCAGTCATCTGTCTGGTAATTGCGAATCTCCAGGTCCAAAGCATTCGCAATCACCATCTCATGGTCATCATTGACTCCCTTGTCACTTTTCTCGCTTTTCTCGCGACTTTTATCACTCGATTTGCGATTCTCGTCATCGCTCTCTTCGCTCTTGTCGCCATCTTTATCACTCTCATAATGGCTTTTCGGGTCCACAATTTCCCCTTCTTTAGCCTTGTCACTGTATATTTCCTCATTCTCGCTGGATTCTTGATCATCCGGTTTGTCCTCTCCATCGCTCACCTTGTCGTCTTCAGTTTTATCAAAGTGACCTGACTTTTGAACAGTAGGATATTTATCATTATTGTCTTCCTCGCTTTTCGCTCCATCCAGCTCGTAGGGCCAAAATTCCGGAATACTCCAGTCCTGGTAGTCCATGAACACACGCCGAAGTAGATAGTTTGCACAGTGAGTTCCTTTGCCGAAATTGCCTTTCTGAGATAGAAACCAATCCCAGCTTGGATCTGCAACTATCTTCTCTATCCTAGGTGTGTTTGTCCGTGGCATGAAAAAGCGCGTGACAGAAGGCGAAGTTATACCAGAAGCAATGTCCAGATGATTGAAGTCAATCCGGAGAATTTTTAGGCGCTGCTGTGGGATGAAGGACGTCGTTATTTTTTTCATAGAGACAAGCATTTGTTCAAGTCTCGCGCATTTCAGTATAAAACGCCAAGGTTTGGGGATTGTGTTTACGGGGGTATCGTCCATTTTGGTAGATTGCCCGAGGCAGCAAAGTCGAATAATCAGTATATATGGCAGTATCGCACATGAGGACTTGGAATATCTGGTAACAAATAATAATAAAAAGTACAGTGTATGTGTAGTTACCATATTTAGGTGGTTGAGGAGAATAGCTTCTTGAGAGGTGAAAGTAGAGAGGGCTTGGAGGTCGATTTAACCTACTAAGCCCTAATCAGAGGCCCCATCCATTTCCTTAAATGCTAGCGCTGGAAGCTGAGCTGTTCCAGTGGACGCGTATTCCGCAGTGGAATTAGGAACAAAGTATATTTTCGTGAACTATGCCAGTTTGGGAAATTAGGTACATTCTGGCTTCCAATATTGGAAGGAACCAAAGCGAAAAACTTGAATGATGCAAGGCTTCCAAGGTTGTATCCATGAATGGCGCCTTAGGCTACCATATCTGCCCTAGGTAACTACACTTGTTACCCGTGAACGACCTACCCTAAGTAGACAGAGCCATTCAAAAAATAGTGCCATGACACTGGTCCAAGGAGGCTGCTACGTTGGCGAATGAGACGTCAACAAACGATGTAAAATTATGACGACAAAGGACAAGACCACGGAAATTGATATATGCATTGGAATTATATTACTAGACTTTGGATGTAGCTCCTTGCCGCATTCCCAAGCCATTATGCCACATCGGGCAAGGTCAATTCAACATCCATAGCAGGCTTGATCTTATCAGCAACGGTCTGGTACTGGGCATCAGTAAGACGGCTGAGAGGTCGGCGAGGGAACCCGCCGTAACCGTAGTATGACTGGATAGCACCCTTGGTGCCAGGAATGGCAGCCTTTGTGAGAACCCAGTCGGCAGCACTCAGTTGCTGCTGGGCCTCAATGGCCTCTGTGAGACGGCCCTCGGACCAGAGAGTGAAGATGCGGACACACAGACGGGGAAGAACGTTCGCACCACCGGCAAGAATGGCAGAGCCACCAGAGACGAGGGTCTGCAGACTGAAGTCGGCGATACCGCCGAAGGCAACGTATGGGTGCTTAGCGTTAGGCTTGGAGACTGTTGCGGTACGCTGAGCTGGAGCCAAGGGAGAGGAGGGGGTGATGGCGCCGAGAGCGGTAGCGACACGAGTCAGCTTGCCGGTGTTGGCACAAGTGAACTTAGTGCCGACGATGTTAGGGTGTTCGGAAATACGGATGATGAGGTCGGAGTCCATGTCGATGCCAGCGACAGCACCGGGGTAGTTGTACAGGATAATAGGAACAGGGGAGCCGTCGGCAACGGCTGTGAAGTACTCGTATAGGGTTTCATCATTGCCGACAGCGGCGCGGTAGTAGCTAGGGGGCACGATCAGGACGTACTCGCCGCCAGAAGCCGCGACCTCCTTGCACAGGTCGATGGTTCCGCGGATGCTGTTCTCGCTGGCACCGGCGATGACGGGCACGTTTGAGAAACCAGCTTCATCGAGAGCAGATCGGGTCTCCCGAGTGACGGTCATGCGCTCTTCGCGGCTGAGATGCACAGCCTCGCCGTTTGAGCCCATGGTAACCAGGCCCACAAGGCCGGCCTTAGCTAGACGCACAGCATGGCGGCGAATAGAGGCGATATCGAGCTCTTCGGTCTGAACATCGAAGAAGGTCATCGTCGGCGCATAAACGCCGGGGCGGAGTGGGGTGAGAGACATGATTTCTGGTGTTTCTGTGAGCTGGTGTTCACTGATGTTCACTAATGTTCACTACTATGGATAGAATAATACCTACTTGGAATTTGAGGGGTATATAGTAATTAAATCATCATTGGCACTTGACATTCTTATGAACTTCTTCGGGGCATCCTTCTCCCCTCCCCCACGTCGGCGAATGCTCCGAGGCACTTTGTATGGCGGAGAATTGGATTCCACCAATCAGCGCAAGCATATAGAATGTGGGGGACATGAGGGGTAAAAAAAAGACGGGTAAACGCGCATTTCAGCCGGCGATAGCGTTGAACGAGGCCATATATGAGTCTAGCATTTATTAAATTGGTAATTGAGATCTTGAGCAGCAAGCGAAATGGTATATACGCATATAAATCTTTCTATCTTAAAAGAAAGAATGAGGTTGAAAAAGAAATCAAATGGCGTCAAAACCCCATGGCCGATAAGATACGGCTATTGAGTTGGCATTTCAAACGCCGGAAGAATTATATCCAGCGATCTAACACCCCGGCTTTCTGTGAATTGTCTTAAATTTCCTTTGCTCCCCAGAAATCTCCCCGGAATTCAATCACCATATCGGAATTAACGGACATCATGGCTCCTCCTAGCGTTTTGATGGTATGGGCAATGATTCCCCGCAGTAGATCCCAAGCTAACTGAACTCGCAGGTTGGCACTGGTGAATACACCACCGGCTTCGTCGGCGGTGGTGCATCTGGCTCAGACAAGAAGGTCGGCGTGGTAGGCCTCAGTCTATTTGACCTGCGCCGACGGGGCAAGGTTGGCGAGCTGAGCATGGTGGGCGTGTCGGGCAAGAAGTTCCCTGGTATTCGTAAGTTGAGCAAAACAACAAGCAAGCAAACAGGAAGCTAATCACGAGAATAGGTGACCACTTGCACCGTAACATCTCTCAAGTCTACAACAACCTCGATACCTCATTCGCCTCGTTCCCCGCGGACGACCAGACCGATCCCGATGCATACAAGACCGCTATCGATGCCCTCCCCAAGGGATCCGCCATCACCATCTTCACCCCCGACTCTACCCACTATCCCATTGCCCTGTACGCAATTGAGCGCGGCCACCACGTACTTATCACCAAGCCAGCAACTCAGCGGCTAGGAGACCACCTAGCTCTGGTCGAGGCCGCGCGCAAGCACGGCGTCTTCGTCTTCATCGAGCACCACAAGCGCTTTGACCCTGCATACTCTGATGCGCGGGCTAAGGCGAAGACCCTCGGTGACTTCAACTACTTCTATAGTTACATGAGCCAGCCTAAGAGCCAGCTCGAGACCTTCAAGGCGTGGGCTGGTCGTGATTCCGATATTTCTTACTACCTCAACTCTCACCACATTGATATCAACGAGAGCATGGTCCCAGATTACAAGCCTGTGCGGGTCACAGCAACTGCATCCCAGGGTACCGCTGCTGCGCTTGGATGTGTCCCCGAGACTGAGGACACCATCACCCTTCTGGTGGAGTGGCGCCGCCGTGATAACCCGGCGAAGATTGCCACTGGTGTCTACACTGCTAGCTGGACGGCACCTCAAAATGCGGGTGTTCACTCCAACCAGTACTTCCACTGTATGTTATTCCATTCTCCGGCAGTAGTTTATAAACAGACCTCTTCTGACATATTGGAACAGACATGGCTGCCAACGGCGAGATCCGCGTTAACCAGGCCAAGCGTGGCTATGAAGTGACCGGCGACGACCAGGGTCTAATTCATTTCAACCCGTAAGAACCCTATTCTCAGAATAATGTTGTACCATGGCTCGATGCTAACTCCGATATACTAGATTTTATATGCGCTACGCTCCCGATGAAGAAGGAAACTTCAGCGGACAGACTGGATACGGCTACATCAGCTTCGAGAAGTTCATCGATGCCGTTACAGCTGTCAACGAGGGCCGTGTGACCCTCGACCAACTGGACGCCCGCCCGCTGCCCACTTTGCGCAATACGATCGCCACAACGGCAATCCTCGATGCAGGACGCAAGTCGCTGGATGAGAGACGGCCTGTGGAGATTATCTCCGAGGGCGACAAGTGGGAGCTGAAGTAAAGAGTAAATACGATGTAAATGGACTTATATTATACCAATCAGAAGTGTATTGTTTTCAAATGGCCCTCGTATATAATTTCTTTAGCGCCCAAAGCCATCCTGTCATGTGCAGTCTAACCCTGCAAGGCCGCAACTTTAAAATAGTAAGCAGATGAAATACGAGTGCGACTTCAATTCAGCCTTGCACTCTTTTATCTTCTCTCTTCCGCAGCTGTTTCTATCTTTCAGACTAAATCATTCAATATGATGCGCCGAAAAGAGCTTTATACCAATATCACCCCTATCCCCTCATCCGTGCCCCGCCAACTAGCCCTCGACATCCTACACAGCCACAGCGAAATCATCACACTAAACCCACTCGTCCTCTCACATCAACCAGTCAGAGCTCCACGGGATGCCGTCGCCGACGAGTATTACTCAACGTGGTACGAGATCACGGAACGAGTACAATACGTTCCAGGCCTCGGCAAGATGGGGTCAGGCAAGATCAGCTTCAAAGGGTGTTTCCACAACGTCGCATGGGGTCTAGAAACGCACATGTACGCGCCGATGGGAATCGACCTCCGAAGCAAATGGCGCATTGGAGGCAACCAGCGCGACGAAGCACCCGAGCCGCGCGACAGGCGCACAGACGGCGCTCCGAAAACGGGACTCTATCTGCATGAGGATATCGAGATCGAATGCAACCGCACGCTAATTTCTTTCGTCAAGAATCAGTTGAAGGCTGCTTCCAAAGTGCTGGTAGATCGTCTGATTAAGAAAGCGGAGCTTCTTGATGCAGGTGTCTTGCAGGCTATGATGGAGGATGGGAAATTGACCACATATAATCCGGCCGATCGATCGAGCAGGATTATCAGGGAGCCGTCGCATTCGTCGCGCAGACAGTCGGATCAAATGTCCAGGTCGTCGTCTTCTCGGGAACCGAGATCGCCAACGGGTTCGGTGCAGTTGGGTTCGATGACTTCTGGACATGCCTTTCCGCCGCAGTACGGGCACGAACACAGTAAAAGTTTTGCTGTGGAATTGCCGGCGGACTTTCATCATCCGCAATCTGGATCTGGTAAATATCAAGAGTTGCCGGATACGGATACCAGTCGACATTCGAAATCATCACGGCTGGATAAGGGGTATAATGAACTATCTACCATGGAAGAGACTTCAGAGGAGCGCAGTGAAGGCATGTTACCCTATAAGCCTTACAGACCAAAGGGTTAACTTGGGGGGTTTTTTTAAATATCCGAAGCAGACACAAAATTGCCATGTATTATGTATCTTGCCTTCATTGTATCTTGCCGATGTGTATAACGAAGTAATTTCGTGGTTGATTTCTGACATTTAGTGCAACGACGCCTCCTCGCCCAGGGCCGGTTCACATCTTTGTTTCGGTTCTTGCGAGTTTCAGACAAGCTTCCTAAGACAGTTATAGTGCGCCTCTTGGGCCTTGATTTGTTCAAGCAAGATCTGCGCCTCGGTGGTCTTCTCCCACTCGGATTCTTCCCCAGGAAAATCCCGGAGATATATCAGCCGTTTGAGCCTTAACCTTTTTAGTTCGATGCGTTCGACTTCGAAGTCTCGGTCCCAAAAGGGATCGTAAAATAGGCCGCGAGCTAGATGTCGTCTTTTAACGACGACCAGTTCGTCGCTTAGCTTCTTATATCGTTCATCCAAGGAAATATTGGTCTGTGTTTCGTGACTCATGTCGATAGAAATTGTGCTGGACGTATATCTCGAAGAATGATCCATAACGGCGGATGTATATCGTGATATAGCTGGAGACATATTAGTGTGAGGAATTCCGTCAATTTATATAGGGAGGCGCATTTCCCGTATTTGGCCCCGGAAGCGCGTATCAAGGTCGGAGGCTGTAGCCTCGCAGATATCACAATGATGCTTCCAAGTTTGATAAACGTATGATTATTTGGTAGAAAGAAAGAAAAGGCTGGAAACCCAGAAGCCGTATGGCAGTACTCCGTACACGAATAGGGGAAAAAAAAACAACAAAATAGCAGCAAACGCATCTCGTGGTATCATGCAAGAAAGATCATTCAAATCCAATTAACGTCGCGAACTCCCCTTGATGATCCCATCTTCACCCTTGTGCAGCTTGACACGGCATTGGGGGCAATACCACTTGGCCGTGCGAGAGGGGACTTCGGTCAGACCCACGCAGTTGAGATGGAACCATTCACGGTCACACTGCAGCGAGTTAAAACATTAGCATTCTGCCAGAACGTGTCATAATAGGGATAGCTTACATCTTGATTCTCGCAGCAGATCATCGTCCCGAAACTAACATCTCCACAGAGACAGTATCGGGGCTCGTTGGCGTCGATCTGCTCGAGGACGCCGTCTTCATCTACACGGACATCCTGGGAGTCGCGGATGCTGAGGCGCTTCTTTCCTGGCTTGGCTTTGCGACGCCCGTAGCTTACTGCCGCGCCGCCATCTTGACCACTGGAAATGGGTCCTGGTGCCGGACGCTTGCGCCGGCGGGCTGGACCTGGAACACTTGGCGCATGTGATGACTCGCGGATGGGTGTTTTATGCGCAGGTGTTGCGCTTTTTATACGGCGATCACGTCCACTTGCTGCTATTGCAGTCGGGATGCTACTGAGGGTCCCTCCCTCGATCGAGGCGGCGGCTATAGAGCGCCGTGATGAAGGCCGAGTGACGGGCGGTGTGGGTGTAGTGACGGGTTGGACAAGGGATGGGATGGATCCGGAGCCTGCGGGGCTGGGGAGAGCAGGGGAGAGTTTGGCTTCAACTGCGGGGGACACGTGGGTTTTGATTGGGAGGACGAGGTCATTGGTAGTTTCTGCGGCTGGAACGGCTCCTCGACTGGATCTGCGCCGAGATGGGCCAGCCCTGGAAGAGGGCCCAGGGACAGGGGCGGGCGGCGCGACCGGGGCAGCAACTGGCGTAGGTTTTGGAGGCTCGCGAGCAACAGGTTCTGTTGCTTCGAGCATAACCTCTTCACGTTTCCTCTTCCGTGATGATCGATTCGCGGCTGGGGGTGCTTGGGCGGGGCTTGGCAAAGTCCTGGGCAAGACACCACCTTCGCCTTCCATCAATGCTTGTTCACGGGCCAACTGTTCGCGCTTCAACTTCTTTGCTTCGTTTAGTTTCATTCCGCGATTGCTCAGCTTCGTCTCCTCCAGATCTTTAGCTGCCTCCCCGCGCCGGGTTTCCTCAATATTGTCACAGTCAATGAACTCCCCACCCGTCTCTTCTGCCAGGACCTTCGCTGTCCGGTATGCTTCCCAACCGCGGTTTGCCAGGGCCAGCTCACGGTGAATCATTACTTCACTAGGCTGCCACACAGCATTCTTTTTCATCTTCTTCCGCAGCCTGGTCATCTCCCATTCCGTCAACCGCAGCCACGGCAGGTCCTCGCTGCCCAATTTCGCATCAGCTGGCGGCGGTTTCAACTGCGCGAGAGCCTGTGCTGTCGACTGTGCGGTACCCAAGCTCAGGCGACGCGCTTTCTCCTTCTTTGGGGGTCGAGCGGGCTTGGGGGCAGATTTAATGAGTTCGCTCTCCAAGTCCGATTGCTCAGTACTCGCAAGCGGAGAATCTGGATCAAACGCCCCATCAGCACCTAGCATACGCCTCCTATTTTTATCTCTCCGATTGCGATTGTTATCCAACCGAAGGGTGATACGCGGCGTGGCATCCTTGGTCTTCTTCCCTCCGCGTGCACGCTTCGGGGTAGGTTCGGGTGGGGGCGATGGTTCCTCTGAGGCAGGTTTTGGCAGTGCTTCGAGTTTCTGGCGGATGCAGCCCAATCGGTCGAAATGGCGATCTACAACATCGTAGAGGCGACAGGCCTCGGCATATGCCGATTCACGCGCATTGATGGCACGATCGACCTGAGAAGATATGTCTTTGCGCAGTGCAATTGCGCCCGGTCGGTTATCCGAAGGGAGGTCTGGGAGCTGACCGTAGATCTGAGTGAGCTGGTGCACCGCATGCGCCGAGTCGAGGTATCGGTCATCGAGGCCGCGGATGAGGGTTAAGGAGCGGATTAAGTCTGCGGGGAGGTATTCGGTGTAGTCGATAAAGTCTGTGACTGTAGCCTGCGCGTCAGGATCGAAGGGGCCATCTAGGATAACCCCTCCGCTGTCGTCTGTGTCGTCGGTCATGGGCATGTTCTAGCACGATAGTGGTGGATGTTGTTAGGTTGTGGAAGGGGGGTTTGCGCGTTCAAATTTCAATCGATGTTGAGATATGTCAATTCACCGTGATTCTGCGATGATAAATGAGGACATCGAGGGGTCTAGGCGTCAGATAACAGACGGAGCTGGGTGCCTTGCTGCACGAGGTTCTAAAACAGCGGATGATAGTTATTCCAATGCCGTCTGGGGAGCTCTCAGTCACGTGGATTTATCCATCCAGTAACCCAGTTATAATGACTCGGAGCCCGCATATAACGAATATGTACTCGGTGGTTACGATCGGGTACCGGTGCTTCGTGTTATCTACTATCGTAATAACGAAAAATTTTCCCCTTACTATGAACTTCATCACTTCATCCTCTCCCATACAAAATCCGCTATGTCAAAGCTGAGTCACTCAATTTCAACCAATTAAAATGCTTGGTCGATCGATCTTCTAAGAGGTGGACCGAGCTTCTATGATGTGGGGAGCTCTCCGAGAGTAACGGCGACTCCAACCCTTCCTCCCAGGGTGAAAATCAATCAAATATGAAGCTTTAATAAAGATATAGGAATTTTTTATAAGCGAGGAAGTTAGAGGCGCAGAAGTAGAGCGTTACTACACCCATTTCAAAGTCGATCCATACATATCTATACTCAGCCTGGTCTTTTTATCCAAGAGTTGATTCAATTTCATTTGACTTTTGAAAGTCAAACTGAAGTGCTGAGTATATATTTCTCTGCCAGATAAAGCCAGACAAAAAATTGATTGATGAAGCTATTCTCCTCTGATATGCTTCTCAATATCGGACAGCATCACCTGAATGTATACCATTGTCATGATGTGTGACAGCCTATTTGAGAGAGGAAAGAGAGCAGATATAACAATAAGAGAGGAGATCATTGATTTATCTTTTTAATGTAATACTACATGTATGGATGCATGTACTAACCCATGGTGGGTTCCTTGTTGGATTCCTGTTGAAGAAAGAAGGAAAGAGGAAACCATCACACTGATTTCCATCGTTCTTTCCCAGTGTAAATTTGCCCACATCGCTCTTTCCCAAATGATCGTTCTTTCCAAATTGAGTAATTTCCGTCCCAAAGGCTCAGCGTGCGCGTCCTCGCGCGTTTGTTTATATTTTTTTTAATTCCTACTTCCTCTCCTCCCTCTCTTCATCTCACAATCCTCGGTTTTGCTGAAGCTTTATCTCGGTTTTTCAATATGGATGTTCGCGAGCGTCTGAAGATGCTCCTAGAAGGAGACACGAGTCTCAAAGACTTGAATACCCACTTGAACGAGGCTCAAGCCGTCCAACCTGTCCCAGCGGATGGAGCTGATCCAATTGCCGAGTCCAAAGCTAAGCAAGGCGTAAGTGGATATGTTCTCCCCGTTGATTTTGAGCCGGAGAATGGCATGGAGTACCCTAAGGGTGGCCAATTTCCTTTGTCGTACATTCGTACCCATGTGGTTGGACAGCTCGCTGAGTCGGAAGACAAGCTTATGACCCAGGTCAACCAGGATGGCCGTCCCCACCGTCGTACTCCGAAGCTGCACCTTGATCTCTCGGGCTTGGTCAAAGATGAGCGCGGCGGCGGTAGTTCTGACATGGACTCCGACGAGGAGCTGGTAACTGCGATCCCGGTTCCCAAGTCGTTCACTCCGGCCGTCACAATGGCCCGCTTCCCTTTCAACTACCTCCATGGACAGGATGCCAAGAAAGTTAATGAGCAGTTCTATGTGGGCGATAAGTTCTGGAATCGAACCTGGACTCTGTTTGTGAAATCTAAAATTAATTAGCAAAGTATATCGTCGCTAATGCTCACCCAGGTATTATTTGTCTGTCCCCAGGGTTATTTCTCAAACCCCATTTCTTTTGATTCCCACTTCCCAAGCTCAAGCACTGCTCGATGAAATCAATTCGGCTCTGAACATCAATTTGACTCTCACGGGCGTTGGCAAGGAAGGCCTCGTGATTGAGTTTGACAATGAAAAACTGCCGCGGCCTGTGTACCTTGGCCGAAGCAGCACCCGTGATCAGAAGACGAAATTGGAGAGCAAGGTTCCCTCACCTCTGGAGAACTGGGGACCCTGGGCACAGCTGGTTGAGCCCCATGTTTTCGAGGACTTTGAAAAGAAAATCAAGCAATCTCTCACCACAATCAAGACCAAGAAGAGCAGCCAGAAGCAGGCGGCCCGAGATGCCCAGACGAAGAAGTGGCAGGAGTGCCTAGGTCGTGCGCAAGCCTACTTTGGGCTGCGTCCTGCGTTGAAGCCCAATGGTACACAGCCGTCGTTTGTTAATGGCCAGATCGAAGCGATTGATATTCTGAAGCCTGTCAAATGGGCCTTTCAAGATGCCCCCATTTTCATCTCCGTTGATCTCGAGTGGATGGACTGTTACGGCTCTCTGACTGAGGTTGGAATTTCGACACTGGATATGTTGGATTTGGAAGGTGTGGTCCCTGGCGATTATGGAGAAATGTGGCTCAAACGAATTCGATCCCGCCACCTGCGTGTGAAGGAGTACCGAAACTGGGTCAACAATACGTACATTTCCGGATGTCCTGGTAGCTTCCGGTTCGGCGAGAGTGAGATAATTCCAAGTGCCGAAATTCCGGATGTTGTGGACGCTGCGTTCCATCCTCCATACATGGTTCCCCCGAAGGAAGAAAAGATCGCCCCGTACAAGAATCAGAAGCGCACCGTGATCTTGGTCGGTCTCGACCTCAATGGTGATATCAAGCACCTCCAGAGAGCGGGAAGCCGGGTTTTTATCAATCTGAACGAAACCTCTTCAGTCATTCGTGAAACCATCGACGTGACAGAGCTGTACCGTGTTGCTGCTGGGGAGAACCAGAAGCGAGGCCTTCGAGCACTGCTGGGATTACTGAATATCTTGAGTCCCGACTTGCACAATGCCGGAAATGATGCATACTACACCTTGCACGCTCTTGTGCGATTGATGCTGAGAGTCGCCGGAGAAAAGCCGTGGGGATACGAGAGTGCTGAAGTCGGTGATGAGAAGGAGCCCAACGTGAAGCGCAGTGATGAGCGCAAGGATGAGCCTAAGGTCACGGTCAGTCCCAAGGATCAACGCAATGACAAACGCGATGGAATCAAGTTTGGATCCATGGCTACAATGCGTGAAGAAGACGACGAAAACTCCGACGAGGACCCCGTTTGGCGGCACTAAGACGTCAAACTGCCACGATTGTCAATCCACGAAAGTGGGAGTGACGGAGTGACTAGAGCCGCGAAGTCAAGTTTGAGAATCGTTTGAACATACCTCATCGGATGCCTTTGAAAGGATGAATGGGCCCAGTGAGGTTTTAATTTGAACAGAATGCGTGAGATCAAAAATGTGTGAAAATAAAAAAAAACAAAAGGGATGTATGGCTAGTTCTAGCTTTCTATGATTTGAACTGAATGAAATCTCCGCTGATTTGTTATCAAAATTTTTCTTGTCCTAAGTATTGAATACATGTAAGAAACGACTGTGAAAAGTGACTATGGAATGATATACCCCGATGTTATGTCCCACTGACGACATACCATGTTCATCCCACTATCGCCCATATCCCACAATCTTAATCTCCGATCTCCCCCTCGAATACCAACATCAACACCAACCACCTCCAACAACAACCTCAAAAAACCAAAATAAAATGACAAGCCGAGGCCCCCTAACCGCGTACCTGCTATCAAGCACCCCCAATGCGCTGAAGCGCGCAACAACCCACCCCTTCCTCGCCTCCGCCGGCCGCGGCACCCTCCCAAAAGCCCAACTAAGCCAATGGCTCTCTCAAGACCGACTCTACGCGCAATCCTACATCCGATTCATCGGCCTCCTCCTCTCAAAGATCCGCCTCCCAACCCCAAACCCCAAATCCCCAGCCTCGCACCTCCCAACCTCAGAACAAAACGCCATAACCGTCCTCATCGATGCCCTCGTCAACATCCGCACAGAACTCGCCTTCTTCGAACAAACCGCAAACGACTACACCCTCGATCTAACAGCAATCTCCGCTGAAGAAGGCGGCTGCACCCTCACCTCCTACGGGCTAGGCTCAGACATCACCGTCTCAGCCGGAATCACCTCCACCGGCTCTGGAAGCTGTCCCGGTTACGCGGGCGGCGAAGGGGGCGCGTCTGCTATGTCCACAGACGCGACGAGCAGCGCGCCCGGTCACGGCCTGTGTCTGAGTCAGGGAGAGTGCCAGATGCCGTCTGGGGGCGAGGTTTGTGCGCCTGGACCGCAGTTCAATGAGTCTGGACGCGGCTCGGAGCCTGCGGCTGTTGGTGGGGATGCTCGGGGGAATGTTGGTGTGCAGGGGGTGGAGAGCAGCGTGGGACTAGTTTCTTCTGTGCGAGCCGGACGACTAGGGCTTATATTGATATGTTTATGTCTGCTGGGAGTAGTGGGGTTTCTGTTTTGGAGGGGTTGGCAGTGTTGTGGGCTACGGAGGTTTGTTATTTGAGATCTTGGAGGTTTGCGGCGGGGTGTATGCGGGAGGATGGGGAGAGAGATTATAAGAAGGATGCGGATGGGGGGTGCGTTGAGGGAGAAGTTTATTGAGAATTGGTCTAGTGCTGAGTTTGAGGGGTTTGTTGATCGGATTGGGGATGTTGTTGATGAGATGGCGGGGCAGATTAAGGGGGCGGAGGAGTTGGAGATTATGCAGGGAAGGTGTTTGGAGTGGTGGAGGCAGATTGTTTGGTTGGAGGAGAACTTTTGGCCAACTGTTGCTGAATGATATAGAGTTATCTGATCAACTCTATATTAACTCTAGATCAACTTTAAATGTCACTACGATCTACCGTGCATATTCTTTTGCAGTTGAAAAATATTGTATGTAAGATATCATACATCTGACTCGAAGCCCATACATACAAGGCCATCTAGAACGGGATGACAAGCAAAAGCAAGAAAGGCAGACAAAAACAATTAACGCCGTCCACAAACCCCCGGGACAAAATCAAATCAAACTCCGATCCCTGATCTCTGCTCCCAAAATAATGACAATGTCATCGAGCAAACCTCCAAAACACAAGTATAAAAATGACCAAACCCACCAACACCATTCGTAATGCGGAAGCATGAAGCATGAATCAAGTAGTAAAACACATGGATACAGTCTGTAAAGTGGGACATGTTGTACATCACAAGATAAGACAGTCTGGACCAACCATCGCAGTCAACATCAAGTAGCTGCCGCACGGGCAGCATTACCAAGTTGTCGATGGTATGAGCCAATAGGTTCGAAACCCCTAGAAATAGTATTAGTTCCTGCGCGCCAATTGGGTAAAGAAAATCAGTGTAGCAAGAGTAAACATACCTAGCAAGATCAAACCCCGATCCATTATCATCTTCCTCCTCTTCCCGCTCTTCATTCCTCGCACCATGGGATTTCCCATTAGGTCCCATATCCCCGGAATCCGACTGGAGCGGGGGTAGAGTCCGACCCGAGCCAAGGCCATTCGACGTCCCGGGTTTGCTGGGACTAACGAGATTCGGCGGCGGGGGAGAGCTACTCGGGAACCCGCCGATAATGCGGTCCTCGACCTCGCCCTTCAGAGGACTCATGTCCGGCGGTGGGCGGGCAGGTGTACTGCCGATATCAGCAAACTTCCAGAACTGCGCGGGCGAGCTCATTGGCATGAACTTCGACGGGATCTGCGCTGTGCTGGGGGGCGGGAGACGGGGTTGTTGGCGTTGTGGGGCGGGAGTGATCATTGAAGAGGGTTCTTCGTTGTAGTAGGACGATGAAAGGACTGGTGGGGACCCGGCTACGTTGTCGGACATGCCGTATGCGCGGGTCAGGTTGTTGCTGCTGTTTTGCACCTGCGTGGAGATGCTGGAGTTGTGGTTGTGCGTGCGCGATGGGAGCGGCGAGGGCTCGTCGTAGTCGCGTGGGTTCATGTGTCGCAGTGGGTGGTCGGAGCCGAGGCCTCGACCGAGCCGGGAACCACGCTCTGGTGTATATGCTTCCACCGGAGCTACGGGGAATGAGCTGAAGCCCGGTGACGAAATGGGTGGTGACTTTTTTGCTGTTGCTGAGAACGAGGTGTCGAGTTTGCTAACGTTTGTTCCGCGTGCTGATGACGGTGGCTCCTTTGTCGCCGGTGAGGACGGGGCAGATGACTGTGTGCCGCCTTTGCGTGTTTGCTTCTTCCGGTACTCCTCCCGATACTCTACTGCGATCTGCCACTTCATACCCTTGCCCGGCTCGTCGGTCCGGCGGGGGACCTTCTGGAACGCCTTGTTCAGCGAGAGATTGTGGCGGATCGAATTCTGCCAGCCGCTTTGGGAGTGTCGATAGAAAGCGTATTTCTCCATGATCCAATTATAGATGCTGTTCAACGTGAGCTTCTCCTCCTCGCTTGAGAAAATAGCCTGAGCAATTAGCGTCGCATAGCTGTACGGCGGCTTCAGGTCCTTAGAGGAGTCCTTGCTGTAATCAATCTCCTCCGTGCTCTCCATCATCATGCCTCGGTTATAAAGCGGAGACTGCTTAGCCGTGCGCTGACCAGCGGTATCAGGCGATCGCGGCGGGGGCGTCACCTGGCGCTTGATGAACTTCGGAGCAGGCGCCAACGAAGGCCCGCCAGACGAAGATGGTCGCGCAGCCTCGTCATTCTGGGATTGCTGAGGATGGGCATGCTGAGAAGCATCCCAGGAAACCGAAGCCGGATCGGGCTCCTGTCCGCTAGCAATGCGCTGGGCGCGCTCAATAAAGCTGGGTTGGATATTGGCTTCATCGCCGGGTGTAACAAACATCATTTGTGTATTGGCCACCTCGATGATGTCGCCACACGAAAGAATTGCATCGGTGCCGCGCTTCACAATGCCATTGTTCAATCGCACACCATTCCGGCCGTTGACACGGATGTGCCAGGCAGGCGTCTCCTCGCCATCATAAAAGATCTCGGCATGCAGTCTCGACACGAATTTGCTGGGGCCCAAATCGACATGAACATCTGGAAGCGCACGAGCCGCAATTGTGACGGGGCTGGACTGTTCGACAGCCCGTTGTTCGCGGTCCGGTTCGCGGCCGATATTGACATGCAGGGTTTTGACGTAATAGGTCCAGTTGCGGCCTGCGATCTTAGCATAAGCCTGGATGCGCTGTGTATTCTCGGTCTTGGTGTTGGAGTGGTCGCGTGAGACGCGCAATTCCTCGCGGGGTGTGTTCAGGTATGAAATAACTAGATCGACCAGGTCTTGATTGGTAGCGGGTTCGTGTTCGCCCGCTGAGTCCTCGGCTTCGTCGCCGGACTCATGTTTGACGTTTCGCGGAGGGGAGGTGCGGCGGTCAACCTGCGGATCAGAAGAAAACGGGTCTTAGCTCCTGTTTGCGCGGGGATATATTTTGTCTCAGACTAAACGCTCTGTTGTTTTAACTCACCTTGCGCTTCTTTGCAGATGGCCGGCTGGGCGATGAGTCCGGAGCCTCTGCATCGGAGGTTTCTTGCAGTTGAATTTCCTTGCGACGCGCGCGGCGGCGGTTCGTGAGCGGCATATCTTTATAGTAGTTCGCTCTTCCTTCTCTCCGGTATGATATATTGGCAGTCGAATGTCGGTTCGTAAATGATTATTTTTTTTTCTTCCTGTTGCGTAGGCAATGAAGTCCGAGTCGAAGTACTCCACAAACAAGCGCGGGGCACTAGAGAAGAAAATATGACAAGCCGAAGGCAAAAAAGGCAGAAAAAAGAGTTTAAAAAGAAAACAAAGTCAACTCTTCCGAGGTTGGATTCGGATTTGAGCGCCCCAGAATCGGAAGACCGTTCAGAGGTAGAACCAGAGAACGAAGAACGTCAGAGTATGGGTTTGCCACCACGGAAGAAAGGAAAGGGAAAAAAGGGGAAAACGAGAAGCCAGTTAGACTGTAAACAAGACCAAGAGGCTGGATATCTTTTTTTTTAACCAAAAACTCCCCCAATCGAAAGGTTGATATTGTGTGGCTGGATGTTATTATCGTTAATCCCTAGGCCGATCGACACGCGCAATGGCGTCTGTTTGGGGTGGTGACCGCCTTGTCGCGTGTGGAGAGCGTATATAACACAACAACCGAAAGAAAATATAGAGAGAAGAAAAGAAGAGAGAGAGAATATAGGAAAAGACAAAGAGAGAAAACAAAGTGTACAAGTAAGGAAAAGAAAATGAACTGCGATTGGGATATGACCGTAAACAGAGTGGTGGATTTCAAATGTTGGTAATAACGGCGTATGCATACAGGGAAAGTTCACCCATAGGCGGAGATAGGGCCGAAATACCAATACCAGCACGTGCTCAGCGTGGGATTGGGGATGCTTCCGAGTGCAGAGAGTGGAACTTCAATATCCAGATGCAGAGATTCTATGTTAATGTTGATATTCTATAATCCTTAGTTAATATGTACATATGTATATATCCTCTTTCTTTATCTTCATTGTTCTTACTATGCACATACCCATGTATAACACCTATATCAATAACTAATTATGATTCACCTACTACTTCATACATACACAAACCCCCAGATTGATAAAAATGAGATCTGCCCGTTTGCGTCACTCCCCGGATCTGGTTTAGCTTGGGAATGTTGCTTTGCCTCTTTGGGTTTGACATGTCGATCTAAAGGATACACCTGAGCAGGTAACATTTCGATGTTCCAAAGTTCTACAGATGCAAAAAGAGTCAAAGACGCAAACAACACTTTACATAAATAAACACTTCAAATGTTCAAACAGTTCCATGAAGAGAGCCCTAATAGTCATACAAACAGAAACAAACTTAAGATGAGAGCACCAGAAGAGTATCAGAAAGAAATGGAAAATTTCCCCATTGAAAAAAAAATTAAAAAAAAACTGCCCTTAATGAAGACCTTGGAGTGGGTGAAGAGCGGAAAGAGAGGCAATAAACAAATGTCGTCACGGCGTGAATCAAACTATGGCCAAATAAAGGCAGAGAGAGATGAAGAATTTACTCAGGCATTTTGGAGTCCCCATCCTCATCCTCATCCACACCACGTAACGTGGGATAAAAGACTCCCTCACTTTCGGACTTGGGCTCTTCCCTGGGCTGCTCAGAAGCAGCACGTACACTGGCAGTCTCAACTCCCTCCATGGCATCAAGTCCTGATGTAGGAGAAGCCGAGGAGGTCTGCACTCCATATCCAGCAGTAACGCTACCAGCCTCCAGCAATTCAGAAACCAAGCGACGCAGGTTCTCAAGCAGCCGGACCTTTTCCACCCACGCAACGTTGACATCCCGCTCGGCGACTTCAGTGGCCGCTTGCGCAGTGCGCTTGACTGCCTCCTGATCGGGGTTAGAGGTACCCGACAGAGCGGGGTCAATTAGGCTCTCCGAGATGTGAATAGCCTTGGGAGTGCGCTCGCCATCATTCCTGCTATCCTGGGAGATGTCCATGCGGTCATCGGTGGCAGCACGCTCGGCCGGCCGGGCGCGTTGCAAGGTACCTCCAGTGTAGCGGCGGCGATCGTCGTGGTCATACGCACCGCTCAGAGTTGAGGGTGGTGCGGCGCCTGACGCTGCCGGGTAGCCTGCATTCATGCTGTCGGCGACAGTGGCCGACGGCAAGCGAGGGTACATACCCGGGCCGCTGTCGTGAGGAGGCGACACGCGGTGGGCATGGTGCATGGAGATAGGAGAGCGGTTGGAGGTATACGACTGTGCGCTCGAAGGCGGGGTCAGAGCCGGGGTGCCGACCGATGGGGAGTGGGCCGAAGCAGCCCCCATGGGGGCTGAGGTAGTTGCGGTGACGTGGCTTGGCGGGAGCTGGGTAGGCGGGGAGTGGGTAGCGCGATAGTTCATGCCACCATGCACGTAATGCGCGCCGGGCTGGGCAACGCCGGCAGCCGCCACATTCTCATCGCTTTCATAGATAGTGTTCTGCATTTGCTCGAGGAACTGATCGATGTTGATCAAATCGTTCTTAGTCCGAACATTGGACATGGGGGGAAGGTGGTAGCCAGGAGGCTGGGAACCACCAGGGCTGTAACCACCACCGCCGCCGCCGACCGCAACAGAAGCAGGCATTTGTTGATATTCAGGCACAGGGCCACTGAGGAAGGGGAGCTGAAGGGCCTGCAGACCAAGCAAACGCTGGCCGACCGCGGCATAGGAATTAGGGTCGAACTGGCGACGCTTCAAGTCGCCAAAAAACTCGTTCAACGCGTCATATCCGCGCTTACGGTCATACGGGTGGCCTCCCTCTTGTCCTTGGCTCAGGGCATAGTATACATTTCCATAGGAATGCGGGTTGGGGGCCTGAGGTGGGGGGTGTGGCTGGTAGTACTGCGGAGGTGGCGCGTGTGAATATTGGCCATTGATACCGTTGATCGGGCTCTCGAAGTAATGTGTGGCAGCAGCATAGCCCTTAGGGTTTTGAGGGAACATCATATCAGGGTGCTTCATGCCCGGTTCGGGGGAGCGGATCTCCGAGTCGTCCGCATGAGTCTTGACATGCTTCTTCAAATCCTGGGGGCGCTTGAAAGCCTTTCCGCAGAAGTCGCACTTGTGAGGCTTAAGTGGCACATGAACACGGATGTGGGAGGTGATATGATCACGCTTGACTGTTGTGGTGTTGCAAGTGCCCCACTGGCAGGTCAGGTTGAGGTTGTTGGTGCTTTTACGTCCAACGTGGCGCTCACAAACATGCTCCTATACGGGCATTATTAGCATCTTTTGAGATCGTAATTGATTGATCAGTCTTACATATAGAGACTCGGCGGTGGGAGACTTCTCAGTGCATCCAACCCACTGGCACGGCAACTGCTCACCGGCGCAGTTCATAGAGGGGCTATTCACCGCAGCAGTAGCGGCGGCGGCAGTCGCGGTGACGGAGGCGGAAGGAGTCGGAGTTGCCTGTATCGGCGCCGGTTCAGCAACAGGCGCAGGCAGCGTTGCCTGTGTAGTAGAAGGGGTATGGTTCTCCGTCATCTTGCCAAGAAATTTGATCTGGAGTTGGCGGAAAGCCTAGAGAGCAAAAGAGAACAAAAGAAAACAAACTAAGAAGATCAGACAACTATAGAGAAGAGACACCCTATATGTATACAAAGAGGCGAGAATGAAAAGGGGGGGGGGAAAGAGAGAGAAAATGGGGGTTTCTCCGCAGAAGAGGAAAAGGAGCCGAGCCTTTGCCCAGAAAATACCGCTTTGCTAAGCCTGGCGGAAGGACAAGGAGAGAAACGAGAAGACCAAGACCGGGCCAAGCGTCGGTGCGGGCCCCAAGAACCAAGAGGCGTTGGCGCCATGGCTTTTGACTGGTGGACCGGGGGGGGGGAACGAGGGGCTGTGTGTGAGCATTCCAGAGCTAACACGTAGCACAGTAGGGTACAGTACGGAGAAACGGTATTCTAATATGTATATTTTAAGTAATTTGAGTAATTTTTAGTAATTTTATATACGGCTGTGCTAACTCCGTACATAACTGGCCTATCTTATAAGCGTTTTAAGTACATCCGTTTACCCTAAATCAGTTTAGTGCACCAAACATACCGTAAATTCAAGGTAAATTCAACAGTAATTGAGTCTTACGGCCTCCCCGTTCAATTCAATGTTCCAATATTAAAGAAAATAAACGAAGCAGGGAATGAATGAAACAAGGAGTGGCGTGTTCATTTCGCCAAGCCAACTTCCAAGAAACATCCCATGGGCAATTCTTCTTGGCAGCCAAGTGATTCCTCTTGCCAATAATTCCCGCTCCGGAGACCAAGAATCAAGTCTTGGAGTCTTGGTGTCTTGGTATGACCAATTTCATATCCCTTTTATCCAATGTTTCCAGGTTGTGTGACAAGTCCTCTGATTAATCTGGCTGCCTGGTGCCCTTGTTACGGCCGGCATGCATGACTCGGTTGGTTTCGGATTCCGAGGTCCCTAGAGGCATCTAGAGGCATTTACATGTAATCATTCATGTTCTGACTATACCGTATATGTCACCTTCTATAGTCTAATGTTCTTGTCTAATTCTATTCTATCTGTAACATCTTGGCCTGACATCTCTGGCTACCCCTGATATATAAAATACATGTACTTACCGAGCATGTCATTATCTTCACAAGGGCCTAGCCCAAGCATTCCAGATGCTCCTTGGAACATGTCTTGGCCTGTGGCTTAGCCAGCCGAACCCAAAGCACCCACGTGCTCGTCTTCTCTCTGCGCAAGTGCCACCTCACCTTCCCGAGCGCTTCCTCCGCTTTGGCTGGTACCAACTCCAAACATTCAACCCAACCTTCGTCCCCTTTGTAACAGGGAACGCAGCGTGCCAAGTCTCCGGATACCCCGTCCCATCCGGCCGAAGATTCTCCCAAAACACGGCATTACCCTTGATAGGTTTGAATGTGATACCCATCTCCTCCCCCTTCCTCTTCCTTCTCCCATCTACCCCATCCCGCTGCTCACACTCCAAAAACTGACACCATCCTTCCCCACCCGGCATCCTCAACCGCGGAAAATTCGTTCCCCCACCCTCACAGTCCGCATCGAGATACACCATAAACGTGCTAAAACGGTCCCCGCCCCGCGCCAGCGACCCAGCCCAGTCATAGTGGTGGCGGTAGTGGCCGGAGGCATTGTAGCGCTGCGCCCACATACGCTCGATGTAGAGGTCCGGACGCCAGCCCTGGAAGGCGCGGGCGCGGTCTTCCAGGCAGCGGATTGTATCATCGCGGTCGAGAAGGGCACGGTCGGAGAGGCGTTTTGTTGGGTCTACTCGTTCTGTTTGGCCATCGTAGACGATTGAAGGGGTGTATTTGTTCACGCTGGGATTCGGGGGAGGTTGGTCCGGTTAGCTTGGTCTGTGGTTATCATGGGTGTGTGTGTGTGTGTGTGTGTTATGGTGTATATCCGTGTTCTCGGGAGTTGATTGCAGTTGAGACTGGTGGTTTACCTCATGTCCAGGATGTGGTTTGCTTCAGTTTCTGAGATAAAGTTCTCGATATATATGATCAGCGGTTCGCGCGAGAGGAGATGCACGCGGTATCCCTCTGCGCCGGGGCAGCTGAATGGTACACCATCTTCGGGGCTGATGAAGCTGTCGTCGGTGAGGTTGATGCCTGGTCCTGGTGCGCTGGACTCGTCGAAGAGGTTTTCGCTGTCCACGGGTGGTGCCAGTAGGCTTGGGAAGAATCCGCGCAGTAGCGGGTCGAGGATGAAGATATACACGGGGATGAAGTAGAGGGCCCAGGTAAAGACGGTGGAAAACTTTGGAAGTGACGCCATTGGGTTGGCTATAAATAGTCACGGGGATATGTAGGCCAAGTAATGTTAAATGTACAAGGGGAGATTTGGACTGTTAGCTCTCCATGCGACCGGGGCGGAGGCTTGCGGATGCTACAATTGATCCGACTCTAGGTAGAGATGACAGCCCATGGGCAATGGAAAAGGAATATAATCAAGAAAGGGTGTAGCGCAGGGCCATCTTGCAAAGGAAAGGTTCTGGACGTTGAGGTGGAAGTGTCGAAGTATGTGGGTCCAACAGATTCTGGGCTAGCCCGAAGCTAAGATGAGTATGACTTCATTGGCAAAACATGGCAAGTTACTCCGTGTTTGGGGAGTCGTCTTCTGTGAGGCGGATGCCGGAGTAACTTATTCGGTGTGAATATTACTGATTCAGTTTGTTGATAGGTACATAATATATAGACTTATGTACGATTTCAATTTGTCCTTTTAAATGCATCACTCAACAATTGACATACATTAGATCCATCATAGCACAATATATATATCGTACACTTTCTTTTTATTGCCTAAAATAGCAATATTGTAAGTGAAGATCTATCTATATAATTTTTTAGAGCACAGTTGCAGATAGAAGGGCAACTCGGATATAAATTGCACCCATCTATGAAGAAAGGAGAAATGGGACAAGTCAAAATGCATGGTGATTCTGAACACCATCACATATCTATCCCTATGCTTCCGGTATACAGACAACCATTCCACACACATCCGCACGCTTAAAACAAATGATCGTAGAAGTATGTGCTTTGCGTGGTGGAACCCGATGGTTCATGCAATAGAGTAATTGGGCAACACATGAGCGTCAGCAAGAAGAGGATAATATCCAGAGAACGCAGATACGGAGATAAATGGTAGGTATTTGCTATATAAAGAGACAGGGAAGCAAGGACTAGGGATAGATGACAGGATAAATGTCAGATTCTGACTGCCTGTGATAATCCTGGTAAAGGTAGTATAAGGCCATCAGCAGAACGTCCTCCGACAAATATATAAACCACCGATATTTCGGCCAAGTCGAGAAAGTAAAACATTTTATTTCTCCACAATCACTACTAAGATACTATATTCAATCTCCGCCATGCATTTCTATCAGAAACTTCTGACCTTCCTGGCCTTCGGAGCCACTCTCGTAGCCGCACAGATCACTGCTGGAGTCGTCGGTGGTGTAAGTGACAACACCAGAGACCCTGAATGGTAATATGGTATTAGACCTGTTCAAAGTCCACTCAACTGTGCACCTTGCCTGCCGTACCTCCCTTCCCCGCCGCGTTCTTGGCTTGCCCGGAGCAATCACTCGTAAGTTATGTCTATTCCTAAGTACACAGAACTGATGACTGACAAGAATCACACAGTGTACCTCCGATGGAAGCGGCTGTACCGGGGCTCGTCACAATGCCCTTACAGACCAATGCACCTAGTTGGGACAAGGTTTCTACTTCCCAAGTCAAAGGTCCATGGGTAGCTTTGAGGATCATGGAAGTAGTAATGTCCCCAAGATCCCTTCGGGAGATATTGGTGTTGGCTACGTAGCCACAAACCATTGATGAATGAACGAATTTATGCTGGGTTTCTTTTTGACTGTAAAACTACAAAATATACTGTCGACAGCGTGAGCGTAGTGTCTAGCCTCGTATTTGGAATCAGATAGGGCTGCCAGGTATAAGGCATCGCAGTAGAGTTTAATGAGTCTTATGGTGAGCGGAATCTATGGCCACCAGGGCCGTAAAATGCGACAACCACTCAAAAGTCCCCTCAGTCCTGGCCTGGATTGCCCCCTTCCAGAAATTTGAAAAAAGTCAAGAGGTTCCCATCATTGTCTTTGATTGAGAACTGCCTATACCCCCACGGTGTATCCTCGACATCTTCCACAATTTCAACATCGTCGAGAGATCTCAGATGATTGTAGTACTCATCCAACTGCGAGGTCCCTAGGGCAATCATAGCCTGTGACGTAGTGAAATTCCCAGCTGTTGCTTTTGAGAAGTAGAAGTTGGCGTCTGCTTTTCTGCCAATGAATAAGGAGCAAAATATCTGCTCGGATGAGCCTTCCTCGGGTTTTACACTGGCAAGTTCAAACCCGAGTTTCTCGGTGTAAAATTGAATTGTGATAGGAATAGAGCGTGATTGAAACATGGGGATTACTTTCCATGCAGATTTCAATATTTCAGAAGACATTTTGAGACGAGGTCGGGTATTTGACACGTGCGCAAGATTGCAAGTATTGAGGGGGAAGACCTGGGATTTGAGAGTGGTAGGGGAGGGAGGAGGAAGGTGAGTAGGCCACTGGAGAGGGTATCGGAAAAGGGTTGATCCAGTAGTACTTTATTCAACCATACCAAGCACATACAATACTTCTGCCGAAAATGGTGCAATCATCTCGCTCTTACTTCGATTGACTCGAGTGATCGGCCTTCGAACAAAAGACAGAAGACACAAAGTGGTATAGAAATCCGGTATGCATTTATGTATATAGCTAATAGTAATTGCAAAAGAAAAGCGAGACTCCTAATCCCAACCAGGTATCAACAGTTTTTACACCAAGATTTTGGGTTTCATGATAGCATATCCTCGTAAAAAGCAGAGAAAACAAATATGGCAAACCAAACCAAGGTCAAATGCTGTTGGCATTCATCCACTGGGCCCAATCCTCAGCAGAGGTCCCGTTTCCCGGTCGATAGGCGGCATTGTTGCCGAACAGATCATCAAAGGAGATCCCCAGATCCATATTCATGCCCATACTCTCATCCATGCCCATGCTGAAATCAGGTAATCCATTTGGACCGGGCATCTCTTGCTGTTGTGGTGCAGACTCGGCTGCCATGTCGTTTGGATTGTTGGGCTGGAAATTGTAGCCCTGCCAGACGAAATTCTGGTTCGGGATTGAGACCAGGTCTGGACTGCTGATCACTTCTGCTGGAGTCTGGCTCTGCGAGATTGGGGAGTGGACGCGGGACGAAGTTCGGGAGTGGGAGGGGCGGAGGTGGCTTGGCACTGATGACTTCATCCCTGGTGGATTTGCGATGGGGTAATTCGGCATGTTTGTGAAGTCAAAGGTTGGAGTGGAGACCCCTGCGCTGGAGGGGTCGCCTGGTGTGGAGGGCCCCATGCCTGGCGCTGAATCGAAGGGATACTGCGATGGCATTCCTGTAGGGTCGTGCCGGAAGTGATCATCTTCCAAGGTGGACATGGGCTGTGTTGGATATGCGAATGGATCGTCTGATGGGAACATCATTGGCATGAGATCTGGGAGATTGGACGGATTGGTGAATTGCTGAGCCCATGCTAGACTTGATGGCTCTTGATTGGGCATGGAGGGCGTCATTCCGGATGAGGAAATATGCTCCGGGGTGGTCATGGTTTCCGTCAGCAGCTCAGGCGATGTTGAAATCCACGTGGACTGGTGGTTAACGTCAGTAGAGCGATTGCTGACAGGCTGGACATTGTCCAGACTTTGTTGTCGGCGGTTCTGGTCATCGTTAACAGCTGGCTGGGACATCATCTGCGCTGGGAAAGTGCTTGACCGATGTGGCAGCGTTTTCTCGAAAGAAGGCTTCAGCCCAGGCTCAGCAGTGTTAGATGGCGCGGGTCGCTTGAGGTTTACAGGAGTCTTTGAGCTCTGGCGATTTTTCAACATCTCGGGCAACGTCTTGAAAAGGCACTGCAATATAATTAGCCAAGGTCATTCCAAATTTAAGGTAGGAGAACTTACGTTCAAGCTCTGAGAACACCGGTCGGCAGCAAGACTCTTCTTGGCCAATCCGGCTAGAGTATTTTTGCCCTCCATGGCATCTTTCAGGACGCCATCTTTGGCTGTAGGTGAATCCGGATTTTCAAGCACGAAGAAGATCAAGGAGAGGATAGCGAAATAGGTCGTATACATGGTGAACCAGAAGGACCCATTGAGCAGTCCTCTCTTTTGCATTCCGGTCGTGATGTGAACAATGTTTCGCGAAACGCTGACGCAAGCTGCTGCACAGGCATATGACCGCTTGTCCACGCCACGCGCTTGAGAACCACCAGAGACGTAATGGAGGAACGGGCGGTACATGACCATTTGCACGTGGGCGTAGCTTATACGCAGCAATTGCCGGACACTAGTTAATTGTTAGTCAAATTGATTCAAAACATTAGTATTGTAGACTTGAGACTTACCGTTCTAGCTGGGGCGAGACTTCTGTGCCCGGTCGCAGAGCAGGAGGCAATTCCTCCATCCAAGTTTGCAGATCTCGCTCGATCTCCCGGATTTTTGAGTGGCTGACCATGTATCGCTGGTCTGACTTGGAGCGATAGCGGGCATTTTTGACTGGGTAGATATATTTCACCACCTTCAAAATGATGTTCGAAAGACGAGTGTGCGCATTGCATCCAGCCATCAGCGGTGTATGGTTAGATGGGGGTTGAGTGATTCCTTCCGTAGTAATGAAATCACCATCAACCTCCATTGGGTACTCTTGATCGATATCATCGTCACTCAGCATCTGGGGAAGACCCAAGAGCGTGCTCACGTAGATGTCCATCTTGCGGATGACCCAGAAGATGCGCTTTCGAAGTTCTCGTTCAAGGGGGTTGAAATCTGCCGCAACAGAGCGATGGAGACCTAATCGCAGTGCTGAACGAAGTGCAATTCCCACATATGAGTAGCATGTGCTCAACTTCGCAGATGATTGGAGGAAGAGGACCATAAAACAGATTGCCTGGAGAGAAACCAAGTCACGGCAGTCGGTGATCTCCAGCAGTTGTCGACCGGCCTTGAAGAATTGGAACCTGTCAAAAGAAATTAGTCGGTGCCATAGACCAGCATACGGATTTAATATGACTTACCCTTGGCCTATTGCGCCTTCGTAGCCAGCCAAATCCAGGGTACCTTGTCCCGATTCATCGTCCGAGAACAAGCAGCCAACCGCGATGACGATATACAAAAGCGGCAAGAAGGCGTTCTCTTGGTTCGTGAATTGTTCCGGGGAGTATCGTAAATGCGGTCCAGACTTGCATAAAAAGAGGGTATGTGCACAAATTTCATCAAGGAGCAGGCATGGTCGATCGCATTGTGACACAAGCGGAGAGCGACCGCCCGGGGAGGTAGGTCATGTGTAGGAGGTAATGTTGTATCTTGAGGCGACTCGGACATAGACTTCGGACTATCCAGCATATGTGCGGTTATCGAGGGGCGCGATCGTGCCATGGGGCCTGTAATATCTGCAGCGCCCAACTGTTTGCGCAATCGGCGAACAAATAGAACGCCCGACGTGTGCCCGTGGTAATCCCAATGGCCCTGGTCATCCCGATCTAAGCAGCCCGAATTATCGACCATGGTTTCAAGTAGTCCCTCGTCGGCCCCGTCTTGCGCTGTATCTTGTGCAATCGACGGTTTGACATCTTCGGTCGCTTTTGATTTTTGAGCGGCGGTGAATTTTTGTTCTGTCGCATGCACATCTAGTTGCGGATCATCGAGGTCGACATTTGGAAGAACGATTCGAAGGAGCGCTTCGGCTTTTTGGAGCCGATTTTCAAGTGCCTCAACATATTGCGGCGCGGGATTTCGACGGCGATTGGAAGGTTGGTCGTACGAACACTCTAAAGACTGTTAGGGCACATGAACGTTTTCGGAGATTTAAATGCATAGGGCTTCGCGTACCATAACTATAGACTGTGCAATGAGTGCATGGCTGTTTGCCATCGCACTTGATCTTTTTTCTGCGACATTCGTCGCATGCGCGGCCGACTCGTCGTCTCTTCTGCGCAGGCAGTGATTTAGGGTCTGTGGTGGAGGCATCATGGGGAGAAGTGTCATGGTGATCGTCATCAGGCGAATATTTGAAGTCGTTCATGGGCGCGGGATCCTCCTCATTCTCGCCAGAAAGAGGGCTCGTCGTAGTCGCCATGACTGGATATCTGAGGTCCGTAAAATGCACGGAGTCATGTAAAGACAAATGTTGGCCTTGGCGGGCGATCCGAAGTGAATATCACTATGTCACTAAATATCATGGATCGCCCTATTTCGATGGTCGCAAGATAAGCAGAATCAAAGCGGAAAAGGACAGTGGAGTCTGCAAAGTCTGCGTAGTGTTCGATTGGAAATCCCTGGGAAAGTAAAATTTGGAGTACTAGTTGAAGGGTCTGAGGGGGATCTTAGGGTCTTGAGGGGGGGGGAATGGAGATCGACGATGATGAAATGATTAATTCCCGAAAGCGGTGTGTTGACTAGGAAATATCAAAAGACTTCAAGGGTTCAACCTTGCAAAGTACAAAGAACAACGTATTATCTTATTCAAGAAAAGGATCAAGTTCACCATCAAACCCGTGGACCAGTTTAGTTTAGTCATTCAAAGAGTCATACGCCTTATGACCGGTGCCCAGGTGGATATCGGGGGTTCACTATGCGCGACGCCGATACATAAAGTTCCGTGTCCGTTTTTCTTTTTTCCAGAATTTTCCCTTCTGACTGAGGCATTTTTGGGATTTTCATGATCCTCATGTCCAATAGGAACTCGACTATCTCGCTGTTAAGGCTTTAGCCCCGTCTCCACTGCCCGATTTGTCTAGACTCGGCCTGCCTCGCTCAATTCGCCGACTTCTACTCCGTACTGCGTACGGAGTACCGATATTTGAGTCTCTCATTGAAATTATGAAGGGAAATTCAAGCATCTTATGTACTCCGTACTATTGTGTTGTGTATTGTTTGGGTTTGAAACTGAACTGCAGCCGAGGTCCTGTGGGATCTTATTAATATGGGTTCCTCGGAACTTATACGAGTACTCCGTACCAACCTCACAGTATTAGCCAGTTTTATTAATCTCTTCCTGCATACTACCATCATGTACTCCGTACGGAGTATCCCGGCACAGAAAAGGGTGATCACCTGTGCAGGAGCAAATCCATCCATGGATTTGCTCAATTCTATTTGTAATATAAGGCTGTGACCTCGGGACCTCAGATCACTACAATAGTACTTCGTTTCTATTATTGCTCTCTATGTATGCAATAAGAACATTGCAGTACACAGCATAAAGTCCGAAAGTGCAGAGCACAACATACAGCCCTGAACCCTTGAACGCCCTTGCGCTGTCATCATGAAGGGGTCTGCCATGCAGAGGGGTCTTCGAAACAAGGCACCATGCGTCAAAATGCTTTAACAGCCCTGTGGCGCGAGATACGGGGAATGCAAAACATCGAAATGAGCTATCGCCCTATCACCCTATCACCCTATCGCCCTATCGTCCTATTCACGACAATCCATTTTAATCGGGCCCCCGAGGTTCGGGTTCACGATGTGCCTCATTAATAGTCCTTTATGTACATAACATTGTATGCCAAGCTGACTGCGTCATAATTGTTTAAAACAGTTAATTAGGCTATTGACTATCGCCCTCTATTCATTTTAGCCCTGAAACGATTCTGAAGATCCCTCGCATCCCGCATGGCATTCCATTTCGCAATTAGCCCCTGCGGCACGTCCCACTTTCCCCAAGGTGGATCGGCATGTATAACAACGCCAACGCGACTTTCTCTAGCTCGGCCTTATATGGATTGCCTCGTCCTCTAATGCCAATTTTTACAGGCTATGGAGCCATGCGACATATACTATGACTTTCTACCTCGTCACCTTCTGCTGCGCCTCTGCCGCGCTGGGATCATTCCTGTTCGGCTATGATTCGGGCGTGATCTCTTCCAGTATCGAGCAGGAGGCCTTTCTGCACCGATTTGGATCTCCAACTTTGTCTGACGCTGCCGCTGGGGGCATTATTTCCTCGTATATCGGTGAGACTCCATCTTCGTCGGATCTTGCCGCGATCGGTATCTAATTGGCGATCAGGAGGCGCAATCGTGGGCTCGGTCCTCGCCCCATATGTTTCGGATTACTATGGCCGCCGAATGGTCCTCTTCATCGGCGGTCTCCTTGCCACTCTGGGTGCTGGCCTCCAAGGAGGTGCGGTCAGTATCGCGATGCTTATCGCCGGTCGATGCATCGCGGGTCTGGCGACTGGGCAGATGTCTGCCACTATTCCCGTTTATTGTGTAGGTTGATACATGGTCCAGCTGCTAAGCTTTATCTAATGTGAACCAAGACCGAGGTTGCCTCACCACAAATTCGGGGGATGTTAGCCAGTATGCAACAATGGATGATTGCCTTGGGGTTCGTGGTTGCTGTGAGTAATTCCCGCTGGGATTTTGCTATGATCCAACTAACAGGTTTCAAGCAATGGGTGGGATACGGGTGTTCCCTTCGAGGTGGAGCCTTTTCCTGGCGTTTTCCACTCTCCTTTCAAGTCGCGCCAGCAATAATTCTCACCTGTAGTGTCTGGTTCCTTCCTGAATCTCCAAGATGGCTCATCGAAAAGGGCAGAGAGGGAGAAGGCCGCTCCGTCCTCACCCGACTCCATCTCAACCAGAACGCAGCCAACAACCAACTACTAGAACACGAGCTCTTCCAAATTCAAGAGAGCCTAGCATCCGAGAAGCAATCCGCCGTGCGATCCTGGCGCCAATTTCTCCTCTCCCCGCGCTGGCGACGCAGGATCCTCTTAGCCTGTGGCCTGCAAGTATTCACCCAGTGCTCAGGCACAAACGTAATCTCAAACTACGGCCCACGACTCTTCAAAGCACTCGGCCTTACACCATCAACATCTCTCATGATAATCGGTCTCTGGGGCGCACTAGCGCTATTCTGGAACACGGTCTTCATGCTCTTCATCGACAAAGTCGGGCGCCGGAAACTGCTCATCCCATCACTGTTCGGCATGGGAGCAGCCCTGTGTATTGAGGCCATACTCGCGCGGTACATCGATTTCAGCGACCCTAACGCCAATCCACATGCTCTGCGAGCTGCCATCGCCATGTTCTTCGTCTTCTCGTTCTTCTTCACTGCTCTTGGCATGATCTCCTGGATCTACCAGTCTGAGATCTTCCCCACGCCCCTTCGAGCGCGTGGTTCGTCTATGGCGACTGCCACGAACTGGAGCGTTAGTCTTATCTTCGCGCAGTGCTCACCTATCGCACTGAAAAATATCGGATCCAATTATTTCTATTGCTTTGTCGCGTTCAATTGGGCGGCGATGGTTGTTGTTTGGGCCTTTTATCCTGAGACTGCGGGTTGTTCTCTTGAGGAGGTCGAGGAGGTCTTCAACACACAGTCTGGTGATGAGCAGTCGGAGCGCTCCTTTGTTGACGAGAGCACTCCAGTGGCTATTACACCGCGCTCACAGATCCGACACAAGGGGCTGCATCCGCTGTCGATGCATCCTACTTATGACACTGTTAGTATAGGTAGCAGTCACAGTGGGTCTGGGGTTGGGATCGGAACCAAGGAGGTTTAGATTGTACGATATAGAATTTATGAAGTGACGAACAGAACATCTCGTAGTTTCAGTGATTGCCAATAGAGAGCAAACATCTCCAGTAGAAGCAAAATGACTCCTGGGGGGTTATTCCTAATGCACTTCCCCTGCGCGCTGAAGTACATCGACCCGGCAGTGAGGGAGTATTGGCCACGGGCAAGTGTTGTCGCTGACTCCCTGAAAGTTTGTCTGCGGCATTCCTACTAGCGGTAGGTAGATACATGGTCATGAACTTGGGTCCCTATATACACCTGGCGCGACTTTGGTAGTTGTTGCAGCATGCTATGAAATTGCCGCCCATGCGATGTGGACCTTAGCCCTGAGGTTAAACAAGGCCAGACACACAAGACCTATAGATTTAACCGCTCCTCTAACTCGCCCCAAGGTCCCAAAGCCTCTTAAACTCGCTATCTCGCTTCAGGAGAGCGCGAGGACTATCCCATTCCAGGAGCTGACCACCGCCCATGACAGCAACACGATCGAAGTCGACAACGGCACCGAGGCGATGCGCAACGGCAATGACGGTGCAGCTGGCAAATTGCTCACGCATGACGTCCCTGATGAGCCGCTCGGACCGCTCGTCGACGTTGCTGCTCGCCTCGTCGATTAGGATGATCCGCTTGCCCGCCAACATGGCCCGGGCGATGCACAGGAGCTGGCGCTGGCCCTGCGAGAGCCGGTCGGCGTCCAGCGGGCTGTCCAAGCCGCCCATCCGATCTACGACATCGTCCATTTTGAGCCGGCGCAGGACTTGGAGAATCTTGTCGTCGTCGGTTTGCTGCTGCTGCTCGTGCTGTTCGTGCTCCTGCCGGTGCTGCTGTCGGTGAAGGACGACAAGGTTGTCGTGGAGGCTCGTGTGCTTCAGGAAGAAAGGGTGCTGCGGCACAACGGCCACTGCAGCGCGCACAGCCTGCCGTGGCAGCGTCGTGATGTCGACGCCGTCGATGGTGATGCTCGAGCCGGGGCCGACTTCGAGGAGCCGCAGGATGCAGCCCAGGAGCGAGCTCTTGCCACTCCCGCTGCGGCCACAGATGCCGACCTTGGCACCGGCGGGGATGTCAAGGCTCACGCCGCGTAGGACGGGCTCGCCGCCGCCGCGCGCATCGTACGAGGCCACCAGATCCTTGATGGTGACGCGGCCGTGCGCCGGCCAGTTCTTGGGCACGGTACCCGTCTCAGCGGGTCGGTTCTCCGACTCGGTGTCGGTGCAGAACGTCTTGACGCGCGCGACGGCACCAAACGACGTCTCGAGCTGCGTCCAGTCCTGGATGACGTGGGCCAGCGACTGGCCGAACGACATGACCTGCACGAAGGCCAGGGCCACGTACTGCGCCGACAGCTGCGCCCGCAGCTCCACGACTAGGACCATCATGACAGTCACGAGGACGGCGGTCATCAGGTCGAGCACGAGGCCCAGCCAGCGCTGGATGCAGAAGAGCAGGTAAAAGGGTCTTTGCGAGGCATCGAGAAGGTCCAGGTACTGCTCGATGAAGCGCGGCCCCCACGCGAACGCCCGCACCGTGGATAGGCCCTGGAGGAGGTCGAGAAACTGCGTGAAGAGGGGAGACTTGGCTTCAAGATCAAACAGTCGGATCTGCCGAGACGTCCGCACGTAGAACTTTTGCAGCACTGTTGGCCCATAGTAATAGTAGCTTGGGGGTCAGTGCCATGATCTTTTGTGTCACATTATGGGGCTTGGGGGCGGGCCGTCAGAACTTACACCAGCAGAAAGCGACGAAGGGCACAAGTGTGGCTGCAAAATACCCAGAAAATACGCACATCAGGATGACCGACATGATGATGAGGGCAAAGTTGACGCAGAAATCCACAAGGGCGAAGGGCAGCTCGGTATCGACGACCGACATGTCCTGGCTGAAGCGATTCGTGGTGACTCCGACGTCGGTGCGCGAGAAGAAGGCCACAGGGGCATTCATGACGGAATGTAGAAGCCGAGCGTGGAGAACCTCGGAGCTCAAAGCCACCATAACGACCAGGAAGAAATAGGCGGCCCCTGTGATGCCCAAGACGGCGAGACCGGTGAGCATTCCGAAGAGCCCGAGATAGTAGTCATTGGTGGCTTGGCCGGATTCTTCTGCAGTGTCCGTCCAGAAGCTGAGTACGAGTGCCGTCATCCGAGAACCTCCCGCGTACAGAATGGTGAGGGCAGCGAACAGTATGGTGTGCCATACAGGGACGGAGCCAAAGTAATATGCATATGTGGCAAACTCGCCGAGGACTCGTCCGGGCGATTCAGAGTCGTCGCTGTTCTGGTCAGCATCTTGTTCGGATCGACCCTTGGGAACAGTCTCGTGGCGATGCTGCACCGATGCTTTAGCTGCGTCCTGCGCGTCAATCGCGCCGTTCTGCTCGACTGCCAGCCCATGCAGATAATCTGTATCGGATTGAAGTTGGGCGAATGAGCCTTGGTGCATGATATGGCCGCTCACATCTAGAGCGACCACATGATCGGCATAGGCGAGTCTATGAATGGCATTCGTGACACAGACCACAGTTATGCTCATCTGCCGGAAGAGACCCGTCTCGGCAAAAAGATTCTGAAAGACGTGCTCCTCGGTCGCCGCATCCTGCCCTGCAAAGACATCGTCCAACAAGACTGTCTTTTCCCTAGAGTAGACGGCTCGGGCCAAGGCGAGCCGCTGCTTTTGGCCGCCGCTCAACGAAAAACCCGCGCTGCCCGCCCTTGTCGCATCTCCGTCGGGAAGCTCGCCGATATCCTGCTCCAGCCCGCACGCGTAGACAACTTTGCTGTACCATTCCGCGTCGTAGCTGGTACTGCCTAGGATATTCTGGCGTATGGTCAGGTTCTGGATCCAGGGCTCCTGACCAACAAACGCAATGTTGCCGGGATCGGCATGGATGGAACCCGCTCGGAGCGGGACTTCTCCCAGAATTGCTCGCATGAGGGTGCTCTTGCCCGAGCCCACGGGTCCGACGACGAATGTGAAGCAAGACCTGCGGATGTTGACGGTGATGTCGTTGAGGATGTCCGGATTTCCGGGAACCCAGCCAAAACTGGCTCCTGATATCGCCACAAGCGTGTCGCCTTTCTCATCGCCTTGGCTTGAATGATGATCCCGCTCGCTCAAGGGCAGTCTGTAATCGGTACAGCTTTCAGACAACAAGTAGTTTTGAATGCGAGAAAAGCACGCGAGGGCGGCACTGACGGATGGGATGGTACGAAACACGACAACCATAGGGTCCGACAAAAGGTATATCAGCGAGAGCGAGGTATAAGCAGACTCCGTGTTCAAGGGCTGACCAGTGCTCTTGGAAACAATCACAAAGGTTACAAAGGTCGCCAGAGGGGCGATGGTCGCCGTGTTCATTGCTGCTCGGCCAAAGGAGTCAGCAGCAGCGTCATGACGACACGTTGAAAACGCGGCATAGCAAGGGTTCATAACCCAGGTACCTACCAATGAAAGTCTGTATGGCCAACAGTCTGCGATATTGCTTGGATAAGTCCAGTTCTGTTACGCGGAGGTTCTGGATCATGTTCGCGACAATATCCGACAAACCAAGCATTTTGACTTCCTGCAGCGAACCGATTAGTACTGTAGCCTGTCATCAAGAATAGGTATTATCAGGCGTTTCCGCTGGATCCTCACCTTCATGGATGCGAGGACGGAAGCCGTTACATCGACCCGCGTTTGGATGCCCCTCATCCATCTCTTCTTGGCCATGCCAATGAACTGGGCAAGCTGCAACATTCCAGTAGTGGCAATGATTGCTACAACGACCGGGGCCAGCGCGGCAAGTCCAAGCTGCCTGTACAGGAGAAAAATGGCGACTGCGGACTCAATTGGCGAGGCCCAAAGCTCGTGTAAGGTTGCGGCGCTTTGACAGATACTCTCGGTGTCCGTGGACATGAGCGATACTGCCACAGACTCATCGAGAGCCGTGCTGCTGAGATCCAACGTCTTGGTGTAGATCAAACTGCAGAGACTGCCGCAAATCGAAGTGACAAATCGATATGTCATCTGGTAATAAAAGCCGTTCGAAATTGCTTGCCCAAGGAAGATCAGCAGCCATGCGCCCGTCAGCCCCCATCCAATTGCATCCGACTGCGACAGATCGGCCGTCCAGGAAGTCGTTCTAGTGATGAGAAAGGGCAGCGTGTACTTGAAAGCTGCCAATGCAAGCCGGGGTGCCACGCCAGCAAGAAATATATACTTGGTGGCCCACAACGTGGAGAAGGCCAATGCATGGCGGTTGGACTGGTTTGATGAACCAAATGAGTTTCGTGCTTTTGGGAGTAGTGTTCGTGCCGCTAGGCTGTCATGAATGGGGAGCAGATCATGATCGGTGAGGGAGCGAGTGAACCCGGTTCGCATGAATGAATTCAGCCACCAGAAGACACTCCGGGCCAGTATGCCACTGGTTGCCTCTGGGGAGAGATACTGGTACTGGGACAGGAGTATAGGTCTCTTTTCCCAAGCTTCCAAAGTCAAGACAAAGAGTTTGATCGCGACAGTTGAGGTGAAGAGGCCCGAGATAGCGGAGTCATGGTCGGCAAGCCACAGGGTTCTGGCGACGACGCAGTCAAAGAGCAAAGTAAAGAGTAAATAAACGTTTATGATGGTCGATGGTCGCACCGAGCGCGCGTGCTCGGCATGGGACAGGAACAAGAGCAAAAATCCATCGACGAAGGCGAGCACGGCGGCCGACGTCCGCAACTGAGAGAAAGGCCACTTCTCTGCATTCAGAGCCCAGTACAGCAAGACTGCAAGTTGTAGAGCCGTGTAGACGCCGATCAATCCCTGCAGTTACTGAACCAGTCAGTAGTTGTTTTTTTCTTGCGGACACGATGGACTCGAAAAAGTCTATGGTTTCTAGGGCGGAGGTTATCACGTGCCACTTTCACGATTGGCCGGTGGCTTTTGGCGACCTTGCGAGGCTGTCTCGCGAGCCAGAAGAGACGCTGTAGGGCCACAACTAGAAAGAGGGCCGAAGGGACGATGCAGAGAACGGCGTCCTCGAAGGCGGGCGTAAAGTCGAAAGCGCCCGTGCTAGCAACGACGGCAAACCGAGCTTCGGGCGGCATTTCTAACCTCTCAAGAGTCAAGAGTCAGGAGAACTTAGATATCCCCTTGGAGCCTTAGCAAAACACTTCAGGGCTTACATATGGGGGGAGGTGGTTATATTTATGTCACGGGAAATGCAATTGCGCGATGCGAAGGAATCTGGTGCAATATTAGGATTAGGATTTAGAACCTTAGCCACAAGTTAGTGTCCGCTCTCTATAGTTAGAAGGAATGTTTTATTATAATTTCCCTCGGGGAGCTTTTCCACTTTCGTACAGATATAAGGGCTGGAATCTAGGCTCTACACGGCAATTTTCACGAGTTTATCACAATTGAAGTTCACACGCCTTCCGGCTAACTACTAAGTCTTATTAAACAATAGCGGCCCGCGGTATAAATGTGGAACTCCGGCTTATCCTAACTCTAACTTAAATAAATAATCTCATTTAGTATAGGCTCACCAGATATGTGAATCACGTGACACAACCGCGTTTGTGTTGGAGACCTTTGTCCTTGCTAGCCCTTGAATAACGATATTCTCGAGATCAAAAAAGCTCATTTACGTTACCATAAAACGATCCATGTCCCACAGGTGACTAGTATGAGAGGGAAGCAAAAAGAAAGCTTTTCGTCAGCTGCAGGGTTCGACTACGCGGGCGAACCCAATAGATTGTGACATGTAGTGGACAAACTCAGGGAACGAGTTCTCGGATCGAGTCCAATGTTCAAGTCTATCGCCTTAACCACTCGGCCAAACTGACAGGCAATTGAAAAATAGATTCGCGGTACGGGTATAAGAGAGGGAGTTCCATCATGCAAAATTTCATCAAGGCGCGAAAATAGCGAGGTTCTATATACCTGTGCATAAAATGTTCGCGACTAGAGTGGGAATATTATATGCAATCATCGATTGACCAATCTCAATCTAGATATGCAGGCCTCATAACCTAGACCATATAGTGTCATTGACCTTATCGCGGATGGCGACTTCTTCGGAGTTATCACCACAATGATGATGCAGAGCCGACTATTGCGACGGATGAGGTTTTAAGTAGTCGCCCGAAAGACCCCTATATCACTATCAGTATGACTGAGAGGGTAACTTAGAAGGTATGTGGGATGTGCACATAATTCTGGAGGTTGTACGTCCAGACTAATGGGTTTGACTGATTGAAACTGCTCTCCTGGACCCCGGGATAGTTTAATCGTTGCAGCTTTCCAGGAACCTTGGAAGGGTACTTTGATTGAAACTGCTCTCCTGGACCCCGGGATAGTTTAATCGTTGCAGCTTTCCAGGAACCTTGGAAGGGTACTTTGATTATTAAGGCATGTGTGATAATAATTCAGCCCTGGAGGTAGTTATTTTAAATTTTCTGCCGTTCTAAAACAAGGCATTCAGACATCAAATCTTTCCTACATAGCACTTGATAGAGTTCGCCTTGCCTCGCATATCCGACCTGAAATCCCACGCCCCCAGATTATCGATAGCGGGCGTACTATTACCATTGCACTTTGTTGAACTACATAAAAGCACAAGTTAGCTAGGTTCTCTTCCCCAAAACACATACGGACAAAACATACGACCAGAAGCGACAGCGGTACCCAGAAGGGACTTTAATTGACCCAACAGTGCCTTCGAGGGGCTCTTCCGAGACTTGGCAACATCAGCTATGAAAGTGGAGGCCTATGTGCTGCCGACGCATTTACGTCTTTGGCATGGGGCACAGAACACCTCGCCAGATTGCACACTGTGTAAATGATGCACAGATGGACGGCAGAACATGTCTGAATGGCCGTGCTCCGTATAGGATTTCAAATACTTGCAGCATAGTGAAACTTTCAGGAGCAGCGTGCTCTAGCTCTGCGATCTGAGTGTTATTGTTGGATCTTTTTGGACCAATCGAAGTTCTCTTTCTCGAATTCTGCTCAATACACCGCTACTCTGATGCGAGGACCATCCTACGTAATGTGGGTCTATCCTGCAGTTCTGGTGATTATAAGTAATCTCAGCTCCAGCTCCTAGGAAACCTGCCCACATACATGCCAACACATAATACGTAGTGGCGTATGGTATTCGCCGACGCCGCATGAATGAACTGCCAGTAGCCCTCTAGTAAATGGCCAACGCTTGACTCACGGTGCATAGCACACAACCAAAACTGAAATCCTGGATAACCGTGTCGCCATCATCATGGGAGACTCGCGAGAGGCAAAGCTTCAGGCAGGCGATTTCGACCACATTCCCATCATCGATCTCTCGACCCTGAACAGCTCCCATCTTGACGAGCGCAAGAAGTTGGCTCAGCACATATACCATGCCTGCACGCAAGTCGGGTTCTTTTATATCAAAGTAATGTTTCTTGCTGTTCGAGTCTCTACATATATTGACACGAATATCGCCAGAATCATGGGATACCAGAGGATCTTATAACCGCCAGCCACACTGCGGCCCATGAATTCTTCTCTCTCACAGAGGAGCAGAAAATGAAGTACTATATGGGGCAGTCCAAGGTATGGCCATTTTGAACCTGTAAGGTATGTGACAGATAGTAACCCATGGCCAGAAATACCGCGGTTTCACTCCCTTTTATGCTGAGAAAAGCACTGGAACATATTCCGACAACCTCGCCGAGAAAACCTTAGCCGGGACACTCTCCGAAGCTTTCAATATCGGATACGAAATTGGAGGAGATTCTCAAAGATCCGTGGATGATATGCTCCCCCCAGATATCTATGGCTTGTACGGGGATAACCAGTGGCCAGGGGACGACATCCTCCCTGGCTTTCGGGAGACATTCCTGCAGTGGTTTGCCCAGGGGTTGAACCTTTGTCGAGCGTTGATGAGAATATTTGCGCTGGCAGTAGGGGAGGAAGAGCATTTCTTCGATTCAAAAATGAAGTACCCGGGCGCGCAGTCGAGGATGATGCATTATCCTCCTCAGCCTGTAGTTGGAGAAGTGCAAGAGGGGGTCGGATCGCATACCGTAAGTCCTCAGTTCTAATCACGCACTTGCAGGCTTGCTCAAATAAATACTACATCCAGGATTATGGATGCCTCACTATTCTATCCCAGGACTCGGTCCCAGCTCTCGAGGTCCTTAACCGTCGGGGTGAATGGGTCGTTGCACCGCCAATTCCCGGGACGTTGGTTGTGAATATTGCTGATTGCTTGGCCATTTGGTAGGAATCATGCACAATGATCATTTGTCAAAGTTGAAGCTGATTATTCAGGACGAATGAAACGTTCAGGTCGACCTCCCACCGCGTGACCAATCTGACTGGGAAAGAACGATATTCAATCCCATTCTTCTTCAGTGTTGACCCTGATATTACGGTGTCGGTCTTGGAATCCTGTCTTTCGGATGAAAAGCCTGCCTGCCGAGAGCCATTCAAGGCAGGTGAAGTGAGTAATCCTAGGGGTTTATTGCGATGAGAATAAGTAGCTGACAGACAATTCTAGTTTATTCGTCAGCGAATGTCAAAGGCGTACACTAGATATGGACAGGACCCTCCCGCAAAACCAGTCCATTGAGCTACAGCAGCAGGTCGCTTATAGGGCAGAATTGCTGAAGGAAGCTCACTACCTCCAAGGCCTTAGGGCAGATTAAATATTGAGGGAACCGCATTGTCCTGAGAGATATGTCGAATACAAGTTGAATACAGATGCTTCTGAGAAGGACTCCTGGAGGTTGAGAGAAGGTGAGGGAGAGGAGTATTGTTTCTGTCATAATGACTTGTCGCAACATAATGTGATTGTTGATCCTGGGACGTTGAAGATATCTGCTATTATTGACCGGGAATACGCGGGATTCTGGCCTGAGTATTTTGAAGACGCTTTCTATGAACGACCGGGGCCATCGGCTGCTTTGGATATGGAAGTTGATGATGTGCCCCGGCTGTTGCGGTTTCTTGTGGACCAGCGTGTGGAATGAGAGCATATGGGTTTGAGTTGCATGGGCAAAGCGCGTGTGGAAATGCAGTATTCAATACTCTATACAATATATCCCTTCTACCTCTATGTGGTCGTCTATTTTTGTGTGAATCAAATCAAAACCCCTATATCACAACTAGCGAGCAACGTATACTTAACAATAAATCATAAAAGACACCAATATAACATGTGGTGAGTGGCCGATACCGCTTAAATCGGCTCATCCCGAGGCTCAACAAGAATCTCGTTGACAGATACATGTTCAGGTTGGGTCAGGGCGTAAACAATGGAGTTGGCAACATCCGAAGGATCGAGGATCTTCGCTCCGGATGGCTCTCCGAACTTCTTGACGGCTTCAGTATCCGTTGACATGCCCAGCAGGTCTGTGGAAGTGTTGCCGGGCTGGATACTCGTCACGCGCAAGCCAGCGCCTGCAGTCTCGAGACGGAGGGCTTGAAGGGTGGCCTCGACGAAGAACTTGCTGGCCGAGTACACACCCAGACCAGGGAAGACCTTACGTCCGGCGTCGGAGGAGATGGCGACGACATGGCCGCGGCCGCGCGAGAGCATGCCAGGAACGGTTGAAGAGAGAGCGTGCAAGAGACCCTTGCAGTTGACGTCGACTGTGCGCTCCCACTCGTCCATCTGTGTGTTTGCCATCATGGTGAAGTACATGACACCAGCGCATGCAACCAAGATGTCGACTGGGCCGAGCTCCTCACTCGCTGCTTGGACAAGAGCTTCCACCTGAGTCTTGCTTGTGACGTCGGTGGATCGGAGGATACACTTCACGCCGTGAGCTTCAACCTTGCGCTTGGTGCTCTCAAGAGCATCCAGGCGTCGAGCGCCAAGTGCTACAGCACAGCCCTGCTTGGCTAGGGCAGCTGCTACCGCTGCACCAATGCCAGAAGAAGCACCAGTCACCACGGCGACTTGGCCGCTGAGTGGCCCCTTTACTGCAACCTTGGAAGGTCGGTTGAGGGCATGCTGACGAGATGGGGGCCGGGGTAGCCATCCTCGAGCAAACCAATGCCGAGTGTAGGTCTCCAGCAATAGGCTGTCCACCTTGGGACGCTCGATGACGGCCCGGAAAGGCCTGGTCAAAGCGTTATCAAGAACCACGATGTCTCGGAGGAACTCGACAGTCGGCATGCCACTGCGAAGAATGTCGACGGTAAACGAACCATCGCCACCCTTGGATGAGCCTCTCTTCTCGAACCACAGAGCCACCCACTCATCCCATGGGAGAGGTTGTGTCTCATAACCAAGCTCTTTGAGGTCCTCAAAGACCGAGCGAGTGTCGACCGGTGTAGGATCTCCGAGATGGAACACCGTTTGGTCTTTCTGGGTCTGAGTCGCAAGATGGACAATGGATTTGCTGACAAAGTTCACAGGGGTCATCTCAGCACGCCATCCTTCCACGTCTGGGGCGTATCCAATCTGGATGGATTCAACGATCAATGCAGTGAGCAAATCCCACGCATTGGCGGAGCCTGTGTCGCTGTGACCACTGATGGTACCACACCGGTGAATCTTGACTGGCAATCCACGCTCACCAGCCTTGAGAACGAGCTGCTCTGCAACCCACTTTGTCTGACCATAGCCATCGAGTAGCTTTGTGGGGACATCTTGTACATCTAGTATGGTAGTTTCGGGCCAGCCGTTCTCACCAGATGATGGCAAGACACCATTGGTAGAGATATACTGCACGGTTGCGCCACCCTTGGCGGCCAGACGAAGAATCTCTCTGGTTCCACCCACGTTTGCTCCCCGAAGTGCAGCGTAGGGGTAAACGAGGTTGACGGTGGCTGCAGCATGCACAATCACTTGGACACGAGCCGCGATGTTCTCAAATTCATCCGGATTCAGACCCAGTCGAGGGCGAGAAAGGTTTCCTGGTAGGATTTCGAGACGCTCCAGAATAGAATCGCGCCAGAGTCCCATGTCTAGGAGGTTCCTGCGGATTCGAGCCACACCTCCGGCTTGATCATCCTGCTCGGGGTCGCTGAAACGCACAAGACAGATGATTTTAGCGGATGTGTTCTCAATCAAATCATTGAGCAGGAATGCGCCCAGGAAACCGGTTACACCAGTCAAAAGCACCGTGTCGGCCGAGCTGATTGAAGTGATCGCGGTATTGGTGGGCTTAATGTCCTCGTCCAGTGTGGCATCGGAAAGCAAGACTGCCGGCAGATTTGCTTGTACTTCTTCAGTGTGGCCATCTCTGACAGCACGCACGGTCTCCAAGTGGCCCGAAAGAGTAGTGTTCTCTGCGAGACGAGGAATAGGAACACGGAAGCCGAAACGTCTGGAAAGCTTGGATGACAGATCTGCCAGAGACAAAGAATGTCCGCCCAGATCGAAGAAATTGTCTTCGGCGTTGATCAGGTTCTTTGAAACTTTCAGAACAGCCTCCCAGATTGCCGCAATGTCATTGAGACCAATCGGGTCCTTCCCTGCGCTTTGCTCACTGCCATTGGGGCTGGAGCTACGAGGCGAAGGGAGGTTCTTCATATCAACCTTGCCGGAGACCTCGTTAGTAGGCAACTGGTCTAGTGCAACCCAGAGGGCTGGGATCATGTATTGCGCAAGATGGTTCTCGAGGGCACGACGCGCGCTGGGGGAGTGGCCGGACTCGTTGATCACGACCGAAGGGCGATCGGAGGAAGCGTCCTTGTCAGCAACAACATATGCGACCAGTTGTCGGTCCAGTCCATCGCCGAACGCAGTGACAACGCACTGGCTGACAGCCAAGTACTGGCAGATGTCACTTTCCACCTTTGCCGGCACAACGGAATATCCGCGCAGCTTAATCATTGCGCCGACGCGGCCGGTGATTTCAAGGAATCCAGAAGGCAGCTTGCGGGCTAGGTCGCCAGTCCTGTACATACGAGCACCAGGTGCGGAATCAAAGGTGTCCGGAAGGAAAGCCTTGGCGGTGGTCTCGGGAAGGTTAATGTATTCCCGCGCCAACAAAGGACCTCCAATAAAGAGTTCTCCCGATGTCCCTGTTTCTACCTCCTGTCCATCCTCGTTCAGGACGTAGGTGTGTGTAGGAACAATTGATGGGCCGACTGGACAGTAAATAGAGTCGCCATCAAGCATATCACGGATATCTCCGCAGGCAATCTCATGCGTTTCACATGCACTGTAGCAGTTGAGCAGGCGGGCATTGGGAAGAATTTTGATAGCTTTGCGGGCAAGATCGGTTGTCACAACCTCACCGTTCAGCCAAATGATGCGCAAATCAGGCACACGAGTACCGAAGCGGGGATAACGTGAAAGAACGGTAGCTAGGAGAGTGGGTGTCATGAGCGTTTCAGTGACCTTCTTAGCCGAGAGCAGGTCAACCAGAGCCGCGGGGTCATAGCTCGTTTCGTCGGGCACGATAACCACCGTGGCTCCGCGCAGCAGCGGCCGCAGCATCTCCCAGATGAAAAAGACATTGCAGGCCACCCGATCACCTGGTTGTACATCCTGCACTGCAAATCTCAGATCGTATGATAGTACCGGGGCGCGGTGCGGGTTGGCGATTCCCTTGGGTTTGCCTGTCGTTCCTGACGAATAGGATACAAACGCCAAGCGATCCAAATCGTCATCGGCCGGCAACGGAGAAGGTTCCTTGGTGTGGCCATTGATTTCGACCACGGGTCCATCCAAGGCAATTACCGGTACAGGGGCTTTGATTTTGTCGGCCTCGGACTTGTGGGTGATAATCACGGCGGGACTAGCGTCCTCGATGACATCCGCCAAGAGGTCCGCGGGGTAAGCCAATTCGAGAACAAGGAAGGCACCACCCGCACGGAGCGCTGCTAGACAGGCAATCACGTAATGCGCGCTGCGAGGTAGGAGCACACCCACGAGGGTGTCACGGCTCACTCCATAGGTCCGTAAGCGACTGGCAAGAGCCTCAACTTCTTGATCCAGCTGGGTATATGTATATGTCGTGGTCTCATGTTCCAGGGCGATGGCGTCTGGGGTTTCCTGCACCTGTCGCTTAAAGAGTGTGGGCAAATCCTTGGTGATGTCGAGGACGGCCATTGTTTCGGTAAAGAGGGTTAAGAGAATCACGCTATACAGGTCAAACGCTGCGAAAGTTCACTAAATCAGGTGAAAAAAAGATATGATTGTAAGGTTGTGGTCATTGGAATCTGTACAATGGTAGAGAGAAGAAGGGAACAAGAAATTTTGTTGAGATTCTAAGAGCTTCGAGCTGCCAGTGGAACACATTAACCTTCCAGGGCCACCTGGCCAAGACACCGTGTTCGCGTGGGGTTCCAAGGTTCTCCATCTCCGGGAACGTGGCTTCTTATCGTATCTCCGGATTTTCTCGATTTGGGCAATTTACGAGGTCTTATTATTCCTTCTATTTATAATATTAAAACATGTTTATTTTGTTCTATTCGTCTCTCTATACTGATTCATCTAAGCTACATGATAACCTCCTATGTTCAACAAATACTAATAAATCACCCCGTGGACATGATAATTTGATTTGGCCCCACTTTTAAGATTTGCATGTGAAAGAGCCATTTCCCAACACTTTGGGTTTCCCCCTGGGAGGCGTCATAACCTTGGAATGCGCAATGTGCGGCAATTCTTAAAATTAATTCTCTTTAACCTTGGCCAAGAGATTGCGCCGATATAGGTATGAATTTGGAGATTCAGGCATCAAACCTTGGAATGCACAGACCACTTTTTAAGCAGATCCAGGGCTAGGCCTTGTTCTGTCGATTTTTTGAGTTTACTAACAGTTTTGCCCTGATCAGCCATCGGCATATGCGGCAAACTCGTCAAAATATCTTACAGGCTTCATCTTCAGACACAAAGTAAGAATTCCGGGATGACCGCCGTTGTCGGACGCATACTTATGGAGCTCTCGACAAATCCATCAACAGGACCGTTGGCTGAAAATTCACCCAAGCCATTTGAATTTGTAATAGTTCATATTCATTGTCGCCAAAAACATGAAGTCTGATATGTATCAAACCACATACCATACCCACCTGGGCACGTGTCCACATGCCTACCTAGGAATAGTGGCACGGAACATCCCGAGATGTCACCTGGAACCAATCCGGCGATGTTTATACATAAGCCATGATTTTTCTGATTATCCATAGAGAATATCTAGCCGTCGCACAATATAAGGTTGCAATATTAACGCAGTATAAACATTATATGAATTCATAGATTCTGATGCTATATATCATCTATGCAGTAGTCCACATAGTCCACACCAAACTATGCATTTGTACCTATCACATGTCCACAATTTCCATTGGAGATCTGCACACCGGTCATGCCGCTCTGGAGAGAAGCCGTGCCAAAGGTAGAAGCAACCGAGCACGTGTTTGTTGCAATTAGATAACAGTATTTGACGGAGGACGAAGCCGAGTAGTAGTATGACATGGCACAAGTGGAACTTGCCATACAGCTGGCACAACAATCGTATGCGGAATTAGTGTTACCAACTGTCATTTGTTGGCCAGGGACGTGGGTGAACGTGAGCGAATAGATGTATTTGCCTGCGGCCGAGCCGAACTCCGAAGAGAGAGGGGCTCCAGCGATGTTGTTTGTAGCACAGGCTGCGTAGAAGGATGTGGTAGTTGTACCTCCTAGAACAGTGCTAGTGGAAGTAACTGTGCTCGTCTCACCGGCAGCAAAGGTGGTCTCGGTGATGGTTGAGGTGGTGCTGAAGCTCAGTGTGGTGGAGACATCCGAGGGAAGAATCACTGAGCTGCTGGTGATGGTGTTGGTGACTGTCACTGTGGTGGTAGGAGTTGCAGCGGTGATAGTGGTAGGTGACCCGGTCACAGTGGAGATAGTGGTCGTTTTGATGATGTTCTTCTCATGGCACACGACCGCTTGCGGATACTTGTAATCATCCACCCAAGGAGAGCAATCATCATCCTCTTCCAATGAGCGCTTGGCAGTAACAGTGGGAGGCAGAGTGTCTGCAATGGGAATGAAGCCTGCAGAGGTGGCAATGGTGGAAGTGCTGGTCGAGATAGTCGAGAGGACTTCGGCAACGGTTGTGGTGATAGGAGCAGGAGTTAGAGTCAATGTGGCAGTGTCAAACTCAGTTGAAGTTGTTGAGAAAATATCAGTGATTGCATCAGCTGTGGAGGTGATAATAGTAGTTTCATAGTCCGTCAATATCTCGGTCGACACAGCAGGGGTGACCGTGACGGTTTCCAGAAGTGTTGTGAGGACAACGACGGGAGTACGCTGATGGATCGTACGAGTGATGGTTGTGGTAGGTACCGACTTCACCGAGCTAGTTCCTAGCTCCGTTCGGCAAGTTTCCGTGGCCACATGGGCTTGACTACTGGCTGGTGGAGAGCTAGCCGCGGGGGTGCTGGCTGAAACCTGACCGAGAAGAAGGGCTGCGGCGAGGGCAAGGCGACGGATGAACATGTTTGTATTTCACAAGACGTTCTTTGACTGATCCAAATTATTGAGTTTGGTTGGAACATCCTCGCACTAAATAGTTCTCCCTTTTGTGTTGAGTGGGAGTCTCAGCCGGCTATTTTCACCACGGCGATGTACAAATCCAAGACAAGGCACAAACAAGCGAGCGGAGGCGTCAATGGCGTCAATAGTTTATTTCAAATCCAGGAAAAATCCAGGAACTGGAGCATTTTGCCCACGTCAACTTAAATCCTGGCTTTGTTGTTGTCGGCGTCTCCGTGTTGCGAGCATGGAAACCCTAAGCGACAAAGTATATACTGCGACATTTCCTCTCGACGGCTTCATTTTGGTTTGAATTCTTACACTCTTTTTGCATTCCCAGTCCAACTATCAGTCATTCTTTTTCGCTGTTTTTTTAATCATCTTACTGTCAATCGTTCAATCCTTTCGGCGACGGTCAAGATGGGTTCCTTTCTTGTTCGAGGATGGATTTTGGCCGCATTATTTGTGCAAACCAGTCTCGCCACGACCATGCTTGCTGAGCCAACTATGACTTCCACTCCTATTGCTGTGGCGACACACCATAGCCAGCATCAGCATCAGCATCATCGCCATCAGCATCACCATTGGTCTTATATCCCTAGGCCTATGCCTAGTCGCAAACCTTGTCCTGTTCGTTCTTCATCGGCAGTTCTCGCTTCCAGCGCAATCGCTACTTCAACTCCTTATCTGAGTCGAGTCCCTAGTCACTCTCCTCGCCCGCATACCCCCACACCTTTGTCATCGTCTGTGGTTATTCAGACTCCTTCAGCCCCTGTTTCTACCCCTGTTACCAACCCATCTATTGTTGTGTCTGCACCGGGCTCTCTTTCAACTGGACCTTCGCAATCGAGTGGTTCCTCTCCCCAAGGACCGACCACTGGACTCGGATCATCTTCTTCACAGGTCAGCATCTCGACGTCTGCCTCTGATAGTAGCACTACAGTTGTCGCTTATATCCCTACATCCACCCCATCCGGAGCACTTCAGTCCAGTGTGGCCTCTGGGTCCTCTACATTGGAGTTGACCACATCGACTGTCTTTTCTACTCGCACGGCTACCGTCACTGCGTGTCCTACCACAGTCCCTAACTGCCCAGCCAGTTCCAAGACAACATTCGTGACTACAGAGACAATTCTGGTATCCACCACAATCTGCCCTGTCACTGAGACTGCCAGCACTACTAATACAGCACCTGCATCTCCATCCGCCACTGGAGGTTCTGGTGATCATGGCCATGGAAACGGTGACTCAGACCTCACAACTTCCACTGTCTATAGCACTCGGACAGCCACCATCACTGCATGCCCATCTTCAGTGACCAATTGTCCCCTGAGATCAAAGACCACATACTTGACCACTGAAACCCTGGTTGTCTCCACGACAGTTTGTCCCGTGGCAGATGCCACTGCTACCAACGGCGCTGTACCTACTAAGCATACTACATCTCCTTCTGCCACCGAAGCAATTGGAGGTAGTGACAATAGCGCTTCCAAGCTGACCACATCTACTATCTTCGCTACCCGCACGGCCACCGTCTTTGCCTGCCCTGAATCTGTGACCGACTGCCCGCTGAGATCAAAGACGTCTTACGCAACCACCGAAACATTCGCTGTCGCAACCACTGTCTACCCAGTCTACACATATATCCCAGCCGAAGGAGCCATTGTCCCTGTGACTGTTGCGAACCCTCAAGCTACCGATGTTACTCCCGGATCCCAATCTGGCTCTGGGAGCACAGAATCAGGCTCAGATGCAGGCACAGTCCACACCACGACCATAGTCGTTGAATCTTGCTCCGACGATGATACCTGTACCGGGTACATCAACACTATTGTGGTGACCCAGACCAACGCCGCTAAGCCCACCGTGGCTCCATCTTTGTATACACCACACCAGGGCTCTGGAGCTGGGGCTAGTGGTGCTGTCTCTTCGTCCTCGACTCATTCACGGTTCCACAGCAGCCACCCTAGTGGGTTGGCCACGGCTACTGTTTCGACTGCGACAAGTGCAGTGAGTCTGATGTACACCGGGGCTGCATCTGTAGGTACCCAATCGTCGATGATGCAGGTTGTGGGTACTATGATGGTGATTCTTTTGGCGATCTATATATAGAGATCTGTTGGGAAGATGTAAACGTGAAGTTTACGTCTGTTCTGATAATTTGTCTTCAATTCAATATTTTAATATTATATTTTCATTCATTTGAATTCAGAGGTCGTCACATTCATGACGCATTTTGCACATAAAATATGGAAACATGAATATTCTTCAACAACAACACTCTGCCGCGAATTGCCTAGCAATGTTGTTGAAGTTACACAGCCTCTGTCTAAAGAGTTATGTGTGGAGCTTAGTTATCGGAAGGCGATCCCGATGAAGGAACAGTTGTTGCATCTTGTTTTGGAAGTTAAGGAGAATGGGTCCCCTACGCTGACCATCTATCAGCGAGTCATTATCAAATGAGTAGTTGATTGGTAGTGGCGGCGGTGCTGATGCTATTGGTGATACTATGAAGGACATCATGGAGTGAATAGTACTTATGATCATATAAAGATGCAAATTTATGGATAACTTTAGCCTTGTCACTTTACAATTCTCCAGGTTCATCAATAATCCAAAATATGTTATAAGTGATAGCGAGGGTATATACAAGAAACTCTGAAAGAGTGGTACAAGGGGGTAGAAAACATCAAAACATAAACATAAAACATAAAAACAAATACAGGTCATCTGGTCCAGGCCAGTGCTATACATCACTCAGTCAATGAGCGCATAACATAAGTAGTCGGCGCATCGAGGATCTCGCGACGAAGATCCGCTTCCCAGAGAGCCGTAGACGACTCCTGCACCTGGAGGGTCAAACACGAGAACAAAAACTCATTAATCCGGTACCACGACAGAGGGCTCAACCGCTGAGCAACCTTCATCATACGGCCCGCGAACCACGGACGCGCAGAGGGCGAAGTAGCAGTCGGAAAGTATTGAGAGAAGTCTGGGAGCTCCTCTACCGGGGCAGCGGAAGCAAAGCCGGCGGCACTGGTGGGCCAGCCATCAAGAGTGCCGTTGCTGCATTCAAGAAGGGTTTGGAGCCTGGCATCGACGGAGCCATTTATGCCGACTTCGCTGTCGACCAGGGATTTCTCGAGCGTGTCGAGGAAGATTGCTGCGCGCGCTGGGGTGTTGCGGTAATCCCACATCGCGGCATTGAGTGTCATCAACGCTGTTAACCGGGCGACCATTTGTTTTCGGTCGTCTGAGGTGGTGAATCGGGCGCCTGGGGGTGCCGCGAGGATTTGGCGGAGGATGGATGTTTCCTGGACTGCTGTATGTCGGGTTATGTACGATGATTGAGGGTTATCGCGTTGGTATAGGGCGAGTTGTTCACAGCGTCGGAGGAAGTCGAAAAATTCTTCGCATTGGAATTTGATCTCATCTACTGGGATCGCTTCGGAGTGTGATGGGAGCATTATTCGAGGTTCGGGGCTGGGCGAGACTTCTGAGAAGGCCGAGGAGGTGGAATATGGTGGAGATGGCATTGAGCGCGGGTTTGGGGTGGGCTGGGGCAGTGATGCTAGAGACGCAGACGAGACTGGGGCATGTTGGTCGTATTCATAGAAGAAGCTGGGTCCGTTGGCCTCATAGCCCGGCAAGATGTAATTTTGCCAGTTGATCATCATGCCGATACGAGTGTTTGCAAATGCAGCGGGACCACCACGCGCTCGTATCATCTCTCGTGCGGCTCGCATGTGCACCCAGCTTATTTCTTTGTGGCCTGGCCGGGGATCGCAGTCCTCTAAGGCTGCAGCACTCAGACAGGACATGATTGCAACATCGGAGATGTCATGAGGGTTGTCGGAGCGGTGCTCCCGGAGCACGGAGACAGCATGATCTCTTTGAAGAAGGGTTTTTTGAGTTTGGCCTTCATTACGAAGTGTTAGCTGCATGTACGAGAATGGTGTTTTGGAATGCGACGGTACCTTTCATTGTCCCAGGCACGAAGGCCGGTGTGTAACAGTTGTTGGCCATGGGCGACCGGTAATGGGATCCATAGGAGGAGGCTGGCATATCGTTCAAATAGGAGTCAAATATCCTGTGTCCATCTCGATCCAACTCTATAGGAAGAGGAAGCGTGTTGAATGTGTCGATTCGCGCATCGCTGATCATAGTAGATGGTGATGGCATGAACTGATATGGGATTGTGGAGGGGGACGGCCATGAGAAATTGTTAAAATATAGATCATGGCTCGGAGAACTTTGTGGATGTACATCGACAAAGCCATCCAGTGGAAGAGGAACATCGTGAGATTGGGCAGAAGAGGGTCGGAAAGGGGGAAACGAGGGAATGTCATTGGATTCGATCAACGGAGGACCCGACGAGATAGGATCCGAAACAAACACATCGCAGTTAACCTCGATATTGAGGTCTTCTTTGCGTGTAGTTTGCTGCTTGCTGGTTGACCTCCTTGCCCGAGGTTGATTGTTATTGTTGGCACCGTCTGATTTCGATTTTTTGTTTGATCTTCGTTGCGCACCCTGAGTCTTCCTGGGCCTCCCACGTTTTGGTCGTGGTGCTTCCTCTTCACTTTCGCTTTGGCGAGCACCGCCTTTCTTCTGGCGCATATATTCTTGCATAACATGGCGCTTCACCTGGGTTAAGTTGGTTCGACTATTGTTCGAAGAGTCGATGAATTGCCACCGCACATTGGATGCGTCCGGCGCATTGTTGGCGGCCTTATCAAGAGAAATTGACATCTTTCTGATAGCCTACGTAAGGACAGGAGAAACAGATATGTGTAATAAGAACACAGGAGCCGTTCGTCTCCTTGTGGGGTAAAAGGAAGGACAGTATGGAGAAGTTTGATGGATATAATCGACGGGGCGAGTCCAACGTCCGCCCTTAAAAGGAAAAGATCCAAGAATAGAACAGCAAACTAACAATGGGGCAACTCTTTTCAAATCTTGATCTAACGTAAAAAGGATTATAGTAACTGCACAATGAAGATAAGTAAGGACAGTACATTAGTCGAAATGTGCTTCTCCACTCGTGCATCGTCTTTTGACGAACTAGACTAGACTGGAATAGCGGAGTTCCCAGCACGCCGGTCAACACGTGTGGAGATCAACGGTGCAGCGAGTCAGGGGCCGAGTAACCGCGTACGAGCGATGCAACTCTTGATAGATTGGGGGCCAAACGCGCTGGCATGTACTAGTGCCTCAGGGTCGATAAGATCATCCCTTGAACGGGCCGTGACAAAACCATTTTCTCATATTTTCCCCGCCATATTAGGCTAGGCGTGATCTATCAAGTCCATATTTTAGAGCAAGTAAACAGGGTCCATTACTCCATACGTCGAATCATCAATTCTGTGTACCCGGGTCTCTACCCGGCATTCTAGCCGGTCTGCAGTCTATTGCCCGTGAGTTGCCCTTGAGGTTACATATTGAAAAGGATCGTCATATAGTTCCCTCGCTTAGAGCATCACAGCTTTTTCATACCCTGCAATCTTTCGTATGTTGTACGGCGTGATGAACATTGCAGAGAACCACACGTGTGAAGAGAACCACACGTGTCAAACCTTCCTTAGGGCCTCGGGGAAGCTCCGTCCGTTAGTAGTGTCTTGGCAATTCGAATCGAAGCATTGCATGACTTTCCCAGCTGGTTGTGATTTGTTGTAGGAGAGCCTGTAAGGGGTCACGCACATCAATGGATACAGAGGACCCAGTTGACTAGGAAATTTAAATTGTTTTATTGTGGGGGCTGAAAGGGAGATCTCTGCAGGGGGGAAGTCCGGGAAGTTTCATAACTTCAACGGTGAGCTATCTGTGCTATTATTACCTAAATTTGCTGATGATCTCGTCTATATTGTATTATATGTCGCTTAATTGCGCTAGAATTGACGATCTACTCCGCATTATGCCATTGTAATGATGCAATATTATCAAATCTTCCTAGAACACTCCAAAAATGACTCTTTATTCAGTGACAAATACACCAGGCTTTTCTGTTGACCGACTACTCCAGTGGAGTATAAACGTTAGAGTTACGGAGTACACCGTAGGCTACAGAAACTATCAAATCGAAACTCTAAGCTCTAGATATCATTCTAGGGTTGCAGACTGAACTTTTGGAAAATTAAAGTATGAGACTAACCCCAATTCTCCGCCCCCACGCTTGCTTTTACGCTTGCCACATGCCCTCTTTGGTATCTTTTTAGTCGATCACCGGCAAATATTTGCCATACTCCGGGATATCCGTTCTACAAAAAAGCAATTATTCGCTCTTTTGTGCCGGATATGCGCCAATCCCATTCCATGCGAGGTAATCTACAGAGCATTGCTGGATTATCGAGACTCGCCCCACCCATGAGGTACATTCTCTAGACTGTTGGTGTGCTCCAGGGCACGCGTGGTGGCGTCAAAAATACTGTACTGGTCCAGACATGCTTTACCTAGGCGAATTTGCTTGAGCCACCATTCCACAAGAGTTTCAGCGTAAGACAAAACTTCGCCGGTGTTTTCCCCGGGAGTACCCTTTACCGGCAACGAAAGGCAATAGAACCCTAAGCTATGCAGGGCACTCTCACCAATGATGACATTCCCAATCTGTATCTTGCAAAGTACAAGGTTCATGATCTCCTCATCGCTTTGCCCATCACACGACATACTCTCAGGCAAATGCGCTGTAACCCAACGATAATCTGGCATGTCGTCGTGGGGATCTGCAATTCGGCCCCTGCCATTCATGAATATACTGGCTTGAAGTCTAGAATCGGACGTCATTCTGTAAGTTAGTAGAGACGTGCAATAATCTTTCTTTTTCTCTTTTTCTGTTTTTTCTTCAATTGGTTGATTGGTAGTAAAAAAATGCTCTCTGTGGGTTATGAGAGAGAAACGTGAGGGAACTGAGGCCTTCTATACGCTGAATACCGAGACGGTTTACAATGGCCTTTTCTAGTCTTTGACAAAGCTCCACAACAATCAGGTCTTTTACAGCCTTATGGATTCAAGTCTTTATACCCCGGTTTTCACTGATTTGTCTACAAAGGCCTTGGTTGTTCTTTGTTAGTTCACAACGATGAACATGACACTCACGGATTTTTTTTTGAGGATCAAACGTCTTTTAATTCAATTCAATTCAGTTCATTCATCTCATCAATGCAGGTGGGCACGTTTCATTAATCCGTATGTTGTACCCACAGGAAGAATAGTATGTACTATGATACTGGTCCAGGTTCGTACATCGGCTATGGATTTTATCTATCGCCCGTGCATTGTTCCCACTAAAGTCCCACAATGTGATATCCACAGGGGTCATTTGAAATTTTAGTGTCTAAAGAAAACGAACTAAGGGGTAAATTTGTGGACTACATACACTGAAGTCCTCGGGTACAGCCGACGTCTCTCCTCGGTTACAACCGATCTCCCCTATTTTCCTTTCGGCTACTCCCGAGCGAAAAAGCTCCCAGCTTGGACATGTCGGCAAATTGCATAGAGCGGGATCTGATTATCTTCCGGTCTTGGAGTAGGTATGTAGTAAGATGAACCCCCGCTGATCGTCAAGGATTATTGAAAATCTTTATGCATGTAGTTTGATCTTACCATAAAGCAAGAAAAGCCGACTCCATCACTCTGAAACTTGGATAATCTGACAGTTTCAAAGTAGAAATAGCGATTAAAACAAGGTATGGGAACTGAAGCATATACTACTTTTGGCCATGATCGCCTTGGTGGAGTGTGGTGCTATTGTGGAGTTGTGCCCTAAAAACGGTTAGCGGAGCTACTACAACGCCCAAAGGATAATATAGTAAGTCAGCATCAGCAGGTCGGCTAGCTCAATTCCTTTATCCCGCTACGTATTGGCCAAAATAGCCGGTCAACTATTCTGTGCATGGGGCCCTAAACAGCTACTTGTCGGGCGAAATAGCGTGTGAGATCGATTTTCAAACAAGGACAGGGTATCCCAGCAAGGCCTAAGGAGTAGGAAAAAACAGCCCCCACGCAGGATATACATATTGGAGTATATTTCAAGATATTAGAGGTAGGCCATAGCTCCACATATTGAGGGCAAAGACTGGGGTAGAGGGGTTAAAAGGAGATTCGGACCCGAGGTTAGCCCGTCTATTCCACTATCGGCGTAAATGTACATTGTATTTGGGTCAGTTGGACACTTAGTTGAACAAGTTCATTTTGATCAACCTACCATACGCGTACAGCAATGCAGTTAAACGAACGGGATTAATAAGAGTGATACTAAGGGTCCACGGATCCTTTGGAAGTGGCTTTTCCCTACAGTCTGGCGCCTTCCCCTTTGGGGTTGGCTCATGTTGGCCGGAAATTTCCACTTGAGTGAAATAAATATTCCCTTTGTATCTTGGACATCTGTGGAGAATATAAGTCTAGCCTGCTTGGGAAAATGAGCTTCAAACACACGCATGGTTGGGCATATACAAAGTAGGGACTGACTTGCCATGAGTTCTAATTTGAGCTATACCTATATCTACATATACGGAGTAGACACAGAGTATACCTCAGGGAAAGCGGTTCGCACTCGTTAGCGCGTCAGTTAGTTGCAGTCCCTAGTCCCTCAGGTACCTGCGTTTTGCAGGGGCCCGTTTAATAGATGAGCACATCATCAATGGCCAATGGAGCTATCTCAGACGCGGTATATCCCGACAAAAGAAGATCATTTACTTCTTTAGTCACACCTGCCTAGCTCAGCAAGCTCTAGTATCTTTGATACCCTCTTTCATTTACTAGGATAAGTTTCGCTCCAACTATTGGCCCAATCTGGCAGGGCACTCTAAACTACTATGCAGGCCACCGGCTGATAATTTGGCTCCTGTGCCTTACACCCGGGAACTGCCCGGTTCTATTTTTACTTGAAACGTCTCGCCACATGGTGGTAGATGGCTGTATCCCGCCACTCGAGGATCTTCGATTGCTGATCTCTAAAATCCTGTTACATACAGGAAGAAAACCGATGTAGGATCAACGGCAGCCCATTGCGGATGGCTAGACCATTACGCAAGTCGATTGTGATCCTCTGTGATAAGAACTACGCAGTTATCATTCTTGCCAATGGATTTCTATATGTCACATAGATGTGGAACATGCCTCGCTTGCTAACCTGCTTGTGGGGTTATATCATCTGAAACAATGGGAAGTCGATCACCCTTCCTCTTAGATTTGGCAGACCTGTGTCCACCTCTATCTTTGGAATGACATTCCATATTGAAGAGAGCTTGGTGAGATGCCAGTGATACACTTGGCCTGAGCATAAATAAAGCAATTGGACATGACCTAAACACATTCCCCGTCGAGAAGGCTCCATTGTTCGCTATCTGGGCTCCGACGGTTATTATCATCTACTGAATCCTTGCATTTGGCTGGGGTTTACATTACCACATGTCTCCGACTTTATAAATGGTGAACATGTACATACCCATGGTGAAAGCATATTGCCATCCCACTCACGCTTCAATTCGTTGTAGGGTTTTGCATGTAAAAGATTCGGCATAAGTACCCTCTTAGCTCTCTGACTTACTACACCCTTTCAATATTCAGCGCGGGGTTCTAATTTAGCACATGTGCAAAATAGACAATACACTCTTGCAAACCACATCGAGCGTAACTACACGAGAGCTACCTACCTAGCTGAATGTGTGGCTATCTATCTACCCACATGCCTTGGGAGTGGGAAGCAAGGCACAGCAATAGCACATATTCGACACATATGCGTCTCATGAATGAATATATTATTTATAATGACACAATGGAAAACTTGAAGAATGATGGGGTACACAATGCAAGTTATTGATGTTCCAATGACACGAGCATTTGGATCTGAAAGGCAGCGAAGAAAATGCAGCATCGATATCAGAATTACGCGTTTCTAGACCTATTCGCAGAAGCGGAAGGTTAATGTTGTCAGATCTCGTACTCTAGAGCTTCCCTATATCAGTACTGGTAAGGTAGCGGTGCCAGACGAGTGACGCTAATATTATCTTTTTTCTTGTCGTAGAGATATCTTGTTGAACATATTAGTGACAATCAAACATTAAAGTGATTTGACCCAAATATCTTGCTCTCTCCAGGAACTTATCCGTGGAGGAGTAGAAGTGAAATTGGATAAGTGAAGTAGACTGACCAGGTGAAGTCAAGTAGTCGCCGCTGTCGCGTGCCCGGGATCTGCTCACCGCCTTCGCGCTCAGTCCGCAACTCCGACAATGTTCAATCCAGACCTCAAGGCGCTAGACATTGAATCAAGCTGGAATCAAACATTCTGTATATTCAAGGGAGGGTTTCAGATTGTTTGCCTCTCATAACTACCAAGCAAGTACCCTCGGCGAAGACATTGGACCAGACCCCATCTCTTCGATCAGCGGTGGGATCGCGGCAACCCTTCAACCCCGTGAGAATTCAACAGTCAACACAAGACCACCGAGAGTACTTTCCCAATCGCAGCAGTGGGATCGCGCAGACTAGAAAAACCCCGAAAACCCATCTGCAAGACCCTACACCCTCGGTGCAATCCACATGATGTCTCCGGCAGTCTCGGTGGAACTTATATCGGTTTAGTTTTGCCCGCGCGATCTTCGCTCGCATCTTTGAACCTCGCAGGACTCCACACAAGCTTCATTTCTCACAAATACAAAAGGGAATTATTACGGAGCTATCATCTCGAACCTGCGCACAACACACCTCTCCGCTCCACTTGTGACAGCCATGGCGGAGATGGAGGCGGCCGCCGGCGCAAAGCACGTGAACGGCTCCGCGGCCACAAAGTCCACAACCAACCCCTACGAAACCAACCCTGATCACATTCCCAGCGATGACCCGTTTCTGCCCCAGAGCGCGCAGTATGGCCGCTACACACCCCGCGCCGACGATTTCACCCCTCGCTTCATGAACTGGTATCGGTCTGACCCGGCCGTGAACTCGTTCTGGGAGAAGGTCGCGCAGCAATACTGTACCCCGGAATACTCACTCAATATCTCAGGGCCGAGGGAGGCATTCGCGGCCGGGAGTATAATTATTCGGGTTGACCGCGAACTGGCCGATGGAGCGGCGGCTGAGGGATACTCATCTGCGAATGCGAATGAATTGTCAGCCGCGCAAAAGGCAGAGGACTCGCTCAGAGAGATTGGAGTCGCAGTGCCAGTGGTATATTTTTGCGGGACCATTGAGGGGAGGAACGTGACAATCGAGTCCCGCATTGCGGGCGTCTCGCTGGAAGTTGCGTGGAGGTACCTCGACACGGAGCAGATCGAAGTTTTCAAAAACCAGTGTCGCCAGATCCTCCAACGACTCGGAACAATCGATTCTCCCCCGGACGAACCGTCCTACATATGCCGTGAACTCAATTCCCAGATTCCGCCCTCCGTCGAGCCTCGCGAACGAGATATCCTATTCACAGACAAAAGCAAGGAGGAGGAGCTATCTTTGACACACAACAACTTCATCCCGAGCAATATCATTGTCCAGGATAATCGGGTGGTGGGGATTGCTGGGTGGCGACAATGTGGATATTTTGGCACCGTTAGAGCTAAGAAGGTCCATCGACTCTTCAGGGATCTTGACACTGCGCCTCAAAATGGCGTGGCCAGTTCCGAGAAGAGTGTGACTTGGACCGACCTCTACGATGGTGACTATGACCCCAGTAAGGGCATTCCGCTGGTCGCAAACCAAGATACACCACTGCCGTCAGTTAAAACCGAACCTACAAGCTCTACCCTCGACAAATTCCCAGCTAGCGATGACTTGGACACAAATTCACTAGGTCTCGATGGCACGGGCGACTACGCGACGTCAAAAACAGTGGCGAATCTCAAGCACGGGCTGACATCAAGAGCGTCATCGTCCGACCGGTCCTCCCCAGCAAATTCCGTCAAACCAGCAAACAAAAAGCCCACAACAACCACTAGCAAAAAGGGAACTGCAAAGAAACCTGCCGCCAAGAAGCGCAAGGTGAATGACCCGGACGCAGACAGCGTTGATGGGCGACGTTCCAACACACCAGTTTCCCGGGCCAGCAAAACACCCGCCAAGAAGCAAAATTCTGTCTCGATAGCAGGGTCACCACCCCCGAGGAGAAGAAGAAGCCACAGAAGAAGAAGAAAAAAGGGCCCAAACCAGCTGCTGCGCAGGACAACGACGATTCCGACAGCTTTGATGAAAATGCGATCTTCTGTATCTGCCGCCGACCCGATAACCATACGTGGATGATCGGGTGTGACGGCGACTGTGATGACTGGTACCATGGGAAATGCGTCAATATCGATCCTCGAGATGCGGATCTGATCGAGCGGTATATCTGTAAGAGTCATTGAGCGACGGCTCTATTATATTTAAAACTAACTTCATACACTAGGCCCGAAGTGCGCAAGTGAAGGAAAAGGATGCACAACCTGGAAACCGATGTGCCGCCTGGTCGAATGCCGGAAACCGGCGCGCGCCAAGACGAAGCCCCCGAGTAAATACTGCTGCGATGATCACGGCCGGGAATTCATGCGTCAACAGACTCAGCAGCTTAAACAGCGTGCCGGTCAGGCGAACGGTCTCTTTGAAGACCTGGGTAGCATGGGTGGCATTCTTACAGCTGGAGACCTGAAAGCTGCCATTATGGGGGTAGCATCTACACAAGAATTCCGAAATCTCGGAGATCGCATCATCTCCCCGCCGCCACAGGTAGACGAAAACGAAACTGCCGTCGCTGGAATCAAGGCTGAATCAAAGCCGCAGAGCGGCAGATGGTTGGGAGTCGACGTCCATGCCGTTGGCATGGAATACTCGTCCGATGAGATTGCGAAGATCGAAAAGCTGCGCACGCAGCGTGAGGAGCTACTTCATCGCAAGGAGATGCTTGCTGCACGCACGACGTTTGTCTCGCTTCTCAAGCCACGCGCCAAGGGCGTAGTAGAGAAACTGAAGCAACACGAGCCGAAGGGTGGATGGAAAGATATCTGTGGCTTTGACTCGCGGCTCTCGTGGTCCGACGAAGAATTCGACGAATGGCGACTCTCCGACGCTGGAAAGAAAGCTCTCACGGAGGGAACAGCCGAAGCTTTGGCTGTGAGCTCCTCGGCTGGCACCGATGCAGACGGGGACACAGCGATGAACGGCGACGGTGATGACGATATCGCATTTTGGACGCGTGGCGTCTGCACGAAGAAGCGGTGTGAGAGACACAAGCAGTGGGTCAAGGTGCAGCAGCAGGACATTCTCTTCGAGGAGGAAACGGCAGAGCAGGACCTCGCCAAGTGTGAGGAGGAAGCTCGATCTGTGGTGGAGCGGGGTGTGATGAGACGATGGGCCGAGAAGGATAATCAGGCTTGAATGCCGAATGGATTTCTTCCAAGGCCAGCTGGATCCCACAGAACAAAAGCTTGATACCCCTTGATTGCGGAGAGGCAAAAAAAAAAGCTCATGGACTGGAGTTGGTATTTTGCAGATTTTAATAAAGCAGGATGGTAGTGGCCGGGTTTTTGGGCCAATTGCATACAAAGCGGCGCTTTGCGAGGGGTGGATCTGTCTTGTTTGAGAATATTTTTTTGTAAGAGTATGCACAATTGCATCGAGATCGATCAAGGTCATCTTTTTCTGACAGCGACATCATGGCAAATGGTATACCATTCATTGCTCGTTCCATATTCCCCATTTGCCTAGACTCGTACCAACTCGATCTTTGATCACTTCGACTATCTGAGCTCCTCTCAAATCAGAAAGCAACAGATGGGTATCGATGCCTTGGTCTAACGTCTTCATGAGCAAGGTGGGGAACAGGGGGGAATATCCGAATGGAAGATGGAGTGAATGCCATCTTCCAGCGGCTGTCTCGCAGCACTATCTCCATGTGTAGTAGTATTTCCAGCCGACGGTTTATTTTTATCCCACTCTGGGTTCGTTGTGCCCAGTCCGTTAGTATTGACAAGAATGATCGAGAGATGAGAGGCATGCACACGAGACAAGCGCGTTAAGGTACGGAGTGTAGCTGTCAGAACGGCCGCACCTCGAGCCGGGTTGGAGGCTCGAATTACTCCTTCGGTGAGGGTATCGAGGCCAGCAACAATAAGGACAATACGATTGTCGGTGGATGGGCTTGTCTCGGTCGGCTTTCTCTGTCGTTCTCGCTTTTCTTGGATCTCGTGCAGCGCTTCCGAGACCTTACCGATCGCCTGTGCGGCATTGGTAAAGTTGTGCACAGGAAGTAACTGCACAGAGTCAAGTCTACGGATTGCATCATCCCTGGATAAAGCGGGTTGGTCATGGGAAGAAGACTGCAGCTCATTGAGTAGAGTCCTTGGGGCAAAAGCGTCGAAACTTCGCGGGTGGATAATGAACGCGCTCGACTCAGATGATGGTTGGATGCTCCGCAGTTGGTTTATGAGAATATATCGAGGGATCTATGGTTATATTAGTCTCATTCACAATGTACAGCGAGCGGTATTGAGTCGGTCATACCTGTCCGATATACTCGTTGCTTTCGTTGCTTCTCATTCGCAGCCTGGAAAAGCCGAGGACAACCCCGCACCGAAAGACTGCCTCTTTGGAGGATTGGATGCCCTTCTTCCAATCAGTTTTAAGGTTCCAGTCATTTTTTGCGGTTCTCTCATTTGAAGGAGCAGCTGCATTTTCGGTTAACTCTGACTGTCGGAGTAGAGAATCAGCAAGGACCGGGAATGCAGGCTCTGCCGAGTAGACATTTTGTGCGCTTGCCATCCCCGTGTACAAAGCCTTGCCAAGTTGCTATGGATTTGATATCAGGATATAAGTAGAAGAAGCGAAGACCGAGAGGTTGATGGTGGAGACAAACGCGAAAGTGGATATCCCCGATTTGGTCTAGCCTCACCCATGAGCTTCCCTCTGTTTGATCGGCTCTACTTGAACGTTCAATCCGAAATATTATTTTTTGATATTGCTCTTGATCATGAAGGAAAAATTCCCTGTATGATGGTGAAAAAAAATAGAGAATAAGATGATAAAGATACATTTCTGTGGGAAAATGGTCAAGCTCGCCTCCACACTCCACGCCCATCATGCACCCAGCCCCCGTCCCCGATGACATCGTCCAAAATGACTAGCAGATCCTGCCGCATGGGCTCCACATGCAGGTCGCCGCACCTGAACTCTTTCAAGCAAGGCAGATTATTCACAGTATACCCAACCAGAGAGTACGAAGTTGCGAGTTCCATCCATGGATCGTTAGGGTCCATGGACCCTCGTTGTTCAAGTTCGGTAATATGATTGTCCTGAGAGGGAGCCAACTGTACATCCAGGCGCCGCAGACGACGCATCCTCACAACAGCATCCAGTACAATTTGCGAGTGATTGTAAAATGGAAACACAGCTGTGTAGGAAAAGGATGTGAGGCCGCGTAAGAGAACTGGGAGGTCGATTGGGCGTTGAAGCGTACGGGTTGATCCGCGTATCCCACTTGTACCCCATTCTGCAAGCACCGATGGGACACAGGAAAGGAAGTACTCGTAGTGGTTGTATGCTTTCAGAGAAGATGACTCGTTAAACGTCATCGATGTCCAAGGTCGTGAGGCTAGAAGACTAGTACAAGTCTCCAAGTCAGGCAGTTGGGATGGGTCACGAGGTTTGCACTCTCGTTCCAAAAGTAAGATCTGTAGGGGCATATCAAAGGCCCAGTGGTGTCCATTATTGATCGGGGTAGCTAGAGTGTTGCCAATGAAGATTGGCGGCCCTATTACCAGAACATGACGAGGGTCTAGATAGCGGAGGACTCGGCGCCACCAAAATGGGTCTGCCTGACGATCTGGGTTTTCATCCGCGATTGCGACGAGAGATGTCACATATTGACAGAGATCCGACTTGATCATAAAAGAGCGGAAGTCGGGTTCATCATGAAGGTTGAGCCGGACATGAGTGAACAGTTGAGGTCGCACCAGTAGAAATAGGCGCCGTGAGCACAGTTCGAGATGCTTGAGGTCTTTTGTGGGAGACTGGGTGAGTCGCAGACTGGGTGTATGATGTAGTTGTCCAAATGACGGTGGCTCCGTGGATAAGTAGAAGATAATCTGGTCTAGGAGCTCATTGGGAAGAAGCTCCAATGGAGACGTTGGCACAGACATGGCAAATTGCTCATGCCGAGGGCCTCGCCCCACATTACTATGACAGTTGGATATCCAGTACTGCCCAATATGACAGTATACCTAGAGTGCACTAGTAGAGTAGATGGAAGTAGTTGTCGGCTGAGGGAATGAAAGTGAAGTGCCGGGCTTCCCCACTCCAATCGATGGGCTGGCTCCACTGAACTCTTTGTAATCGGTGACTCAGCAGATGGTCTTTCCAAGGTTCAAATGGGATTTTGTAAAATGAGAGTTGTTGTATTTGTGTGAGTTCTGTTGAAAGAGAAGTTGGAAGAAGGATTAGGGGGATAGGACAAATAGGTACAATTAACAAGGGACCTACAGAGAATGTATAGAAGCGGGCAACATCATGGTCCGTGCACTCTAATAGATTCGAGACATGTCCGAGGATACACAATAACTATATTAGAATAATATCAGAATAATATCAGAATAATGTGGAACAATTTCACTGTTCGATTGCCAAGGAACCCCCCGCATTGTCATATGTATTATCATGTACCAGCTTGCATCCATATAGGCTCTTCAATCTGTCCTCGATTGCTATTAGCCTAACCGCCCAAAACAACATTGGAAGGAGATCAGCACAGAAACTACAAATAGGAGGAAACTCGCAGGCCAAGTCAGCCAATTCCGCCAAAAATGTGGAGAGCCTCAGCGCTTTGCTGTGGGGCAATGCCTATCACGGCTGGATACGTTGTAGAGCGCCTCGGATGAGATGGCAATGGCAATGCCATGCCCCTCTTTTCATTCATCCGTTTCCCAAACTTCCTTTCTTTCTTCTCCAGACAATTATTTGTTTTGGTAGATCTCTAAGGTAAGATACTGTCGCATCTTCATAGAAACAACGCTCATCATCTCTCGCAGTTAATCTACATACTCCGTTCACAATGGCTCCTCAACTTCACCAGCGTCCCCCTTTCCGCGCCGAGCACTTGGGCTCTCTCTTGCGTCCGGACCAGCTTCTGGATACCAAGCTCGCTTTTGAGGCCGGCAAGATCCCCGAGTCACAACTGACCGCTTCCGAGGACAAGGAGATTAAGGATATCGTTGAGACCCAGCAGAAGCTTGGCTATGCCGCTTTGTCTGACGGCGAGTACCGTCGTCACAGTAAGAGATCCGGAGAGCCATTTGGTGAGTCGCGTTGACAGATTTAGTGTTCTGGGGTACTTTCTTCCCTGGTTTGGACGGCTTCGAGGAGGTCAACAATGTCGATGTGGATGACTTCCGTCCCTATGCCCCGGATATCGCCGCATTTTTGGAGGCCGGCCACAAGCCCGGTGAGAGCGTCATCTGTACCGGCAAGATCAAGCACGTTGGTAGCACCTACATCAACCAGTTCAAGTACCTCGCCAGCCAGGTCCCTGCCAACGAAGTCGGAAACCTGAAGATCACTCTTGCCGCGCCTAACTGGTACCACCTGCGCTACCGTGAGGGCAAGGCTTACCCCAAGTCTGTATACACCAACGACGAGGATTACTTCGGCGACATCGCCAAGGCCTACCAGGCCGAGCTCCAGATTCTGTATGAAGCCGGCTGCCGTAACGTCCAATTCGATGACCCTAACCTGGCCTGTAAGATGTACCCATTCAGCCAATGTCGATTAACTAAACTAACCTTTCACTCAGACTTCTGCTCTGATAAATTCCTCACTGGCTTCAAGGAGGACCCTCTGAATGTGTACTCGGCCGATACCATGTTCGAGAAGTATATCAAGCAGTACAACGACTGCTTCGCGAACCTGCCCGCCGATATGCATGTCGGTGTTCACCTATGCCGCGGTAACTTTGTCGGCAGCCGCCACTTCTCCGAGGGCGGCTATGATCGTATCGCCATCAAGCTCTTCCAGGAGCTGAATGTCCACACCTACTACCTCGAGTACGATACCCCCCGTGCCGGTGGTTTCGAGCCTCTCAAGTTCCTGCCCACCCACAAGAACGTCATTCTGGGTGTTGTCACTAGCAAGTTCGCCAAACTTGAGGACAAGGAGGAGATGAAGAAGCGGGTCATTGATGCTGCTAAGTTCATTGCTGAGGGGAACAACATCTCTCTCGATGCTGCACTTAACCAGGTTGGTGTTAGCCCGCAATGTGGTTTTGCTTCCCATCGTGAGGGTAATGCTATCGACTGGGACGGTATGATCAACAAGCTGCAGCTGGTCCGTGATATTGCCAACGATATATGGCCCAACCAGGCTTAAACTTGGTGTTTATGTGTAAACAGTAAAGTCCTTTTTCTGTCTTTTTAGCTCTTTAAAATTCTGGCCAAGAATGCCGTTCACCCCGTTACTTTTCAACAAGTGTAACAGGGCTTACAATTTTGGTTTTGCGTGGTGCATTTTTACTAGATGGCTTGGACGAAGGTTACGATATTTGTTTGGACGAGTACTTGATTTCTTTATTTTTGAATATATAGTCAACAAGCTTCTTTTCAGTCCAAGTTCTTTTCCCCCTCTTATTATAATGCAACGATCAACAACGGTCTCTGTCTGCTTACATGAAACGCCATTCATGGGCAACACTGGCATTTTGATTGCCCCCCGATATCAAACAGCCTGCATCAAGGACCTTGCCACTTCAAGCTTTTGAGGCATAACAATCTTCTCTTTAACCAGCCTATCGATAACACGCACAGTCCAACCCTGACAATTCTCCGTCACAGACTTCCGATTCTCCGCTTGTGGGGGAAGCTCCTCCTCTGCAGCCTGTTTCACTAGCCTCGCCGCCCTGGCCTGTTCTTGGGACACAACAGCCAGGATATAGATGTTGGAAGTGAGGCTAGTGTCAACTAGATTGATCTTATCAGCCGACGGGTCGTATTTCATATCCTGTGCATCTCCTGTGACTCGGTAAACATAACCGTATTCAGGCTCGTTTTCGTCGGCAAGGAAGAGTGCCCAGTGGTTGGGTTCTCCGGGGTCTTGTTCTTCTTGGACGAGATAGAGATACAGATGAGGGTTTTCGACCGGTGGTTTCAATTCCTCCGGGTTGGACTTGTCCTCGGTCCACTCCTGTGCACCCCTCTTCCTGAAAAATGTACGGCCATCGACCTCGCACACTTCTCTGAAACCCCTTGTCTTGATGGTAGTCCCCGGCGGTGGAAAGTCGCTCATAGTCTGGGAGAGTTGGGTATTAGTATACTGTTTCCCTATGAGTGTGAGCAGACTGATACCTGTCGTAAAACCTGCTGTGGATAGTCAATTTAGTTGAGGTTCTTGAACCGACTTTGGTCTTGTTTTTTGAAGTTGTGGAAATAATGGCCTGTGCAATGGTAGATAGAGTCAGATGACGAAACCAATCAAATGTATCAAATGCAGGGATCTCTCTTGGGGCTCTTTATCGCATTTCTACGTCATTGAGGGACTACCGTTGAAGAATATATACGTACCAAGATGATTGAATCTCCAATTGCCTATTAGGAAAAAGACAGAAACCTGAAGACCTCGACATAAACGACTCTTCTCGTTGGCGTTTCCAACTAACCTGCTACCTCTCTCATATAGCGCAAAACTTCGATATTTTGGCAACAAGTCAATTTTAGAATGGCTTATACCTAACTATTTTGAATACTAGAAACATCTAGACAAAGCAATTCAGCTCAATTTAGTATGCTAAGTCAATATACATCTCCCACCACCGGAGTGGAAACCAACGGGTTAATCCGCCGGTCCCTCAATGTTACCCTCCTTGATGTTGGAGCTCTTGTGGGTGTGCATGTTCTCGATTTTATAGCGCGGCTCGTCATCTGTCGAGCTACGGCCTCCCTTCATTTCACGAATGACTCCGACGCTTTTGCTGGTTCTGGATTGCGCGCCTATTGTATTTTGTTAGATGGTGGTTCAATTGGACATGTGTCTGTATCTTATAGAAAAAGGTTGCACCATACCGCCGACCGGCTTGTAACTAACTTTGTCTCCTTCTTTGTAACGAGGATGCATTGGTGCCGTTGGAGTCGATGGGTATAGTGGTAGTGGCAGTGGTAGTAGCAGGCGTGTGGACTTGAATATTCCGGGAATATGTACTGAATTGTACAAGTTTGCGTGCACAAATAGTAGGGCAGTCTTTCGGTATTTGTAGATAAAAAGAGTATCTTGCAAGAACCAACCCTAAACTATCATTCTATTTATATTTGCCCATGACGGGGGAACAAGTTCCGCTATCGTCATATTGAGGTAGCGGGAGAAACAAGTTGACTGGGTTGGAATTGATTCATGGCTATATGAACATCTGGATCTAATCCGGAGGTCGGCTCCGTGGAAACGACGAGATGCGAATTTGATCACGCACTTTAATCAGCAGTATGTCATTTGTTTCTATTTTCTATACCCAAGGCCAGAACTTGTCTGCCCTGTCTCCGCTGTAGGCAATTATGTGCATAAGGAAGCGCATCCACAATTGACCGAGGATATACAAACAATAACAACGCTAGGTGAGGAGCACAATGAAATTAAAGTATTAAATTGGACCCAACAAGCCCATATAAGAACAGAGGGGATATCATAGAAGTGAAGATAAACAATGGAAAAAGCAACGAGATAACTAAGGCCAACAAAAGAAAAGACCAAGGAAATAAAAGCCCAAAATGCTGCGTCGTCTTGTCATCAAAACACGGACATGAAGAGAAAAGAGGAAAACACTTGATAATGCGAGATGTTGTACAACGAAGCTGCTCTAGGAGCGCCTCTCGAAATCACAGCGGTGTATCTTATTTCTGGGGCTGGGTCTTGACATTGTTTGAGAGCCAGGCCTAGCAAGAGATAGCACGGTTAGATTGAGATTTCCAAGTGGATAGATCAGGGATACGACTTACAAGACCCTCGAAAATACCTGTTCCATCTGTTGCAACACTGGGCGCAACGTACCACAGCTTGTCCTTGAGCTTAGTCAATTGAAGCTGCTGAGTAACTTCCTCCGGGCTCAAGTCTAGAAGTGGGTCAGCGGACAGATTCATCGAATTCCAGGAACAGGAGATACGCACGGCCAGGAATATCTTGCTTGTTGGCGAACACCAGTAGCAGAGCATCCTTCATTTCACGATCGTTGATAATCTTGTGCAGTTCCGAGCGAGCCTCCTCCACACGGGCTGTATCGCTGGAGTCAACCACGAAGATCAATCCTTGTGTACCGGAGTAATAGTGTCTCCAGAGCGGTCGGATCTTGTCCTGACCACCGACATCCCAGACGTTGAACTTGACATTCTTGTAGGTCACGCTCTCGACGTTGAATCCGACGGTGGGAATGGTAGTCACGTCCTGGTTGCTGAGTTTAAGTTTGTAGAGAATTGCTGGAAGGAATGTTAGCCAATCTTGACCGAGGTCTCTATTTAAGGTCCAGGAAATCGTACTCGTCTTTCCAGCAGCATCCAAACCCAACATGAGGATACGCATTTCCTTGGTCCCGAAAATCTTCCCCATCATTTTAGATACTTGTCCACCCATTTTTGCGGGATTTGACGCGGTGTCCGACGTGCTCAGGAGCTGTTTGGCGGAATATCAACAATTGCGACCCGCGTATGAATTGCGGGTTTGGAAGAGAGAATGGAAGACACCAGACGTTTCCGTACAAAGTGACTTCAATTCAGATGACTCCGCCAACGAAAGGATAGAAAAAAAGAGAAAAGAAGGAGTGTTGGTGCGTGAGGATCTTCAATTCAATTTCCATGAGGCGGGGGAACCTAGAAAAGGGGCTTGGGCTGAGCTTACTCATCATGGAGTCTCCCCGGCCCACGAGGTACACGGGGCAGTTTCATCCTCGTGTGAAGTTTCATATATATCAATACTTCGAACTTGTTGTATCCATTGTTGGATTGATTTTATGGGCAATGGAAGTCCATACATGTCTATCAAATCAAAATACTTCTCCGATGCCATTAAATGGTAAGAGCCAACCGCGGTTGTGACCTTTCCTGCTGAGGACCATCATTCAAGGCACCGGATGAACCATTACTCCGGCTGTATATAGTGTAGCATGTCACCTCTCTTAGAAGATACTCACTCAATGACACTTACGCTTTCTACTACATACACATCCAACATAGTTAGAGTATCACCGCCTTATTTCTTAAGGCAACACTATGAACCTGTTTGGAATTGGTCCTTGAGAAAGCCACTAAGAACTGTTTACTTGATCGTTAGAATTGTTGTGACGTCATGACCAAATGAAGTCACCTATGGCATCATGGGGTTTACCATACGTAGCTGATAGCTACTTTTTTTGATTTCATTACTTGGATAATTGTTTTTGTTTGAAATTCCTAAGAATCATGCCCGGCGGAGGACACAAGTTCGAACGCCATGCCTCAGTCACGCAGCAGCGTCGACTGGCGCTACAGTACGAGCGCCACGCTTGGTCAGGACCGCCGTCAGATGTATGGATATTCCTGAAGTAGCAGTAAAAGCCACTTCTCGAATTGTCAATACTAACAGAAATACTAGAATATCTACGCCGGTATTTCCAGCAACTTTGAAGATCACTATACATCAACTATAGCTATCGCAATCCGCGACACCACATATTTACTTGACTTCATCGAGAAGCAGTTCTCAAACGGTCAAGCCTCGGCAGAGGAGGCCACTGACTTCGTCATTTCCGAACTGAAAGCGTATTCCATGCATCATTTGGAGAAAATTGTTGGGATATCAATGCCTGAACATGTTGCAAAGCACTGCCCTCGACTGTGCCCTCGCCTTTGGGCGGAGCTTGACATCGTTCCATTGGTACTGTCGAACGCAACTCTAATAGACAGAGTCAGTGTCGATCAAGCTAGCGAGAACCGAAACCCGGCAGCTAATGGATGGAGTGAAAAGACCATCGACGAACAGGCAGAATCCATGGCACGAAAAGGTGTTAGGTTGGTTGGTCCCATCCAATATCATAAAGGAGTCATTGAGTCTAAGTGCATACAGACTATTTGGACCGGAAAACACGCCCCTGCTACAAGTGGGCTTCCTCGGGCTCGTGGAAGTAGACACAGCTTACCATGTGCGACTTGCGGACCTGAGTGATTTTCAGAAAACAGTGTCCGATAGAACTTGGACCGCAGTGCAACGCCACGCCGCTGAACTAAAATCACGCAATGTCAAAGTCGCATTTTTCAGTGCCACGCCTCAGGGTGGTGGCGTGGCTTTAATGCGGCATGCTCTCTTGCGATTTTCACATTGTCTAGGCACTGACATCAAGTGGTGTGTCTATGTCTATATATATATATATATATATGTCATTGCAAGAATAAACACTAACTCAATACTCCTAGGTACGTCCCGAAGCCACGCCCAGGCGTCTTCCGGGTAACCAAAACAAACCATAATATCCTGCAAGGTGTCGCCCATCCAGACGAGCGTTTAACACCAGAGAATAATAAATTTCTGCAGGACTGGATTGAGGAGAATTCTAGGCGATACTGGACCCGATTAGGTGGACCTTTGCTTCCACCATCAGAAGGTGGTGCAGATGTCATAATCGTCGATGATCCCCAGATGCCAGCCCTCATTCCCATCGCAAAGAAACTAGCTCCAAATCGACCAATCATCTTTCGAAGCCACATCCAAATCCGAAGTGATCTAGTTGCGATACCGGGCTCCCCACAGGCGGAGGCCTGGGAATTCCTGTGGGATCATATTAAACACGCCGACCTCTATATCAGTCACCCTGTGAGCGCTTTCGTGCCACGGAATGTGCCCCAAGAGATGGTAGGCTATATGCCTGCAGCAACTGACTGGTAAGGGCTGAGCAGCCTGATAATCTGCTTTCATCTTTCATCTCACTGACGGGGACATAGGTTGGATGGGCTTAACAAAACTATGCGAGACTGGGACATCGCGCACTATAGCCGCATGTTCAATTCAGCCTGTCGCAACGTTGATATGCCAACTATTCAATGGCCCGAAGGTTAGTAGCCGGGCCAGCACCAGTGAAGATGATCAGATTCCTCAGTGAAAACTAACATAATATAGATTCATATATCGTCCAGATCGCACGGTTCGACCCGTCAAAAGGTATCGTGGACGTGTTGATTTCCTACGAGAAATTTTACAACAAACTAGTAGCCGAAGCACCTCATATGGTCCCTCCCAAACTAGTAATTTGCGGACACGGATCAGTGGACGATCCCGATGGAGGGCATATCTACGACGAGGTAATCGACTACCTGGACACAAAAGTCCCAGATATCCGCCATCTGATCTGCGCGTTGCGGGTGCGGCCCTGCGACCAAGTCCTAAACGCCATTCTCTCCAAAGCCACCGTCGCACTGCAACTATCTACATCTGAAGGTTTCGAGGTAAAGGTCTCTGAGGCAATCCACAAAGGCAAACCAGTCATCGCCACGCGTGCCGGCGGCATCCCGCTGCAGGTTGAGCACGGGAAAAATGGGTTCCTGGTTGATGTTGGCGATACCGATGCTGTGGCGCAGCGCCTGTTTGAGCTCTGGACAGATCACGATCTGTACCACCGCATGTCAAAGTACGGCATCCGTAATGTAAGTGATGAAGTGAGTACCGTAGGAAATGCTCTCGCCTGGTTCTATCTCTCTGCCAAGTTGTCGCGCGGCGAGTCTGTTCGGCCCAATGGACGTTGGATCGATGATATGGCATTCGAAGAGCTCGGTCTCCCTAACAAAGACCACAAGTTGCGGCTCAAACGCGCCGTCAAGGTGGGGCAAATGGGCTAATTGTACTTTTTGTCTGACTCTCCTTCAATCATTAGCAGTATGTATATACAGAAAAAGTCCATACCCTCTGCCATTGGGCATAATTAATTAGTATGCAAGTCGATACCAAAAAACACAATATCATTAAAAAAGTAGCAAAGGGGGGTATCACAAAACCAGGAAAAGAAACCAAAGAACAAAACCCACCAACCTCTCTCAAGGCCGCCCAACAACCCGATACCTCTCCCTAGCCATACCCCCCTCTGCCCCCTCAACACCATATCCCTCCCCAACCTCCCCGACAATCCTCGCCGGCCTCCCACCGACAATACACCAACTCGGCACAACCATACCAGGCGGGACGACCGCGCCATCAAGCACATAAGCATAGTCCTTAATAATCGCCATACTGCCTACAGCAGCGCCCTTCCCAACATGAACATGATTCCCCAGCGACGCAGCCTCCACAACAGCGCCCTCGCCGACAAAAACGTGGTCGCCGATCTTAAGCGGGTAGAACGAGTGTATGCCGCGGTGCAGCCGGCTCGGAGGGCGCAGGATCGCGCTCTTGGAGATGTAGCTGTACCGTCCGACTGTTATCGCCACGCTGGGCGTGCTGGGGTTCGGGGCTGCTGGCGCCGGAGCATTGTTTGGGTCTGTGGATGTGGGGAGTGTTGCCGTGCGGAATAGGTCGCCGCGGATTACGGCTTCGGCTTGGATTACCGTTTTGCCGCCCAGGATGATGTGCTGTGTGCCGTGGATTTGGGACCGTCGGGAAATCTTGTTTCCTGTGTCCTATTTTTTTTGGTGGGTTAGGTTGGGGTTCTTTTGTTTTGGGGTGGGTTCGGAGATTGGTCTGAATTGAGAGGGTAGGGCGGGGGATTTGCTTACGGTCTCGATGTATTCACCCTTTGCTGCCTTTGGTGGAGGCATTTTGACGAGGATCGAAGGGGTTTTAATGTTGTGTGATGCTGCAATTGTGGAGTTGGAGTTGCAACAAATATAGCTCGACCCCGGGATAGTAGATGCGGCAGTATATTCCTAAAGCGGTGGAGGTAAACAACTATGGCGATTTTGATAGACCCATTGCAATGATCTTTTCAAAGTTGGTTGAATTTTGGTATACTCTCTATCTAGTCTACTAAATTGCTCTCAAGGGAAAAAAGTGAAATCAGTGAACTATTAATGAACTATACACTACACAGCTATAAAGCTTCAACAATTTCCGGACATCCTGGCAACCAAACAAGGTCGTCAAAAGCAAAAAGTTAAAAAAAAAGGGCATATAATCATAGCCAACCCCAAGTAAATTACCTCCACATAACATGGCACGTTTGCAGCTTGACATAAGCAGCTTCAACTGACAAACCCAAAAAGGGACACTATCAGGAAGATGTAGCCTTCTTCTTCTGCTCAAAGGGACCATCCCAGTGCAGCTTAAGCGACATGGGGAAGGGACAGTAAGAAGTTCCATCACCGCGGAGGTAAACGTAGTATCCACCCTCCTGGGGAATCTTCTTAAGCTGGCCCTGGGCACCGGCAGCACGACGGAGACCCTGCAGACGACCGACGACACGCAGCATAGCAACGAGCGCGATCTTAGTGATCTGCTCACCGAATCCGGTGGTGGGACCCTGACCGTGGTTGATGTATGAGTCAAGAGGGCGGTTAAGGTTGACCTGGGTGGGCTCGGGGAAGACGCTGGGGTCGTGGTTGGCCTGGTTGAAAGAGGCAAAGACTTGCTGACCGGGCTGGATGGTGTAGGTCTTGCCGTCCTCCTCGACGGTGACAGCTTCCTTGGCCTCGCGGAAGGCGCCGAAGGTGCCGTTCAGGCGAATACCCTCCAGGCAGTAGCGGTACAGCTTCTCGTCGGATTCGGCGGAGTCGGTCTTGGCGAGGCTGTTGATCTCAGCCAGGTGGGCCTTGTTCTCGGGCGCGGTGTAGAACTCGATGATCTGGGTGAAGACCTGACCCTGGCTGGGGACCAGGCCGACCATCGTCGGGACGATGGCGGACCAGGTAATGTCTGAGGCGCTGGAGCCGGCCTCCTTCATGCGGCGGATAGCTTCTGTTCCGAACTCGCGGAGAGCATTGTCATGCGGGCGGAAGCTGTCTATGATGCCGGAGAAGAGACCGCTGTTGGTGTCGGCCTTGACAGTGGCCTCGACGACCTGGCCAAGCTGGGTGGAGACGGCGGAGGCGGCGCGGTTCAGAGCGTACGAGCGAGGAGCATCGACATCGAAGAAGAGCGCGGAAAAGATAGTGGAAAGAATCATGTACATCTCGTGCTCGGTGAAGAGACCCTGCGGGTTCTGCTCAGTCTTCAGGGGAACGCCGAAGATGGTAGAGGCGAAGTGGACGTGGGCCAGGTTGCCGACATCGCGAGTGATATCGATCTGGTTGATCTTGCCCAGCTGGCCACCCTTCTCAGCAATCAAACGCTCAGTGATGTCTTCGTAGAAAGTTTTGACGAGCTTGGGGAACTCCTCGGTATTGAGAGCCTTGCCGATAGCCTCGCGCTGCTTGGTATCGAAATCGCCCTTGCCGAAGAGCTCAGACATGGAGCGGGCCCAGCTGGGACGGAAGTCCTTCTGGTTCTCGAGGAGGAGCTTGGCATTCTGGTGGGAGGCCAGGTTGACACGAGGCTCAATGAAGGCGGGCTTGTCCCAGGAGTAATCCTGCTCACGGCCCAGATCCTTCATGATGTTACGGTTCTCGCTGGGGATGGTCATAGGGTAATGGGCGTAGATGGAGTCAGGCTTGTAGTGGTTAGGGAAGGCGCGCGTGGCCAGCTTATAGAAGATACAGCCCTGGTTGATGTTGAGGTCGTAGCGGCACTCGTTGTAACCCCAGTTGGTTAGGTTACGGGGGTTGTAGTCAATAGTGTAGTGACGATCACCACGGACAAGGGCAACGGCATCCGAGAGCACAGCACGGGAGATGGTGTAGGTCGGGGCAATACCGACACCAGGGATCATGGGCTCCTTGGCCTCCTCGGTAACGATACCAGTGTACAGCTCAATGTAGTCGGGATGATCATAGAGGTGACGGAGAGTATCAGCGATCTCGGGGTTGGAGTTGACTTCCTCGAAAGTCTCGTAAGCCTTCAGGCCGAAGTGCTTACGGAACTCGTTGAGGGAACCGACGTTCCATCTACGCGAAGCCTCGATACCGAGGATCTCGATAGAGCGCATGGCCTTGGGTACGTTTCGGGGACCGAAAGAGCTGGCCACGTCCTCGGTGGCATGGCTCAGAATGTTTACAAGCTCTCCATCGTCGAAGAATCCATCCGCGTCACGCTGCAGGCGGGCGAAGGTACGCTTGGCTGGGTCAGCCTCGAGCAGACCCTCAACCTTCTTCATACCCATCAGTAGCTCAGGCATGGTGACCTCCTCGGCAGGCTTGCCCATAAGGTCATGGTAGATCTGCTCAATCCACTTCTCGTCGCCCTGACTGATGGCCGAGTGCCAACGGTAAGCCAAGTTAAACTCGACAGAGCACTGGTTGCCGAGACCGGAAGGAGTGGAACCGGCCTTCTCAGCCTGGGCACGGGGATCCAAACACCAGGTGGAGTTTGTGCGGTTCAAGTTGACAATGGTGCGCAGGTAATCATATAGAGTAATGTTGATGTACAGACCGCAAGTGATAAGACGACCGGTCTGGAACAGTTCCTCATCACGCTTGGCCCAGGCATTCTTGGTGTCCTCCTCGGACAGACCAGGGCGGGGCTTGCTGAAGCGACCATTCTCGTTGATCTCAGCCAGCTGCGTAACAACGTGGTTATGGAAACGGTTCAGCATAACCAGCAGAACACCGCAGGCAGCAGGAAGAGCCTGCAGACGACCCTCGGAGAAGCAATCGGGCTTCAGCTTTCCGTCCTGGTGGGAACGAATCAGATCCTGTTGCTCCTTGATGTCACCGTACAAAATGGACAAGTCCAGGTAAGAAGAGGTCTTGTTCAGGTGCTGTTGGCGGTAATCGGTCTGGAAGATATCTATGTACGGAACCAGCATATTAGCGCCTGGATTGTAAATTTAGGTGGAATTGACTTACCGTGAATAATCAGAGAGGCCCAGTCAAAGAAAACACTGGAGACCTTGTTGGGGTGGGGAGTGAACTCCTGACGAGCAAAGAGGGTATCAAAAATCAGACCGGCGTCGGGCAATCCGCTGGGCTGGATGGTCAGGGGAGGAATGGTGCGGCAGTATGCGGTATTAGCAGCTCCCAGCCACGGGAGAGTAGGATTGTTGTTTGAGCCATCGGCGGAGCGGTACTTGTACTCGTCTCCCATGTAACTATTCACAGCGTTAGCGCGCAATTGCAAAACAGTAGTCTCCAATTGGGGATTTCTCACGAGAGAGGCGGGTGAGGAATTGAGTTCCATAGCTCATCCAGAAATGTACTGGTGAGCTCAATACGGTTCTTGGAGTTACCGGGCAAATCCGCGACCATCTGGATTATGCGCTCCATCAAGTAGGTCTTGTCATCAACAAGTTCGCCAGAGGCTTTGCTCGCAATCAGGTCTTTGACAGTGTTGACATCGCGGAATCCCAGCGACTTGATGTCATTGATGAGACCGGACGACTTGTCGTGTTTCAAGTAGGCGCCATCACTGGTCTGGTTAGGCAGAGGCTCCTCCGAAGCGTGAATTGCTTGCGCGTATTTCTCGAATACAGCAACGACCTCGGCACGCTTTACGATGTGGTTTTCCTCCTTAGTAGAGGAGGACTTCCGAGGTGGTGAGACCTTAGAGGCGCGCTTGCTGCTCTTGTCTGTGCTCTTGGGCTCGGTGTCACCATTGGAATCCTTGGAGTCCTTGGACCGCTTGAACTGGGTAGAGAATCTCCTCAACATTGTGAAAAATGATGACACAAACAAGTCAAGAGGAGAAAGTAAGTTAAAGAAGAAACACAAAGTAGCTACTAAGGGCCAGATCAGGGGGGAATAAATCAGAAGCTCGACCGTGCTCTTAAGACGAGCTGTGCGGGCGACGCAAGTCAGCTGCAGGACTGTGGAGCGTCCAAAGGTGGCGGATTTGCTATCGCCAATAGCTGATTGACTGTACCAGCACTTGATTTGACGAAGAGCATTAGGTCAATCTCTTTTCTCGGGCCTAAACCTGGTCTCTGTAACCAATATCCCAGCCCCGCATGGTACAAGCTCAATTCCTAAGTGGGGTCTCTGTACTCCGTAGTGGACCTCTCGATGGTGGAGCGTCTCAACATAGTAACTGATCATCATTTCTGACCTTGGATACCCGAGAAAGGGGGATATGTACTCCGTATCTGTTTTATTATGTTTACTCCGTACAGAATACCCGAATACTCTGCCCGGGTGGAAGTCGTATGATTCAATATAACATAATACGGCCAAGGTTCCAAGTTGTGGCATGCATGCATAGCACCAACCCGGAGTTGAGCTGAAAAGAAAATCTAGATCTAGATCTATACATCGCCGGCTTCGGAAGAGTGGATAATAGACCAATGGCTGTGAGAATACTGTAATATCGGACTATAATCAGCGGTGTACACTATCTGTACGAAGTACTCGTGCTCCGACAGAAGTGCAAAAAGATCTCAAGATCGAACTAAATCGACACCAAGTGGGGGAGGAGGTTCGGACTTTGGCTCTGCATTTTTGATGAAAAAGAAATTTCAATATATGTACTGAGTGGCTGGCTGGAGTGCTGTCATACCGTCATACCTCTATTCCAGGATTTGCTCCAATTAGGGTCATGTTGTGTAGGATACGGGGTAGTGCTCCTCCATACTCCGTAGGACTTGAGACGCAAGGAAGGTCCTTAATGTGATAGAGAAGCAGAAATGTCCTTGAAAAAAACAAGGAAAAAAAGAAGAACCCAAGAAAAATCACTTTTGCTTTTTTCTTTTGTTTTGATCGTCGCAGGCCCACCTGTTCACCCACTTACTATGGATTTTAAGTGGCGAACGGGCCACCTGCACGAACCACATTGTGTCGTCTGTCATTGGTAGCTGAATTCACCACTCATCGTCACGAATTATTCAGAATCTGACCCATCTCAGGGCATCCACTTTCAGGGTCTTAGTTTTGGTCTACGGCTTCCACTATCCTCGTGGCGTTTCTCGGTACAACATAGAACGGGAGTTTCCACGCGAAAATGAGATATTCCCCCTTTCCTTTGAAAAAGCAAAGATGATTAAGAAAGGGATGGTTTCTCTGGAGATGAATATTTCAATCTGATAGTTCGGTTAGAACGAACCACGGGTGTCAATGACCATTGCATCCATAAATGGGGCCGCTCCCGGGTTATCTATCCATGGATGGATTGTAAGCATAATATCGCCTGAATCTCTTTAAATCAGCTCCCGATTCACAATCCCTTGTTCAGCCGTAAATCCAAATAATCCATTGGCTTCCCTTTTTTCGGGATATGAAGAGAAGGCTGGAAGTCCCACTCTTTCCCGTTCAAGTATTAACAATTCTTTTCAGCTTAGAACAGTCCCACGCGGGATGACTTCCGTCCTGGGTTTCCATGGTTGCCAGCCACCCCAGATGTGATGACAGCTCCAAGGTTGTATTATATCATTGTGACCACAGTCCACGAGTGACACCTCGAGAAACTTTCTTTAGTCTTTGAAAAAAAGAAATTTGACGGCAAAGACAGATCCACCAGTGGGTCGCGGCCCCGTGAAGGACCATGAACGACCAATGCGTCTCGATCGATACAGGGCTAGAGCAAGCTAGTGCCAAAGTTAGATCCGATCGCTCAAGACCGAACCGATGTGGCGGAACACTCTCAACCAACCTTGGAAGGAACGCCCCCTCTCATCCCTTACCATCTGAATCATTAGTGACCAGGAGCCGTCCGAGGCTATGTGGGGAATGATCGACAATAATATCCCGAACACCATCTAGCATCGTCTCCTTTCAAACCCTCATAGAGCCAATGATTACTCGTGTATGGAGTAGCAAATATTAAAATCTGCACGTTTCTCTTTTAGTCTCTATCCAGCTCCATCCCACAGGAATTCCAAATTCATACACGACCCAGGTCCGGGCCGCGCAACCCACATACCTCGTGCAGAAGTTCTCGAGTCAGGTTCAGGTTCAGCCCTGTTTGCAACAACCTCGCATATCCAGCAATGATTACCGACGCGTTTCCATTGGGTAGAATGCACCTCCGTTAGAACGAAGTAGGGTTTCGTGTAACCTACCTGCACGCAAGTCAATGATCATCTACAGAAAAAAAAAACCCGGAAGTAAAACATAAGGCCCAATCTTGTGATGGGAGTGTGCCAAGTATTGGGGGGCCCGCCCGTCAGCCCGCTCTGGTTTGACGTATTCTTTTCACAAACCTGCAGCGATCGGCTAGTGGGTTGGACATTCTTATCCTGCCAATCCCCCTTCTCTGGGTCCGATGTAAGGCGCTGATTCGTGTAATGTAATACTAGCTGTAATCAGCTGCATAAAAGCGTCATCTTAGCCTCGATCCCTCCTCCCTTCTCGTATATAGCCCCCTTCGGGTCTTATTAGGTGTGTCTGAAGTTTCGAACTTTTTTTTGTCTGACCGACTGCATTATCATTCGGCGGCATCATGGCTTACGGGAATGAACACCAAGGCCCGTCGGGTATGCCGAAGCAGTTTGTGCTTTGCTTTGATGGTACTGGAAACAAATTCGCCGGTGACGAGTCAGATAGCAATGTGCTCAAGATCTTTCGCGTAAGTGGGACTGCGAGCCAAGAGTTTGAACCGGTGCTAACAAGTCGCAGATGCTTGACCGCAGCCAAAGCCACCAGTACCATTACTACCAGCCAGGCATTGGCACATATGTGACCTCGAAGTCTCTGACTAGCCATGGCCGAATCCAGCGTATCAAGTCCGCCTATCAAAAGGCCAAGGACTCGGCTGTCGGGTCTTCCTTTGATGAGCATGTCATGGGTGGGTACAAGTTCCTGATGCGGTACTATTCCCCTGGCGATGAGATCTTCTTCATTGGCTTCAGTCGTGGTTCATACATCGCGCGATTTCTGGCAGAGATGCTGGACTATATCGGTCTACTCGAAGCAGGAAACGAGGAGCTGGTCCGGTTTGCATGGAAGACATTCGCCAAGTGGCAGCAGCGGTCCGACGACTCGGAAGAAGAGCGCGAGGAGAAGAAGAAGCTCTTCACATACATGAAGGCCTTCCGGGAAACGTTCAGTCGCCCTATCTCGCGTATCCGTTTCATGGGTCTCTTCGACACCGTCAACAGTGTGCCGCGCTTCGAGTCCGCGTGGATGCAGCGCACCAAATTTCCCTACACGGCACGCAGCTCGGCCAAGGTGATTCGCCACGCTGTGGGTATTGACGAGCGCCGCGCGAAGTTCCGCCAAGATCTAATCTCTGGGGCGCGTCCAAAGGAGAAAAAGAAACATCGTCACCATCACCATTTGCCCAAGAACCATCTGCACCTCTTCCACCAGGACCACAAAGAGAAGCCCCAGGAGGAGCTCCCAGACAACATTCCTGCCATTCGGGTCAATGACAACCCCGAGGAAGAGCCGCAGGAAGGAGAGAAGGCCGAGCCTGAATTCAATACTCCCACATATGGACCCAGCGCTGGAGAGACATACTACCACACCGGGCGTCGTGCCTCGCACCACCAAGCCTCACACACAACCTCGCAACGAACCTCCCGCGCCAATAGCGAAAGCGGAACAATGCAGCCCAATACATACCGCGCACCCTCTCCCCGACGCAGGCTCGCAGTGCCCAACGCGTCAATGGAAGATCTCCATCCAGTGCGAAGCAAAGAGTCCGTGCAATCCAACAACCTCTCAGTGCAGATTCCCGCCACAGAGGCCGATTCAAGCGACGACGAAGACGAGCAAGACATCCACGAGGTCTGGTTCCCAGGCTGCCACGCAGATATCGGCGGCGGATGGAGACTCTCGGACGGCGAGTCATGGGCGCTCAGCCACGCGCCGCTCGTGTGGATGACGCAAGAAGCGCAAAAGGCCGGACTTGAGCTCGATGAGCGCAAGATGAAGCAGTTCCAGTGTCTGGAGGAGTTCGATGGTGATTACAGCCCCATCCGGGAAGAGATCAATGCCCGGCGGCCGAGTCGGTGCGTTGAGCATCATGTTGAAAACGATGATGCTTTCCGCTCTATTCCCGATGATAAGGAGCGCACTGCTGCGAGTCGCGACTTCTGGCATGCGCTGCATACCTCCAGTACGAAGGGCCTGTTGCATGACTGTCTGATGTTCAACCAGGGTATTCCTACTATGTCAGTTATCACATGGCGCATTATGGAATGGTTACCGTTCCGTCGTATGGATCTCCAGCCTGATGGGTCATGGAAGCCGATTAGCTGGCCGTTGCCTCGTGGTGAGGTGCGGGATGTTCCGCTTAATGCTGAGATACACGTTTCTGCTATCCGGCGTATGCAGGCGGATCCCAAATACCGTCCTGGTAATGTGATTGTTGGTGGTGGTGGTCGTGGTATACGTGTTGCGCCGGAGGAGTATGGTATGGGTGAGTGGGTGGTGTTCAAGCATGAAGGTGATCCGTTGCGGGAGACTTATGTCCGCAAGAACGTCTCCAAGTGCAAGGAGGGCGAGGAAGAGACCAACCATTGAGATATCCCTGTCATTTCTTTTTCTTTCTTTTGTTTATATGCCATTGACTTGGCCTTTTTCTATACTGTCTAATAGGTAATTTGGAGGAATTGTATCAAATGCTATACAACATATATCCAATTGGCGTCATCTGGAGCTGTCTAGAATCCTGCGGTCGAGATCAAAATTGCCAATGACATCGCTTCCTGGCATATCCCAAGTCCATGTGCATATAGCAGACGTAGCAAAGACAGACCGAATGTTCGGAGCTGGTCGAATCGATCAATCCGTGGCAAGTTGATTATCAACCCCATTCTGCAACATTCAACGTAAACTTCTATCTCCATTGATTAGCATGTGAATGCAGGGATGTCTTGGCCTTAACGGCTTGGCAGAGTCTGGCCATCTTATATTACCCACTCTGGTCTACAGGTCCCTTGGTTATATATTATCGTCGGCTTAAATACAAATCGTAGATAAAAGCCCGACATGTGTACTCTCAACATATGTACTCTGGTGGCACTTCTATATGTAGCTAATGATTATCCTTCTAGCTAACAAGAAAAACCTCTTAAAAAAGACTTTGAAGAGACCTCTTAAAAAGACATCGGAAAAGACTCTAAGAAGACACCTCAAAAGACATTTCAAAAGACATTTCAAGAAGACATCCGAACTCACCGCATGTATGTCATTCATGAAGTCACCAGTCAAAATCGGATGTTTTATCCCGATACAAAGTCATATATAGCTCAACTCAAAAGTAAATATAACCAATATCCATGGATTTCAATAGATGCTAAGAGCTAAGAATAGTAATGGATATCTGATAGGACCAAAAAAAATATCAAAAGTGGATTGAGATCCATACTAGATACTACATTCCTTGGACATGATAAAGGTAAAAAAAATAGTTGAAGAGGAAAAAAAAGACAAGAGGCTCTTAAGAGATCGCCGATCATCACGTTTGAACGTTGAGAGATTCTGGGCCTTGGCTTCTCCTGTGCGGCCTGCAACACTTTTTTCTCTTTTCCACATCCTTGACCTCACCACTATTTCCCAGGAACCTCCGTTTCTGCTTCTACTTGGCAGGTCCAATAGTCTCCTCATTTGCTCTATGCCATGATGCGAGGCTAAATCTCGCTTACCCCCTTTTTTCCTATTTCTTTACACATCATGGAGTCACGACCTGAAGAGATGCGCCGTCAGGAACACGGGACCAACTCCGGGGCCGAGGGTAAGGAGGACGTCATGATCGGTTTTTCACAGGCACCACCCCGGACACGATCCCCTTTGGCCCGATCTCATCTTCGCTCTCGATCACTGGCTGGAATCCCGGGCATGCCGTCTATGACGCGCGCTTATTCCTCCCCAGGGCTGGACTCTCAGGGTCGTTATATCTTCGTCAATGGTCGCGGGGCACCAGTCGACGCAAAAAGATATCCCCTGCAAATGCGCCCTGATGATTACACCGACCGCATGGGTTCTCTCAACATCTCAGAAACCATCTCCGAAAACGCAGAATTAGAAACTATTCCCAAATCGCCTTATCAGCCAGCCTCATCTCCTATACTGATGCCACAGACTTTCCCCCGCATCGGTCGCCTGCGCCCGACTTCACCCCTTCCTTTCCAGACCCCCATCAGCCCCTCCTTGCATTCCTCGCCCATTCTGGGCTCCAAATACAACGAATCTTACCCCGGCCCCTCTGGCTCCGTTTCGTCCATTTCCGTCCCCTCAACCCCGACCAGCCTTCGCTCCCGAAGCCCCAGCATTTCGTCCCTGGAAACAATCCCCGACGTCCCTGACGCTGAGAATGAGGCCCTCGAAGAGGATCGGATCGCGGAGTTGAAAGCCGCGGCTGATGCAGCCGACGCGGCAACTACTGCCAACCGACGGCGTGGCGCATCCGATACACCAAACTCCTTCACTACAATGCGCGGGGGATCGGGCGTATATTCAGCTCGGAGCGATAAGCGCAAGCGATGGAGTGTCTGTGGTGCCGAGCGACGGCAGGATCTCGACCTGGAGACCATCTGGGAAGACTGAGAGTGTTTCCCAGTCTAATACGAATCCACCCGATCTTTGCGCCTCGTCTACCACAACCAAAGCACCCCTTGTGCTCCCACATTGTCTCATGGTGGAGTTGATCTCTACTACTTCTTTATCGGCTTTCCTTTACTCGGTGGCGCTTTGCTCCGTTCTCTGACTTTCCTTGATACCCTTCCATTACCTCCGACCCGTACATATCGTTCGCAGTCCTGTTTTTCATTTCAAAAAGCGCTTTCGTCATGGAGTTCTACGGCAGTGGCAATGGTATTTACCATGTCCCCACTTCTAGCGGCTTAGCAGGTTCAACCAGGGGCATGGTTTCTTTTTGTATCTATTATGCTGGTCATAACTGAGCCCCGTCCTTTTTTCTGATTTTGCGGTGCCTTCATTTGACCCAGCATCTGTTATGCGATGTCTTTCAGAATTGCTTTATCAATGGAATTGGGCCTTTCCCAAAATAATTCATCCTTTTGTAAACTGGGTAGACCAATTGTAACCACTCCTGGACAATGTAGGCAGCTGGCAGCTGGCATTGGTAAGGGCGTCTGCCCAGGTGTGGAGAACGGTAACCAATCATCCGAGCACCCAATGACATCCAGAATCTTCACTTGATCGTCAAACCTTCCATATTCATCGTGTCTACTCAATTTACCCAAATTTCAACTGCATATCCCAAATTGGTTTTTGGAATCACGGCATGGCCTCAAGTCCACATATCGGCGTCATCGGCGCAGGCATTTCAGGCCTCCGGTGCGCCGACATCCTCATCCAAAATGGGGCCCGAGTAACAATCCTAGAAGCAAGAGATCGCATTGGTGGGAGAGTATGTCTTCTTTCTACCCCGGGAGCAAAATCTCAATCAATCGTTTTTTTAACTTTTCCGTCCGATAGGTGCACCAATCAACAGTTGGAGGCCATGTAGTGGATCTGTATGTACCCCAACATGACGATGACTTGAAAAGTATCCATCGGCTAATGCTCGATTCAGAGGCCCTAATTGGATTCATGGCGCGGGGGAGAACCCCATCATGACCATAGCGGAAGAAACGGGAACCGTCATGTATGATCCTGAGGGTGGAAGGCATATCTCATACTCGCGAGATGGTCACCCAATCAACGATGAAGTGAACGCTAAAGTCCAGGAGTTTGTATGGACTACTATAGCAGAAGCCTTCAAATACAGCAATCACCATGGAGAAAGCATCCCCATCGAGACAAGTCTGTTCGATTTCTTCGGCGAACGAGTCCAGCAAACCAACTTCTCAGATGAAGAGAAACAGCTCTGTCTCGATACCTGTAGGCTCTGGGGAGCATATGTTGGTGATCAGGCCGACAAGCAGAGCTTGAAATTCTTCCGTCTGGAAGAATGCGTTGATGGGAGTATGTGCCTTCAGCAAATCATCCCCAATTGCACATCAGACCTTCTAACATCATCCATCAAGGCAACTTCATCGTGGCATCTACATACAAGCGCATCCTAGAACACGTCGCAAAATCCGCCATCGCAAAAGCGGATATCCGCCTCAATGAACCGGTCACAAGCATCGAAGCACCACCTCGCAACAATGAATCCCAAACAAAGCACCAAGTAACCGTAACAACATCCACAGGAACAAGCTACGACTTCGACGAAGTAGTCGTAACATGTCCACTGGGCTGGCTCAAGCAAAACACCTCAGCATTCACACCCGCTCTCCCACCCCGTCTGAAACAAGCGATCAACAACATCTCATACGGCCGACTAGAAAAGGTCTACGTGACATTCCCGCGCGCTTTCTGGCACACCAACAATACCAGCACCTCATCAACCAAAAGCCAAACCCAACCCACCAACACCGTCTTCGCCCAATTTCTCGAACCATCCTACACCACCCACCCAGCAAACATAGAATGGAACCAAGAATGCATCTCACTCGCCTCACTCCCAGAACCACACGCTCACCCAACTCTCCTCTTCTACACATACGGCGACGGCGGCGGTGAGATAATAAACCGTCTTTCGGAGCTAGATCCCTCATCTCCCGAATACAGAGAATCCCTAATCGAAACACTGCAGCCCTTCTACTCCCGACTCCCCGGGTACAGCGCGGAGAACGCAGATTGTGTGCCGGTTGCGCTGCTTGCTACGCAGTGGCAGAAGGATGTGTTTGCTGGGAATGGGTCATATTGTAACTTCCAGGTTGGGATTGAGGAGGCGGATGTGGATGTTGAGGTTCTTAGGTCTGGGGATGGAATTGGGCCGGTTAGGGGACTTTGGTTTGCTGGGGAGCATACGGCGCCGTTTGTGGCGCTTGGTACTACTACTGGTGCGTTCTGGAGTGGGGAGAGGGTTGCGAGGTTGGTTTGTCGTGGAGTTGGGATTGGGGAGGTTGGTGGGATGGGGGTGAAGGATGATTCTTTGCCTTCTACTGGGGATGGGTCTTGATTTAAGGAGGGGAGGCTGTATACTACATGTAGCTACGTGAGGAATCGATAAAGATTTAGGTCTTGTTTGAAGAACTATAGCTTGGAAACATAGCGTGATAGAGACAGATAGATACCCTGCGTGTCTACAAGGCACGAGGTGTGTCGATTATACAATGGACCCAGCAAGTCGAACATTTTCATTCATACTTAAATAAGGTATTTCAGGTCGTTGGATTCATTCAAGGATTAGTATCTTTCTCGGGAGCTTTCGCTTTCACATTTGTTCAGTCAAGCCCCCCATCAACGGCAGGCCAGGAGGACCATACAGGTCCACCGAGTAAAGCATCATAGACGAAAGATAAAGAACCATGTAGATCCATATGCATAAGAGATGCAGCGAACGGAAAAAAAAAAAGAACAGGCCCGAATAAAAAGTATATCATGGACAGGGTTCACGTGACAGTGGCAAAGACCGCTTGCAAGCACACATCATGAAGACAACAATAAAAATAAAAAATACATCAAGGCTCCGAACAAAGGAAAATCAGTATCACAAAGGAAATAAAAAATAAACAGTTGCAAAGATGACAGGCAATGGCGCTTCGGAATGTCAATATATCAATCATGCATGCATCCCTTCCTTATCGCCAGGCCCCCTGGCTCAACGACAGGAGACCCTGCACACAGTCCAGGTCATCTTCTTGACTATCCCCCGACCCACCGGCCATGAAAGCCGAGACTTCTGCACTAAGCTCTGGCGGGGCTTTTCCCTGTGAGCCGGTCTGGAGTGGTCGATTGCGTTTGCCGTTGGTCGAGATGCCGAGACCGCGATTACGGTTAGCATCGCGGAGGACCGGTCGTGGGATGTGTGAAGTGTTGCGACGACGAATATTTGTTGATCGCGTACCTGGAACCCAGTTCTCCTTGTCAGAGTCGCCGGGGTCTTGCTCCAGATCCGGCTTGCCGGACTTGGAAAATAGAGGCTTGGACAACTTGGATGGGTTCATGTTCGCTTTGTTTCGGCCTGTCTCTAGTCGCCCTAGAGATGAAACAGTGCGGGCGAGCTTCCGCCTCTTCTCCCCCATAGACTGAGAGATTGGCGTGTTTGGGTCGCCGTGGACAGCGAGACTGTGCCGCCCTGAGGCGCTCCGCGGTAATGAGCGCTGGCTGCGAGATTGGAAAAGACCCGGAGAACCGTTCGGCCCGCTGGTTGGTGTTGATAAAGCACTTCTTGCGTCCGTGTCACAGAATGATTCCCAGTTACGTGGATCACGAGAGCGACCGAAAGCACGATCTTTCTCGGTCACACCTGCCCGCGGCGTGGCTGGGAAGACGGCGCTGCTGCTACGTCGCAGGCTTGACATCTTTGTTCGGCGAACTGAGAACATAGCCACGCGGTTCTTGGACGGTGATGGTTCGTTCTCTCCGCGGATTACTGCCTTTCCATCCGATGACATCGCGATGCGTAAGGCGTTGCGACCCTTAGGTGGAGACGGCGTTAGCTCGCCCTCTTTGCGTAGCAAAGCCTCTCCATCAAACGACATCGACAAACGCAGCGATGGGGGTGACTTGGTAGGTGTGGTTTGTGTATTTTGTGTGGTTGCCGCCTGCTGCTCATATTCTCCCTCGCCCCGGATATCCGACACTGAACGTTTCCTTTTTGGTACCTGCAGAAGAGAGTCTTCTGAGTGGTCATTCACCAGTTGGGAAAACTCTTCCTGTGTGGTGGGCGGAGTATCCTCAGCAGCCTCTGTTGCGACGCTTGTTTGAGTGCTCTGGGGCAGCTCATGCTCATCTTTATCTTCAGTCACTGGGTCCGAATCATCTGAAAATTGCAACAGTCCCCCGTGCCATGGTTTTGATGCCATTTCCTCGCGGTGGTCGTTGATGTCAAACTGCTCTGCCCCACTTGAAGACCCTGGCTCCGTCGACGAGTTATCATCACTGAAAGGCTGACCGGATGAATCGAGCATGCCCGACCGCGGGGCGAGTAATTCGTGAGGCTGGAGGGGTTTGGACTTCCGACGATCGTTCTGGCGGCGATTTTGAAACCAAATCTGTGAGCCAGTTAGAAGTGGTTTTTGTGTGTGAACTCTTGGCATCGCATACTTGGACCTCTTTCTCGCCGAGCGAGACGCGGTTCACGATACTTGTGCGGGCTGCTTTGTCTGGTTTGGGATTTTGCTGGTATTCGGATTCGAGGACTGCGTGATCCTCCGGACTGCAAAATAGAACATATCGGGTTAATTGACGCGTTCATAGTATGGACCACACCCATAACAGCATACCTAGTTCGACGTCGCTTTTGGCGGGCTAACAGTTTATTGTCGACACGAGGAGGGAGGTTCTGTGTGAGGGTTTTTTGCGAATGAACGAGGAAAGCGTAATTAAGAGGATTGGAGTCGGTGGCCGGGAGAGAGGGCGAGGATGAGATCGCCACCGAAGGCTCCGGATCAGACATGATACTTAAGAGAGCATGGAGGGGTTGGGAGGGTGAAGGGAAAGAAACAAGGACACCCGATCACCAGATCAATAATAAAAATTGACAAGAGACAGAGGATGGAAAAGCCGTGAGGCTGGCATGCAGAAAACGGTATGGAATCGCGTCGCGGTGTGGACGCGGAGTAGAAAGAACGTGGCCCGCGCTAGTAACAAAGTGCTCCTCCGAGGTACTTGGTACTTGGACACACAAAACTCTTCTCTAATTTGATTTGATCTTGACCCTTTTTGAGTTCTGAATTACCTTATCTACTCGAATGGAATTCTAGTTTTACATTTGTTTATATTGACGCGTTGGGCTGGTAGAGGTGGTTTGGCCCCACACTTGGTATGAGGTTGCAGTAGTCTATACAGTTATCTGCGTGAAGCGCGTGTCCTCGCGTTCGATACAGGCATATTTGAAATTTCCCAAGCTCGGATTAAACCACAGATGGTTCAACAATGGCATTCACCCTGGTTGCCTTCTTTGCATTATTTCAACTGATCTGCCCGTGAGCGCCCAACGCGTGGTAACGCGCCCTCACGTGACCCCACGAGGAAGACTTGCACGTGGTGGAATGTGATCTCTCGGATGATATTTTGCAAGAAATGTTAATATGTTAAGAAGGGAAAAGAGATCTCGTCTCTCTAGTGTTCTCAGATGAGCGACGAGAGGGCATTCATGGCTAGATTCCCAATTGTAACACCTCTAGTGCGCAGTGGGTCACCGGTGAAGTAGCACCCCATCTCAGAGAAGCAAAGAGCTTCAAATATCGACAGCCAATAGCCTGATAGCCTGCTTAACAATAGTCACAGACTGGAATGCTCGGACCTGGGCGTAACTACCTAGGTATTGACCCCTTTGACCCATTTAGGGAATCGAAACTTCTGATCGAGTTTGGGGGAAATCACTTCATCCATGGGCCAGCGGCATAGTCCCATTGGTCGTGTCTTTCTTATATACCTACATGTAGGTACCTAACTACATTCAACCTTACATCTATTCTAAACTTGTTTTGTATCCCTGGTTCTGCAGACCCCGAGCCTATCAGAAGAAAGAAGCAAAAATGCTAATGCTTTCGACAGCAGTAATTGGTTTCGTATGTTGTACAAGATTGACTAACTACATGTATAGACCGCTTCGACCATGAATTCGTCATCCAATTAGGAACATTCCTATATTTGATCGGTGCGCGACCTATAAACGGTTACTTAGAGCCCCTAAATGATCACAGTGGGCTACATGTTTGCTAGCTATGTCATCGGTCTGATGTCCATGCCTGTCCCAGTCTACCAAGCCGAGTGTGCGGACTAAGAAACCAAAAGTATTGATTTGCCCCTCGGTAGTCGTACGCCGAGCAAGCAAGCCACAGAAAGAAGTAACAATAACACATATATAAGCATGACATCAACTGGAAATGCAACTGCTAGACAAGAAAGGGAGAAGCATATCTGTAACGAATGTAGAAGATGCAGGTCTGCTAATAAGTAAATTATACACTAACCGAATGCGACTCTGATGAAATCCATTACTTCGACAGAAGCCTACCGTGCAAGAAGATGGCAGATGTAGCTGTTTGGACATATCCAAGATCCCAGTTGGATTTAGATCTAGACCCTAATAGTCCTATGGTAAAATAAAGTAGGAGTCTAGAATACCAGAAAAGAGTCAATATTGCCAGTTAGAATGTTCGAAGAATGTGTCCATCAAAGTGCAATACGACCCTTGCAATGATAAAGTAGGGGAGTGGAGCAGTGGGGATATAGTCTTGGCCGAGTTTAAAACCGAGTCATCTGGCATATAATCCATGGATCTGATTGATTCCCACACTAATCTTGAGAGAAATCCATGGATATACGAAGCTAAAAGAACCAATAGACTAATAGACAAATGCTAGGCAAATACGGGGTGATAAAAAGGCATCTACCTATGTTTCAAGTATCTCTGTGAATCCCATGATCAACAAAAGGACAATCCAGCCGATCAACATTCCGCCCGCGGGCCTATCCCTTCCATCTCACACTGTTGATTGGTTCGATACAGGGAGCTGCTCAATACCTAAATAAGCCAAATAAGACAAATAAGAGGGAAAATAATAGCTCATCGTATGATGATCCACGTCTCTTTCCCCGCTTTGACGCTTGGACATGGAGATCATCCCCAGATCAATTGATATTCCCTGTGTTCATTACATTTACATCCTTGGAATCTCCTTTAGTTTTTGACATTCTCAGACCTCTACATATTGACTCGTTCCTTGGATGCTGACTGGTATTTCGGCTCTTTCTTTTTCTTTCTTTCTTTTTCGAAAAAGTCTAGTCTAGTGTTATACTACGATCAGACTCCCTGAACCGGTGCGGCGACCGGGCTGTGACACCCACTTTTAGCTTATGATCACTGACACGTCGGTATCAAAGCCTTTTTGAGTCCGGTCTTTCATTTTCGCTTTCGACCTTGGTCACCATCACCCCCATCTCATCGACGCGACTTTGACCACCCGTTCGTGCAACAAAGAATCCTGGACTCGGAGAGATGGCTGAAGACGCGAAACTGAAGAAGAACCATATGGCCATCGTCTTGGGCATCGGACTTGGGGTGGTGCTGCTCATCGTGCTTAGTTTGATGTGAGTGAGATTCGATTTTGCATGTTATCGCATGTTATCTCTTGTGTGTCTCCTCCATCCGTCCCCATTCTCACCGATACATTTCCTCCGGCGGTGTTACATGTTACATAACCCATGCCAGTCCATCTCATTCTAACTGTATCATCCAGTCTAACAATACTCATCAACCGCCGGGACAGGCAGTCATTCCTGAGATCAAGGAAAAATCCCAGTGAGCGATTGCGCAAGTTGGACAAGGTCTCGCCAACTTGCACGCTCGAAAAGTGGTGGACGACCACAAAGGGGAATCTCGGGCTGTCTGAGGCCGTCGATGGACAATTCGTTTGGTTTGTTTACCTTGCTTTGCCGCCAGAGTAGTGGCTGACGTTCTGTTTAGCGCGGTTTGTTTGGAGCAAGTAGACCGCACGCAGGAGATTCGCGAACTGCGGTGCTTGCACGTTTTCCACCGGGAATGCTTGGAGAAGTGGTTCTTGGGTGACCACTTCAATTGCCCGCTGTGTCATCGGGCCTATTATGTGGCCGACACACCTCCCCGCAACGATTATCTGTGGGTGGTATGACCAGATACCAGCCAGAGATCAAAGGGGAGGGAGTAATACAATAACGACGTCATGAATACATCTTTTGCCTCGGATTGAGCTTCATGATAATATAATGACCAATGTTTAAGGCGCAAATCCCTCCGTAAGAGGCATATAATCAGTGTTGAAGTCCCAGATCGTATTGTAGTTCGACCAATTGAGGAAGTTGTGGAGGCCTGTTGTGACATCGTCCACCACATGCTGCTGCACAGGCTGTGGGTCGAGTAGCTGATCAAGGATGCGAGACAGCTTTTTCTCGGCTTGTTTGCAAGTATGGTAGTTGCCGTGACCGGGGCCTGCGACCCACGATAGGAAAGAAATAAACACGCTGAGGTTGCGGATCAGCTCAGCGCGCGGGAGAGGAACGGCGTGTGGACCGGGCTCATGAGATTGGTGCAGGAGTTCAAGGAGAAGGACGCTGGCGGACGGAACACCGTACGTAAGGACCTGTATTCATTAGTAAATGTTTCTCTTCCATCCCATGAATGGTAACCGTGGATGACATACAATCCAAGAAAAGTGCCGGTCTAGATCGACCATTGGGGTTCGAAACGAATTAATCTGAATGACAATGGCTAGCACCCGACGAGATACGTCGCAAAGATCCGCTTGTCCGGTGTTCGTGTGCTTGACGACTGCTCGATAGAGCAAAAAGCAAGTGTATAGATAATCCAAATAGAAATAGACTATCGTAAGCCACCCATCATGGAAATGGTCGTTCGATCGCCGGTCATATCGAAGCTGGTCCGGAGCGGATTCCCATATGGCGCGCGATTTTGCTTGGATCTCTCTGTTATAAATTGATCATGTCAGCATTAAGTAAACATGTGATTTGGAGGAGAAGATATACTTACTCGGACTTCTGGATTAGATTGTGTTGCTCGCGAGTCCCCAGTACAACCTCAAGAGTTTCTTCCCTAATGATAGCCAGCTGATAGCGTAGGCGAGTTGGGGTTACTGGGTGTAACTCCCCTTGAGTATTCCATCCGGCGCTGTTTAGCTCCGAAATAGCCTTGCTAAGGACATGTCCACCTGCAACCAGGACTTCGTCACTCAGATCCAATGGAGCAGCAAGTGTGCAGAATCGACCATTCATCAGTGGCGGTCGTCCAACAAATGTTGCTACCATTTTGTCCATGTAGAAGGAAGCAACAAAGCAGCGCCTCCGCCACTGGCGAAGAAAGAATGGACAATTTTCAATGCCATTGGTCTCTAAGTGTAGCCCAGCTGCATAAATGGTGGATACCAGGTCACCCAATCGACGCCATGCCTGATAGCCTAACAGGTGGTCAGTAAATCGATAGGAGATGGGATCATACAGAAAGGGAAAACCTTACTGGAATCACCATATTGTTGTGTTCGCAACATAACATCATTGAATTGTAACATTGCGAGTAATTCGTTTGCCGACGATGTCTGGTCACAGAAACCAAGGCATATTGTACTTATCACAGTTACCTGCTCTAGTAACTGGTCTTTTGCTCGAGGGTCATCCGAGCCCTGCATAATGTCGGGGTCATTGTCTAGCGTAATAACCAATTGCATTCCGCAAAGAGCGAAGATAGACCCGAGGGCCTCCCAGCGGAGGTTGCGACCGGTGAAAGAAGAACAGTACTCCTCAACTGACATTGACTTGTGCGTCCGCATCGGACGGGAGGTATTTTGAAATATTTGATTCGCCAACTCTTGTAGTTGTGCCGTCGGATCACTGGAGAACCCATCAAAGATATCGCGCACCGAGCGCAGAAGTCCGTCCATTACCCTTTTGGGCACGATATTGCTCCATGTCCCAACATAGAACCGTGCAATCAGGATATCACACACAGTGAGATTATACAAAAACCGCAGTACATCAACCCCGGATTGGAGTCGATCGGGTTCCACTACTAACCCCGCAGAGGAATCTGTGCTCTCTTCAGGCTCGAACGAAATCTCACTACGATGCTCAGTCAAAACCGCAGAGTAGCTGGTCGAGCCCAGATATCCAGGAAGAGCTGAGGGTGGTTCCAATGGCGCAAAGAAACGGCCATTCCCCAGTGAGCCTGAGCCCGGGCTGGACGCACTGTTTCTACATATTAGTATGGGCCGATCATCCGTTGCAGGATATGCTTACTTTGAGGTTGGTTGACTGGTCAGTCGACTAGAAACTATCGCAGGATTGACTGGATCGGAAGGTCTCCGCCTAGTCATCGGAGCTGGATGATAAAAGCATTTATCGCTGATTCTTTTTGCGGTGCATCGGCGACAAACCGGCCGGTCATGGTCACATCGCTGTTTGGATCTCCGACAGGGTTCACACGACTGTAAAGTGCCATTTTTGCGCGTTGCCGGCGATGCAGAACGCCGATCGTCGTTTCTCATGGCTTGAGAAACAACGCATAAAGGTACCTGATTAATGAAAGAAAGGGACCTCGTGACGACGGCGGGAAAATTGATACCCGCGAAGGTTGGCAGTTTGCCTTGTCCAAATTAGGATTAGCGTGCCATACCTAAGAAGTCCGAAGTATGAGAAAACCAGACAGTCAGTACATAATCCGATGGCTATCGAGGCTTGGAGAATATATATTTATCTATTGTTTTCTATATATTCTACTGGGACTGCAGATTCCATGTTACGAGAGGCACAATTGAAAACTATATCAATCACTAGAACCGTTTTTGACACGATATATATACTATTACCTTTACTGACCCCCTGCAATATTCTTTCTCATGAAGACCGTCTTTGTCTCCCAAACCTTCCCATTCTTATCCTGGACTTGATAATAGTTCTGCACAGTCTTGATCAACTGGTAACCTCGACGAGCATACCATTCCTCGTTCGTAGTCTGCAGACGATAAGTTACTTGACAGAGGAGATCAAACTGTATAACCGGACTTACCTTTGGAACACCACCATATGTTGCATTCGCAAATTCTTCTCTCTTCTGATCATCTTTCTGAACCGTGTCTAGCATCAATATCTTGGCTAGTAGTGGTTCTCGGACTGCCATGGCCTCGACCTCATCCATTGCAGCTCGCCCGATTCCCTGGCCTTGGATAGACCGCCTGACGTAGAATGTCTTTATCCAAAAGATGTTCTCGGTCGGCAGGTCAAGCTCAATGTGCTCTGCATCGGGGTTCTTGGAATCCAGTGAAATGTGGCCAATAGGGATGAAGCTTTCTTTTGTCGGCTGGCGTGGGACAGCGTTGATTGCTGTGGCTGTGTCTTGAAGCATTTCATCTTCCTAGTAGTCACGTGTTAGTTATTTTCTTTGGGTTGCGCTGTTGTGCTTACTTTTGGCGATATCGTTTGTGACTCATCTGATGGCAGGACCTTTCCCAAAAATGTAAGCATATTCGACTCGTGTTTGTGTTGAATACAACGAAAGAGTAATATTTAATGGGACTTACAATCCAATAAATGCACTTCTCGCCTTTGAGCTGTTGCTTCTTCCATTTTGTCTCAACTTCTTCCTGGTGCCAACTGCATTCGATTCGCTGCGACACGAGACATTTCAGATGGACGTCCGAATTGGGATCCCAGGGAAATAAAGTCACTTTCGAACTTGAGCCCATTATTATTTAAAGACAAATTTGATATCGAAAGTATAAGAGTTAAGAGTTTCAACCTCGAGAAAACGGCTTCATGATGATTTATAAGCTAAAGTTATTATGGATTACCTAGGTAACGGAATCTAAAATCAAAAAGAATCCAACCAATCCCCGGTCCCGGTCAACCACTTATGCAGCGCAGGGTATTTTTTCCTGTTTCGATAACTATAAGACATGAGTCAACCATAGCCCCAACCTCGGCAGGCAACTCTCTACTCAAGAGCCAAATATCCTCAAATTATGTGTTTATTCTGCTTTCGACACGTTCTGCCCAGCCTCGTCTGTTGACAACGGCTTGGTTTCCTTCTCTAGCTGCGAGCTCATGGATTGTAGGTTCTCACCTGTGGCTAGCTGATGGTCGAGCCGAGCTTTTTCCTCGTCCGTAGCGCCGGTGAGGTCAACAGCAACCTCCTCGCCGAAGTTCTTGGCGATTTCTTCTAGGGTGAGACCAGCAGTCTCGGGGAAGAAGAAGTAGATGACTACAATTTTTGTTAGCGAAGTTTTAGTTGACGGGCAGATCTTGATGCGATCGGGAGAAAAAAATACCGGGAATGAAGAATGCAGACCAGCAAATAATGACAAGATAGTATTTCCAGCCAACGTTGCCGAAACCCATGGGGGCAGTTTGCAAGAGTATGAGGGTGGCTAGGTATGTCAGTTGGAATTTGGACGCGAAATTGTAAGGAACAACTCACAAGCAAATTGACCGAAAAGAGAAAAGCCCATGCCAATTGGACGGATTTCAGTTGGGAAGATCTCCGAAACATAGAGGTACATAGTGGTGTCGCAGAAAGTACTGCAGAAATGTTAGCTCATATTCAGCGATTTTTATGTCGCAGCTTGACTCACCCTTGGAAGGCCAGATAAAGGTACATGAAGAAGATACCGAATCCATTTCCGACCTTATTGGTTGTACCAGCATACTGGGCGGTCATAGCAGCCAGACAGGATGTAGAGATGATAATGCCGACAAAGCCGATCATGTACATGCCGCGCCGGGAATTGACTTTATCATGGAGCCAGGCGCCTAGAGGATTGTAGATCACACCTATGCCAAGTTAGCAAACGGGGTACATAGTAGATACTGGGTGTTGATCCTCACCAGCTGTTGTTAGCCATACAGCACTCAAGAGCAGAGGCATACCGCCCTCCATGCCCAAGTTTGTGTATAGAAGAACGGCGTAATTGTTCTAGCCGTTGTCAGTGGGATATACTTTTCAATAAGGTATTACTACACTCACGATGATCAAAGGTCCGCCAAATTCAGCGCCCCACTGGGTAAGGAAACCGATAGCCATTCGCTTTCGGTATGTTTTCCTTGTGAAGACAGCCTTCCACACGCTGCCGTAAGTAGCCAATCTCTCAGCCTCGAGTTGGATTTGCTCTTTCGTCTGGAAGAACTCCTCCTTGGCGGCCAAGTTGTTCGGATCATCTGGTGATTCACGGAGCCGGATGAGGACATGCTGTGCCTCGTCGAGCTTACCCTTTGAAATCAACCAGCGAGGTGAACGCGGGAGCCAAGGAGATCCCAGAAGCAGCACCAACGCGGGCAGACATTGCAAGGCGAGAGGGAATCTCCAGCCAAACTCAGACAGAGAGCCTGTTGCATAGTAGCAAGCATAACCCACCCATCCTGAAAGCATATATCCAAACACCAGGAAAATGGCGTGGTGGCCGACAAGCCAGCCACGGCGCAGAGCACTTGACATCTCGGAAAGATACATAGGGCAGACGGTTACAAGGATACCGATTCCAAGACCGCAAATAAAGCGGCCAGCCTGGAACATACTGAAAGTTGTCAGCGCCAGTCCAATTTTAAAGCAGAAGAAATGACATACGCCAGTGAGTTAGAGCCGGCCTGCAGTGCTCCTCCGAATAGCGAAAAGAAGGCACCAAACTGGATGTTTGCCTTTCGGCCAAAGAAATCACACGACCACATCATAAAAAGTGCACCAACAGCACCACCGGCACTGAAAACACCGTTTGCTGTCGAGATCGCGGGGGTAGTGATGGTCGCGTACCCCGGTTCACCCTCAGCGGGCAGGCCGAAGTAGGCATACCATCCCGGCTGGCCGATTGTACTGGAGATAATCGAAGAGCAATATCCATATGTCTATTTGTGTAAGCTTAGTAAATAACTGCAATGTGAAGATATATGCGAGCTCACCATTGACCCAATGGCCACAAAAACGATAACCAGCCTGTTATAGGAACTGGTCTGAGACCCGAACCTACCCATGATGGTCTGTTGTAGTTTTTACAGCTCTCAATAAATTAAGGGTATACAATAAAGGATGCCAGCATCAGGTTTGAACGAGGGAGAAATTTTAGCATGTCTGTAGCCGACCCCAAGTAGGGGGGCCTCGTAGGGGTACTGCTCTGTGGAGTTGTGGCCCACTGAGCTGCATAAAGTTCTTGAGAATACGACTGGCTTGCCGATCACGGCACAGGAACTTTGAGTCCAGACTCTGAAATTGCATATTGCCAATATGTTAGAAGTTAAACAATGCTCATTTGCTGAGTAAAATTCGACTCCAACATGCCGTACGATGTGTGTTGGATGTTGTACTCCGTAAGGGTGCAGTTGCGGAGTCAATAGCGCGGAACCGGTCCGAGGCTATTGAGTCCACAAATGACATATCCACTACGATGTCAAGAAAAAGGTCCATGTGCTCCATGCTAGTTCATCGCACAAAGCTCTACTCCGTATCTAGCAAGAGACTGCGACATCCCGCGCCCTACAAGGTATATTTTTTGTTCACAACTACGACTAGCAGAAACAGACAATAGGACAACGGAACGATGGCCCAATCTCCCTTTGACACCCCGTTTGACCAGCTCCCAAATCCGAAACAGGTTTGGCTAGGAAAGCCAGGTAGCTATGAAGAGGGTTTGGGAAAACTAGCTATTCTTACCCCTGAAGTCGTCGCCGCGGCTTCCGCCAGTGAGATCAGATGTGGTCGACGCGTGACGATGGGATGGGAGATGACAAAATTGGATTTTCCTAATCTCAACCGTCAGCCATGTCACCATGAGATTGTGCCTCTTCTGGGAGGTGTGGCATTCGATGATATCTATACTATGAACCCACGTGAGTCGAGAGGATATTTGCTTTTCTCTCTTCGGTTTCTTTTTTTTACAATATATTGACTGTTTGACAGAGCAAAGTAGCCAGTGGGACGGCCTCCGCCATTTTTCTCAAACAGTACCTGGTCAGTCTGAACGTGTGTTCTATGGTGGAACAACCAGTGAGGAAATCACTGATCGCCAAAATGATCGAATTGGTCTCCAGCATTGGGCCCGAGAGGGCATTGCAGGTACTCACCCCCTTCGCATGAATCCCCTGATGTTATCTCACACCATTTCAATAGGACGTGGAGTATTGATTGATTACGCTACTTGGGCTGAGAAAAAGGGGATTAAATACACCACATTCTCGACCCACCAAGTGCGATTTGCCGACATCCTCGAAATTGCCAAGGAGAACAACATCACGTTCCAAAAGGGTGATATTCTTTTCGTCCGTGTAGGAGTGACCAAGGAGTGGGACACGTCCATGACAGACGCCCAAAAACAAGCTTATTCGGATAACCCTAGCCCAGAGCATGCTGGAGTTGAGGCGACCACGGAAGTCCTCCGCTGGTTGTGGGACACCGGGTTCGCCGCCATCGCAAGTGATGCAATCAGTTGGGAGGTGAGCGATAAGAAACATAGATCCAGAATTCTCAATAGTATATTGCAAGCCGATCAAGGAAATCAACTGACAGACCCACAGGTCTACCCGCCACAGTCCCCTGACATCTTCCTCCATGAATATGTACTTGCTGGATGGGGAATGCCGATCGGTAAGTTGTCGGAGTGTTTTCCTCCGAGTTTCGCAGGTCCATTTTTATTGACTCATAGATAACAGGGGAACTATTCGATCTTGAGGCGCTGGCACGCACCTGCCAGGAACTCCAGCGGTGGAGCTTTTTCGTGGCATCTGTGCCTTTGAATATGCCCGGTGGGGTTTCCTCGCCTCCGAATGTGATGGCTATTTTCTAGGTCCAAATTGTCTGCGGAGTACAACATGGCAATAGTATATCCAATGGTTTATCACATAGTCAATCAAATATCCCGAACTCCGTAGTCATTGCCGGCACCTGGGCAGGATTCCCTAGTATGTAAGCCCTATTGACCGGCTATTGAGTCGGGTGGTGCTGCCCCGCTCCAAGTGTGTACAAAGTACATAAATGTCATGCTAGCCCCACTAGATTGTACAAAAGAAGCGCTTTTGGGAGCAACGAGGACAAGTCGGGGGTGATAAATTGTCATGAATACGTGGTACATTATGTTAGAAATCGTGGGCCGAAGGCTCGGAGCGAGCGTACCAGCGGAAGGAACTACGATGTACACATCGGCACGGCAAACAGGCCCCGCTTAAATAGCCATTTAGCAGACACTATGAATAGTGATATGCGGTGCAATTACCTAGCAGAGGTAAAATAGAGAGTACACTACTCAAATGTGGATTTTGCCTCGTATTTTTGACTTTGGTTTTCCTTCGGGGCCGGGCTGCCAGAATTTACCCAACTCTCCACCATCCTGCAGAGGACAGACCCCTGCGATCCACAAGCTATGGAAGTCCCACTTTAGTTGACGAACCTGCATCTCCAAAATATGCCGTCGTGGGTCAAAGGACTTCGGGAAATCATGCTCTGCACAATCATGGTTGACGGAGCCGTTTGGATCCACTTCCCGTATAGATTAACTCAATTTCAAGCCCAGAAAAAAGTACTTACAACCTGAAGGCCATCAATGTCGTCAGAGAATATGCAAGCCTTTTATGCATATATATGCTTAGACTGAGCTCAAGCTGTAAATATTCCGTTTCACTTGATCTCGGCTATTTTAAACATGTTCTTGTTAGGAAGATAACTATGTAGTTAGGTTGAGTGGCAGGTCCTGTATGTACAATGTGTCATTTAAATGACAGCATGAAAGCTTGGATGCACGCCACCATGTACTTTGTGTGCAACTTCTTTACCGTGCACCAGGGGATACACATTGTACGATGTTTGCACAAGACGTATGAACATGTTACATCGTAGTGCCAAAGCAAGACAAAAAAAAAGTTGGGAAACAATACTGTTAAGAAACGAATTGTTGTCAAACATTTTATTTTTCACGGACCTCGTGCATAATTAGCCCCGGCTAGCTGTTTCTGTTTGTGGGCGGATAATAAAGGTATGTTTGTTCTTCTGTTTCGGGGGAGCCGATCGTGGGTGATCAATAGCCCGATTTCAATCATGCAGCTCGTAAAGCATGTCGGTTTAAAATTTAAACCAAGGATCTTGGCTGAAGAGGCCATTATATTATTGTTTAAAAGACGGGGCTGTCTTGAAACACCTGACCCCCGTTACTAATTCTAAAGGAATCCATGATGCATCTTGTGTCGTTGCTAGAACGGGGCTCTGAGGATGCATCCATTGACCGGAGTGTGCAGAAATGGAACTATGCCTGCCAGTCATTATGTATCATTGGCATGACAGTCTTCTTCGGTCTTCGTCTTTATACTCGATTGTTTATTCTCAGCGGATTCGGGAAGGAGGATTGTGAGTGAAATTTTTGCGTGAGGGGCACAGAGCACAAAAATGCTAACAGCCTTCTAGGGACATGTACAATTGCCTGGGTAGGACTACCACGTGGAAAGAGGGCAACATAGGCTAACAAGATATCTCGAACAGTTTCTCGGCGTCTGCTACTCAATCATTGCTCTCCTCAGTATGTCTCTAGTACCACGGGCGACAGGCTGTATCTAACGCAAGGACAGTGGGTCATTATGGAGGAGGTTTACACTGGTTGGACGTCCCCGATGAGAACAAGATTCCTTTCCAAAAGGTATGCAAAGCACTGGCGCAATTGATCATCCCGACTTCTGACTCTCTAGACTATATACGCAACAATGGTCATGTATGGGCCAACAGCCTATCTCACAAAAGTGTGCCTCCTCTGGATCATGACTCGTGTATTCAGCCCCTTCCGAAAATGCGTCATATTTATTAGGATCTTTATGGGAATTATGTTGGCCTACTACATCCCGGCTGTCATCGTCAAAATCCGAATCTGCAGCCCCATCGCCAAATTCTGGGACCAGGGTATTGACGGCACATGTTTAGACCAGACATCAATCATCTTGGCTGATGCTGTCGTCAGTGTCGTCAGTGACATGATCGTTCTCATCTTGCCATTACCATTGACTTTGACTCTGCAAATGTCCACAAAGAGAAAGATGCGGGTTATGGGTATTTTGGGGGCGGGTGGCCTGGCTGTTGCAGCCAGTATCATCAGGTTGGCACTTATTGTCATTACCGGACAGTCGAAGGATGTTTCTCGTGCGTTTATGAGAATCAATATGCTAGGGTATGTTCCTCTCAGCTTATTCTTTTGACCAAACATTCTAACCAAAACATTCTCTCTAGTAACGCGGAAGTCTCCATCGGCATTATCTGCACCTGTCTCCCTTCCCTATCGGCTCTTATCATCCGCATCTACCACGAATATTCCAGTAACAAAGCAACCCTCGAGTCTGACTACAAAATGAGCACGATGCGAAACCAGGGCACAGGGAACCGAAGCAAGAATCAAATGAGTGTGTTAGCGGCGGACTCGGACGAGGATGTACTCATGTACAATGCACAGGGGAATCCGAAGATTGAGACAATCATCCACGGTAATAGTCAGCAAGGAGCTCCGCCGACATTAACATTTGATGGCATAGGAGTGACCCGATCTGTTGATGTGTCAACCTCCGCCGGGCCTCGGTGATACAAATAACGACGTCAACTTTGTTTCGGATGATAAAACAACCCTGGAGACCATCAACTATAACTAGATACAATTGGGCCGATATACCTTCCATGTATATAATAATATATCTCTTTTCCTTTGTGATGAATGTACGTATCTTAAAAAGAAGCCGAGTCCTGCGTTATGCCTTATACCGTCGGGTCAAGTGCAAACAATCCAGCAAACGGCCAAGAATCAATTAGGGCTGCCTGCCTTGGACTGGCCTGGATATGCAGGCAACCATAGAATACCAGAGGCAAACGCCGTTGACCGCCATGATCTAGAACCCACTGGATTTACCTGTCTCATATGTGGAACGAAGCGTCGCAAAATGGGCTCTATCGCTAACTGGATGCTCAAGCTCGTGAGAGGTTGGAGGTGTGTCACAACTTTAATCCTTCTAAGGTTGGAACGGCCCCGGGGGACAAATGATGACATAATAGAGCGGATATCCCGGGGTCCCGGCCCGAGAAATAACGGAAGGAGACTTCCGAATTCAACAACCTTCTCCCTTTCCAATATGTTGGTCGCAGAATGATGTTCTCATTTCATATGGAAAACTCTTCCCCACAAGAACAGCCGAGAGGACCAAAACCGAAACGTTTCAAGATCAGCATCGCATGTAACGTTTGTAAAGCCAAGAAAACAAAATGCGATGGTGCTAGACCAGGTAAGCGAATTAAACGAACTCGACAGGGTGCGATCGATACTGTGCTCATATTTGTCGTGTTAGTATGCGGGTCTTGCTCAAAAAGGAAACAAAGTTCGCAAGTATGTATATACCGCGAGGCTGATCGAGTCTCTCCCTCATCAGGTATACAGTAAGTACATAGAATAGACTCAGCCTTAAAACATATAACAGCCAAGCATCTTATGATGCTTGCCTTGTGGCTCACTTGTCGTGGTCTATTATCTACAGATCAGCTGACGCGTTGACCAACATGCAGCTCAGATACTGCCAGAGAGAAGGTTACGATCGACAGCGGCTTCGGTAACACCGAACAGCCGAGATACAGGAGCGAATCTCCAAACAACTGTTCTCAAAATGAAGACAACGATGAGACTGGCTTGTACAGCGGAATCGTACCTAACGGCAGCCTTTTTGGCGCATCTAGTGGGGCGCATATCTTGCACGAAGTTGGAAATGCGACACGCCCAAAAAGAGGATTTGAGAACAAAGGGAAAGAAAGCAGTCTAGTTTCGCCCAGACCGCTCGAAAGGTTGCCGAAGTTGCAGAAAAAGGAGCCTAGCAGAGAACCCTCTGAGATGCAGTTTGTTCTTCCTACAAGGAAGGTGGCTGACAACTTACTGAGTGTATATTGGGATTATGTGGATAGCGCCTACCCCTGGCTCGACAGATCGTCTATCGAAAACGCATACGAGACGCTGTGGACCAAAGATGGAGAAATCTCTATGAACGAGAGGGCTTTGCACTGCCTTCTCAATATGATATTCGCCATATCTTGTGTTGTTTCTCAGACTCAAACACCTACCTCTCGGTATCAATCCTCGGTTACTTTTTTTGAGAGAGCTCAAGGATTAATGTCCTACGAACTGATGGAAATTTACAATTTTGAAATCATTCAAATCCTTTTGCTTACAGCGGTGTATCTTCAACATGAAAAAATGCCCCAGAAATCCTTCCGAAGCATTGGCATGGCGATTCATATCGCACAGGACCTGGGGTTGCATTTACCTGCCACAATAGAATCCATCAAAGACTTACGTGAGCGGGACCTTGCGTGTCGCGTTTGGAATGGTTGTATTATCATGGACAGGTATAATATGAAGAGTGGATATTTTCAATGCGCAAACTAACTCTATATAGGGTTGCCTCCATGACTTTTGGCTGCGCACTCAAAGTTCCCCAAGCTGTTGCAAAACAAGGATTGGATACTTTGGTGCTACACTCAATGGAGTTCGCCAGTGGCACTGGGAATATGGCTCTACCTTCGAAGGTGAATTTCTACATATCATTCTGCCGACTACATCACATCATAGGAGACGTGTTGGAAACCTTCTATAACTCCAGTGATTCCAAAGCCGACTCTGATCTAGGCAGAAATTTCACTGGTGTGAACTTGGGCTCACCATTATCCTTCGATAAATTCACGAGCCTGTTTAGAATCGAGTCGGAGCTGAGCAATTGGACCGAAAACCTTCACTCTTATTTTCGAATGCCATCGGATCTTGAAGATCCGACGCCGACAAAGCATATCAAACGTCAAGCAAACGTTTTGCGCGGCCGGTTTGTATCCTGATACCCGGGAATGTGAAATGCGGACTAATTTTTGTTGGAAGATATCTCTCTGTCCGCCTCCTCCTTTTCAGGCCGTTCCTTTTGCAGGTGCCCCATCCAAAGGCAGACAATGCTCCTGGTGTCAATTTGTACTCGGAAGATCAAACCATTGGATACGTGGTCTTTCAGTGCCAAATTCAGTGCGTCAAAGCTGCTGAGGATATGATAGATTTCATCATGAGAAATTTACCAGAGCAGACGCAAGCGTATATATTACCATCGAACTGGTACACTGTCTCATGTGAGTTACTCTCGTAAATGAGGCACAACGGTGTGGCTAACGATTATAAGATATATACATGGCCGTAACTATTCTGCTTGCAGCTCAAATGTCCCCACAGATAGTGGCACATTTTTCTCTCGCTCGTTTGAAGGACCTTTTGAAACAGGCTCGTGGGATTCTCAAAGATTATGAAAAGTATACTACATTGGCTTCGAGGTGCAGCTCCGTTCTCAAATTGATACAAGAAAATATTGATATGCGCAGCTCTGGAACAGACTACGCCGCCGGAGAAGGTTCGCAAGACGCAATCAACTATGACAGCACAATGGTTCAAGATGCAACCATGGAAGGACAAGAGCCTCAAAATAATCTAGGAAACATGGCTTGGCTTGAGAATTATGCGTTTGATTGGAACGATTGGCCTTTGTTTTTTGCACAGCTGGACGACCAAACCGGCCCGGCTGAAGAATGGGGAATGCAAGCATAGCCTCGACTAATCCAAAACATCAGACCTTTCTTTTTCACCCAGAAGGTCTGCTGGAAGATGGTGATTACCAGTCCAGCAGTAGAAGCTCATTGGACTAAAGTTCTGAAGATTCTTTTGCCATATTGAATGCATCATATGATGTTTAAATTTAGATATATAAAGAATTAAGTATATTTATGACCACCAGGTCAATGTAACATTAAACTCTAGTCCCAGCAGGTTCAAGATCGTTACTGATCTGGCATAGTTATGGTCTATGCTAGCGTATGGGCTGAAGTCTACCTTGGGTCAATTCCTCATGAGAAGCCCTAGCTGATTTGCAGTCGTATGGCAAATCATTGAACCGAGATAACACATGGAAGTAAGGCCTAATCTGAAGCACTCTCGATTCAATTACAGTAGCCTATACACGAGGTCAAGGATGGGAAGAAACGAGAACGCATAACTGTATGATTGCTAATGGAAGAATATATCTGGGCTAAGAGGGAAACTGGACATAGAATCCGAACAAGTATCGACACTATTCACATACACTAACTGCAATTGACTTGAACACTGTATTGCTATCCTCAAGCCTGCTCCAGATCACAAGAGCACAATCATCATCCCGAAGGCTTGGCAAATGAACTTGAACAGTAAATCCAACCCAATCGCTAGTCTGCAATGTCACAATTTGCCGCCACCATTGGCATCACATGGTAGACCTGTCCGAGGAGCAAGCTACAGCCATTGTATGCTTTGAGGATGATAACAATGGGGAACCGCAGGTGTCAACCAGCGAGGTGTCATGCTCGAATTGCTCAACTGCACCACAGGCTTCAGGGTGTCCATGTGACCCCATGGCCCATCTTGGAAACTGGTCATGAGCGATTCAGTTCCGGATGCAAAGTATTGGGGAAATACCCTCTTCCATCCATCCATGACAGTGAGAAGGATCTCTATCACAAAATGGGAAGGGTGGATGGGACCCCATTTGAACAACTGATTGCTTTGTTCAACAACCTCCGGCGAGTAAAGACCGATCTCGGGCTCCAGTGCAATCGCGTCGGACTTTACCAAAGAGCTTGTCACACGATATGAACCGCCATGTCGAGCCCGATCCCGGAGGGCCATAAATGCCCCCAAAGCACCCACAAGGCCAGTGGTCATATCGGAGATTGGAAGCGGTGGAAGAACGCTAGTACCATCCTTGAAGCCTAAAGACCGGCCCATCACATAGGACGATCCTGAGGCTGCATCCCCAATCTGCTGCCAGCCAGGTCTTTCATGGTACGGCCCGTCAGGGCCGTAACAGTTCTCCTCAACGTACACTATCCCCTTACCCCGGTTGCCGGCCATCTCGAGGAGATCGTTGACGCCGAAGCCCTTCCTTGCGATCGAATTGGGGCGGAAGCCCTGAACAAAAACATCGGCACCCTCAAGGAGTGCCCGCAATCGTGATTTGTCTTCGTCCTTGGTCAGATCAATATCGATAGTACGTTTCCCTATGTTTAGGGTAAGTTGTAAAGCCTACACATTATCAGTCAGTACAAAGAAGTTCGAGCGCGAGTAGGCCAGAAATTTGCGACATACGTTGAGGTCTACTAAGCGGCTGCAGTTCACGCGAATGACATCGGCACCGAAAGCGGCGAGAGTGCAGCCAATGACAGGACCGGCGATAATGCGAACCAGCTCAATCACTTTGATACCTGCCAGGGGCCGCCTATCTTCCGAAATATTGGGCAAGGGGGTTGGAGGAGTCGGAATCGCATGCGACTGTCGAGAGTAGCCGACTAGTGGGTGATCCGCAAGTCTCTTTCCCATCACCGTGTCTGACCATCCTTGGGCGGTAAAGCAGATGCTACCGCAAAAGCCGTTCTTGACGTTGTGCATTTCCAACTCGTCTGCGGTCCATTGCTCCACATGCCGGCTGATGTAGTCATAAGCTTCATCTAGAGTCTTGGCAGGGTAACTGGGATCAATTCCCATAGATCGGAGGACCGGTATGGGATCAAGAGAACCGTGAAGTTGATACCAAACGCCCGGAGTCTTTGTCTTGTAGATAGCAGTAGATCGTTGTTTGATCGGTGTGGACATACAACCTCGCTCGAAATCCTGCTGAAAGAGAGTTGGCAGCTGACGTGACCTGACCAGTCCAGATAAGTCTTTCCCTTCCACGGAAGCTGCAAAAATCGTTCCCAGCCAAATACCAGCATGATCGGTGTTAACAGTAACCTGCTGGGTACGCGCCGATGTGCCGTCACGGTCTTCGACAATTTCGTGGGCTACAACTCCACACATGGCATGTATGGCAGCTGCAATGGGAGGGGCCTTGATTGGGCCAGGAATGATCGGTAGCGAGCTACCCTCAAACCTGACTGTATCCCAAAGCTCTTTGTCTTGAGTGAATGCAGGAGTGTTCTTTGCAATATACTCAAAAATCCGAGCAGCATCCTGGGGAACTGGAGTAAATTCCGTATCCATGAAAGTCCCAGGACCGTAGATATCCGTGCTCGGTTTGGTTTTGTGTGGATGAGGCATTGTGAATTCAGCACGTTGTTGCCACAAAATCACTGTCAAGGGGAAAAAAGAAAAAGAACGGAGATTTAGAATGGAGACAAGGATGAAGTAATCTTGGTCATGCAGCTCCTATAGTCGGACAACTACTATACCACATCTCTGGTGGCCCAGAAGTATTTATATATCCCATCGTACGTCACAAGACACAACAATCAGTGAGATATGATCTTCCCGTTCCTAGCTCCCAAGGTCGGAAGGCTAGAAACGGCACCGGATGTGTCGGCTTTGCCCAAAATGACACTTCTCCATAGAATTTTGTTGAAGCAGGTTTTTTAATTCAAAGAATTTGCGGGAAATTCCTAGAACCCCGGACCTTCGGGAACCCGGCACGCTCGGTATCATAGAATATTGGCTGGTTTCTTTCGGACTTCGGCTTCGAAATCGCGGAAGCCAACAAACGCTTCCGGGGAACATTTCTTCCCGATTAGGTACACACACTCCGGTTTCTCTAACTTGCTCCGTCACCTCGGGGGCTCATAGACTATTTATTGGCTTCACTGCACGCATATTCAATCATTATACAATCTCAATTCAAACGCAAAAGTCAGAATCAACGCCTAACAAGTCAAAAATCATGGCTCTCCCTACCATTAGAACTGTCGGTGTGATCGGCACTGGTGTCATCGGCGCTAGTTGGACGGCACTGTTCCTGTCTAGGGGCTTGAAGGTCATTGTGACGGACCCGGCACCAGGAGCTGATGGCAAACTCCGTGATTATTTGCTAAAGCATTGGTCAACCTTACCCAATGCCAAGGTGACACAAGAGGATTACTTGAACAATTTCACATTTGTCAAGGATATCGACTCTCATCTTGGGGATTTAGATCTCATACAAGAAGTGAGTTGGCCATTGCAAAAAGGGATTTCTTCGAGGCTGTTGCTGACTGATCTTTCAACATAAGAATGGACCGGAGAGGCTGGACTTTAAACGACGTCTTTTCGCTCATTTGGACGCAAATACTCCCGAGCACGTGGTTATCGCATCATCGTCCTCCGGCCTCCCTTCATCGGAATTTGTCACTGAATGCAAGAAGAACCCAGCCCGTATTCTGATCGGCCATCCCTTCAACCCCCCACACTTAGTACCCCTTGTGGAGGTAGTTCCCCACCAAGGAACAGGTGATGTGTACGTGACGACTGCGCTCCAGTTCTACCGAAGCCTAGGCAAAGATCCGGTGCTCGTCAAGAAGGAGACCCCCGGGTTTATCGCGAACCGGCTTCAAGCCGCTGTTTGTGCTGAAGCCTATAGCCTCATCTCGAGAGGAGTCGTCTCAGCTGAAGACCTTGGTTAGTATTACCCGTTTGAACGAATGTGTGTGACTTGCTCTAACTTGATTAGACAAAACCGTGACATCTGGCCTTGGCCTTCGTTGGGCTTTGTCTGGCCCCATCATGACCAACACCCTTGGGGGTGGTGGAGACTTCAAGCATTTCATGGACCATCTGGGGCCGGCATTGAAAACATGGTTGGATGACATGCACCGGCATGAATTTGACATGGATTCTCAAGATGTCGACGTTCTCAAAGAGAGAGTGAATGATTGGATATCGCACGTCAACTTGAAAGAGGTTGAAGAAAGTCGGGATGAACTTTTGGTTGGCTTGATCAGGAGCAAAACAGAGGGTTCCTTCTAAGGATTATGTTGAGACCGTTCCTGCCTCAGGCGAATAGGACCTTGCTTCCTTCCTATTTTGATCTTCCTTCCTTTCTCTCACAGTTAGCTAGCTCAATACAACCCAGATTATGAAATTTTAGCAGTATCCAAAAGGAGTGGGGGCTATCTAGATTGCAGGTAATGTTGCGATAAATCAAAGTATGGCCTTCATTTGAATGCGATGTCCTTCATAGGTGTAGCCAAGGTAGCAATGTCGATTTTAAACAAGTTGTTGAAATCGTGAAGTCACTCCATAAACCATCCGTGGATTACCATCGCTTAGTAGATCTGCCTCTTCGACATGTCGAACCTACGAGAGTGGCGTGGGCGCCGAGGCTCTTGCCAACCTTCGCCGGCATTTTGGCGAAGAGTACATGGATTGGCCCCCTCGCAAAAGTAAAAAAAAGCCAATTGTTGGATGCAAACGCTAAATGACAATACGTCATAGTTAACAAAGCAACAATTTACAATTAATTTAGGTCAAATAATATCTATCAAACTTGAGAAATGTATTCGAATTCGGCTGGTATTGTGTCTAGTTGAGGCACACTTACACTTACGTACAAGACACAAATCGACAAAATATTCAAAAAGAGAAAGTGATCAGCAAGAGATAGACATTCTCATAGCAGATCATAGGCGCATGACTTGTGCAGAGTCTGGAACAAGTGTCTGCCGGCCTTGAGCTCCAAAGGTTTCGCCAACAAAGTTGGGGCCTTCCTAATGAGTTCCTGAAAGTAAGGAGCAGCGCGATGTCTTTCCAATGCGGCCTGGTTTGCGTATCTGAAAAGAAGGTTGTTAGAAGGGACTAATAGATATTGCCAAGCTACAAAAGGAGCAAATGAGGATAGAGCATGGACGCACCTCTCAACTACTATGACTTCATTTGCATGAGCAATAGAGAAGGCATAGTATAGAATAGTCTCAGGCTCATTCTCTTGCACCCCCGGGTAATATTGGCTAATTCGCCAACGAGCTATAGGTAGGACGCGACACAAAGTTCATCAGTTCAAAAAGATCCACATTTGGGGGAAGAGAAAGTCAGAAACGACACAGGCCTGGTCAGCCATACTAGTTAATGATTTGACTTACTTCATCAAGCATTTCTGGCTTGGCTGTAAGAATGGCAACCTGGTTGATAACTTCGGACGACATTTTGAGCTCTTGACGACTTTAGCGTAGTGGTATGGCACAAAGTATGTATGTTGGTGATGCGCACCTGGGCATTAAGGTCATATTAATAATCCCCACTCGGCGCGGTTCCGCGAAGAACCGGGAACCACAGGGGCAATGGGAACCACGCTCTGTATGGTCTGCCGAAAGCTCCCGTAACATACGGCTGGACGGCTTTCCTCGGAGTCGGGACAGTCGATAGTCACGGCTTCGAAGGTTTCGGAACTCCAAAGCGGGTCAACGGAACATACCAGTTAGGCTCCCGGCTATACTCCGGAAGCGACCAAGTCTGGACAGCGGACAATCCGGCCTGCTCGTCCATGCCAGATAATAGTCAATCGTCTGAAACACAGTAGCCACCATTCGGGAGGTCGCAGTACGCAATGGAGAAAGTACTTAAGGTTATGATTTGCCGCCCAGTTCACTTACCTATCAATTCTTTCCTGCGCGAAATCTTAAACACCCGATTTCTTTTGATCTCTTTTTATAACAATATACTCTCGAAATGGTCCAATCTCCCCTTGCTGCGACTCGTACGGGTCGACTCTATTTCCTCGACATTGGAATTTCAACATATCCGGAACCCAGTGGCCGCATTCTCACTTGCCAATCGGATGGTTCTGATATCCGTGAGCTGGTTACCAACATCAACACTCTGCCCGACGGAATCGCCATTGACACGGGTTGCCAGCACATATACTGGACGAATATGGGAATCCCTTCCGCTAACGACGGGTCCATACAACGATGTGATTTTTCCGGCAACAACATCGTGACAATCATCCCACAAGGCCAGACACATACACCGAAGCAGATGACCATTGCGCCGAAGTCACAAAAGTTGTACTGGTCAGACCGAGAAGGCATGAGAGTTATGAGGGCGAATATGGATGGCAGTGACATCGAGGTGCTTTACCAGGCTGGCATCACCAATACAGACAGCCAGGTTTCGCAGAACTGGTGTGTCGGCATTGCTGTAGACGAGGAATCTAAGTCTGTCTTTTGGACGCAGAAAGGACCGTCGAAAGGGAACAAAGGACGCATTTTTCGAATGAGTCTCGAAAAGAACGGAGATATCCAGATTCTTCTGGACAATCTTCCGGAACCCATCGACTTGGAATTGGACCACGTTTCTGGGACACTGTACTGGACTGATCGTGGTGATCCACCACATGGCAACACTGTAAATTCAGTCGCCCTTGCGGATGTGTCAGCGAACAACTTGCAACCACAGATCCTGGTTCGCAAGCTTCATGAAGGGATTGGACTTGCTTTGGACCTGAAGAATGGCCGCATGTTTTTCGGCGATCTTGGAGGCTCTCTGTACAGTGCCAATTTGGATGGGTCCTGCAAGAGCACCATTTTCCCTGACATCGGAGGTGCGATCACAGGGATAGCCTATGTTGGAGAGTAGTTGATGCATTGACGCCGCTTACATGCAGCTTGACAGACCTTTCTCTGCTCCTTTGTGGCTCTAATGCCTTTGCCTCTTTGTCCCCATGAAGCTATTTAGAGAGCTTTATGGCAGTATTTAGATCATCATCAGCAATTATCTTGACTTCTTTTGATCGCCTGTTTCTTAGTCACGTAGTGTACGTGCATCAGTAATAAAATACCAAACTCCTGCCATCTCTGGATTCTGACGCCCTTGGCTAAAATGGTAGCAGCATGTAATTTGGTTTCTTCCTTGTACATTTTTGTTCTAAAGTTTTTATTTTTGGTCACTGGTCTATTAGAGAACACACTGTATTAATCGAACTATGCACGCTCCTTACCATTTTTCAGGCATTTTACTACACATACGTAGCGAGAATTACAACATGGCCCTGATACCAATTCACAGTAAGAACAAATGTAAGCCATGTTGGAAAAAAGAAGTGAGTACGCCTTTGGGAAGTAATTATAGTTTCCACGAAATCGGTTAAACTTATGCTGTTGGATTTGAGTATGTTGTTCAAGTGAGATCAGTGTGCTTCACCAAAATTTGTTGCAGTTTTGAGTCAGCCCTCATTGCTCTACGAAAGTCATGAACCAACTCTTTGACGTGAAAATATAATAAATAATTAAAAACGGAACTAACGATATCACACAAATTCTATATATGCATTTTTCTTCTAACCTCTCGACCACCATCAAACGCTATTGACTGGACACATCCCGGCCAAACAGTTGAACTCTGAGCCAATCACCCATGATAAAATATCGGTTGCGAACTATGGTCGAGTTAAGCAGGGTTAACGGATATCAAACCTGAATGGAATTGAGCACATACCACTGAGGCACATCTTAACGTAGGCCACACGCCAGAAGAGGAAAGTCCATTGTCCGCCACTTGCGACATTCATACCCAGCAGCGGGATATCCGCAATGGCCCGTTCGTTACCAATATAAGCCAGGCTTCCCTGGTGGATATAATTGAATGCCTTGGCTGCCTTTGATCCGAGAAGCGGCTGGTCGACTTCACCAGCAATATTGTTGAGCGATTGTTTCTCTGCTGTTGCCATGGCGTTGAGGAGTTTGCCCAAAAAGGCACCCTGCTGGCTAGCAACCTGGGCTGTTGGCGCGAAGGAGGTCTGAGTACAGTCACCCACCGCCCAAACCCCACTAGTACCTTTCACCTGAAGGTAGTCATCAACAGCGAGTCCTCGACGAGAAGTAGCTTGGGATGGAAGTTGGCCCATGAAGTCCTTCACAATCGGGCGGACGGCATTACCGCCCGCCCAGATCAAAACTCCATAAGGAATCACCTCCTTTCTGATGGTACCATCAAGGTCCCGGGACTCCACTTCGATTTCCGTGTCTGAAACCCTTTTAACCATCGTCCTTTTCCGGATCGCAATACTTTCTTCCTGAAAAGTTAACTCGGTGAAATTGATCAATTTCTTGGAAAACATTGGAAGCACCTAAGGATTGCGGTTAGTATCAAAACTAGAAAAAGAGCATTGCTGCGGTGTGCACACAGTTGGAAGGGCTTCAATCAAGGTGACCGTGAGTTTATCCGAAAGCTCTGGAAGCCATTTCTTCAAATCGTCTTTGAAGAAGTCTTGCAACTCAGCCGCTATCTCAATTCCCGTAGGGCCACCTCCCACAACAACCATATGCAAAAGTCGGTTAATTTCCTCTTGCGCTTGGCCCTTGAGAGCAGCTTGTTCGACGCGGGCCATCACTTCCCTGCGAATCTTTTGCGCATCTTCTGCTTCCTTAAGGAAGCAGGCATGGTCCTTCACACCCTCAATTCCTAAACGCGCATCAGCATGTATCCTTCAAGCTCTAGTTTTCAGTAAAATCAGGTGGACGTACCAAAGGTAGCATTCTCCGCACCAACTCCGACAACAAGCAAGTCGAACGGGATTTCACCAGCGGACGAGTCATTGGAGTCACTCTTGAAATGCACCACCCTTTTTTCATAATCGATATTTGTTGCTTCCGCATCGTAGAATTTGACCGCTGTCGTTTTGTGACGCAAGATATTCCGAATGGGTTCCATCAGAGACCGAGTGTCTAGTAAACCGGTCACGCAAGACGGCAGCAAGGGGGTGAAAAGAAAATAGTTGCGTGATGATATCACCACGACATTGTAGTTTGAAGAATCAATCTCTTTCAGCAATGATGTCGATCCCCATCCCGTTCCCAGAATTACAAGAGTTTTCTTGCTGGGATCTGGCTGGAGTTGTTCCCGGGGGTTGTTGAGGTGGTAGATACTGTATGCCACAATTGAAACGCCTCCAATAAGCGAGACCAATGCAATCCGCTTTGTGTTTCGAAAGATTTTATTCCGTACTCGTGTGGTAGTTCCATCTGCTGGATTTGTGTCTCCGTGATGTTTCAAGGTCAATGCACGCCGGGTGACCTGGGACGATGGTGGTTGTTTGTTCAATTGGCAAGAACGAAGGCTTTTCGACTGCAAAACTCGGCGAACAGGAAATCTCGCAAGCAGAGCCATTCTGTTTTCTTCTAGGTCCTAGCCCTAATGGAATGTGATAAAGAAACCGCAGGTGTTTCTAGGCTTGCAATACAACCTTGAATGCAGGCCAGAGATGAACGAATACTAAATAAAAGAGCCAAATTGATCAGTTTCTTGAATCTCAAGTACTAGTTGGCCAGGGGACGCTATAGTCCTTACTATATACACGGCCGATTCCTATACAATGAGGCGCTGCCTCGGGCTAAAAAGCCCGAGTCGGAACCCCAATCGGGTCTTCCGGGATGTGGCGTCTCCACCTTCCAATGTCCTGGTGCGACCGATTTGTTTCCGACCCGCTCGGTGCTTCCGGCATGAGTCAAGCAGTCCAGATCTGGGTACTCCGTAAGGCAAATGCCTTTTTGGATCTATTCAGGGAGGAAGCTCCAGAGAAGAAATTTGGGCGGAACTGAGGTATGCGCCAAGCGGGCTTTTTCCATGTTCGGAGTTCCGTATCGGATTCCCGTGTTTTTTGGGTATGTATATAATGGTTTTGTTATATGTTCTTGAAGGTCAATTCGCCCTGGTTAACGATTGTTTATTTCTTAACTTTCATATGTGCTTTGTTTCTCTGGACGATCCAAAACAACCAACATGATGTGTGCACGAGCGATAGGTGTCCCAAGAGGGCTCCCTAAACCAGGTGTTTTAACCTGTTCAACATTGACCACTGCTCCTCATCGGCTCTGGTCTGTAGCTTCGCTACGACAAGACAAAAACGCCAAAGAAAGCCACCATGGACCCTTTCTGGCCCAAAAAATGAAATTCTCTACCTCCAAGCAGCAGTCATTAAGAAACCTGTTACCCCCACCTGATAGTAGGAAAATCAAGGAAACCAAGATCATCTGGCATCATCCAATGTACGCTCACTTTTACCCTGCGAAGCCTCTGACCATGGCGCACCCTGTCTGCCAAACATACGCATACTGAACACAGCCATAGCTATTCGGAGAAGGACATGCGAGACATTTGCGTTGCTCACCGCGACGCCCGTTGCATGTCTGACAAAGTCGCCCTCAGCCTTGTGCAATTACTCCGATGGGGTACTGACTTTGCTACTGGGTATCGGAACCCCAAAAAAGACGAAAAAGTTGCTAAAAGGTTCGTTATGGATGAAAGAAAATGGTTGATTCGGTTCATCTTTTTGGAGTCGGTAGCAGGGGTTCCTGGGATGGCTGGGGGGATGTTGCGACACCTGAAGAGCATTCGGCAGATGAAAAGAGATCATGGATGGTAAGCCTATCGGAAGATTTATATATTTTGATCCTCGCTTTTATTGACATCGGCACACAGGATCGAATCTCTGATTGAAGAAGCCTACAATGAACGTATGCATTTGCTGACCTTCATGAAACTTGCGGAGCCGGGCCCTTTCATGCGCCTAATGGTTCTTGGGGCTCAGGGTGTCTTCTTCAATATGTTCTTCTTGTCCTACCTCATCTCGCCCCGAACCTGCCATCGATTTGTGGGATACCTAGAGGAAGAAGCCGTGGTCACGTATACACATGCTATTCACGATATTGAAGCTGGGAAATTGCCACTTTGGACCAACCTCGCGGCCCCTGACATCGCGGTCAAATACTGGGAAATGCCAGAAGGCAAGCGTCGGATGGTCGACCTTTTGCTTTATATTAGGGCAGATGAGGCTAAACATCGCGAGGTCAACCACACGTTGGGAAACTTGGATCAAAGGAAAGATCCGAACCCTTATACTGCCGAGTACCATGACCCGAGTGAGCCACATCCAATTGATGGGCCTGATTCAAAACGGGCATGTGGTTGGGAGCGGAAGGATGTGATTTGAGCTGTCAAAGTGCTGTTCATGATTTGTATCGTCGTTCCACATTACATGTATACAATTATAGCATCAATCTACCAGAATAAATGATGCTATACAACCCATATCGAATTTTGAGAGGGGGTATTCACGATGCTATGGTAGGATTCGACCACAAGGGACCATGCTCCTCCGAGTACTTAATTGGCGATCCTTTCAACTTCACTGATGTTGCTTTGCCTTTTCATTTCTTTCGTTGCCCCCTTTCTTCGTTACTGCACTTCTCTAACGCCTCCGGTAATTTGACTCTCCCCAAGGTGTACATGTTGCACCGGCCCGTACTCTATACACATAAATGCCACGGTACTAAAGCGATATGTAGGAATTTTTAGCCACACGCCTAATCGCAGTCAAGTCAGGACACGGCAATGACGTACCCTCAGCTTGCGTTGACGACATCTATGCCAAGCTAAAGAGACTTTCTGGCACTTTCTGGGTGAGGTTATCCTCGAAAACAAATCCGAATACGGAGGGCTCCGTTGGAAAAGCGTTCCCGACGGAGATGGCGGTGGGGCCCGCGGGCGTTCCGTCGGACTTGGGTAATCGCACCAATAACCTTAAATGGACCCAGATCCAAGGTCAAAGCTTTGAATCCATGATGCCTCTTTTCTGCTTACTACAAAGAGGTAATTATTACATATTTGGTAGTAGTGCTCCATATCACACGATGCATCAAGTCTATGTATCTTTGAAAACTTCGCTATGGACTACTTCAATTAAATAAGGTAACTTGTTCTCTTCACCTTTCCCACATATGCACTTTCGCCACCAAAGTGAGGAACAAACACATCTAACACCGAGCATACAGCAAGTATTTTATGGGGGAGATCTGTTTTCGAAATATACTGTACCTTATAACATTATACGCATATTCCTAGTCGTTACTACTTCCAGCGATACAGTCTTTTTAAAGCGCTTGTAATTTTCTAAAATCAAAGTGCCACTGTTTGACAGACTGACGTAGAGAGCTTGAGCCAATGCCACGCAATCTTAGTCAATCCTACAAATCAATTTGCCCTTTGTAGTGTTGCTCTCCAGCAGCTTATGGGCATCCACAATCTGGGAGAAAGGGAAAACCTTCTCAATGAAAACTTTGAAAGTCCCATCTTTGAACTTTGGAAGAGCATGCTGAACGAGGGTATCTCTCAGCTTTCGCTGATAGTCGAGTGCCCGGCCACGAAGAGTACTACCCTCTATGCTGACCCTTTTGAATAGCAACGCGGAGATATCAACGTTATTAGGCAGCTTCGCTCCACCCATCAAACCCAATAGTACAATACTACCGTCATATGCAGCAGCGTTAAGGTTACCCTGGAAATAGGTTGCGCCAATGAAGTCAACAATAAGATTAACGCCCTCGCCTTTCGTTGCCTTTTTCACCTCAGCTGCCCAGTCCTGAGTTTTGTAATTGAATGCGGCAGTAACACCGAGTTCCTTGACAAGGAAGTCGATTTTCTCTTGCGAGCCGGCTGTGGCGTAGATCTCCTTGGCTCCCTCTGCCTTGGCAAGCTGGATACCAGAGATCGAGACCGATGAGGCGCCAGCATGCCATAACACGGACTGACCAGGCTTGAAGTTCCCAATGAGGAAGAGCGCCTGCGAGGCTGTGACCCAGGTCTTTTGAAGTAGAAGTCAGTAACATAACAGTGAAGTGTAGGCATTATTTTTGAGGTAGAGCATTTCTCACTTCCGGGATACCAGCAGCTTCATCCCATGAAAGCGACGCAGGTTTATGAATAAGCATATCGACCGAAACGCAAATGTATTCGGCGTAGGCTCCTAATATACTTCAGTATAGGATTCAGTAGGGCGTAATGATGAATTACGAACCTCCATAAGCAAGGCCAAACACCTCGTCTCCAAGTTTGAAATCGCACTTTTCATCGGGTATAACAGCCTCGATAGTGCCGGAAAACTCGACTCCCATGGTCTCAGGTGCCTGCGGCGGTAAAGGGTATAAACCCTCCCTCTGAAGCAAATCCATACGGTTGAGGCCAAAGGACTTGATCTTGACCAGCGCCTGGCCGGTAGCGAGCGTAGGCTTTGGGATCTGCTCTATAGACATCGAATTGGCTGGCCCTTTGCCGTCTTTGACGACTAGCCATGGAGTCAGCAACGTTTGTCACATTAGCCCAGAGGTTTATTACCTACCAACTGCCCTCATTGTCTCAGACATGATGTAAGATCAAACAGAATTTTCGAAAAAGTGTATTCCTTGCCAATTGTGTCGTAAAAAGTAAGAAGGCGAAAACAGAGCTTCAAACACGCTTTATAATTACACCCTAAGCAGTGGTGCTTATCTAAGTGTCAATTTATTCCAAGGTTCCACCCGTGGACGGTTTCTGTAGCTCCTGTAAAAGTATTTCTAAGCAAAAATACAATGACCTTTTGATTTTGCTTTCTTTCGTACCTTCAAATTTACTATCCCACCTTTTGTAATTTCCATCCCGACGGAATACGGAAGCTACCTAGGTACGTCTGTGCACCAAAGTCCGACGGACTTACAAAGCTTCCAAGGTTCCCTCCCGCCCCACCCCCGGGTAATATTTAGAGTTAAGATCGACGCAATTTGCCACGGAGACCTCGGGAGCTTTAAGCCACAAAAGTTACCTCTTAGTAACCTTGAACGACGATCAAAACCTTCCAAACGGAGTAGGTAAGCATGGGGTGATTATCTAAGGTTTCTGTGGCTCCTATAAAAGTATTTCTAGCAAAAATACAATGACCTTTTGATTGTACTTTCTTTCATACTCTAAATTTACTATCCCACTTTTAGTGATCGGTGGTTGTTGGCCAAGGGCGCTCAGTTTTGGTATACTATAGCATGAGCCAACTCCAGGAGAACCATCAGCTTAACTTATTATTTTAAACCGCTCTATAAACATACACAACCGAAGGAACCAAAAAGATATTTATTCACCCTCAGGACTTTTCAATCTTTGCGCCTTCAAAATGGCCGAGTGATCCAGGTTATGCGTGGTGCCCGCCTTCAGGATCGCATATAACCTCGATCTAAGTGAAAATATCATTTCTCAAATTTCCTCACTTCATGAAATTGACATTGTTGAGAGTCGCTTAATCTAGAAGAAGTTTTGTAATGTATGGTCTGACCATAACCATAGTTGATTTGCATCGGCAAATTCAGGATCGATCGTTGAATATAAGCCTCCGTCCCAAGAAAACATCGGAGGTGCTAGCATTAAAGACTCCTCATAGGAACCGGCCGAATTCTGTGGCATATCATCCGTCGATTCGATTCCTAGCGCTCCATCTTGCAGGTGCTCAGCAAATACTATAAGAATTGAGATGAAAATCAGAAGCATGTTCATAGTTTTGATGACTCGGTGCATATATGCATATATATGGCCCTACCTTCCTGTAAAGGGGCCAAAAAGGCTTCGTTCTCTGTAGCCCGTGAAGTGTCGGGACGACTATCCTGGCCAGCTGGCGTGACCACATCATCTTCGATCAAAGTTCTGGGCCGAACGTTGGGCGATCTAGGCGGAAGATGGCCAAGGATGAGCTGCTGTTCGAATTGCATGACCGCAGCTACTGAGTCCTCGAGAATTTTCGCGCTTTGGGCCGAAAGAAGATGCTGATCCGAAAGGTTGTTCTGATGCAGACGGATGATAGCCATAATCCCTGCTTTTGCTTTTTGGCTGGAAAGCGATAATGGCTCCGAAAGGCTCACTGCGCAGAGAACTACACCTGCCGTGAAAAGGCATATACCAACATGCATAACAGCGTGTGTTCTGCGACAAGCCTGGAGGATGTGACTATACTGGCCCAGCTCCGACGTTCGTAACGCAGACTGGAGCAATTCTTCTCTGTGAAGAGATGAGTCCTGTCTACGGGCAGTGCTACCATCACCAGTCATGCAGTGACGGCTGTCCCCAAAAGCCACGCTTCTGTGGAGGATAATCTGGAGATTGTCATAGGTTAATTGAAGCGCTAATGCCTGCAACTGGTAGAGAGATGGCTTCTCCGAGGGCACATCGTCCTTGTAGGTCTGTAATCGTAGACTTCCAGGTAGCTCCCTTTGCCAGAGAATGAGCTGACCGTGGAGGTTGTTTACTGTTTCCAGTCGATTCGTCTGGCTCCTGCGGCCTAGGAAAGGGCCCATCAGTCGATACAGTTTGAACTTTTGTCGATGGTATTCCAGTAGTGAATTTCGAGGTGAGACCAGTTTTCCTTCAAGGCATACATCGACTGGAGGATCAACGCTGCAATCGGACTCATCTATTGTGCAGGGTCTTCCGAAGGCGATAGCAGCATATCTGGTGCATCATTAGAATTCGTCTGAGCTTCGCAACGGAAAAGCAAGAAAAGAAAAGACATGGATCATCAGTGATGCGTACTTGTCAAAAACTTCAAGTGCCCACCATGACCGCCGCCTCAACTCTCTGTTGATACTGGAAATACCCTTCCACATAGACTCCCGATGTAATCCCATGATCTGGGCGATCTTGACACCGCTTCCAAGTATACCAAACCCAACTGTGGGACGGCCATTGAACAAATGGAAGCTACCTAAGAGTATACAAATTTGAACAGCCTCGACATTCGGTGAGCCAATGATACGGCAAAATTTATGTTCAACTTGTGTGAAAATGCTCTCGGAAAATAGTCGCAGTGAAGATTCGTCTTGACCGGTGGATCCGCCCAATAGGGAATAATGGGCGCCTAGTCCAAGAGCCATCAACGTAACCCAAAGGAGGTTGTTATCGACTGGTTCTACACCTTGAGTAGATGTTAACAGGTTCTCGTAGCGTCGTCGAAAATGTTCCTCATGAAAGACCTGGAATGGAGTCAGGACGCGCAATAACGGGCTCGATTCTAGGAATGCTACCATCATAAACCAATTAACTGAATTGAAGAACTGGTCAAGTAATGTATCGAGCACTCCTTTTGGAGGGAGTGTTGACCCAATAATATCTTGCCATGATTTGGCGCTGGCTGAGACTGACCTTTCCATTTCCTTCCCTCCCGGCAACGCTGAAGTGTCGTAGGCCGGATAATCACGAGAGAAAATCTTCCAATTTCAATCATCATCGAACAAGCAATGAAGCCAAGCAGAAACCTACCTTCGTGCTCAATTCCACGATACTTTGTTCCGGTAGAACAGCCCTTTCTTCATCTTGGAGACGAATCTGGTTCAGGCTAGAGCTACCCTGCATATTCACCGCCACAGCCTGTTCTGTCCCACCAGTCCTACCAGGTACGCATGGCACACCAGCTCGGACACATAGTTGGCATGGTCGATGTCGATCACACTGATCATTTGTCAGAATTCGTATAGAGTCGTATGACGAACAACATACTCCTGATTTCCGCGAACGGCATCTCTGACAGGCCGAAGAGACCTTTTGTCGTCGTCTAGTGGGATCCATGATTTGTGGCTCCTCCTTGTTCGATTGGACGAGCAAGGTCCGACGGAGTTGAGTGAGGGGACGAAATTTCCCTCAATTTCCCGGCCATAATAGATCAAGTCATTTTACACCGCCCCCTCCGCCACCTCCCCCGCAATATTCAACGAGGCTGACAAACTCCGTCGGAGCTAGTCGTGGACGTAGTCAATGTCGTCACCGTGGGAAGCTCGCGACTAGTATAGCTTCAACAGAGGTATAAATATTTACGCTCCTTCAGTTTCCTTCAATCTACCTTTTGAAAATACATCAAAATAAACCCATCGGCTTGATTTGAAACCTCGCTAAGCTAAAGAACCTCGACCAAAAAAAAAACATAATGGCTCCCCCTCGCAAAGCTCTCATCGCTATCACTTCCGCCCATGCTCCTCTGTACCCCGAGGGCAAGGAGACTGGTGAGCTTCCAGATTGAAAGACAGTTCAAGAGTCAGGAGTAACATCATCTTCATTTTTAGGTTTGTTCATCACTGAAGCCTTGCATCCCTTCCTAGTATTCAAGAATGCAGGCTTTGATGTTGATCTGGTGTCGGAGACCGGATCTTACCAGCCCGACTGGCTCTCAGAGCAAAAGGACTGGCTTCACGATGAAGATAAGGTTATTTGGGAGGATAAATCCAGTGAATTTCGTTCGAAGCTTGACAATCTCTTGAAGCCGAGTGACATTAACCCTAACGACGTAAGCCGATTTTATCGATACCAGAGACACAAGCTAACAAGCGTTTAAACTAATTCAGTATGGTATTTTCTTCGCTTCGGCTGGTCACGCTTCTTTGATCGACTATCCCGATGCCAAGGGTCTACAGAGCATTGCATCTAAGATGAACACTGATGGTGGTATCATCTCTGCTGTGTATGGGCCCGTTCATGATCCAAGTTAAATATGTTACTGATTTAAAGCAGCTGTCATGGCGGTGCCATCTTCCCGGGAATCGTTGATCCTAGTACAGGAAAATCGATCATATTTGATCGAAGAGTGACTGGTTTCACTACTCGAGGTGAGGAGGAAGAAGGTATTTTAGACACCATCAAAAGCTGGAATCGCCCGACCATTGAGGCCTCCGCCGCAAGCTCGGGAGGCAAGTGTAAGTTTCAAATAAATGCGTTTCCTCAAACGCTATGTCCAAACTACGATTTTCCATGCATGTCTGACACAACTTCAGATGTTTCTCCTCCTGGTCCCTGGGACGCTTTCACCATCACTGATGGCCGCATCGTGACTGGTGCCAATCCTGCGAGCGCGCATGTGACAGCTGAAGCTGCGGTTAAGGCATTCAACACTCTGTAGTAGCTAGGCAAATCACAGGAAACTTGGATGTCTTTCAGCACCTAGGTAAAAATGAGAGTACTCTTCGTTCGTTATTACATTGGCCAGTACATTACCACCCAGCACCGAGGAATCCTATGTAGTCGGAAACCTAGCAAATGATTACTCCTAGCCGCGTCTAGCGTGGCATTTCAGGTGTATAGTTGCAATACTTTTAAGCAATCGAACGATCGACGCCGTAAGATATTTTGTTTATGTACCTCTCAGGAATATTGACATATCAACAAGTGCCGTGCTCATATACTTTTACATAGATAGAAAGTAACCACACAGAAGTTGTCTACTCCTCTGGGGCACTCTGTCCCATCTTCTCAGCAGCCCTCTGCTTCCCGCCCTCCGTCACGAGAGGATTATGCTGCGCGCTATATAGGCCGATTAGTAGACATTGAAAAGTTTCCCTTAGGGTCATACTCACGCTTTAAGCCCAGCTGAGACCCTTGTTGGGTCTTTGTTTTGATCTCTTGCCTGATATAATTCCTCACGAGGCTGATCACCGCCGAGCTCATTAAGCATGGCTTGTGCATGCTGCTTTGCCTCTTGTGAAACTTTTGGGTTGCTCAGCGTGCTGTGAAATATAGCCTTAGGCCTTAGATACACTCGTGAGGTTTTATGATCCGGAATGTAATACTTACGCCTTGTACCCACGCATCTCATTGACTCTTTCCTCTGTCGGCATATTGGGCATAATGGTCTAGATGTGTGATCGTTTCAGGTAAGTGATCATTTAACGAAGTGTTGGTCTGTCTTTGACGGATAATCCTTCTACTTAAATATTTTACAATCACCAGCGGTTCGTCATATATCATTTCTTCGTCACTACATCCCGCGGCGATTTGTTCGCCGTTATGATATAATTATGATGTCCCATGATCGCTTGGTAATGAGGGTAGACCTCCATCCTATTATATGGCCGTAACGTTAGGGTAAAACCCTGTTCTAACTTTCGAGTTGCCATCAATCCTTTGCTAAGAATAAAGGTTGAATCGGGCGGCTAAAAGCAGACTGGAAGATCTTCAATTACAGCCTCGCCACGGGAAGACGTTCCGCATATGATAAATTTCTTCGGTATGGAGACTGTGGGCGATGCAAACTCTGTGAGCACAACCTGAGTGCTCACTGAGCAGGACCGTGAGCGCCCACCGCGGCCTAAAATCTGGTTCATACTTCTACATATGTAGTCTCCCCAAAACCCATGCAGCACCTGCCATAGTGTTCTATAGATACTTATTTACCTAGTCGAGAAAGATGCCCTTTTCGGTATTTTTTTTTTCTCTTTAAATTCATATTCCATTCTCTCCCGAAGTTATTTCACACTATGTAATGGTACACCTCTGGGGAGTCTTTTCGAGATAGGGATTAATTGCATTGACCACGTCATGGTTTACCCCAACCTTCACACATTTAGATATATCATTTGTTTACCCTGCATCTATTTTCTTGAGAATCTGATGCATAGGCATCCAGGAAGGTAGGCTTTGCTTGCTTGCCTTAGTGTTGAGACCGTTCCTGCCTCAGACGGATAGGACCTCCCCACCTTGCTTGATCTTCCTTTCTCTCTCTCTTTGTCCCCATGAAGCATATAAAAGGCTCCATAGCAGCAGGTAGGTTCAACACACACATTTGATTCTTCTTCCTTCCTCGCTCGGCAGTGTGTCTCCCCTAGGTTCCTACACTCAACATGCCATCTTCCATGTCATTCGCATCTCCCAGCTGAGATCATCTACATAATTGTCGAGTTCCTCAAGGAAGCACGTTACCTCAATTCTTTGGCGCAAACATTTGGCGGCTATATCTGCTGCTAAGCACAACCTTCTATGAAAACAGCACTCGCTCATTCCACGCGTTCCCCATTGTATGGGCAGCAAAGCGTTGCTCTGAAGTGATGCCAAGCGTTAGATGCTGGAGCTTCCACACACTCCTGTCATTACAACCTAAGACGATCGTTCATCGCGGCAGTGGAAAATAGCCAAAAGAACAATTTACAATATCAAGATGTTATTTGAAAATAAATTGGCTTGAATGATGCTGAGAAGACCCGCTCAAAGGTATAAATAGAAGAAGTGCTCTAGGCGGAATGGAAAACATGCACAGTCTAAATCAAGAGATCTTTCCGATCCTCTTCCTTCCAATGTCCATCTTGGATTTCAGTCTAGATATCTCATTAGTAAGGCAGATCAAAGCAAATGGAAAAAGTGAGAAAAGGGCATGGACGAACATATCAGCCTCCTCATCCGCCAACTTCAGCAGATCATTCTGCACCTCGAGCTCCTCATTAATCTGCGTGCCGAGTTCCCTCTGTCGAATAATGATCTTCCTCAACTCATCCACGTTATCATCCTGACTCTGCATCATCTGCCTCTGCAACTGCAGCACACCCTCGTTGTCAAGCTCTCGAGTCCGCTCAGTCTCTTTACCAAGGACCCTGCCCGCCCGCGCCGGCGTTTTACGCCCACTAGACGCATCTCCAGCGACATTCCCGGCATTGATCAAAGCTCCTTTATCTTGGATGGATGCGACAGTATGATCAAGCCGGCTCTTGGTCGCCATAGCATGCAAGAGATCCTCCAGGCCGTCTTTCTCCTTGCGCGCATTAATGAGCAGGTCCTTTCGTCGGCGGATCTCGCCTCCACCGAGACTAGATGATGTCTGTGACTGGGAGCTCTTATCATCGCGTCCTAGATTCTTCAGTCCATCGTCCAGAGTGGTGATCATTGTCCCCGCACGGACAAGGCTGCCCTTCGCCTGTGCAGAGCTCTCGTGTTGCTTCTGTGGCGTTGTCTCCTGGTCTCTGCGAGATAGTTGTAGTCGTGCGTCATGGAGGTAGTTTTTCATGTCGCGATAGTAGTCGAGCCATAGCGTCGGGTCTGTGATGGGTGCGTTTGTAGCGGCTGGGTCTGTGATGGCGGCGTGGAGTCGGGTGGAGGTGTTTGTTGATCCGGTGCCTGTTGATGCGACTGCGGTGGGGAGATTGAGGAATGAACGCCACGCGGGCGAAGTGCGCCAGCGCCCATCGTCGGACTCGTTGATCGCGCGAAGGTATTCCTCTAGGCCGCGGCGGCGGTCTTCGCGCAATCGTTCATTCGAGATTGTTTTCGAAAACCAGGTTTTTGAAGGTAAGGGAGCTGGCGGAGGGGCATTCGTTTGGGAGACTAGGGTGCTGTGGAAGGTTGAGAAGTCCGAGTAGCGTTTGGGGACCGTGAAGGAGCGGAGCGGGAGGCGGAGGGTGATGTGGTAGATGGTGTATGGCGGGGAGGTGTTTGAGAGGGTGGTATTCGGGATTGCTATCTCAACGGTTGGCGCCATGTTGATTAGAATTAAAATGAAAATATCATTATCTCAAAAGTTTTGGGGAAAACAAAGAGGTGAAGACCTGCCCAAGTGAGGTTGCTCCCCGGGCCGCATGACGCAAACCTTGGAAAGCTTAGACCAGCCTATAGGCACCCGATATGCCGAATGATCAGGCACTACGTATAGAACACAAGACATTGGCACGTTGTAACACGGAATTAATATTAAGTAACAATGGGTATCTCATACATGCAAATCAAATCCATTTAATCCCAGACCTCTCGTTCCTGCAACAGATCCCGCTGGCCAAAGAACTCACCAACAACCGTAATGATCATGTCGAGCAGGGCATGAGTCTGTATCGACCAATCGTCTTCTGCTTCCTCATCATCATCATCATCATCACAGCTAGCAGGCGTCTCGATAGAGTCGGAATTGTTTTGCAGCCGAGCTTGCAAGCGCGCCTTGGCTGCCTCCAAGTTGGATTCTTCAAGCGATGCATCAGGCATGCTAGAGTCTTGTGCTTCCGCGGCCTCCGGCAATTCTTCTTGCTTGCTTTCCTCCTCATTCTGAACTGTAGGTTCCAGCTGAGCCCCTTCCTTGGTCTCTTCCCCACTTTGGGCTGTAGGTTCCGTCTGGGTTTCCTGCTTGGTCGCTTCCTCATCCTGGACTGTAGATCCCTGCTGAGCTTCTTCCTTGGTATATTTCCCATCCTCGACGAGATTACCCTGCTCTTTTGAGGGGTCTGTCACAGAAGAATCGACCTCCTCTTCCTCATACTCTTCATTTTCTAGCTCTTGCACCTTGCGCAAAATCGTCGCAGCTCGTTTGCCCAGATTTCGAACAACTCCCACCTCTCGGGTAGAAAGTTGCCCAACCTCACGGCACTTCCCCAACAATCCCCAAGCCCAGGCTCCAATGCGCCGTACGCGCTGGGTGTCGTCGCCCCGCACAACATCGGACATCATCCGCGCTAGTATTTCCAGCACTTCTAACACGCTGTCCATGTCCATGCTTGCCAGTTGAACCATGCGTGGTTCGACAGTGACCAAAAGCCGACGCCATGTTTTATGCGCAGATCCGGCCTTTCGGGGGAGACTGATAGGGTGGTCATTGTCGAGGGTGTTGATAGCACCAGCGGGTGGGCTGCATCGTAGGGTCGATCGCAAGAGGAGGAATCGATGCCGGAGAAGATTATTGTAGGATCTTTGCGTATCGGGATAGAGTTCATCGAGCTTTGAAGGGGAATGTGCGGCCTTGTTTTCGTCCACATCCTCCGCAGGAGCAATATAGGCTTCGTCCTCGTAAAAGCCTGCGGGCAAAGGAAGGTTATTTGGTTCAAGTGGCTTCAAATCGCGTTGCTTGTTCGATGCTGGACCTGGAGGGTCTATCATCTGACTAGGCGCAGAAAAAAGCACCGGTAGTGAGTTTGCTTCGGATCTATCGAGCAAAAATTAGTTCAAAATTGAATCGCGACATGCGCAAAACTGGGAAAGTCTCGACATCGTTTATGGGGCAAAGCAAAATCTCTCTAGATCGAGGATCAGACATACCGAACCATGCGTAGATATTCTAATCCATCCTCCGGATCATCGTACAGCAATTCATCGCCTCCATCATCCAAACCCGGGAATGCACTCTTCTGGCCATAGAGGGGATGATGACGGGGACGCTCATAAGACCCTGTCGAAGATTCGCCATCATCATCGTCGTCATAAGATATCCGAGGACGTTTCAAGGAGGGGGGCGACATGGTGGCTTTTCTCTTGTCGGGCATAGTGAGATGAAGGTGGTTGGATCGAAGGAGCTTGGGCCAATCTACAGACCAGCTTAGAGCTCTTGCAACAATATGGACTTGACCTCCTAACCACCTATTTCCTGGAATGTGATAAGAGACTTAAACGATAAGTAATGTTGACTTAATAGTTTGAGACTATTTTCAGTTTTAATCTGCTATCATAATCCTACATATGTAGATATAACATTGGAATTGTATACAAGCAAGCCTAAGGCGGTGTAAAATAATTGTTTATCGAAGGCGGGGACCTGCATCTGCCGGGAAAAAAAGATAAGGATCGTCATCGGCCTACCTAGGTATCTAAGGTTAGATCTTCAATTATTTACTCTCAATCCACTCCTCATGTCTTTTTTTATCACTTGCTCTTCACGCCCCCTCCTTGAGCCTTTTCTTACTAGCCTCAATTGACAGTCCTTTGTGCTCCCTTCTCAATCAACTGAAGGAAAACTCACCTAACAATCCTGCTTCACTTGAGATGAGGTGTGTTTTTGCCTCTCGGAAGCGGTTCGGTCTCTCTGTTGCCTCTTCGTCCCCATCTTCATCCCTGATTGCCACAAAACATCATACATAATATTTCGAACACACTCGTGCTTTGCGATGTCTATTTGAAAACTTATTGTCTGTTCGACTTGCAAAACGCCAAGGCTAGTCGATTCCTTCGAAGTTATGAATTCTCGCCGATATGTTCACCTCCCTACAGAGGTCTTAATGCACATCGCCGAGTTCATATTTGATTGGAATCAAACTGATCCTGATCCCCACATTTTCCAAGTCACACTTCAAAGGTTCTGTTCGGTCTCTCGCCAGTGGTACTCTGCTGGCATCGAATTTCTCTACCGCATGCCTGAACTTAACGAAGGGAAAAGCTTCTCGCTTTTCACCAACACTGTGTGCCCACCAATTCGCTCCCGAGAACGAAAAGCGGACCTAGGCTCGCTCGTTCATGTCCTGATGCTCGGGTTATTGGTACATCACAGCTCCAATAGCCTGACGGCACGGCTTCTAGGTCGAGTGAAGAAGAACCTGCAGACTTTTGTTGCTCCGAGGATCTCTTTTTCGTAAGTAAATATTGATTATCACAATATCATCTAATCCTAAGCCAACCTCTTTCTCTAGGATCAACAGCCTTGCGCCTTTAGCCAAGTGCAAGAAGCTTGCCTATCTTTCCCTTACGTTAGTAGCTGAGCCAATTCCGCTTTCTACTCTCAAGAAATCCATCAGCAGACTTGACAAACTGGAAACCCTCCAGCTTCCAGCTTCAATGTTCATCACCGACGACGGTTCCAGTGAAGATTGGCCACCCAATCTGAGATGCCTCCAGGTTGGCGGGCAGTTTGATGTCGAGAAAATGTCTTCTTTTAGGTGGCCCCCGAACTTAGTAAAGTTGACATTTCTTGGTTGCGAGGATCTGGACACTTCCGTCTTGGAAGCGATCCTTATAAACGAGCAGCTCTGCACCACACTTACTCAATTGACTATCGACCGTTTGAACGGCGAGATGTTTGAGGAGGGACCATCTGAGATCTTATCAGCCCTCATTGCTTTGGAGTCTCTCCAGATACCCGTTGATCTGCTTTACGATTTACTCATTCTTCCTGCGTTTGATCCAACGGGTTCTCCGATGTCGATTCGTGAGCTAAAGCTCACGGCACCATATGATGAGGATTTTTCTATGGTGATTGACCCCGATGATCTTTGCAAGGCCTTGGAAATGAATCTTTCTCGTGTCTGCTATATTGGTATCAGCCCTGGCTGTCTTGGGATCATACCTGAAGCATCACATGCCAAAATTGACAAGTGGGTGTGGAAGAACATTGATAAGTGTCCTGAGGAGGAACTTGACTCTCTTTTTGACTTGGGTCTCGTTGTCATGGATAAGGAGCCAATTTTCTAAGCGTTCATGCATTCTTATGGAGTCTTGCATACCCATCTCTCTTTACATCAGCCTTATAAATGTCATATTACCGTCCCAGGAGTTGTTTTCTGAGCGATATACAATAGCACAACCCATAAACCAGACTTATGAAGCGAGACTAACCGGAGAAGATACATGTAAGAGGATAATGATGCACCGACAGCGAAAATTCTGGCTGAGACGTGATTCATTTGATTATACTCCGTATTTGATTCAAAATCCTAGTCCTTTTTTTTTCCAAGCTTCGAATCAAAGGGAAGTGTCCAGAGTAGAGGCTTGAGAGTTGCAGGTGTGGAGAGTGGGGAAATGGAAATTCTACGGGAATGCCGCACGGGAACCTCCAGGGGCTGGCTGGCAATGACGTACCATTTCCTTTTGTACACATTCCCATGACCACTAACACACCTGGACAATGAGATCGCAAACTCTTTGGCGGTCTTTTGGCCTATTACAGCGCCACACTCTCTCTTCTGGTAAAATCATCACCCGTCGAGCTATCCAAACAGCTAGTTCTCGACCAGTCCCCAACTTCGCATTTGCATTTGAGTGAGTCTTGATCAACGCAATCCACTCGATTTTCTTCTCACACGCTATAGCATCGATGGCGTCCTCCTCCGCGCATCAAAACCTATACCCGGCGCTGCCGACTCGCTGGCTCTCCTGAAGGAGCAAGGCATCCCCTTTATTCTGCTCACCAACGGCGGCGGTAAACACGAGACAGAGCGCGTCGCAGAAATTAGCGAGAAACTAGGGATCCCACTGGATGCTACGGACATCGTGCAGAGTCATTCACCCTTCGCTGAGCTAGTCAAGGGATCGGACGAGTCGAGCGCTCTGGAACACAAGTGTGTGTTGGTGGCCGGAGGCGATGGGGATAACTGTCGGCGCGTGGCAGAACAGTATGTCAAGACCCCCTTCCTACTGCTGAATGGTATATGCTAAGCAATGGCAATAGGTACGGTTTTAAGAATGTTGTCACCCCGGCGGATATTCTCATGGCCAACTCCGCTGTCTGGCCGTTTTCGAAGAACTTCAGCGACTATTATAAAACATTTGCCCGACCGCTTCCGAAGCCCATTGACCTCAATGATCCATCGAAGACTTTGAAGATTGACGCCGTCTTTGTGTTCAATGATCCTCGTGATTGGGCATTGGACACTCAGGTTATCATGGACCTCCTCCTCTCATCGCAAGGCCGTATGGGCACTTTGTCTGAAAAGAATGGCCGAATCGATCTTCCCAACCATGGATACCAGCAGGATGGCCAGCCCCATCTGTACTTCTCTAACCCAGATCTGTGGTGGGCCGCCGCCTACCCCTTGCCCCGTCTTGGTCAGGGTGGATTCCGAGAGGCGCTTGAGGGCGTCTGGGCTGCGACTACAGGTGGCCCCAGCAAGGGTATTGAGTTGAAGAAGACCGTGATCGGCAAACCTTATCAACCCACTTACGAGTTTGCCGAGCGCCAATTGCTTCGGAACCGACTGAGAACATTTGGAAGCTCTGCAGAGCGCACGCCCCTGGAAAGAGTATACATGATCGGTGATAATCCAGAGTCGGATATTCGAGGAGCCAACTCCTATCGCAGTGAAATTGGCAGTAGCTGGCACTCGATTCTTGTCCGCACTGGGGTATACAGTGGCGGAGAGCCTGCTTGGATTCCACAGATAATTGCTGATAATGTACACAGAGGTGTTCAATGGGCACTTAAGAGCTCGAACTGGCCTGCTGCGTGATTGTCAAGGGCCACTAGACACACTATATTCATATAAAGATCAGCATGAATATTGGCGCCAATTGTATGTTTATACGTGTTTGTTTCAAATAGCTATTAGCGCCAACCCACATAAGCACGTCTAATGCATTTTATCCAAGCTTTTAAAGGAATAACAAACGTTCGAATAACTATTTTACATGCATGTATACAGTCAAGCTGGTAGAGAGTAGATCTGCGTTGGAGTCCCCACACCGCCTACCCCTCTTAGGGCTTGATTATTCGGCGGGGTGAGTCAACGGAACACTTTTCTCTGCAGCTCTATTTACAATCAGCCTGCTGCATTAAGTCCTGCAAATTTCTCAGGATAGAAAATCATTGAGGTAGGATCCACCACCGCTCCAAACTCAACATTTTGCCCCCTCTAATTGTCCTCGCAGCACCATGGCCGACTCCGAATTGCCCCACCGTCCCAAGCCCGAAGCCCAGGATGCCTCCGCTCCCGCCGCGGAAGGTGAGACCAAGAACGCAAGCAAGAACGCTCTGAAGAAGGCCGCGAAGGATAAGGCCAAGGCAGAGAAGGCTGCGGCGCGTGCGGCGCAAGAAAGGGCCCAGGCCGCCGCCCAGGAGGCCAACGACACCGCCAAGGATCTATACGGTGCCCTCCCAGAGACCGAGGACATCGCCCCGGCTACACGATTCACCGAACTCTCAGAGGAACACTACGAGAAGGAGGTGACAGTTGTGGCGCGTGTGGACAATGCGCGTGTGCAGAGTGCTAAGCTTGCATTCTTGATGCTGCGCCAGCAGGGACAAAAGGTGCAGGCCGTCATTGCGGCCGCGGAGCCCATCTCGCGACAGATGATCAAGTACACCGGCGGCTTGAACGTCAACTCGATTGTGGAGGTCACCGGTATCGTGAAGAAGCCCGAGATCCCTATCTCGTCCGCGTCCATCAGCCACCTCGAGATCCACATTCGCAAGGTCTACATGATCTCCGAGGCTGCGCAGATGCTCCCCATGCAAGTCAAGGATGCTGAGCGCCCGCCCCCCGAGACCACCGAGGAAGGTGCCCAGGTTGACGCCGAGGGTGCTCCCATCGTCACTCTCAAGACCCGCCTCGACAACCGGGTCCTCGATCTGCAGACCGAGACCAGCCAGGCCATCACCTGGATTTCCAGCGGTGTTTCCGAGCTCTTCGCTGAGTACATGATTAAGAGTGGCTCTCGGTGGATCTCCACACCTAAGCTGGTCGGTGCCGCCACGGAAGGTGGCAGCGGTGTCTTCGAGGTGAAGTACTTCAAGCGCAATGCCTACTTGGCCCAGAGTCCCCAGCTCTACAAGCAGATGTGTATTGCCGGTGATATGGAGAACGTCTTCGAGATTGCCCCCGTGTTCCGTGCGGAGGACAGCAACACCCACCGCCACTTGACCGAGGTATGATCTACTGATATATTTGCTCAAACAGGGGAAAAAAACAGATTATTCTAACATGACATACAGTTCTCCGGTCTCGATTTTGAGAAGACCTTCCGCGGCCACTACCACGAGGTTCTGGGGTTCGCCGAAGACCTCCTCGTCTTCATCCTCACCCAGCTCAAGGAGCGCTATGCATCGCAGATCGCCACCATCCACAAGTCCTACCCCAAGGCCGGCGACTTCAAGCTCCCCAAGGACGGCAAGGCCTTGCGTATGAACTACATGGACGGAGTCGCGCTGCTGAAGGAAGCCGGTGTCGACGTCACAGAGCAAGAGAACTTCGAGAACGACTTCTCCACCGCGATGGAGAAGCAGCTCGGCCAGATCATCCGCGAGAAGTACGACACCGACTTCTACGTGCTTGACAAGTTCCCCATGGCTGTCCGTCCCTTCTACACCAAGGCCGATCCCAACGACAAGCGCTTCTCTAACTCGTACGACTTCTTCATGCGTGGCGAGGAGATCATGTCCGGTGCCCAGCGTATCAACGATATCAAGGAGTTGGAGGAGTCTATGCGCGCTAAGGGTCTTGAGCCTCACCAGGAGGGCTTCGAGGATTACCTCAACGCTTTCCGCCAGGGTTGTCCCCCTCACGCCGGTGGTGGTCTCGGTCTCAACCGTATTGTTATGTTCTTCCTTGGCTTGCCTAACGTCCGTTTGGCTTCGCTGTTCCCCCGTGACCCTCAGCGTCTCCGTCCTTGATTTTGCATTCTGTGGAACTATCTCATAACATTACAAGAAGCATATAAAATCAAAATACTTTACCTTTCTTTCAACCATATATACATGTTTTGCATTGGTAGTGATATCCTAGCAAATACCCTTGAAGAATTCTAAGCCGGCAGCTTCTTGTCTATTCTACGTAAAACAACGGCCAGGCAGCGTTAAGAATCAAGCTTAGAGTTTGAGGTCTATACTGCGACGAAACACCAGAGACACCTAGAGTAGGCATGAATATGATATGATATTTGGATGAAAAGTTGCATTGACAAGTTTTGAGGGGTGGACGACGCAATCTAACGAACCAAGACACATGAAAAAAACACACGCTCTTGTCCCCCCAACCAGGATTAAGCACGTAACGACGAAAAGAAAAGCAGAGAGAGATTAAGACACAGAAGCAATCACAGCCGCAGCAACGCCCTCCTCTTCTGCCCGGACGGTGATCTTGGTAGTGACACCGGCCTTGCTGGAGTAGGCCATCTTGATGAGAGAAGCGACGCGGCCGCCGGAGACGGTCTTGCCGAACAGCTTGAGCGTGTGTGTGCTGCTGTTGAGGGCAACGTCGGTGCCCTCGAGGGGCTGCAGAGATAGTGCTGAGATCAGTTGTTCCGTGGCATCTGTTGAGAGTCAGTATGAGTGTTTATAGCAGAGAAAGATAGATAGGACTTGTACGTACCGTTGATACCCTTCATGTTGCTGAGCTGCAGGGTTTCGCTTTCCTCCTCGCCGTTGGCACCGGTCTGTTCCCAGACGTGGTCGAAGCTGCCGGCGAATGTCGGAATGATATAGTCGCTGCCTGTCAGTTCGAGGTCCTCCACCTGGTACTCATCGTCGTAGCCACTGTCCTCTGGCTCGCCGCTTGTGGGGTCGATTTCTTTGCTGGTGAACTTGAGGATGTTTGTGAAGGAGGTGACGGGGACGCTGTTCTCGCCGGTGAGCTTCTTGAAAGCAACGTAGACAACACCAGGCTGGTCTGTGGGCAGCTTGGGGGCAGGAATGATAAAGTCGTCTTCCAATACGTCCTCTTCCTCTGGCGTGGCAATCACGGTGACATTCTCGAGAATGGTATCCGGAAGTGTGTTCTTAATATCATATTGCACCACGATGTGTTCCTTGAAAATGTGCTTGACGGCCGTAACAACATATTCGGTTTCGCTCTCGGAAAGCTCGACAGGCGCAGAAGACTTGAGCAAAATACCGTACGCCTTGATATCGGGGTACTGCATAAGTTGCTCTGCGTATTTCTGGGTGGCAGAGGCGCTGGCCGCTTCGGCCATACCGCCGGCCGCCTTGCCCTTCGGGGGACCGGTCGAGGGAGCCTTGAGAGTGGGAGTGGCTGAGGTAAGCTTCTTGGTCCTCTCTTCAGCCAGGGCCTGCTCGTGCGAGACAACCGGAATGGTGGCAACATCGAAGGCAGCAGCGAAGGTCTCCTTGTCACCAGACGTCACGTACATGACGAGCTGGTGTTCAAACGTGGAAAGGGAATACATTGAGTCTAGAACCATTAGTATATTTACTATTGCCAGTCATGAACAAGGTCTTACCGTTCTTAATGAAAGCGCTCGCCGACTCATCATCTTCACCCATCAGACGCAGGTTGAGGGCAGCACGGTCTCGCACCTCATCGTCGGTGTCATCAAGACAACGGGTGAGGAGAACATGAACACTAGACTTGACTTCGGGGTCCTTCTGGCCAACACCAAACTTGGCCAGTGCGGTGACAGCAGCGGCGCGTACGATGGCGTTCTCCAATACGACGCGGTTGTAGATGTAGCGGATATACTTGGTGGGATGGCTAGTCTTAGGGCCCTCAGAACCAAGCAGGTGCAGGATTCTAACCGAGAGCTTGGTGAACTCGCAGTCCTCAATGAACTCGCAGAGGTGAGCAAGCGCATCTTCCTTGCTTTCTGGGACAAACTTGATTAAATCGAACATGCTCTCAACAACAGTGCGCTTAAACTCGTAGCCACCTTCGTCCCGCAGGATACCACTGAGGAAAACGAGCATACCAGCCTGCTTGCTGGGGAACTTCAAACACAAAGTGCGAATAGCCTCGACAATAGTGACCTTGAACTCGTCGGTGATATCTGCCATGAAGCCCGAGATTTGCTTCATCAGACGGTCGACGCTGGCTTCATTGCCGGTCTTGAGCAGTGTCGTAATGGCGAACGTGGCAATAGAGCGGTTCGAGTTTGAGATGAGGGACTCGATATCTGGGTTGCAGACATTGACGACATGTGGCTTGAAAGAGGCGAAGTTGTGTAGGATACGGATGGCAGCGAACTTGGTGATCGACCGGGGAGAAGACAGGAAGAGCTGGAGAACGTGAACTGCCTGTGTTGCCTCGGCATCGGTGACATCGCGCATATCGCAAATAGCCTTGGCCGCTTCGAAGTTGACCATCTCATGCTTGTGGCGGAGCCAGCCATCCAACATCTGCATCATGGGTTTCCGGAGACCTTGGTCCTCCTCGGCCAATTTGGCCGCCAAACGTACCAACAAAACCAGAGCAGCCGGGCTCTTCACCACACCTGCAGCACCGTACTGCTGTACCATCTTGACCAAAGACATGCGATCGTGCGAGCGCATCTGGTACAAAAGACCGATGGCATGGTACTGTGTCATGAAATTCGAGTTGGAGATGGCGTGGCTCTGTGAGCCCGAGGAGAAACCAAGGAATCCGGTTGATGATTTCGAAGACGAGGCCGCTTCCTGTGTTTCGCTCTGCCATCTCCGGACAACGTCGCGCGCAATGGGGAGGAGGTGGTAGGAAGAGACCAAGGCCGCGGAGGACACCGAGGGGGTCTTGTCAACAATGGCGGTCTTGATGAGTCGCTCGATACCCTGTACTGTGGAACCCTTTTGCAATTGTCAGCAAATCCCCTCAACCCTTGAAGCCCTCGCGACCGACGACCTACATCGATAATGCGGCAGAGCGCTCTGATGGCATTGGCCCGGTACAAAACATCGCTTCCCACCGCAGTGTCCTTCATAATGATACTTGTCGACATGATCACATCTTCGGCGGTGCCAGCCAGCTCCTTCAAGATCAGATACACCATCTGCCGCAATGACGGGTCTTTGTTCTGGAAGAGCTTGGAGATTCCGAAGAAGAGGGTGGTGGCTTCATTCGTAGGGAACTGCTCCCCGGTGAACATGAGGACAGCGATCTTGGTGAGTAACGTTCGGCATGTTCGCGGCGAGATAGGAGAGGAATTGAATAGGCGTGCTAGGAGAATTATCTCGTCAGCATTGAATATGTGCAGCGCATGGAGGCGCCAGGGGGTATTGTTGATTGCACACCATCTTGGAAAACGGAGGTCCGATCAAGCTTGATCATGACCTGGTCCTCATCTTCATTTTTCTTCATGTAACTCATCTTGCCCAGCAGCTGGAATTGCACCAGCAATGAGTGGTTGCTGTCGTATTAGAAAGGTGGAGTTGGTGCAATTGGGACACGGGTCGAGTACACAGAAGCAGGGTAGGGCGGTGTGGGCGACTACAGCATTTGCATAACCACGCAGGAATTGATGGCTTGAAGAGGATAAATCGGAGGAAAAAGAAAATATGATTGAGGTAAATGAGGTGGTAATGAATCTCGAACCCTCAAAGCTCAGAACTGCCAGCTATTGACAAGTTGAAGGTGGCCTTCCGTGTGTTTGGCCCGAATCAAACACTGCAAACAGGTGGCATCACCATTGAGGGCAGCGCATTTATCCCTCCAACTCCCTTTGTTTCCTCCATATATCGTTTGAATTGAACTTGATCTATACATCTTTGATCATTTCAGTCCACCATGCAGGTTGAAGTCGATCCCAAGGAGGATACCGAGTGGTAAGCCTACTACCTGCACATACCCCCCACCACCAGCAAGGTATAAGCTAAATGCAGTGTGCTAACCATATTGTATAGGAACGATATCCTCCGCCAACATGGCATTATCCCCGAAAAGCCCAAAGACCCCGAACCTCTGATCCAGGAGGCTCTGATCGCCGCACAGCACAGGGCACACGAGAACCGACTTGAGGACAAGGACCTTGACGAGCTGGACGCACTGGAGGAGGAGGAAGATGAGGAGTTTCTCGAGATTTATCGGTAAGCTTGTTATCTAATAATTTATATACCGAAAAGGTCTCGTTTGCTCACGGTATCAATCAAACAGGCAAAAACGACTTGCCGAGCTCTCCACCCTCCAACAAACCAGCCTCTTCAACCAGGTCTTCCCACTTCAGAAAGTCGATTATGCCCGTGAGGTGACAGAGGCGTCGAACAGTGCTTTCGTACTAGTCAACCTCACATCGATGGGCGGGAACGCCGAATCGCGACTTTTGACGGAGCTCTGGCGGCAGCTTGCTGCCAAATTCGGCGATATCAAGTTCTGTGAGATTCGTGCCGACATGTGTATTGAGGGGTATCCGGAGAAGAACACGCCCACAATCTTGGCATACAAGGATACCGAGATCAAGAAGCAGCTTATTACGCTTCAGCAGTTGAAGGGTCCTCGGACCAAGGTTGAAGGTAAGTTCCGTTCAAGGCAGGAATAAATCAAGGATGATGCACTAATCAAATGCATAGATATTGAGCGTCTGCTCGTGGAAATCGGTGCTTTGGATGAGAGTGATATGCGTCTGAAGAAGCGTGATGACGAGGACGACTACAAGAAAGATGATGACCTGAACATTGAAGACTACGATGATGACTGGGATTGATTTCCTTGCGCTTGGAATTACTGCAAATATTATGATCTGGCTTGTGTGTATATTATTGAACATATCCAAAAGATGATGACCCAATTTCCATGTCGGCAGGAGCCAAGAGAATGATGCTGTTAGACGTAACGCGCTTGTCGGCCTCGATTTGAATTGAGTTGCCTAGATCTACTATATCTATACATATGGTGGTGGATTTGGCTATCTATATATGTAGAGGATAGCCAGTCTGGGGTTCACAATGACGACTTATGTAGTGTATATCAATGCTCGAAATATCAATAAACCCAACTCAATTTGCAAACTACGTAGGCATTCATTGCAATGAACATAAAAAAGCCAAAATTCAAGTATAAATGGCTCAAACGCTCCTAAGTTCAACCAAATCACGTATATACCGAATTAACGACGAATCAGATGATATAATCGCTGTTCATCCTATTGATCCCATCAATCCCAACGCCAAATAACACCAATCATAACCGTATCGAAGTACCCGGAGAAGAAGGATACCACATAGAAATCATCAAATCAACTCATCACGACCAACAGCCGCACTCTCCTCAATAGCCCGACGCACCTGGCCCTCTATAAAAGCAGGTCCCTGTCCATCACACTGGGACATGCCCTTCAAACGCTCCGTGACATCACCGATATCAAGCTGGCCGCGCTCAAACAGCTCATGTTTCTGGATAAGATCCCACGTAGCACCAGCATCCAGCAGCTTCTCGCCAGTGATTGGACACACGGTGAGACGGTGTTGCGGGCTTCGGGGCCCGTCGGCCATGAATGTAGCATGAAAGTCTGTGGGGGAGTATTTCATTGGGCCCGTAACAGTTGGCTCGGGGTTCTCATTTGCACTGGCATTTCCGCGGCTGGCGTGTTGTGATGTCGCGCGCAGGATTTCATTCTCGGTTGTGAACCGGGCCAGCTCGCGCTTGAGGCGCTCGTTGTCGGCTTGTAAGGTGTCGGATGCTTGTTCGAGGCTGCTTACTTTTTCTTCAAGATCGCGGACATGCTGCTCCTTGCGCTCTCGAAATGCTCGTTGGCTGCGTAACAATGAAATATGTTAGTGTGTTGTTGTTTATGGAGATGGATGTATCAGCCACGTGGGTTTGATATATCACATACGCTGCTCGGTTTTGTGCCTTGCGCTTGCTTTGCGCGGGCGCTGATTCTTTTTCCTCGCTGCTACTCCTCCCTAAGGTTGGGTCGGCGAATTGAGATTCATCGCCGTCGAATGAGGTGGGGCGTGTATGCTGATTGCTGGTAGCATCGCTGGAAGCAGAGTGCTTGACCGATTCTGGCGGTGAATGTGGTGCCGGCACAAAGGAGGGGTCGACGGGGAAGGAGGGGTCAAAGCCAGGGAAGTTCTGGTAATTATTCTAGTTTATTGGCGACAAGTCTTGGATGGGGGAGACAATGAACATACCAGAGGGGCGAAGGTGTCTGGTTGGGCATGGGGTTGGTCGGGGGTAGGCAGCCCGTACAGCGAGAAGCCCGACTGCTGTGATCGGGGGTCATAGAAAGAGTAATCCATTACGGAATCTTAGGTAGTTCCCAAGGTCTTCAGGGCTTGTCGGAAAGTTAGGAGGTGAAGGTGGGAAAACTTTTGAGGAAAATCTATTAGTTATCTGCTTAAGTTTCATGTACCGGGGGGCGTTCCGTTGTACGATGTACAGAATTCAATGTTGTCACTCCTATACCCATCCCAATTTCAAGGTATACGGATTACTTCCAAGGTTTACATACACTCTCGAATGTCCATAAATTCCAGGAGTGTTCGGTACATGGGCCAAACTTTTGATGATCTCACCGTTTTTCTACTCCTTGGGACCGGGAAGTACGGATGGTTGGTTCGATGGGCCAAGTTCCAAGTCTGGTTGCCAGTTGCATGGCACGATTCCAGTTGAGATGAGAGTGAGCAAATTCAAAGTGCAGTGTAGAGAGAGAGCTAAGAGAAATAACTTCACACAAATCGACGCATACCACCCCGGAAGCGACCCTAACCAATGTCCGTCGCCAACCACACCAGCTTCCTGCAAAGCGGGATTGCAGTAGACCTTCTGTAACAGTAATTTCTGCAATGTAGCTTGAGCAGAAATCCAGAAAGCCTACAAAGCAATACTCCCGAAAGCTGTCCCCGTCCTAAACCCCTCTTGGCCAGATTGAAGGCCACACCTCGTCCCCGTTGAGCGTCGATAGTTCACAAATTAATAATCGCCAGGCAAACGCAAGAAAAAAAAAACAGGGGAAGATCAAGGGCAGAGAATAAACATCATGAGTAAAGAAAAGGGGCAAGCAATGATGGGAAGTGCATCCGAGGATGCATTCAAGGATCTCCAGTACCAGCGATTAAACAATCCGACGAAAAAAAAATTGCGGGCTGACGCCGTCGTTTGCATCTCCCTTAGTCTTGCCCTCTGGTCATTCTGACCGAAGATGCCAGGTTGTAAAGAGAAACCAAAGGGCGAAGACGTAAGAATAAGCCACAATATCAGAAGCGTTTCGAGACGTGTAATCGGTTGTCCCGCAGAACGGGTACAAAAATCCGAAAAGACAGAAAATAGTCGCCAAAGTTTTCGCAGGCTCAGCGCAAGATTGTCCACCCAATCGGAAAAGGTTTCATGGGGCTGAAAGCGAGCGGGCGATAAACAGAGGCGAATCGAAACGGCTGAGATCGAAATCTGATCGAAAACGGGATAGGGGCTGTCGGGGAGTGCAGAATGAATAGAGATCCAAGAAGAAAAAAACAAAGAAATATCCGAGAAGGCTGAGTGCGACATGGTCCGCTCTAAGGCGACATGAACGGGTCCCCGGTTTCTTAGTAGACAAGAATGTGAACAGACAGGAGGGCACATGCGAAACATAGCCTCAACGTCTTGTAAACACGATTAGTACCACTGGGCCTCCGCTCCTTCGTCCCGCTTCGAACGGCCACCAGAAGGTCCATAACCCAAAGCAGCACCTTTCGAGGCAGAACGTAGCCTAACGCCGAAGACTATGCGATTAGTCAGATTCAGAACATAAGGGTCCTCCACGCCAGCGTCACGAAAAGCAAATCACTCAACGTAGGAGATAAGAAAGAAGGGGTTCCCTACTCGGAACCAGGTTTCATGTACTCACATCCTGTCACTACCTCCCACGGCACGGTTGGTGTCCGGAGTGTCGAGGGTGCCGCGTTCGACGACCTTACGACGCTGGCTGGAGATGGCACCGGGCTTGGCGGCGGCACTGGCTCCCATCTGGCCAGCAGCAGGCAGAGCCTGGCGGCGCTGCTGATCTTCAGCGTCCTTATCCTTCTTGGAAGCGTCCACAATCATGGCGGCATTCTTCTGGTACTTGTAGACGGTCCAGTCGAAAACATAATCGTACTGGAAGGATTCGCGGACGAAGAGATCGCGGAAAATCTTGCGCAGGTAGGAGTAATCAGGCTTGTCGTCGAAGCGCAGTGAACGGGTGTAGTTCAGGTAAATGGCGAATTCGTTGGGGAAACCACGGCACAGGACCTCGGTGGGGGTGGTCATCTTCTTCTCCATGATGCGGTCGTATTTCTGCTTCTTGGTAGCAGCCTTCAGACCCTGCCAGGGGAGAGAGCCACGGCAGAAGTAGAGCATGACATAACCCAATGATTCCATGTCATCACGTCGGGACTGCTCGACACCGAGATGGGTGTTGATACTGGCGTAACGGGCAGTTCCAGTGAGGTTCTTGTTCTCACGGTACGGAATGTGGAAGTGGGTCTTGGGGTCACGGTATTTCTTTGCAAGACCGAAATCAATTACATTGACCTGGTTTCCACGCTTGCCAATGCCCATTAGGAAGTTGTCGGGCTTAATATCACGGTGGATGAAAGACTTGGCATGGATGTATTCGATGCGGGAAATGAGCTGATCGGCGAGAAGTAGGACGGTCTTCAGGGAGAACTTGCGGTTGCAGAAGTTGAAAAGGTCCTCCAGACTGGGTCCCAGCAGATCGATGACCATGGCATTGTAATCACATTCGGTACCGAACCAACGAACGAAGGGAATACCAACACCACCGGCGAGCGACTTGTAGACACGGGCTTCATATTCCAGCTGGGGGTGCTTGGCCTTGACACTCTCGAGCTTGATGGCAATCTCCTCACCGGAGATGATGTTCGTTCCTATAAGTTATGAGTTGTTGTGCAGGGGTAAAGCCGGATTTGGTATATCCATACCGAGATAGATGTCACCGAAACTGCCACTGCCGATCTTACGGCCAATGCGGTACTTGTTACCGACTCGCAAATCCTGGAGGCAATGTCAGTAAAACGCGTGGTTCGGGCGTCTTGTTGACAATCAGAAAGTCATATAATCCGAGCTTAATATTCAAGCCACTTGAGGTATGACTCCAAGAGAAGAAGAAAGAAATAAAGAAATCGGGGGTGGCTAACACTGACCATGGTCGTCATCTTGAACCGATGGGGGCACAGCGCTTAGCCGTGAGAAAGGATTTGAGGCTAGAAGATTCCGAATATTAGATTGTGTTCGAATCCTGTTGAAGTAGAAATATGCAAAGCTGAGATCGATGGAGTATAAAGGGGTGTGGAAGAGCTAGAGAGGAAGAGAGATGAGGGAAAGAAACAGGAAATCAATGAGGGGGGTTGACCACTAATCCTCAGGCAACTTGGGAAGCCCTTGGGAGGCTGGGCCAGATCAACTGAACACAGGAAGCAGAACCAGAAACACAACACACTTTGTCAAATGATGCAACGAAGAAGGAAAGGAAATGTGACGGAAAACTGAAAGTCAAAGGTAAAAAAAAGCAGAACGAATCGATCTAGGCATACCTGGAGATAACGGATCAAAGACGTGTTGCCGACCGTACTGAAATCAAGAAACGTTCAAACGTTGAAAAGGAGATGAGCCGGGAAGATCCGGGAGAGCGAGAAAATAAATATCAAGGGCAAAAGCCTTGATTAAAGGGAAGATATGATGCTGAAAGCACTGAGAAGGAGAAGAAGAAGGAGAGGGGGCAAGAGGTGAGTCGGTGAGAAGGGTATTTTTTCCTGTTTAATATGCAGGGGACGGCAGTCACGCCCGAGGTTCTTTTCCCTTGTCATTGGGCGTGGTATGGTAACATTGGTATTGGGCATCTATAGTCTTTTACATGCATTTACTATGGTAGTATAAATTGCTATAAATTGCTATAAATTCAGTTGATATAAAATATAAATTGATTATATTTTCTTATTAAACTCCCTATAAAATCACTTCGCAATCTTGGTGGTGATGCAATCCCTCAGCTGACCGGTATGGTGATCAATGAGAGCTGAGCGGACAACAGGCATCAAGCCTATAACCATTCATGGATTTCTCTCAATATTGAAGTGATACCCAATCTAAGACGTATACCATTCTCATTTGAATCATAGACAATCACATTGCCCCTCGTGAGACATGATATCTGAAATGTTCTTGCTCATACATCATGCTGAATCAACAATACCAGATACTATAGTATGCGCGATTTTCTTCCAAAGGGGAAGTCGTCTCGGTCTATTAGGGGCAAACGTGGAGTATCACGCTTGCAATCGGCTACTATGATATATTCAAATTCTATACTACAGAGTATGTAGTTCTACATCATATGGTAACTAAATGACATCGCCGCGTAGTAAGCCTGTACATATCAAATCGGGCTGATGACAGGTCATCATTCTCACCCGGGTGTCTGGAATTTACAAAATTTCAGGATACCCGTGTCATAATGATCTTGATGAAAGATAAGAGCCTCCACAGGGCAACTAGAACGATTTTTTGACTATGGATGAACAAGGAATCCGCGTGGAATATGCTAGTGGTACAGCCAGAGTCCAATGAACATCAGAAAACCGGGGTATAAAAAGGGCAGCCGGGGGGTTAAAAACAAAACCAAAACGGGAAAGGGGGGAAAAAATGAGCGCAATGGCGAAACGGAATCAGAAAATAACACCGTGCATCGGCGTAGAGGAACACAAGAGAATAAAAGCACACATCATACATAGAAAAGAGAGTGGAAAACACAACGGGAAAAGGAACAAGTGTTGCAAATACACGTGCAGAACGCTCAGACGGTACAAATTGACATATCTTAGGGCACATGGTCATAGAACAACAATGGAGGGCAAGACCTTTAGATCACGTTAGAGTGTTCGGGGTGTGCAGCTTCAGTGTTCAATGGCTTGGTTTGCACATCAAACCCAGCCCGGTCATCATTGTCCAGTCTCCTCCTCCATTCTGCCAAGCTATCACTCATCAGTGCGGGGCCCTCACTATTATCCTTGGTGGGAGTCCGCTCCAGATCCAGCTGGCTGCTCAGACGGTAATTGCGGTTGGTGCTTTCCCAGTGAGTACGCAAGGCGTCCAACTCGTTGGCAAGTGAGTCCAGAGCCATAGAACCACGGTTGTCAGGGAAAGCAGAGTCCTCCGAGACATTGCTATCAGCTCGTGCCCGCCCATTGCCTCCGCTGATTGTGTTGCTAGAGGCGTTGCTGTGTGTGCGGGAGATTCCATTGGTACCTTGACCATGGTGAGATTGACGGCGATAGTGACCAACTGATGTTTGAACCTGTTCTAGAAGCATGTTGACCTTACGCTCGGCATCCGAAGCACGAGTTTCAAGGTGGGAATTTTCTTGCTTGAGCTGGTCCAGCTCGGTACGACTTTTCTCAGCGGCAGCGAGTATATCTTGCTTAAGACGCTCGTGTTCACTTTGCGACAACTGTTTCTCAGCCGTAGCCTGATCGAGATCTTGCTTGAGCTGCGTGATCTGGCCTTCAAGGCTGGAAATAGAGGATGAAGTTCGATCTTGAAGATCGGACATCGACAGCTCGAGACGGGACCGCTCAGCATCCCACTCAGCGGAAGATCCAGATGTCTGGCTGTCTGAATTCTCAAGGCTCTTCTGAGCCACATCCAATTCAGATTGCATTTTAGCATTCTGAGTCTTATACCGACTCAGTTCATCTTTCATACGCTTCAACATCTTCTCGGTGCCTTTCACGTAATGAACTGCTGACTGGTAATCATTCTCAAGCTGCTCAAGTTTCTCTCGGAAAGCTCGGTCGGCTTCCTGCTCACGACTTTCGAAGCCGTTCTTCAGGTCGTCATGGGCCTTGATGCTAGCCGAGAGTTGTTGCTCAAGCTCACGTAGTCGGCTTTGCTCCGGAGTGCCGAATCGTGATCCGGGGGAGTCAAGCCGTGGGGACCGCCGGGTGTCGCTGTTGATTCCACGCTCACCAAGAAGATCCTTCAAAGCGGCGTGCTGAACTGCCAAAGCTCCAGCCTCTCGCTGGTGAGTCTCAAGTTGTGTCTTCAAGTCCCGATTATTTGTGGCGGCCAATTGGCTTTCTTTCATGGCAGTCTGAAGCTGTCTGCGCAATTGCAAGCCTTCACGGCTGGCCTGCTCCTGGTATGCCTCAAGACCAGCAATCCGTTCCTCTGCACGCCGGAGCTTGTCCGAGGCTGCGTTCGCAGCTGCCTGGTTTGCCTTAGCTAGAGTGGTGGACCGCTCGATCTGGGCCTCCAAAGCAGCGACTCGCTGGTCAGCACGAGACCGGAATGAATTATCCAAATCTGTAGAAGATGCGCGTTCCAGCCCAGACACGAAGGCAATCTTGTGAGTCTCGGCTTCCTTGGCGTGGATTTCTGCCAACTCCTCTGCATCTCGAAGCCGACGAGTAAGGTTTTCCACTTCAGTAGTGCGTTCTTCGTGGTCCGATCGGAGCTGCAGAAGCTTTCTCTCCAGACCCTCGCGACGCTCTCGCTCCTCTTGGAATTGCTTCTCGACGAGGGCTGTCTTCGCGGTGGAGGCAGAAACAGCTTCTCGGAGACCACCAAAGCTAGAATCAAAGTCCTTCAGGCGAGTCGAGGAATCCTCAATCTGTGCTAACAACTCTTCTTTGTCTAGGATGAGTTGTTGAAGCGAGGCCTCGGCTTCTGCACGCAAGAAGGCCTCTTCTCTGGCCAGGGCCTCTGCTTGGTGAAGCTCAGCGCGCAAATTTTCGGCTTCCAGAGTATTGCTTTGCATCTCAAGCTCTGCCAGGTGTTTCCTGGTTGCCTCATTTGTCTCTTCCGCAAGTTCCTTGGCTTGACGCTCCTGCGAAAGCTCGGTGGCCTGCACATCTAATTTAGCTTTCAACTCAGACAGGGAGGCCAAAGCAAGGGCAAGGCGACGTCCCATGTCAGTAGGTCGCTCGTCATCTCCATCTCGAGAAGCATCAGGCTGAGGGGTTCCCCGCTGACTACCACTATGGGCAGCAAGCTTGGCCCGGGAATAAGCAGCTTCATTGATAGCCATGTCGCGTTGATGTTCCACTTCAGCAACCCGTTTAGATGCGATTGCCGCCTGTCGATCCACAGTGGCTTGCATCTTGCTGAGGTCTGCTCTCATAGCTAAGAATGCCTCAACCAGCGGGCGATCCTCATCGCTCAAGGCCTCATTGGCCCGGTCGTCTAGCGCGGGGCTACTGGTTGCATTGGGGACATAGCCGCATTTTCTTGCTAGTGCGAGTTCCGAGGCATACCAGGCATTTCGGGCTTTGGTAACCTCCAACTCTTTTATCAACGCCTCTTGGTGGGGCGTCAGTCGAGGAGACCGTGGCTCATCACCAAGTGTCTTCGAGTTGCGGAAGCTTCGAGATTCCATTGAACCCTCGATGCTAGCCTGCCGACCGAGGATTGATTCCTCCCCGCTGTCAACCGACCCACGCTGTCGATGAGAACGGATCGACCGTTGTCGGCCTGGCGTGATCAACGGAGCTGCCTCGCCTGCTTCCATGGCCTTGGCTGATGGCTTTTGATGCTGTGTTGGAGTTCGGCGACCAGCTGATGGAGGTCCCTGGGAATCTTGTGGGCCTTCCTTCATGATTGGTGATTCTTCGCCATGCTCGTCGTTTGTAACACGAATGTCGGCAGTTGGCGTGTGCCCGCGATCATTCTTGGTCGGCGTCTTGCTACGAGGGTTCGCACCGGCTGGAGGGCCATTGCCACGAGGGCCAGGAGAGGGTGCTTGTCCAGGAGGCGGTGGACCGGCAGGGGCTTGGGCAATTGATGCCCGTGGCAGTCTAGATCCAGGTCCCAAATTTGGATTAGAGCCGAACTCCACAGGCCTATTAGCAGCGGTACCCTGTATCATGCTCTCACGCGATGGCGCCGGTCCCCGTCGCATTTGCTGCTCTGGGCCTGCGTTTTGTGCCTCCCGAGACGAGCGCCCAGACGAGATACCTGGTTTATCAACACTTGTCTTTCTGGTCGCTGGCTCGGGAACGCGTCCCCCAGCTTGCGAATCATTGGGGTACCGGATCTTGCTAGTATCGAGGATGTAGGACATGCTAAGCTCCGCGGGGTCCCTAGGAGCCGAGCTCGGTTCACCCGCCATAACAATAATCTGCTTACCAAAAGCGGTCATGCTGTGACCAGATCGTGGGGACGGGGCAGGGCCCATGTTTTGGAAGGAGTACCAACGTCGAGTTGAGATGCGGAAGGCTGACAGGTCTCCCAGGTCCACCCCTTCATCCGTGCGACCTCCGAACACATACATCACATCGTTGACCAAAGCAGAGGCATGGCCCTCCCTAGGAGCCGGGATAAAACCAACGCAATCAATTTCGGTCCAGCTGTTGGCAATGTAGTCATAAGACCAGACATCATTGAACCACTGCACTCCATTCGTACCTCCAAACAGGAATAGTTTTTCGTTGAAACTGACAATGGTGTGGTTTGTTCTCGCTGGAGGAATTTGGCCTGGTGGGGGTCCACCTTCGTGACTGTTGGGGATCAAAACCTCCCATTTATTTGCTGGGTTTTGAAGCTGGTTCAAGTCGAATGCAATCAAGTCATTGAAGAAGAAGCCCTCCACCTGCCCTCCGAAAACGTAGAGTTTGGAGCCTAGGATGTTCAAAGTGTGACCGTAACGCCCGGAAGGTCGAGAGCCGGGAGGGATAGCGCGGGACCATTGGCGGGAAGCTAGAAAAAAGAAAGAGTCAGAGTCATGGTAAACATGAATAGATCGATGCCACGCTTACATGTGTTTAAAAGATACAGAGTGTCGTCCAGAGAGTCATTCTCGTCGATTTTGGTATCACCGCCAAATACAATGAACGCATTGCCGACGAGCAAACTGGCATGGCCGACTCGCGGGCCAGGGCCTTCGGATACTGTTGCAACCTGCAGGCAGTTCAAGCCACCACCACTGCTTTCAATCATCCATAAATCACCCTTGACGGTTGATCCATCAATCAGGCCTCCCATCATATATATGTCTCCTTCCTTGGATGCCACCGAATTGATTGCTGCTCCATAGCGAGGAAACGGGTTCGTTTGGGGGGAAGAAAAGTTCAAACGGCGTTGCGACCATGGGTAAAGGGATGAACTGGGGCTTGGAGGGGGATACCGTTGGGTAGTTGCTGAGGTCTTTGCATCTGTGATAGAAATTAGAGCTCTGTCCTCGTGAAAGAACGACGAATGGGTCACGAAACAGATACCCACCTGGGATTCCGATTCCGCTCTCTGCCGCGGCCGTACTGCGTCTGGACTCGTGGGGCTTGTGGCTGAGTGTAGAGAGTTGCTGAAGCTACCGCTTGGGGTTGGCGTCTGGGAAGTCGTGGCATCCCCTTTCACCCCCCCATTCGCCATGGTAGGCGATCCAGTGGATGGAGCACCCTCGGAGGTGTGGACATTTCTAGTTGCCGGGGGGAGTGCAGCCGACTGCTGACTCTGCTGATTCTTCTTCGATTTAAACAGAAAGGCCATCGTTATTTATGTGCTCGTAGTCGGTCGTATCAGGGGACTTGGCGCAAAGTCAAGCTGCGCCGAAGTGCGGACTCGATCCGACACCCGAAAATCGAAAGAATGGCGTCGTCCCGAGAGATGAAGTGGAAAATCCGAAGAGATAGGGGGGGGGGGGTTTGTCTATTTCAGGTGAAGTGGGAACCAGGAACCACTAGGAACCATAAAACGTTCCATGCACAAGCCGCTCAGCGTCCCCCCAAAAAAATTATTGTGGGCAGGGGGAGGCTTCTAAACAGAAGCATTCGCACTGGGGACTCGGGAAAAAAACAAATCAAAGCGGCTAAAGCCAAGGCAAGAAAGGGGGAGGTCGAAGGCAGGAAATGTGAAAGAGGAAAAGCGAAGATGGAAGAGATGGCCGTTTCAATTTCCCGGAGATGCCTCTAAGTCGAACTAGTCTTAGTCTCATTGAACGTGCATACTCAGGGGCATGCTATTATTCGAATATTTAATGATAATTCATGTTTATTTAATTCAATGCTTGTCTTCTACTCATATCCTCCGTACTGCGTACATTAAACTATTTCCCTCTTCATTCCCTTTCCCAGTCTCTTTTCCCCACCCCCAGCCTCCAGGAACCGAGGGGAGTTCACATTCCACTACTCCGTATGGTATATCCACACGTCTTTAGCCTTCGTATGTTATATATCAGTACGGAGTATTTCAAAAGAAGAAGGATTTTAAAAAAGAAGGTTTCACAACAATGTCGCAAAGTCTTCAGAATATTTAAGTACAATATAAACAAGGGTTAGTTGGAATTCCATCCACAGGCTTATTAACCCTAAATATCACACTATCACACTCCAATTGCTATATATCCATGGATATGCCGGGGGGCCGAGGACTCGGCCAAATGTGTGAACAAACTGCAGGTCCAATAACAATTCATCCTAACACCACATTCCCCAATTCCACACGACGATCCATACCCCACAATGTGCAAGAAATACCGATTGCTCAAAGATTAAGGCTGTACAACATTGTAAGGCATGTGAGTTGATGAATGTTGATTCTGAAATACCTTACTAAAAAAAGGTAGGGCTTCCAAGGTTTGAAGCTGATAGACCCAAGAGAAAAGGGGGTTCCCACCTATCAAAATAATCTGGGCGATCTCTCGTTTCCCGGTCTTGGGTTATTGTACGGAGTAGGGATGAACCTCTGACACTGATGTACTTTTGCGATAATCTATCATCATTGGCTACATGCCATATGTCTGAGTGTTTTTTGGTTTGCCATGTTGTATAAGAATCGACGTGTCAGATTTTGGATGTCCATCCTTCCTTGGGTGAAACCTTTTATGTCCCCTACGATTGCTGTCTTAGACATTTCCAACCATACAATGTCTCTCTTCGATTAGAGAAAAGATTACAAAATACCCTACTTAGACCTAGATACATGGCTGACTAACAGAGGTTTCATCCCACCTGGGCAGCCCTGGAGATGGACTTCATTTAACAGTCACTCCGCAAAAGTGCTAACACCCCTAATTAATATTCTGCTGGCAATTTGATTTTTCACCATTACAAAGTCTAGGACCAACGGGCGGTATACCCGTATTAAAAGGTCCACGGTTGGTACAAATAATAGGGGTGTTAATACTTTTGCGGAGTCACTGTGTATCGCCCATGATGTAACCAATTCCTGTGCCCACATTGAACAGCTCCATATCACTAGATTCTGTGATATAGATACATAATACATAGACTCTGTAGAGAGGCATTTAAAGCTAACTTGCCTTAAAACAAAGAGCTATTGGATATGTCCAAGCCATGATTGCCTCGGAGATGTTGTAAAACGATGTGTTTGAAGTCTACACGTTTTGAGTCTATACTTCCTGGATGCCAAGACATCATTCTGAGTAATTCCCGGAATATCTGTGTTTCCGCATCCATCTCGCCTTTCCGAACCACATCCGCTCTAGACCAGGCAGATTAGCTCTCTTTGGACCAGAATCCATAGACTGTGCGCCGAGCTCTCTCAGCGCTCCTGGAATATCTCCAGGGCAGTCGCAATTTGAGACTAGTCTGGGTCACTACAAATCCGACCAACTCCAAGGTCACCCGGGCCATTTCATCATCGGTCTATTCCCCGGCTTCAGTCGACAACATCCATACCCTCGCGAGCGAACCGAAGGAGGAAACTCACTGGCTGTGACCAGTGACCGAGCGGGGATACTCGCAGCTTGCCTTTACATACGTTCCAGCCCTTCCTCTTCCCCCATACTCGTGTAACACAATGAACTATCATACAACATGAGGGATCCCACTACCGATATGGAACAAAACTTACAACAAACGACCAACGGGTCGACGGCCTCGCGTCGCAATCCGAATAAATCGGTCCGCGTCGCGTTTGGTCCCGACTTAGAGACTACGATTCCCACCCGCGAAAGATCTCCAGCGCCGTTGAGTGGCCATCATCGTTCACTCACAGCAGTTGAACACAAGCAGCCCTCACTGACGCCACACGGGCGCCCAACCAGCTCATCGGGAGAGAACAGTGCCATCGGAGAGACCCCACCCCGCCGCCCATCACCTCGGAGATCGGAGAGTAGCCGACCGGCTATGCTGAAGAGAGCTAAAAGCGATTATGGACCAAGTCGGATAACCTTCGATAAAGTGGCGGGTGATGACGATGAAGATTTCGCTATGCGACATGGATGGCAGGAGGAATATACTTCCAGCGAATATCTCAAGATCTTGCATTCGGTGAGCATGGCCACTCTGATCGTGAGTTTCCGGAAGCTAACACAATACCCGCTGATAGAATTTCTATATGTACTTCACCGAGAAACGCCATGAGACCAACGGTATTCCCAGGGATCCGGTTGGGAGTTGGCCAAGTCAGGACTGGCGCATGAAAGATCGCCTGAAAACTGTGTCTGCGGCTTTAGCCATCTGTCTGAACATCGGAGTCGACCCTCCCGATGTTGTCAAGACCAACCCAACATCGAAGCTTGAATGCTGGGTAGATCCGACTTCTACCACAGGCGGTGGTCAAAACAAGATCATGGAGCAGATCGGCAAGAAGCTACAGGAGCAATATGAGACTTTGAGCCTTCGGACAAGATACAAGCAGTATCTGGATCCATCAGTTGACGAGACCAAGAAATTCTGCATCTCACTTCGCCGAAATGCCAAGGACGAGCGGGTGCTTCTACATTACAATGGACACGGAGTGCCATTGCCAACTCAGTCGGGTGAAATCTGGGTCTTCAACAAGAATTATACCCAGTATATCCCTGTCCCACTGTATGATCTGCAGTCTTGGCTAGCTGGGCCTAGTCTTTTTGTCTTTGATGTTTCACATGCGGGCAACATTGTCCAAAATTTCCATACTTTTGTGGAGAAGCATGAGAAAGAGAATATTGAGACTAAGAAACGAGACCCGAATGCCGTCATTCAGAATTATGGTGACTGCATCCTCCTAGCTGCGTGCCAGAAGACAGAGTCTCTTCCGACCAATCCCGACCTACCTGCAGACCTATTCACTTGTTGCTTGACAACACCGATTGAAATCGCATTGCGCTTTTTCATCTTGCAGAACCCTTTGCGCACAAACATTTCCATTGACGACTTCCGAGTTCCAGGTCGACTTCAAGATCGTCGAAGCCCTCTTGGAGAACTGAATTGGATCTTCACTGCAATCACCGATACGATTGCGTGGAACACCTTACCTCGGGCTTTGTTCAAGAAACTCTTCCGACAGGATCTAATGGTCGCCGCTCTTTTCCGCAACTTTTTGCTCAGCGAACGCATCATGCGCACATACAAATGCCATCCGATCTCTTCGCCCGAATTGCCAGACACACATCATCACCCTCTATGGAAAAGCTGGGACCTTGCAGTCGAGATGGTGTTATCTCAGCTACCTGCTCTTATTGATCAAGAAGAAGGGCGCCGGCAGTACGAATACCAGCACTCAACGTTCTTCGCTGAGCAACTCACTGCTTTTGAGGTATATCTCTCGTCAGGTCCTACGGAGAAGAATCCACCAGATCAGCTTCCTATTGTCCTCCAAGTCCTCCTGAGTCAGGCACACCGCTTGCGGGCCTTGATTCTTTTGAGCAAATTCCTGGACCTCGGTCCGTGGGCTGTCCACCTTGCACTCAGCATTGGCATATTCCCCTATGTCGTTAAGTTGCTGCAATCAGCAGCTCAAGAATTGAAACCCGTTATGGTTTTCATTTGGGCGAGAATCATGGCAGTCGACCACACTGTACAAAACGATCTACTCAAAGACAACGGCATCCACTACTTTATCTCAATTCTGAATCCTTCTTCTCCCATTCCTGTGGGAAACGCCAGCGAACACCGGGCCATGTGTGCTTTCATAGTCTCGATCTTCTGCAAAAACTACCCCCAGGGACAGAACGTCTGCCTCTCTGGTGAGTTGTTTGATTCGTGCCTCAGGCATCTCGGCGATGTGGAAAATCCCCTGCTACGGCAGTGGTCTTGTCTGTGTCTCAGTATGCTCTGGTGCGATTTCCCCGAAGCAAAGTGGATGGGCATTCGATGTGCAGCTCCCGCTAGGCTCTGCGAGTTGAATTTCGACCCCGTACCCGAAGTCCGTGCTGCCATGCTTCACGCTGTGACTACGTTCTTGGGAATTCCAGATCTGACAGACCAAGTTGCACAAATTGAGGAGACTTTAGCACTGGCAGTCTTGCCCATGTCTGCCGATGGAAGTGTAGTTGTTAGGAAGGAGCTTTTAGTATTCTTCTCAACATTCGTCAGACGCCACCAAAACAAATTCTTGGTCGCAGCATTTGAGGAGCTTGAGGAAGAAAAGCGGTCCCTGTGTCACCGCTGGGAGAGCGAAAACTCTCAGACTAACCGTTCCGAGGGGCAGACTGGCGCACTAGTTTCTCATGCGAAAGTCCCCCAGCTGTCTCGCAATACGACTTTCGGAACTATCTGGAAGCAGCTGCTGGCGCTCTCGGTTGACCCTCATCCTGACATCGCCCAGGATGCCGCCGTTATCGTTGATTATATCCACCTAGCCTTGTTGGAATCTCCAATGGCGCCGCTCACTAACAAGCTTCAGAACGAGATTCTGGAAATCACAGGCTTGACCAAATTACAACCTCGCGAGCGAACTGAAGCAAAGAAAACTGCGCCACCTTCAACGCCTCCCTTGTCTGGATCAGCAACCTCAAAACAAGAAGGCTATCTTTCTTTAGGTTTTAGGCGAACTGCCAGCGTCGCTGCTTCCCTGAAGAACCTTGCTTTTGGCAATTCAACAACAGGAGATTTATCCTCAGATAATTCGAACCCCCCTTCGCCTTCAACCAGCCGTATGACAATTACTCCACGCGGCCGAGCCCCTCCTGAGTGGACCCGACCCCCGGAGGGAAATGATCATGTTGCTCCCGCAACAGCATACCACCAGGCTCCGATTCCCACATCCCGAGGGTTCGAACCCAAAGGCTTTGATGTCGTGCCGGTTATTCCCCTAAAGAGTAGATTCCTAGACTGGTCCACTGAGGTAATGCCGGATTTTGAATCCATCGAGTCCCACAACTATTATTACCTACATTTACTCACCATTTCTAAGTATTTCCGAGAGCCCCAGATGAAGCCCAACGAGCCGGATGAGCCCGGTAGCTCCGACTACAACCAGCGCCTCTGGAGACGCGGCCGCAACGAAAAGATCATCGCCGAAACCCAACCCCTCAAAGGAAAAGCTGGAGCAAGCCGATGGGATAACTCGGTTGCTTTGCTATCGAATGGTAGCCAGCCCCACAAGATGTGCTTCCATCAGTTCGAGGATCACATTGCTGTCGCAGATGACAGGGATACAATTTCGTGGGTACCAACAAGTCCCCTGTTCTTCCTGTCCTTCTAACCATTTATTTCGTATAGAATTTGGGACTGGCAGAGCCACAAACGCCTCAATCAATTCTCAAATGGCAACCCGGTTGGGTCAAAGATCAACGAAGTTCGATACATCAATGAGGACGACCAGGCACTGCTTATGACTGGATCTTCTGATGGTGTGATCAAGCTTTTCCGCCATTACGAGACTAATCAGAATATTGAAGTGGTCACAGCCTTCAGAGCCCTCCCTGAACTAATTCCAAGCAATCGCAACGCAGGCCTTGTGCTTGATTGGCAGCAAGGTCAGGGCAAAGCTCTGGTTGCAGGTGATGTCAAGGTTATCCGTGTCTGGAATGCTGCCACTGAGGTGTGCACAAACGTACGTCTTCAATGTCTTGTCCCACAAATATATCGCGTTGCTCACAAAAAGTTCAATAACAGGACATTCCCGCACGATCGGGTTCCTGCATCACATCCTTGACCTCTGACCAAGTAGCGGGCAACATATTCGTTGCCGGTTTCGGTGACGGTGCTGTCCGGGTCTTTGATCAACGGTTGAAGCCAACCACATCCATGGTCAAAGTTTGGCGTGAGCACAAGCAATGGATTACAAATGTCCATATGCAGCGTGGTGGTCTACGAGAATTGATATCAGGTGGTCGTAATGGTGAGGTCCGACTTTGGGATCTTCGCATGGATAGCCCGGTCTCCACCATCTATGCTACCAAAGACACCATGCGGACCTTGAGTGTTCACGAGCACGCTCCTGTCTTCAGCATGTACGTTTCCGCCGCAATATTTTGATGTTTTGTTTGTTCAAAGCTAACATGACGCAGGGGTACAAATCGCCACGAAGTCAAGACCTTCAATGTGGATGGAACCTATCTATCTACGTTCGAGCCATACTCGAGCTTCCTTCATCACAACCGATCCTCACCCATTGCCAGCACTGCCTTCCATCCCCACCGGACTGTGCTTGCCTGCGCCGCATTGAATGACCATCATGTAAACCTCGTGTCCTGCTAATTCCAACTCGGCTCCGAAATTCATGTACCTTCGTGTGGTGCGCTTCATGGCATCATTTCTTTCTCTTGTCCTAATATTACCCTTTCTGTAATATGCATCCGCATACCCGACGAACAGATACACACGGCGTCTTGGCGATTGACTTGATCAACCATACATTGATGGCTCTGCGTTGTTGGTTTTTGTTCCCTTGGGGTTGCTTCACTACCATTTGATATTCTTGACGATTTCTCTATTCTTCTACTTCATGTGAGACAGTGTACCCAGTTCCGGGTCTATGAACTTCTTTTTACCCTTCTTGTCTTCTCTATCTTCTTCGGTATGAAGCGCAATATCTTGTAGTAATGTGCTAGTCTTGCCAGATGGAAGAACGTATAATGTTTGGAATTCTCGTGCTCTGCTCATTTTAGTGAAGTGGGTACAGAGCACCAGAGGCTGTCCTATTTTTACTGATAGTAGGACATTGTTTTGTTCTTCTTTCTATGCTTGTTGATAACTCTAGACAATGCATTAATATTTTGGTGTGATCCTGCTTGGTCTTTTTGGATATGATGCAGTAGGGCAGTGCTTAGGTTAGTCGGCTGATTATGTGGCCTCTGTCCTTCACAATATTAAAGCCGTTATATATGTCAATATTAGGATATCTTGTCTGGTATCCTTTTTAATATATATCTTCCCTTCTGGTCACTAGCCTACAACACAAGTGCACGATAACCAAGGTAATAGCGGTAGAGGAACAGTGTATATCATATCCTCTTGAAAAGGACCCTTCCATTTATATCATCTGATATATAACCTTGACACTGCATACCAGTTCGGTTTGGGAAGAGGCACAGTGAGGGCAAAGGCGGTCACGTGCATACATCACGCCTAACAATGTCAATCGAAGGAAACACCTGGATAGAAGAGATGCCAAAGAAAGAATTGTTGAAAGAGAAATTCTTTATCTGTGTCAAAGAAAAGAGAACTATATAAATACAAAGCATAAGCCGAAGATTTTTTAAGAAATATTTATTCAAATGTTTATCCTAGCTAACTTGGATTGATATTCTTTTGAAGGAAGCGAGGTAAAAGGAAAAAGGATATTGATATTGTTGGGTCATTCTCATAAAATACTAAAGAAAAGCTAGGAATACAGCCTAGAAAAAGTTCATAACATCACTCATTAAATCGCCTAGTAGTTGCGCTGGCTGCCAGGCGCTTCCTTCTCGTCAACTCTGGGGTCAAGCTTGTTCAATAGGTCGGAGCTGTGGGGACCAGTGGTCTTCCCAGTCTTCGAGGTTTGGTCGTTGTAGCTGCTGCCACCACCGGCTCCGTAGGAGTCATTGGCGCCATAGCTCGACTGTCCAGTGGAGTGACCGGTGGAGCTACCATAGGTGTCGCTACCGGACAGGGGCTTGCTCGAGCCATAGCCAGTCTGTCCAGAGTGACCGGTGGTGCTACCAGATAGGGGGTTGCTAGAGCCATAGCCGGTCTGTCCAGAAGAGTGGCCGGTGGTGCTGCTGTAGTTGTCGCTGCCAGACAAAGGGTTGCTGGCGCCGTGTCCAGTCAGTCCAGAAGAGTGACCGGTAGTGCCACCAGATAGAGGGTTGCTGGAGCCATAGCCGGTCTGTCCAGAAGAGTGGCCGGTGGTGCTGCCGTAGTTGTCGCTGCCAGACAAAGGGTTGCTGGCGCCTTGTCCAGTCAGTCCAGAAGAGTGACCGGTGGTGCCACCAGATAGGGGGTTGCTAGAGCCATAGCCGGTCTGTCCAGAAGAGTGGCCGGTGGTGCTGCCATAGTTGTCGCTGCCAGACAAAGGGTTGCTGGCGCCGTGTCCAGTCAGTCCAGAAGAGTGACCGGTGGTGCTGCCATAGTTGTCGCTGCTAGACAAAGGGTTGTTGGAGCCGTGTCCAGTCAGTCCAGAAGAGTGACCGGTGGTGCCACCAGATAGGGGGTTGCTAGAGCCATAGCCGGTCTGTCCAGAAGAGTGGCCGGTGGTGCTACCAGATAGGGGGTTGCTAGAGCCATAGCCGGTCTGTCCAGAAGAGTGGCCGGTGGTGCTACCATAGTTGTCGCTGCTAGACAAAGGGTTGCTGGAGCCGTGTCCAGAAGAGTGACCGGTGGTGCCGCCAGTCAGGGGGTTGCTGGAGCCATAGCCGGTCTGTCCAGAAGAGTGGCCAGTGGTGCTGCCGTAGGTGTTGCTAGAGCCGGTAGTTCCAGCGTGCTTTCCTCGGTTGTCTGAATTGGCATATCATGTTAGATATATGACTCTAGTATAATAGCTTTTACAAGGTAGCCAGTAAAGGGCAAGATTAACTTACCAAGATCGCTATCGACACGGGGGTCAAGCTTGTTGACTAGCTTAGAGTCATGGGGGCCAGCATTGGTGGTGGAACCAGTGTTGGATCCGTAGGTATCAGATTTGCTGCCGTGGTTTCCGGATGCTCCTGGGCCGACATCAATTGGACCCTTGCGGGAGTCATGGATAGTTCCAGAGCTGTGGGCACCGTGGCCAGTGCTAGCACCAGTTCCGTAGCCTCCAGCTCCAGTCGAGGTACCTGTCTCATAGCCGGAGCCAGAATTTAGGCCACCAGTGCCAGTGCCAGTGCCACTGCCGTAGCCTCCAGCACCGGTAGTGGATGTGGTATCATAGCCGGCTCCAGATCCAGAGCCATAGGTGTTGGAGCCTGCGCCGGTAGAAGTGTATTTGCTAGGAGCGTTGTCCGTAGTGTTGTGTGAGGATCCGTAAGTATCACGGGTATCTATATGAATAGTATTGTTAGCATCACAATAAAATGTCTCTTTACTAGGAACAACGAACCATCAGTCTTGCTGCTGGATGTCTTGGACTCATCATGATGATGACCGGTCACGGCATCCTTGACCTTGTGAATAATACCCGACATGGTGGGTGGTAAAATGCTGTGATAGGAAGGTAAAAGATTTGGAAAAGAGTTGAAGTTTGAAGTTTGAAGTTTGAATAGATTGCTTTGAGTCAGATGATTGTGTGTTTATGGAAAAAGTGAAAGATAAAGTGCTTCTAGTAGCTACTTTATATGCTTTACTGTCTTTGCTTGTCTTAATCAGATCACGAGTAGATCCCTACCTGCGGAGACTGAGTGACGCCATAACGCGGGGGTTCTACGAGTACAAACATGGATCAGAGCTCTTTCACTCTCTCGTTTACAGCTGTCATGACGTCCCAAACGGGTTTATACTTACAGATAAATATTCTTGGCTGGAAATGAGGAGAGCTATCAATGTCATCCATCGTCATGTCCCGGATCTACAATGACCAAAGCACGCCACTGAGCTAAAACTTGCAAGGATACCTTGTAGATCCACATGGCCACACCCAGACTTGGATTTCATATTTAAGTGGGGTTTCTAGAATTTCGTGCCAATAATTCTCCGAGTTTGACATTGCTAGGCCATGGGCAATGGAAGCTTAGCTATCAATTTATAATTTATCTTATGGCTTCATAACAAGCGTCTATGGTGTTGTTTGTACTCTTTTACTCTTATAGAAGTCGTAGTAGACATATACAAGGCAGACAAAGAGATTCAAGAATGATTCCTCAAATATACGCTAGTCCCCTGTTAGGCCATATACGTCATATATGTCCCGGGGAGGGGATACAATTTCCTACGCTAATCCATATATGGTAAGTGGGGACAAGCTTGATCGATCGTCAAGTCCAAAAATATCTCACGGGTGTACCTTGATATAATATTAAATATTGTACAACGTAGAATGCACTAGATGGTTCGATAAACCACTACAACGTAGTTTACGATATAGGTATGCGTACTCCGTACATTGACAACGCGATCCAAAATCGAAAATAGAAAAGGCGGTGGGTTATGTAGTTGCCTAGCAGTGATGGCATGATCGGCGGTGGCAGCTCCTGGATCGAGAACCTTGGAAGAGACCAAGTAGTCTATATCAAATCGACAATATACGTCTGTTATTGCGAGATCCAAAAAAGGCCCAAGCAAACGACGTACCATGCTATCTTGCTAATATCTTATGATATTGTACGAATTACAGAATTTGTTGAAGTGTCTTTAAATTATCAATTCCTCTCTCACAATAGTTACCTGTTGGAGTCTTTTTGATACAACATACATGTATGTATATTGTATCTTTCGACTTTTAAGCATCTGGTGCTATAACGGAATGGAAGATCCATGGATATACAGGTGGTTAAATAAACCACTATAGCACCAAGCTCTAATATTGCTGCCATTCCAACTTTGTATGTTATAACTACTTAACTGACTAAGAAGCTCATGTGATTTCAGGCACCAAGGCCAGATTAGTGCCTCAGGCCTAAAACACATGACACGGCGGGCATGCCGTCACCTGGGCACCTGGGCACTGACCCGGGGTTAGATAATCCACATCATGAGTTCACTTCCCCTTCTCCACCTGACTGACTTCACTTGAACTCCTCTCCGTCTCTTTATCACGTCTCGTTGTTCGCTTTGACTTCCTCTGTACTCGCGTTGGCTGTCATTTATTGACTATCTTCAACCAGCCGTAGTGCTGCTCATTGCACTCGATGAGTGGTCGCCTGCTAGCTTGCCGCCAACTGTTGGATTGGTCATAAACAGTCCACCCAAAGTACTGTGGTACAGCGGAGCCGCTGGCATCGTCAATAATTCAACTCGATCCACCCGTTTCTGCTGTGATTAGATATCTCCGATCAACCCACTCTTCCATTAAAGTGGTTAAAACCATCTATCAGAGACATGCGACCGCCACGCCTGCTCATCGTCCTCTTCTGCCTTATCTTCTTTCCCATTCTCCTCACCTTCTTTTCCGCGCTTACATCGCCCGATGTAGCGACTCCTAATACTCTCGCCGGTCAGACAACTGGGCTGCGCGCCATATTTTCTTTCAACATACCATCGTCCCTTTTCCCTCCGTCGGCCATGATCAGTCTCACTGATGACAACTCGACCTTCTTCCTCGCCCGGCCAGCGGCATTTGGCCCGCTGCTGCCAACCAAAGGCCTCAGTGGTCAGTTATGGGTGGGAAGTGGCTTTGGTGAGGGAGGATTAACTGGTGGCGTGGAAGGGGAACTGGGCTGCTCCGATATTCCCGGCTGGGGTGAGGGCACCAATCATAAGAAGCAAGACAAAGCCTCTAGGGGCGTGGAGCAGAGTTCCGGGATATCCGGAGATAGTACAGTGAATGATCAATCATCAAACCGCCCGCGGTCGGTATCGCAGGCCGATACTACACCTCAGAACGACAGAGATGATCCAACCAACCCGCACTTGACGAACGATGGCACCGACGATCATCTACATCATCCACTCCCTGAATCCGGTGCTTCTAACCCCAGGATGAGTCAGAAGTATGGAGATTACGTCCAAAACAAGCCGCCCGCGCATGCCGACATCCAATCGCTACAAGAGACTGCCGAAATCCAGGGTAAAGTAGTGCTATTGAGTCGGGGTGGTTGTGGGTTTTTGGAGAAGGCCAAGTGGGCGCAACGACGAGGAGGGGTTGCTTTGATTGTTGGCGACGATACTCGAGGTGGCAACTTGGTCACTATGTACGCACGAGGCGATACGTCGAACGTCACGATCCCGGCATTGTTCACGTCCCACACTACTGCTCACCTTCTATCGTCATTGGTTCCTGGACATGGCGGTGCAAGTGCCAGTTTGGGGGATGTGTTGAAATCATCGCCAGCGAAGTTGGCAGGACAGGCTGACGCCGACAAAGAACGGGTGGCAACTACTACAGCAATGACAACTATTCCAAGTCCAACTGCTAGCAGCCATTCGACAGCCAAACCTGTGTCCTCATCTCAGTCGAAAGGCGGTTTTTTCCGATCAATTGGTGCATTCTTCGGATTGTGCGATAAGAACGGAGGTCCGCGGCATCTGGAAGACAGCCGACGTCCGCCCAGCAGCGGCAACATTGACTGGATCAACCTAGGCTCACGGGATGAAAAAGAAGCCCCGTCGAGCGCTTGGAGAAAATCAACTGATCTCAATCATCGTGGTCGAGCCAAGGTAGACGACGCATTCGACAGCCACAAGGCCGACATGTCCCCTGAAAGTTTTGAGGATGATGACTTTGTCATAGGGGTTCAGGACTGGAGAGATCCCGACTTGATGCCTCCTAAGAGTAGCACGCCCCTGACAGCTAGCACCTCTGTGACTGGCAAGGATACCTCCAAGACTGCCAGCGCGGATAAAGATGCCGCCTCCTCGCCCAATGGTCTTCAGGGTGGTAGCATCACACCAGGAAGTGGAGAATACCAGAGCATCGACAAATCAAGTGCTGGTTCTCATGACACGCGCCTCAAGGGATCTGAGAAGGAATCTATCGGAGCTCATGGGAAGTCTGGATCTTCTACGAAGGGCTGGTTCTCGAGTCACTTTGGATGGGGAGATGATACTCAGCAAGACCCTCAGCCTTCTTCGTCGCCCTCCCTTCAAAAAAGCATTGCAATAAACCAGCAGATGAAAAATAGCCCTCTCGCATCGAGCCGCCTAAGCGCGGAATCTCCCGAGCACGAAGGTCTTTGGGTTACCATGACACCTACCAGCATGTCCACCAGCCCCTTTTTCGATACTCTATTGGTCCTCGTCGTCAGTCCTTTGCTCACGCTGACGGTGGTTTATGCCCTTTTGCTGATCCGATCTCGAATCCGCCGACGTCGCTGGCGTGCCCCGAAGTCGGTTATCGAACGACTTCCTGTCCGAACATACCACACAATTACTACCACTTCTACCTCGTCTTCCAACTCAACGCGTCCCCCCAGTCCCGGCCCTCTCTCCCCGACTTCCCCACTCCTTGACAATGAAAGCCGGCCAAGCGCATCCCGATCAAATAGATCACGTTCACAAACATTCTCAGGCACCATGCTACACTCATCTGTCGCTCCCAAGGAAGAAACATGCAACATGCAAAACGGATCTACCTTGTGGCGACGCAAGTACACAGGAAGGCAGGTGGAGTGCGTCGTATGTCTTGAGGAATATATCGATGGTCAGAGCCGGGTCATGAGCTTGCCATGTGGTCATGAATTCCATGTGGAATGCATGTAAGTGACATGAAATAATTTGGTCTTTGTTCGGATGTTTTACTAACCTCTTTTCTCAGTACCCCCTGGTTGACTACTCGTCGACGAACTTGTCCAATCTGTAAAGGCGATGTTGTCCGTTCGTTGGCCCATTGTCAATCCGATGATTCTCTGGGTCATCGTGAGCAGTCCAGTGATGACGTTCACAGCGCCCAGCCGATCTCTCGAGGCAGCGCATCTTCCGCTCCAGTACTAATTGAAGGCGTCAATGGCAATGCTTCAGATACGGAACAAAATGCAGGTCTACTTGGCGACCATGCAAATTCTGCCCCACAGTCAAGCTGGCGAAACCTGGCTACCCTTAGCTTTTCTGCTTTGAGTGGCGATACCATATGGCACCAGGCTCGCGCGGACCGTAATCGCTAACATCTATATTCTGTCCACTCTTTTCGATTTTTCTTTTTTTTTTAACCATTCCCCCCTCTGTCCTGTGGGATTTGCTCTCCTTGTATTGAAGCATGCTGTATTAGCGGTCGTTTGGAGTTTCTTATGATTTGAATCTGCTTGGCGTTGGGTGAGGGCATTTCGGCGTGCTAGGCGGTTGCAAAGTGCCAGCAAGCATTGTTGAAGCTGCTGGGATATACCGCGGGTCAATCGTTCAAATATTGTATGTTCTTATGTTCTTTTGGTAGGATGGATATCTCAATGGAATCCATTGACACTTGGCTGTCATTAACACTACTGCTATGCCATGACCATCTGACCGTTGACACAAACAATCATACTGTATATATATGATTCTCTGCAGCTGCCCAGGTGCACTTATAATTGATAGTAATCGAAGCTGTGAAGACTACCATCTTGATTCAACCATCCAGACCCAAGGCTTCATTCCTTCTCAACATAGACATTCCCAGCAATATCCCCAAACACATCAAGCGCATGAATTAGCCGATCACGCACCAATTCAACACGAGGAATCATATCCCGGCCCAAAGGCAAGAACCCCTCACTCTCACGCCCAGCACCAACGCCCTCGCCAACGACAACTTCATACATCGCCTTGGCAGCCTTATCCTTATCACCATCAGCAACAAATCTACCAGTCAGTAAAACATCCAGCATCTGTGCAGCCACAGAGTCGTCATAGTCCACCGGTAAAGGCTTAGCAGGAGAACGACAACCAGTCCCGAACTGCGTGTTGAACGCTCCCAACCACACCGTCAGGAGGCGGACGTTGAATGGTGCAACTTCTTTCCCGAGCACTTTACATAAACCTTCAGAATACACACATCAGTACATAAACAAGAAATTCCTAACCCAGAAGAAGAGAAAGAATGAGAACATACCATCCATAGCAGCCTTCGCCGCCGCATAAGCACCCATACTCTCCCTCCCCTCCAGCCCAGCCCCAGAACTAACGTTAACAACAACTCCAAACCGCCTCTCCCTCATCCCAGGCACAACCGCGCTGATCAGCCGACTCGGCCCAAAATACACAGTCTCCATCTGGGCCCGCAGCTCCTCGTCCGAGAACTGCTCCACTGCCCCGAGGATCGCGTATCCGGCATTGTTGACCAGCACGTCGATCGTGTGTCCTGCAGACTCGAGCTTCGATACCAGCTCAGAAGCTGCGGTTGGGCTGTCAACGTCTAGTGCGTGCCATTCGCCCCCGTTTTGGGTTATCTCGGACACTAGCTCTGGGGTGCGAGAGGGTTGTCGTGATGTTGCGATTATCGTGTGGCCGTTTGATTGGGCCGTGCGGGCCAGTGAGAGGCCCAGGCCTGAGGAACAGCCTGTTATTAGCCAGGTTAGGGGGCGTTTTGGTTTGGTGAAGGTTGGTGTTTGTGTGGTCATGGCTGGTGCTTGTGTAGTCATGGTGGTTTGTGATGGGTGTTGGATGATGGATGATGGATGATGGTGGTAAATATTGGAGACTGTGTCGTGATATTTTGATTTGCAAGAAATTTATGACTAGAGTGGTATAATATCAGAATACCACGGCTCTTTTATAATCACTTTCTTACTGGATTCCTCGGACTTAGGGCTGCGGGGGCGGAGTTAATGTGGTCTGTGCGTCTCAGCCTTGATGCTTATCAATGGCCCCCGGGGATATGGTTGCATTTCACAAAGAATTGAGGGGCTTATTGAGGTAGAAAAAGGACATAAGCTGCCGTTCGGTGCACAGTTGACAAAGATCGTCGGTTTGACTTGATATCCAAATCATCTCAACACATTCACGGAGCACAACCTCGGAGGACAAGGTAGTAAATATAAACTGTCATAATTTCTACAAAATAACTAAAATACAAGGTCCCAGCACCACAATCCATATAAACATACAAACCAGATACATACAAAGTGAAACCCGAAAAAAAAAAGGCAACCCATCAACCAAACTAGTGAAAATCAATGCCATGTTCAACACGACCCCGGCACACACGACAAGCTACAACCTACTCGCCGGAACGGCAAAGGCCGAAGCTTCTCACCCGGACAGCGAGGCATCTTCATCCCATTCTCACACGGGGTAAAGTCCCACCATTCCATCCATTCAGCGCGAGGAATCACAAACTCTCGCTGGCATACAGAGCAAGGCTGTCCACCAGCAGCGCGCACTTCCCTCGCTTGTTGCAGCAATGGCACAATCAGCGCCGGGTACTCGGCTAGCTCTTCGTCGGTGGTTTGCTCCAGGTAGGGGAGCTTGATCACAGCGCGGAGCGCGACTTCGCGCAGAGACGGGGCGTCGTTTACAGGAGATGCCAGTTCTGAGGGTGTGAGAGTGGGTCTGTTGTGGGATGGGCTGGCTCCCATGGGATTGCCCTCCATATCCATGTAGGTGATCGGGCCTGTTGCGACATGGAGAGGGGACCAGCCCTCGTCGAGAGAAGATTCCTGTTCTTGGAATTGGAGCGGGGGAGATGAGTCCTCGTCGTTGTCTGTTTCCTTTTTATTGTTCGGTTTGTAGTGCCATTCTGCGATCTGCGCTTCTTCGATTGCGAGGAATGGGTTCGGGCGGACGGTCAGGTGTTTCAGTTCGCCTTGCTGCATGAGTTTGAGGATCTCCCAGGGAAGGCAGGTCAATTGGTTGACGGAAAGATTTAAGACTTCCAGTGCTGTCAGTCTGCGGATTGTAGATGGGATTTCGGTCAGCTTGTTGTTTCGCAGGCTGAGGACTTTGAGGTTGCTGAGCTCGAAGAGATCATTATGCAGGGTTGATAGGGAGTTGTTGGGGAGATATATGCTGAGGAATGGCTGCAGAGATGTGAAGACGTTCTCTGAGACTGGGGCTTCCTTGACTGATGGAAGCTTCGTTAGGTGCTGTAGAGATCGCAGGAGACCGGATGGTATAGTTCCCAGATGGAAGTAGCTGTGTAGAAAAGAGCTATTAGAATCATTGGCTCGGGTAAAAGGGGGAACACCAGATGAGACTAGAACATCAGATAAAAGGGCAATTAGCACATACCCCAGATCAATGCTCTCAAGTCCCTTATCGAGACAATCACCGACAACCTCACGCGCAAACCGATGAGCATCGGACTCTTCAGGGCTTCTAAACGCAACACGAGTCTGTGCAGGCATGTTCTCTGTCTCAATAACGAAAGGTGTAGAGCTTCCAGGTTTTCTAGGATCAAGCACAGACTTGCGCAAGTCTTCCCCCCACGCCGAGCCATCCTCCGACGGCAAAAGCGACTCAGCACCAGACTCATCACTCCCCATCCACACACCACTATCAACATTCCTCTTATCCTTAAAGTCCGCCCTCTTCCTCTTCGGATCTAACACCTGCTCTCCCCACCAGGTCCCCCGATACCGTCGTTTGCGTCCCGCGCCTGACACCGTCGCATGGTAGTTCTCCAGCCCGGAAGCCGGGATATCGTCACTGGAGAAGAGTGCAGGATCACTGGATGGCTGACTAGAGCGATCATCAAGGCGCGACAGTCGCTGCGCGCGCTGGAACGAGGAGACCGCTATGCCTGTCGCTGAGGGGTTCGCGGTCGCGGGCGAGCGGTGCCGGATTCGCCGCGGCGGTGGGAGGGGGATCTCGCTGTCCATTGCGATTTCGGTTCGCGGGTTCAGACGAGACTCTTGTAGTTCTCGGCCTGGCTCATCTGGGTTTCTATTCAAACGCGGTTTTATCTGATGTTCGGGGTTGCGCGACGCGTTGTGGAGACCCGCGATGGAGAGCTGCGGGTGTCAACAAACGCGCTAATGGCGCGATTGGGGGAGATAAGGGTTTAGGATTTGGAATCAATTGAGAGGTCTCTTATGTTTTGGAAGGGAAAAACAACTGCATCCCCAGTTGGAATGGAAAAGATCAGATCAAAAGATAAGATCAGATCACACGTGCACGGGCATATTGGCTGACCCCGGACCTCACGGCTTCCCCACTGGAATGTTGGATCGACATGATCTTCTCTACTTTACTACGTACTATGTACATATGTTGCTACAACTGGTGTTTACAGTTGGATTTGGTATCAAATGAGAGAAGAAAAAGAAGTGTCTATATTCTGTGGATGACTCATAGCCGACTCATGTAAGTCATGAATATCAGACCAGTCCGATGACTAGTAAGTCACCCACGACAACGTATATGGACAAACGAATTGAATAAATAGGGTTTGAAGAAGAGAATAATAACAGCATCAACTCGTATCGGTCCAAAAAGTCATAATGAAAAAAAAAAAGAAATGGGGGTATTTGAAAAGCGTTAAACCGTTTCCTCTCCGAAAATGGGTTCTTCAGCCAACCGAGAGGAATAGAAATGTTAAAGGTATAAAAATAAAAAAATAAAGAAGAGAAGATCCCGGCTCTGCTGGAGATGAACGGTAATCAACAAGGCAGCAGTCATGCAGTATGAATTGGGTGCGGTATTGGCCAATGGCCCCAATTCATGATCGTTGCCTGCGTGAAGGCTTCATGCTGAGAAGTCGCGACATCACGAGTGTGATTACAGGGCTTGGCCCACCATCACAACGATATAGCCGGCGGCGGCCAAGGCAGCTGGCATGCCAGCGCCAATGTTGGCCGCTGCGCCGGTGGAGGTGGCAGCTGGAGCAGCAGAAGTAGTGGAGGCTGCGCGAGACAGAGGAGTCGAGGTCGAAGCAGTCATGGTAGTCAGGTTGCTCGCGCTGGAATTCGCGCTGGAACTAGGAGTTGGGGTCACCGAATTGACGCGAACCAGAGTCTTGGTGATGGTCGTGGTTGCAGTTGAGGTAGTGGTATCCTCTGCGGCGACGAATGGAGCCGCGACTAGGCAGAGAGAGGCGACGATTGCAGTGAACTTCATTTTGAGAATTGATTCCAAAGTGAATATCAATATGGAAGAGCGAGCAAGGTGATTGAATTGGATTCAATGTTTGTGGTGAAGCGCCGATGCGGAAGTATGAAACTTGGATGGCAGAAGAGATATGTTTCAGGTTTGATCGCAAAAGAGTGAGCGTCAAAAAAAAATATCGAATATAATGATTGTGTAGAGCACTGCTCAAACAGTATAAAATGAGTGACTGAAAAAACGAGTGTGTATGAGAGAAATCTCTAATGCGCCTAAGAAGGAAAAAGGGAAAAAGGAAATTTTACTAGGGTGTGGCATGCGCAGGCTAAATAATAACACACGAGCACGTCTCGAACCTGGGGAAAAAGAACCATTCGTCCATCAAAGAAGTGTGGCGCTTCTGTTTTTTGTTTTTTATTTGATTTTTTTTTTTCTTTAATTTTGTTATATTAATATTGATTTTTAAGTGGAATATGATCTTCCTATTGGCCCCTTGAACACGCGGACCCTGGGACTATCCAAGATTGGGCTCCTCTCAGACTGAACTATGACATTCCGAGCCCTAAAAGCCAAAGGAAACAGGGTCTTCCGCACAGACACTTGACGCCAGGGGTTAAGTCTATGATGATTCGTATACAACATAGTTAACTAGTTAGTCAAATGCCATAAAACATGTTTATTGCCATCTCACTGTTGATCGAGTAATTTCAATCGGGAAAGCCGGAAGATTCGCCTTCACTTGGCCCCATAGCCCCGTGTCCCCTAGGTGCAGCAAATACGAGAATTCTTCGCCTAGGTATACTCCATAAGTTGGTGTAATTTCGGCAGTTCGTAATAATCCGTGTCAAGGGAATGTCCTTCAATTGCGAGACCGTTTTGGTCTCGGGGTGTTTCCAGAAGCGCCTTTGCTGGATTTGTCTGCTTGAACTGGCTAATTTTGCCTACTTTGCTGTTTTGCTGTTTTGCTGTTTTGGTCTTATTACCCCTAGAGTGTTAAATGACGATTCTCGCTGGGCATCACACGCTACTGCAAGTGTTCACTCCCTCGCGGGCACTTCCGTCTGTTCCGGACCCCTGGCATCTTGCGCAGGAACAACGATCTGTGATTCGGTTGATCTTAAACATAACAATAACAGACAGTGTATGGATTAATTGACTTGGATCTTGATCTTGTATCTTACCTGCTATACCTTACAAAGTGATTCCGGTGGTTCCCCCGTTAGCCCATATTGGAATTTGCCTCAATTTGCCCGATTCCCACACTATTGAGAAAAGACTTTTTTTTTTTTTTTTTATACTCCATAAGGCTCTGTGGATCGCTTCCGTGGTTCCATTCAGGAACGAACGACGAACGATCATCGCTCGGGACTACTGTGTTGGGAATCTCTACTCCGTAGAGTAGTCTGGGGAGCAACGGTGAGTCATTCCATGCTCACTTATTTGTACTCCGTACTGTTAGCAGCCTTATGCTACATTGTAGTGGGTACATTTTGTTAGCTAGTTAGTTAGTTAGTTAGTTATGTGTTGGCACGAACATGTCACGATTGTTGTAAGAGGGGTCTTTTTACTCCATAAGGGGCTCTGGACTCTTTGGGCTCGCAAAGCCCTACTCCGTACCCACTTTGAACACGACCTCAAGAATACAACATAAGCAATACGACAAGGTATACTCCGTCGTGTCGACCAATTAGTAGAAATTTTAAGATGATCATTATCCATCCACTCCATAGTCTGTACTCCGTACTAATCCGTCCGAGGTCATTTGGACAGACAAAAAAGAAGGGGGCAATGAAAACAAAGTAGAAAGGGGTGGCTCGCTCTTTTTCCTTTCCCGTTTAGCGCTCAATCTTACTTTTCGTTCAATGAGATTGCATGTCCGGGGTAGCCCAAAACAAGGGCGAATAGACGACCGTTGGTTGGTCAACAGAGATCTACTGTGTTGAATGCCTAACACGTAAGGCAACGCGTTCAAAGCCAAAGGTCTTTTCTTGAAATAATCAAATTGAGTCTACTAGATTGTGTAGTTGTGTTCATTGCATTCATTCTCGGTTGCTAAGATGCTTTCGTAGCTACTACTAGTACCTACTCAGGTACTTGTATGTAACCAACTTTTTAAATTATGACATGACCAAAGAGGCGGATGCCCTCCATGCATTGAACTGGTATCAAATTAGAGGCACCCAAGTCCTACACATCATTTCCGTTATAAAGTTCAAATGACAGGTTGGATCATTGGATAGTGTCCTTTCAGTCTGTTTATAAATCCGTGCTTCGGAAATAGCATTTTTTGAAATGAATACTATGGGACCGGGTGGTATATATATCAAGACCTACCAGCAGTTTATTAGTCTTGAAATACCATGCTCTTAGCTGCAACCGAGGCCAATACCGATCACAGTTGTGTTTGGATACATCTGTCAGTTTCTAGGCATATTAGGCTCATATAGCACAGTCAATTACACAGCAATCTCCCCGAAGTGCAGCTCATATAGGCATTAGATGACGGACGGAGGACGAACTTGTCGCCTTTGACCAAATGATTATTGTCCTGTTCAATACAGTATCTGCTAAAAGGAAAATTGAGGGCAAATTACCACTTCTATGTCCTACAATAGAGACATTCATATTATTCGAACCGTGCCTCGGATTGTTGTTAACTTTAAGGGGATTTAAGAGGGCATCCAATTAATTTGCGAGTGAAGGAAACAGCGGTCAAATTTGTTGGGAGTCTTCAGCTCATGCAGGGTAGGAATGTGGCGTTGGTGATCTTTAGCTGAATCCATAACTGTATGCTAAAATCCACCACAGGTGGATGAGGATGATGCTGGGTTGGACGAAACACATGATGCTCCTCAAGGAGAACTCGCGGTCCTATGACACTGGAACCGGTCCCATTTGATCTTTGATGGAACATGTGATGGGATACGTGATGATTCCATACGTTGTAGATATCCGGGTAAAGATTGTATGTAGTATTGAAAGCTCAAGCATATCAGAATTGACAATTTCATTAGTTACATTCCTTTTAAATTATCTCCCCAGCCTCGTAAACTCCAACCATTCCAGTTTTCTCGCCTACAACGCAGGCTTTCCACTATTGATACCCCCGAACTGATTCTTCCAGAGGTTCTGATATCTTCCACCCTCCTTCTTCAGCAGCTCTTGGTGTGACCCGCTCTCAACAACCTGCCCCTCATGCACAACAAGGATCCGATCAGCGCTGGAAATAGTTGAAAGCCGATGCGCAATGACAAACGTAGTTCGCTTGGCTCTCAATCGGTCCAACGCAACCTGGATATCCGATTCTGTGTTCGAGTCTACGGCGCTCGTTGCTTCATCCAGCAGGAGAATCGGCGACTTCTTTAGGAAAACCCGAGCAATAGCTATCCGCTGTAGTTCACCGCCAGACAGCTTGACACCCTGCTCTCCGACTGTGGTGTTGTATCCGTCCACGAAAGTGAGGATTTTCTCGTGAATAGCTGCGGCGCGACATGCTTCGTGGACCTCTTCATCCGAGGCCGAGGGCCGGGCATACCGCAAATTCTCGATGATAGATGCGTTAAATAAGACAGGATCTTGGGGGACGACGCCGATAGTCTGACGTAGTGAGCTGAGGGTTATATCACGGATGTCTTGGCCGTCAATCTCGATTTGGCCCGAAGTAACGTCGTAAAGTCGGAGAAGAAGTCTAAGAATGGTTGTCTTCCCTGAACCAGTCATACCGACTAGTGCAACTGTTGTCCCGGGTTCGATAGAAATATCCACGTCCTTGAGGGTCTTTAGCCGAGAATCATAGGCAAAGTCAACATGGTGGAATGAAACACGGCCATTGCCAGGTTTCAGTGGCATGGCATACTCTTTGTCATTGACGCTGGGCTTAGATTGGAACAGGAAGAGTAGCCGCTCGGCATCAACTAGATCAGAGACAAGCCAGCGATATTGCGCGGAGAGATAGGCCAATGGAGAGATGAGCGATGACCAATATTGAATGAAGAAAACGAAGTCTCCTGTAGAGGAACGCCCCACGGAGATCTCGTGTACGATGAGCGAGGAGAGACCAACGAAGCAAATCGGCTTAAGTAAATCTAGGAGTGACTTGCCGACTGCTCGGCGTCGACCAAAACGGGCGCTAGCCTTCAAGCATAGGTCAACTGCTTCTCCAAAGCGAGACCTCTCGTACGAGAACTGGTTGAAGTATGTGACAGTCTGCCAACCTTGCACAGCCTGATGCATAATGCGGGTTTCGTTTCGTTGCGTCTGTGTAACTTCACGTCTGGCATCCATGTTCCAGTTAGAGGTAAACACCTCCGCCGCAACGTAAGCAATAGATACTATCACCACTAGAAGGGAGGCATAGACATTGAACTTCAAATAGAAAACAACACATGCAATAGCCAAGTCAGCCACCGTCGGGACAATATCTAGAATGGCAACTTCTAACAGATTGTTCAGCGCTCCACCTTGGTCGATGGACTTCATAACTTCTGCCGAGTCATTTTCTATATGGAAGTCCATTGATAGATTCATAACATGGCTGAAGGCAGCATTGGTGATCTGACGGTAAGAGAACTGCCTGATAGGAATCTTGACGAGCGACTCAATCAATCCTAGCCCAGCTCCGCCACGGATGAGCTGCAGCAGTGCCCATTTTCCTAGTGAAGCGTATGGGGCTTTGTTGGCAAAGATGCTATCGGTAACATCTGCTAGTTGCTGGGGAATGAGAATATTCAGTGCTCGGTGGCAAACTAGACAGAAGATGCTGGTAGCAATACAAAGCTGCACTTTGCGATTGTTTTTAGGGACCAAATAGGGCAGAAAGATCGAGAAGCCTTTCAGATAATCCCACCAGCCCCCAAGCGACTGCAACTTCTCATTGCGGAGTCTTTTCCTGCGTGTAGCTGCATCGTTTTTATTTTTGCCGGTGTCCGAATCGCTCTCGCTCTTAGAGTCCACGCTGCTATTTTCTGAGTCGTTGCCATTCACTGCGCCATATCTTGTGTAATTACCATTTAGGAAAGGGCGCGACTCTTCCGAGGTCTTTTTCTTCCTCTGTCTGGTCTCAAATAGAATCGCAGTTGTCACAAAGACAAGCAGGGCAAGTCGGGCCGCTGAGATGGTGATCTGCGTGATTGGTACCCATTGTCTCGGTTTGGGACACAAGGAGAGCGCAAGGAGTGGAACTTCGAAACCAGCGGTGACCAACGAGGCTCCAGCCACTTCGAACTTGGGAGGATTTTGTCGCAGCCACAGTGCAATCCATACAACGGCTTGCGAGGTCATATGCACCAGGAAGGGCTGAGAACGGTCCAGGTCATCGGTGGCGATTTTCAAAACCGTTTGACTGACATACGTGAAAACGATCAAGGAAGACAAGATAACTCGGGGTCGACTGCGACGCTTGGAGCGAGTCTTTCTTTTCTTTACCGGAGCGCGATTAAATAAAACGCAGATCACAATGTAGAGACTTGCTATCAAAGTACAGCTATAATGAAGGGCCTGAGGTGCTAGCTGAGTAGCCATGATGGCAGGTGGGATGGAGGCTCTGTTGGGTAAGTCCCCTGAGGTCCAAGCGGTGGTGGTTCTTTATATATTCCCAAATTTGAGCCGCATTCTTATATCAAGCACCCAGGTGTCGGCCTAAGCAACTTCTTATTGGGTTGACAATGTCATACAAAGTTGCCTGCGCCAGGGGGGCTGGGAGAAGGGTGTCCTAGCGCCCATCGAAACCAAACTGGGCTGTGAACGGCTTCATTATTGGACAATCTGGGCAATCTGCAGATTGAACTAGAATCCACCTGCTTACACCGTAGGTTTGGTACTTTGGTTGGTGAGCAGACATTCCTTGCGACTTACTTTGTACTCCGTGCAGTGGACATATAAGGGGCTGCTGACTGTGTTTTCGGTGACTCGTTTGAGCACAAGTAATAAAGGAACCCTGATTCTGAGTATAACACTGTGATATCTATTCTGCTATTCTCATTCTGCGACCGTACTCGTGACGTCCAGTCGCCTCCGTTGCCCGTACTTTGATATTGATCTTTACCTGGGCACAGCCTACCTCTACACATAAAGTTCTACTTACCGCGACCTACACATGTCAAGCCAAATAGTATGGTTTCCAACTTGAATAACTAGGATTAAATATCTGAAGTCCCCGAGAGCGGCTGGAACAGCAATCCAACATTGATCTGCATCTGGTTTCAGGACTCACTGGACAAACGGAGACAAACAGAAATGAGTCACTGGTACAACTGCCTGTTCGGTGGCTAGTTGCAACGGGAGATGGCTCCTCTCAATAGGGATTGAGACTGTACGTTTTCTATAGCTTGGTGGCTATGATAAAGGCGAGGCGGAAAACAATGACATGTCACTATAGACGAGGATTTTCGGCAATTCAAGCCTTGAAATGCTGCTTAGTCTGGGCATTAGAGTTGACCCCAGGTGTACATTTGAGGGGCCCCGCAGCTTCTAAGTCAGGTCTGAAACATAGATGCCAGGTCATCTAATATGGCAGCTGGCTGCGGCTTTACTAAAAGTCTGGTAACCAACGTGGTCAGATTCAGAACCAACCAGATTTCTTGCCCTGACTTTGAACATCATTCAACAAGGGTATGTAGTCAGACTGGGCCATACATAGTGATCTTTGGCCTAATAGATTGATCTCCGTTTGAGCTGGATGCAATTTCCCAAGTTATATCATCAGTCGCGTGCCTTCACACTCTGTGAGGGGTGTGTCGTTTCCAATGGTAGGACTGGATCGTCGAAGCCAAAAAAAAAAAGGATATATTGTCACGATAACGCCTAACATGGTTGGAACAACCGAGACAATTGAACTTCAACATCCATGTTCTGGGTACTGCTAGATTATGTACATCGCGTGCTGAAGTAGCAAGTACCCATGAACTTGTCCGTCACAACCATATTTGGGTAGTTGTCCTGTCTCTTGAAGCCACCAGAAAAAGTATCTCTTAACCATAGAGATTATATCGTACAAGGGATGTCGCCAGGGAGTGGTCATGTCGCATGTTTCCCGAACATAGTCTTGAGACTGCGAGAAAGATTGTGTTCACTGGCGCATAGGCCGGAGGGGGCTCTGTCGGGGGAGCATCATCGGGGGTCCTCGAGCGCGGAGCCAGGCATCGTTTTGAGGTCCTTCAGAGCGAATAACGCTACCGATGGACATGAAGAGTCTATTTAAAGAGAAGTTGATTAGCCAGTGATTCTCAACCAAAGTGGTATAACTTCCAAGCTCAAAGAGTTAACCATACCCGAAAGTGGCACCTGAACCCAGCATGTACTTGCCCAGAGTGCGCATGACACCGTTGGGGCCAGCGCCATACTGGAAGATTGTCACAGTTCCTGCTCCCAGTTAGCTTATCCGGTACGCCTTCATTTGGGGCTAAGTGGTACAAACCAATAATGAAGCCCATGATGCCACCAACAGCTAAGAGGGGAGCTATGTTAGCACCAGCTCTTGGTGAATAAACCTCGGTTGTTTTGTGATCACATACTGGAACCCATCATGCAACCCATTTTCACTAATAATCTGTCAGCACACTTGGTTCACATATATATGGTGCCCAAATAATAAGAACACCAAGCGGAGTGTGATCTATATCACTGGGTTGTAGATGGCATACTCTTGTCGAAAGTTGAGGGAGCACCCCCTGGGCCCGCTTGAGCGGGAGGTCCAGCAACCACAGGCATTATGAAAAGCTAAAAAGAAGCTTGTAAATTAGATAAAAACAGCAGGCAATAGCTCTGAGCTGAATGAGAGATCCTGTTGTGAGAGTCAAGGAACGAGCTCTTTTTCCTCCCCGGCTTGATGCTTCTCCGCCTTGGTCACGTGAGCGCCCAACGGGCTTTAAATCGCACACGTGCCGACATGGCACGTGACTAATTTTGCCTGGCGGCGTCAAGGGAGTAGGAAACGGATGGCCCTCTTGCGCTCTTGCCTGGGTTCCCTCATGGCAACTATCCTCGATATCTGATTTCTTTTCCGTTACATCTTTTAAAGGGCTGCCTGAAGCCTGCACCGAGGCGGCAGTCCCGTCTTGTGCTTCTATCATTGCCCTGGCGTGAGACCGGTCGCTCACGATTTCCGACCTCCACACAACTCGTTGGTCTTGAATCGCCTATTTTACTCCTAAATATCTCTCAGTTCACAATTCAGAAGTGAGTTAACTTCCTACTCCAAATATACAACCATTCTTTTGTGGGGTCGAGGTCTCGCCTCGACCTAGGAGCCAATTTATTTGTCTCTCCCCCAAACAGCACTAACGCGACCGTCTTCATTTTAGTCGGGCGACTTAAAGCTCCAATCACCCTTGCGCTAATTCAATATCCCCAACCCTCGGACACAAACCAACATTACTAGACGTCCTCTTTTCACCCTTCAGACTATCTCAGATTACGGCCCCTTTTACAATTCGCAACCGTGGACGCGCTCCGTGCTCCGTCTAGATATTCCATTCCCTTGAACAATTCGCATCCTTCTCCATGACTGCTGTGGCATCTCCACCTAGTGTCGAATCGGGGTCTCGATTGGGATGGTACAGCTCTAGTAACGGAGGAGAAGGAGCCCTGTCTTCAGTGAATGCGGACGACGTGTCACGGATGTTCATGCCGCGGAAACACGTTCAACGCTCAAACTCCTCTTCCTCTCTGGGGTCGAACTCTTCGGCTTCCTCTACATCTACTGCGACTGCCCCTACCCAAGATACCCATGCCGCGCAGAATTCCGCCAGTGATACAGAGACTTGGTCGTCATCAAAAAAGAAGCATTCGAAGAACATCTGGCCTAGCTCGAAATCCGAGCCGGTATCAGGGGTAACGAACGCGCGATCTCAGGCAGTGCCTGCTTTCTCGTCGGGCCCAAGTGCATCGTCGACAATGTCCGCAATGCATCAGCCTTCGAACATCGTCCCATCGCAACAGATGCCCCAGTCGTCGCAGCAGAATGGCGTCCGTGCGCCAACCGGCCCGCCCTCGGAGAACCCAGCAATTTTGATTCTGTTGCCAATGAACGGCACCTTTGACAGGAAACAGATCAATGTACCATATTACCCCGAGGTCCTGCGAATCGGGCGACAAACAAACGCCAAAACAGTGCCCACGCCTCTCAATGGATTCTTCGACTCCAAAGTTCTCTCTCGACAGCATGCTGAGGTATGGGCCGATAAGACTGGCAAAATCTGGATCCGAGACGTCAAATCCTCAAACGGCACATTTGTGAACGGCCACCGATTGTCTCCTGAAAACCGGGAGTCAGAGCCGCACGAACTGCGAGAAAGCGATAACCTAGAGCTGGGTATCGATATTGTCAGCGAGGATCAATCCACCATCGTCCATCACAAAGTCTCATCTAAGGTTGAGCATGCCGGAACCTACGGTACTACCCCTAGTATCCTTGATCTGAACTTCGGGGACTTGGATCCTGCCTCCGGGGGCGGTCTTCTCCCTTCTCCCTTGAGTCAACCGCTTTCTCATATGCGAGGTCGAGCCGGTAGCAACGCGAGTAGCAGAAGTGCTCAGAGTGTTGCCAGCAATCAGCTCAGTGCTTTACATCAACAACGGCAAATGAACTACTGGAACTCGCCAATCTCCATTGAACAGGTCGTCAAGCGGCTTACGGTGCGAATCACAATTTATCTTAATATTACATATCACTGACTTGTTCTAGGGCGAACTGAAATCCGCAAAGCAACAAACAACAGATCTTTCTCAAGCAGATGAATTTTTGACGACGATCATGAAACCAGGCTATACAGAGAAAGAAAAGCTCAATAAGCCGTCTCCTTTGGAGAATAGTGCTCATCGCCAGATGAACGGTCGGCCTAAAATGCCTCGAGTCGACTCCTTTTCAAGATTTTCGGATCCCCCCGCTCCTCCTCCTCAACAGCCTCTGCCGGAGAAACCTGATGCGTTGTCGCGAAGTGCATCAGAATCGTTCTCACCGCTGAAGCGCAGTGATACGGAAAAGCCGAAGAGCGGTACAGGTTCCCCTGTCTCCCGCGATTCTAGTCAGATCTTGAATCTCATTGAGGCGCTATCGTCTGCCAAGCGAGAGATTGAAACCCATGGAACTCGTGTCAAGGAACTAGAAAAGATGCTGTTCCAAGAGCAGACTGCTCGCAAATTGGCAGAAGACAAAGTCAGTGAAATGGAGATGCGCTCATTGGATGTTGAAGATGTCAAAGTCGAGAAAGGCATTGTTCCACCTTCAGAGAATGGTGTGGACGGAAAGAAGGCGCAGGATGATACAGAAGCAACCGTGCAGGTCAACGGCATCCATCCTTCAGAGACTCTCACTCCCGCAGACATCCAGGCAGACGCCCCCGTGGAAGACAAGAGTGCTGAACTTCAGACTCGCTTGGAAAATATGATGGAGGAGATGGCAGAAATGAGAAAGCAAATGGCATCCTTCAAACATCGCGCCGAGAAGGCTGAAGATGAGACCACGGAGTCTCGCAAGTCGTTGAACGAAATGATTGAAACCTTGCGCCAGGAACGCGCCGAGAAGGCATTAGCCACGGCTCTTGACAAGAAAACTGATACGCATGACCGCGAGCCAAGCAATGGCTTAGCGGAACCGTCGCCTACGAGCGATGATACTTTAACGGATTCCAAGACGAAGACTCCATCGATGCAGGGCTTCGATACGGTTACCTCGCAAAACAAGGACATGGATGCTGCAGCTGCGGCCACAGCCTTTGCAACACAGCGCCATCGGTACAACTATATGGAAGAAGCAAGTCCTTACGCCTCCATGTTTGGCGTGGTCTTATTGGGAGTAGGCCTAATGGCCTATCTCAACGGTTGGCAAAAGATGGACAAATAAACCAGCTTAGCCTCGCGTGCTACTTCTGGGGTTTCCTGTTCCTTTGACGGCTATTTCTACTGCATAGGCCCTTTGCATACTTTGACTTGGTCTTCTATCTTTCTCATCAGATTTCAGTACTCGCCAGTCACGACTTTCTGGCGATAAATGTCATGGTTCTTCTCTCAAATGAGGACCATTTTCTTGTCTTCATATTCGGAGCCTCTTCCGTTTAGCCCACACTGTCTCTTTTATCTCACGAATTTTTTGATGACTTTCTCGAGATCCCTCTCAGGGATCTGCTTCTTGGTCGTCTTTTTCGACGTCCGTTCCTCCCCCTCTTTCTTGCCATCTCCTTTTTCTTCGTTCTTCTTCTACATCCTACTATGTTACTATTAGCCTGTCGCCCTCTTGGGAATCGACACATCTTTTCTCTTTTGTCTGTACATGATGGGGAAAATCAGGATACGTTCATGACTTGCAGCCTCTCTTTGAAACGTTTCGTTCGAGAAGGGTTTTCAGGCATTATCATTCATCATGTCATGTCAGCACAGGGCTTTGTGAGCGTATCAAGGAGTTTTTATTCGTACTATTTCGTTTTTTATTCATGCCATTTGTTTCTCGCTGGCAGATTCGATGATTCAGGCTTCCTCTTTTAAACCTCTTTTTTGATTGGAGTAGTATTGTTACCCTATAGTCCTGTCTCTCCCTCTTTCGTTTTTCATACAAGTCTGTCCAGCATCCACAGCGCGATGGGTTGGTTGGGTGGAGCATGCGCTCTGGGTAAATCAGAGTTGATTTCTTAAAGGACAATCTCGATGTACATGATTTTGTGCTAGGCTAACAACCTAAGGACAAACGAATTGTTCTTTTTCCTGATCCTGCTCAAGGGCCTCCCGCGCCTGTGTAATATTGATATTGCACCTGTAGAGTATTTGGTACTGGGTATACGCAAGTGACGAGGGTGGGAAGAGGACGCCCTCGAATTGGGACTTGGGTTTTGACCGCTTCCACCAGCAACATCCCAGAGCAGGAATCCAGATAAAAGGTCTTCTGAGCTGGGTTACTGGGTGGTGTATAGTCCCCATGAGCGTTCCGTTCGGATCATGGTCACTCAGCAGGATGTGCGTGCACTCAATGTCCTAGCTGGCAATTCCGGGCTTGGCCACAGGCTCATGACAATGGCTATTTCCCAGCTATGGGTGTGAAGTTTTGCAGTTGAACATCCTCAAATCAGCAGACGATGGCCGGGCAATCGGATGACGGACTATCGTGGGAGTTTTTGTCGGAGTGATCATAGGCGGATTCACTTGAGGCTGACGGCGACCTCAACCATTTTGATCCACCTCGTCCGGCTCTCGGGGAGCTCGGCGTCATCTTCTGCTGCAGCGGCCTGGCGTTTTCTCTTCTTTGCTGCTGACTTGGATTCCGGTTTAGAAGCCGCATCTCCTTGGTCAGTTGGGGTTTGCTCTTCCTGCCGTTGTCGGTTCTGTTCCTCTTTTGCTTTCATTTCTTCATCCTCAACGATATCATCCACGACAACCACACTACCCGTAGTAACACGGACTGTGTACTCGGCTTCCTTTTCCTCGAACCATTTGGCTACATTCAGCGCCTTCTCGATAGCCCGTCCTGTCGCCTTCACAAAAACTTCCTCTCGCTTCTCTGACACCTTCGACAGCTCCTCGAGTATCTGTTTCTCGTTCTTGCGCGTATCCTCAAGGTTGATGTTTGCGGTGGCGCGCTTCTCCGCCTGCAGGAGGAGTTTCTGGACGCGCTTGACTGCGCTCATGAACGGCGTGGTCTTGGAGACGTAGACGATCTTGGGTACTGATGCACCGGCATATGGAGAGGCGACTGGCGCATGAGGTATCGGGCGCTTCTCGACTTTGGCATCTGTTATCTAGAAGTTAGCGTTTGGGGTCTTTGGTTCCTAGCATTGGCCATTTGACCCTAGGCGTTCGGATGGGAAGAACTCACGTTTCGGGAGTCTAATAAGGTCTTTGTTCTTTTTCTCAAATTGGAGCTTGTTCTCCAATGTCCCCTTTGCCATGGCTTATGTGCCTTGCACGAATAAAAAGTTGCAAAGTCAAATTGGAGCTGCGCGTCTTATCGTCTGCCTTTTTCTGCCAGGCTGCTGGAGGCTGCCTGCCCGCCGCCCGCCCGGGCGCCCGGGCGATATCACTTGCTTATGTCATCATTTGTCGAACTTGCCCACATATGTAATCGGGAAGCTACATCTACAAAGTAGATCGGTAAACTAAATGATACCTGGCACCGTCCACCAATTTGACGTTAACAGGCTCTAAGGTTAGTTTATCTAATGAGAGAGCTCTATACACTTATGGGTGCACCTGAAAGTGCAAGAGAGCACCTCCGATTCCCTCAGGCAAAGCTACGCAAGGCCAGCGGCGTGCTGCAGACCGGTGAAGTCCTGTTTTCTTTCTACGGAAAAAAGAAAGCAAGGTCAACTTAAAATCGTTCTCCACATTGCTAACAAATTAAAGACGTTGGCAGAGCTTACTCAATTGTCATCACGATCCAAGCGGGCAGCATCGCGATGAGTACGGTGTGGGACATATTCATATACATACTTGGTCTGCATACGGTGTTTGGCAGGCAATTACATTACACTCTTAGAGTGCAATAATGGTAAATTGGAGTTCGGTACTAATCTCTTCACACGGCACCACTACAGACTGCCCTCTTAAAGTTGCTGGATGCACAGACGCGCCCCAACTCCTCTGTCGGGTTCCTTCTCCAATGAGCTAGCTGCCGATGACACCGATCATAGCACGCCTATCATCAAGCAATATGCCGGGTAGAGGAGCATTGAGTATGTAGTAATTTATGTTTGGCAAGGCGGGCCTGGATACGGAGTACGGGCATGATCATCCATCCGGGTGGGCCAAAATTCCTTTTGATCGGATGGGGTTCCAAGGCCCGGGAACATGCTCTGATGCCGAACAACCTGCACCGGCTTGTTGCGTTTCCGAGAGAAGACGGTCTCTCATAACCATCTTCAAGAGACTAGTGAGGTGCGGACTGCAGATCTGGATCGGCGATGAGCAGTGGTCTTTGCTATGATTCTGAATGAGGCTGCTGACCAGGTGACCCCGGTGGGTTCCCGATTTGTGTGACCATCCTTATGGAGTACGGAGTCCGGAGCACGCATTGAGAATGCTCAGTTGGAGACCTATTCAAATTTAGAAGGCAGTTAATGTGTAAAGGGGTTTCTCTGTACAATATAGTTTAAAGTGGAGAATATCGATATGGATAGGCAGTTCCTCCTATATTGTACGTAGATACCTAAGGGGCCCGTTGGGCATCTTGTCCAATATTCAAGGATATTCTTTTATAGATACTTTTTTTGACCTTAACTCAGGGGCGAACGACAGCCACAGGATAAAAAAAGGTCCCGGCTATACTCCGTACATCGTAGTTGATCAAAGCTTCTAAAGCACCATTGTCGTCATATCGGTACCGAGACGAAAAGGGTCCAAGTGTCTGTTGACCTGTTGACCCGAGTCGTTGGTAGCTGGTAACTTAGCAATATCCCGTGTACTAGTATAAGAAATACAGGGTACTCCGTACGGGGTACAATAAAGGTGATGATGAAATGATCATCATGAGACCCCCCTTCAATAATCTGGCAAATTTTCCCCTGGGGCTGATTGACGTACTTCGCACGGAATACGGAGTATAAAATATCGGAACCAAACAAAGGCGTTGACGATCAACGCGTCTGGGCTTGATAGATCGACATACGCCTCGAGCTGAAAGCTGGTCAGGTGATGCCCGCCAAACTACTTTGGGAAGGTCCCGAAATTGGTGGACTTGTGGGTCAACTGGGCAGTGTCAGTTATTTTGTTTCGCTTGCATCGACATGAAAGAAGTCCGGATATGCGCATGTTTGATATTTGATCCCCAATTTTAGGTGTCCCAGGTATCAAATTGAGTACGGAGTACGGAGTAGATGTAGTTAATTCCGGGGTACCCTAGAGGTTGGAAAGTAGACCTGACATTGGTAAACAAAGAGCGCCTTAGGCAGATTACACGCCTCAGGCAGCGCGGCCCGTCTGACTGGACAGTCAACCGTGGTATAGCAGTCAAGTTACCATGGAAGACACTTGTAAAACCATGGATAAAATCTATAATTACGGCTGTTTATTGATCTGCAAACATTTGATTGAATGATTGATCTCTTCGAAGCTCTGAAGAGTATCACGGCTCTTTGCTTATATCGTACTTTGGTCTCTTGTTCCGTGTGACTGCTCCAACGGCTCCTGTTTTGAGTGGACTTAAGGCAACAGTCACAAGTGGTTTCATCACCGGGGATAAATATGAACATACATAACAATATGTAAGATACAAGTTGTACGGAGTAGGTATTGCGTATGTACTATGTTTAGTGCCCCACAGGCGATCGAAGCCAACACAATCGTAATCGGATCTAAGAATTATCAATGGAAGGTTTGTTTCTTGAAATAGACAGTGTTGGAGGATGGCTCATGTGGTATAATAATAGATAGTTGAATGTTGTTTTAAAATTTTATCCCGGGGGGGGGGAACACAAAAGTACGTTGCCACAACTGAGCCACAATCTCGAAAGATCTGCTGCTTGTACGGATACGGAGTACGTCGTAGACAAGCTGAGCGCAATCCATAGCTGAGGCGGAGGCGGATCTCCGAGAAGTTTGTCTTGTAAATTGACCAGTCCTATTATACATAAAAAGTATTATGTTGCGCTGATGAATCTGACAGAGCGAAAACATTTGTTCGGCGTAACGGCTCCCCCAGTTCCGGGTCACGATGTTAGAGTTCCGCGTGCACTAGAGCCCTTGAATGCAAGACAGCTCTAGTCGTCTTCAGCCGGAAAGGCACGGGGATGATAACCCAATCATAAAAATGAGCTAGGCTCTTTGGCTTAGAACCTACCTGAAGAGGAAAGGTGTTAAACGTAGGCTAGTGGGGTAAGAATAGTGCCAACGGCTGTCTCTGAAGCACTCCAAGCCAATTGCACTTCACACAAATCGGGGCTAATGACATCTTCCAGCGGGTCGGTGCAGGTGGAGTAGCCTTAAAAAACAGAATCCATGGATCTGGACTCGGATAAAGAGGGGTTTGACTTAATCAAATTATTATTTTGATTAAATTAGTGATTTTATTGATCTAAACAATTAAAAGAAAATACAATTAAAATACATTTTAAGTATTTTAAATAATTTCCAATTTTCGGATTTTGTTTCGCGGATTTTTGCGGTCGAGTCCGTCTCCACCTTGTAGAATGGTCCAGCCAAGGGCAACAGCTCGCGCCTTTTTGTATGGGACTCTTCCCCTCCGCTGAAGTGTCTCGAACTCTTCCTCCTCAACTCTCCTTGACTTACCTCTACATTCGCTTGGTCTCATATCCCCAACCACTTTGGCCCTTTAACCGTCTTACGTTCCCTTCTCAATCCTTGAAGGGGGTTAAGACGTGTCTCACGTTTCAGTGCTCGGAAGCTAGCCATTGAAGCCGCTTTTTGCCTTTTTTTGCATACATCAGATCTGGCGTGCAGGAGATCCGAGAGATCCCGCATCGTGATTGGTTTTGCTTCTCAAGGGTTATCCTAAAGAAAAAAAAGTACTTTTTTCTTTGTTGGCCTCCTTGGGTGACTCAAGACTTCGGTACTCCAGGGCTGATCCGACCAACCGGGTTCCTCCATCAGTCTTCTATTCCTCTTTGGGCCTATCAGGTCTCCAGCTACCCCCTTGACGGGCTTTGAGCTATCCCAGCCGCTACGTCTCATCCGGTTCTTCGGGTCGACCATAACTACAGCTCTTTAGCCACTGAACTTCATTCTTTTCTTCTCATCACAACTCTCTTTACAACTTATCACCAACACACTCTCTTGTACCGACAATAATCCCGACACTCCAGTCCTTCAAATATTCATAGCATGTCTCAAGACCCCCACTATGAGATATTGGATGCACCCGATGGGTCAGCATTGACGTGGATCTTCGACCATTGCTTGCGTTACGCGGACAACTACGAAATTTCTCTTCGTGCTGCATACGAGCTCAATTGCCACCCGTCGAAGAGCACAATGGGGCCTTCATTTCTTCCTCGATCTTCCTCCATCTTCTCCCGCAATTCCGTTTGGTCCAAAAATGCTCGTAACTCCAAGTCTTCTTTCGATTCTCCCTCTTACGACACCAATGCCGAATTCCGTGCCTGTTTGTCCAAGACTGTCGCCGAATTGTCTTCTCAACCTTGCTCGCTCCCTCCGAGCTTCATTATCTCCTTTGTGCGCCGCTGTTTTTGTCTGGATCTGTCCGATGTCGACTTTGCCCAGGCTTTAACTGCTCTTGATTACATTAGAGACCTCCAAGGTCGCTGGAAGAAGGAGATTGATGCCTCCTTCAACCGACTCAACATTACTTCCCAGGATGCGAGTGACCCTCAGCACTCGGAGGTGGCTCGCAATTTCCCTAACGTGTTGACCTGGTACAAAGACATCAGCAACAAGGCACGCATGATCGATTTTCTGTACACTCAGGTCTATATCGGCCTGCGTCGATGGGTAAGCTTTATCCCGAGATTCAAATATCGAGTTCGATATCTAACATTTCTTTTCCAGGTTCTTGTCAATCAGATGATGCTCGAGCCATTCGACAAAGCCAACTGCCTTGCTCTTCTTAACACTCTACTGCCACCTCTTCACCGAGACAGCTCTACCCCAACACAGCAGTTGTCGACAGCCATCCTTGGAAACCATCGCGACACCTTCTTCAAATTCATTACCACCTTCGAGGCCGACCCTTCAATCCTGGAGCCTATCATTAAGCAAGGCGCTCGACCTGGTGACGAGAATGGATGGCCTGCATTGTATGACGCCATTGACCGATACTTGAACGCAGTCCTCGAGATGATCGACGAGTGTACTTTGATCAACGAGCCTGGTCAGATTAGCAAGTCCGGCGTGCAGCGCCGCACCGACTCGGGCATCAGCTTCGGCCCCGATTTCGGCCCATGTCCTACTAGCTCCCAATCTTCGGACACCGAAAAGCCTCTTCCCCATTTCCCAGAACCAAACACAGGCTCTAGCAAGCATGGTTCGTTCCTGGAACGATTTTCCTCCTTGTCAGGATG